AAAGTCGTGTATATAATTGCCCGGTTTATGTGTATTATTCTTGTAGCGAACATCATTGGGCGCTCCAGCCACGCACTACGTTCGTCCTCTCTATTATATTTCTCCTTTCTCCACCATAATTGCTTACGCGTCTTCACAGTTTTCTACGTCACAGCTATATAACATGATTTTGGCCGCTCGCTTAGTGGCGACACTTTTTGGCCGCCAAATCGTACTTCCAATGGACAAAAAAATTGGTCAAGGAGAACTCGCTAAGCGCTATGGTTAATGATCTCTAATTTTAAATACAGCTATCAACCAGAAAATGCAAAATAAAAAATTTCAAAATTTCGTGTCATAGGCACTTTAAAGGGAAAAGCTCTACATAGCTACTAATGTGGACTACTTGCCGTACTTATGGTGACATGCTAACACACAACTACTTATGGGGACTACTTTCCATTCTTGTGGCGACATGCTAATACACAGTTACTTACGGGGACTACTTGCAAAGAAATTAAACCTCCCCCTTCCCCCCTCCCCCCCCCGAAAAACGCAGCAGTCACATGGACATAGAAAATGTGGACCGGGGAATGTCAAAGTCAAAGAGTAAGTAGAGAAAATGTTATAATTATAAGAGGAGTAAGTTTTAGCTGAAAGCTTACTTGTTATGCTTATTTTGATTTTCTTTACAGAGTAAGATGCCCATGTTTTATGTACAGAAGAAGAGAAGGAGGCAGTTTTTTAAGCACCCTAGTTCATTTGTCAGAGAAAGACGCTTTACGGGAAAATTGGACTGTAAGAACTGTATTTTAAAAGCAAATGGTGCATTAGATGGTAGGGACTGGCATGCTGTTAAATATTTTGTTAAGAATCATATTGACATTGGAGAAAGAGGGTTCTTGCCGCTAAAAATGGCTAAGTGAACTGATCTTTCCCCACCCTTAATGGCAACCCTTAATACCTTGCTAAAATTCAACCTCAATAGCTGCAAGGACAACAAAAACAGTAATTCATGATAATTAAGGGGTATTTTGCTGTTTCCAAACATCTCCAATATTTAAAAAAAAAAAAAACTTATCGTCATAGTTTGCGTGGATACCCTGTGATTCAACGACAAATAGAATATGTTAAATTCTACCATAAATTTTTGGATATAGGCCAATCCCAAAATACCCCCCCCCCCAAAGTGTAAGCCACCAATCCTCCATTAAATTGGCTTTTTCAAGTGTAAAATGATATAAACTGTAGTATTGACATCAAAACTTTTAAAAGTCTTAGAATCAATATGTTATCCACTTGTAATTCCAACTCAAAATTTTATAATTGGACAAAATTTAAAAATAAGCTACCTTAAAAATAGGATTTTAGGGTTGTGTCCAGAATTTTTACATTATTTCGACTTTCTCAAATTCAGTCATTGATAACTATGGAGGTAGATTTCAGTATTACACAAACTAAGAGCGCTCTATTTAGCTCTTGATTGGAGTATTAAGATATAACCAATTGAAAGGGTTTGGCATCACATATTTAACTTTGTCAAACAATGACGTTATTAAGAAAACTAAACTTTTAGAATTGTATTTTAAAAGCAAATGGTGCATTTAGTGCAACACTTGCTTTTAAAATACAAACAACTTAAGGACCGGCATGCTGTTTAATACTTTTTGAAAAATCAGATTGACAAGAAAAAGCAGGTTCTTGCCCCTAAGTATAACTAATAGAATCGTTCTGTTTTTGTTATCTCAAAGTATAACTAATCCTGTGCAGGGTAACCTACTGTTTTGCCAAACTCTTCCAATCTCAGGGCTGTCACAAAGATCTCAAGTTTCTGGGTAACTACAGAAAGAAGGCAGGAAATTAAGCAGCTAGGGATTTCCTTTTTGGTTCTATTTTTATTCTATCCTCTATGAAACTCCCTGGTCCCCTGCCCGTAATGACTACCCTGTTACCTTGCTAAAATTTCACCCCAAGAGCTGCAAGGACAACAAAATACAACTGAGATAATTAGTATATTCGTTATGATGTTGGACATAATTGCTAACATTAAGATAGTTAAGGGTGTTTTGCTTTGCATTTCCCAATATTTAAAAATATTACTAATAGTCAAAGTTTGTGTGGGTCTCCTGTTTGAAGGGCAAATAGTATGTTCCAGTTGCCTCAAATTTTCTTCAAAAGTAATAGAGCTTCCCTTTATTTTATCAATCATTTTAAAAAGTTTCTGTAGATTCTCATCACGTAATCACTGTTACCGAAGGTGAGCCCTACCAAGACTTCTTATAAATACTCCTGCGCTTACAGTTTTAGTGAATTGTATAATCCGCCAGGATCTAAGGCTCCTGCAAATGTTTGGGTTATACTGTTATAAAAAACACACCCTGAACATTTGGATATAAGCCTATATTAAAGTACCCAACCTCAATATAAGCTACCAAATTCTCAAATCTATACATCCTGATAGTAAGCTCTGTAGACCTTACATACCCACCAATATTCTTAATATGACTAAACAGAATTTTTTTTTTATCCATATCATTACTGTTTGGTTAAAGGGTGTAGTTTCAGCCAGTATTGCATTGTAGCTTGTAACCACTGATCCGGCCTTGTTAAGTTATAAATATATACAATGCAGTATTGTTATATGTATTTTGCAAAATATTAGAAGCAATTTGCCATCCATTTGTAGGCCTAACTAGTTTTTAATTGGGCAATATCTTCTTTACAACAAAAAGCTCCTAATTATGAGCTCAGGGTTATATCCAGAATTTTTACCGTTTTTAAGTCTCTTACACTTGATCATTGATAATTCCAGAGGTGGATTTTAATATACACTAACTAAGAGTGCTTCATTTCTGGAGTGTAAGCAAAACGAATGAGAGAGTTTTGCATAATGATTTTAACAAAAAAATTTATAACTACAGCGGTTGAATTGAACTGTTATTGATCAAGCATTGTGAAACCAACATCAGAGGGTTGTGCAACCAAACTACGTCTTAAGTTAAATTTTAGTAGCCATTAGCATACAATTTTATGGCCAATCTCACTAAAAAGATGTCTGCAACATGGGATGCAGAATATCTGCTCTACTCACCAGTGAGTGGCTTTGGTTGATAACTCTCCTGTGACAGTTAAATAGACATCGCTGCTTAAAATTATATTAAAGTGTTACAGTTCCATTAACTTCAAACTTCTCTTGCCTTCTTTTTTTGTGAAAAGCCACCTGAAGTTCCAAGATTATGAGGAGGGCTTACCAGTCTGGCTTATATATGCTACGTGTAGGATGGAAGCCAATATTAATTAAGTTCCAAGTACTAGATCCTTTTTTTTCTTTTATAAGAACCTTTTTTAATAGGAACGTTTAGGCTGAGATTAGCCCAAATTTTTAAAACATTCTTAGAACATACCCAGGCTGAGAGTCAGTTGAGAACTTTTTCATTTTGCTCATCTTTTTTATCTTTTTTTTAATGAGAAGAATAAATAAAGGCAAAAGAAATGTTAAACTGTGGTCAAACAGGACAATAAACTCAAATACTTAAGAATGCGGTTTTTACTGTTGTACGATAAACTGAAGAACAACTCAGATTGTGGTCGAATTTAGTCCATAATAATAAAACTTTCAGAACATCTTAAGAACGTTTTCAGACTCAAATTGCATAAAAAGAACGTTCAACCTCAGCCCCAAATTAGACGTTAAAAAAGGGGTGTGTTACCAAAATGGAACCCATTGTAGTGCTCAACTTGTATTTGTCAAGTATTGCCTTTCCTCCAGTTGGCCAATATCATGGGTTTTTCATACACCAAACTGAAAAGCCATCTCTTAATCAAAGAAGCCGAATTCAGAAAGCTTTTACAATAAATATTTTTGTGCCCTTTTCCTAAAATCATTACTGTCGAGTTGGTGTTATTGAAAGCGTGACAGTTGGACTTTTGTTGTAAACATTACAGGATTCGAGTTATATCAACTGTCTCTTGCCTTCTTCACAGAAAGATACCCGCAGGTTTGAGTTTCGAATTTGAAAGATAAAGATTAGGTCTTTCCTGCAAAGAGTATTTTATCCCAAATTGAAGGGTCACTTTTGAGATTTTTTCAGTTGGGCTTCCTTAAGTCGCAGTCATCCTTCATTGTAGGCATGCTATGCATGCAAAAGTTATTTCTTTGGATGGATAAGCTCAGGTGGGACACTAATTGACTGACGTTTTCATTTTTGTAAAAAGAGAAAAAGTATTAACTTCAAAAGATTCCGACAAAAATTTATTTCATTAAAGAGCAAAAAAGACCCATTCAATTTATCTGAAATGAATTTAGACACAGGTGTTTTTCTGGTCTATTGTCACTGGTGTCTGAATAGTTTTAAGCAACACTAAACTCCATTGGTGTCACACTTGCGGTAGTCTCCGTCGCAGCCGTTGTTTAGTCTCGCCACGCAGTGCAGTGCAGTCTCCCATTGCAAGACCAAACAACGACTGCAAAGGCGATTACGCTAACGGGCCTTCATTATTAGTATTAATCACGAGGGTTTTCTTCCGCTGCAGGAAAGTACCAGGCCTTCAGCAAAACTTCTTCGCCTTCTCCAGCAAAAGGAGAGGTGGTCCTCATAAGAGGGGTGTGGAAACAGAGACCCCACAAGTTAGGTAAGTATGTCCTCACAAGTCTTATATTAAAAGTAGTACCCACAAGTAGGCAAAGTTGAGTAATGGACAGGTCCCCATAAGGAAGTCCCCACAAGAAAAATTGAAATTTCCCCAATTCTAATCAAGTGTATAAAGAGTAAGGCAAACAAGCTATCAAACATCGTAGTTTTTATTTTGATACTGCCAGCAGAAGGGGGGGTCCCCGCAAGCGGTGTGTGTAAACACAGTCCTCACAAGTTGCCAAAGGTGCGTATGCGTGTGTGTGTGTGTGTGTGTGTGTGTGTGTGTGTGTGTGTGTGTGTGTGTGAGTAAAGCGCCTCTCTAAGAACTATTATCAGCATAAACGTTCTCACGTTAATATTTTTGTACTTACAGACGCCTTACTAAGAATGTCTCTGGAAAATATTCGAGGAGACCTCAATAATTTACCGCAAGATAATCCTGCAAAGTGTGAAGGTTTGATTCGAAATCTGTATGAACGCATCAAATCCTTGCAAGATAACGATGAGAAAGAGAATCTGCTTTATGAGCTGAAAGGTGTCGCCAGCTGGGGATTGCAAGAGGACCTGAAGGAAATGTTGGAAAAAAAAGGGTTGCACCAAGAAGCATTACCCCTGGTTGAGAGATACGTGACAAATGCAAGAGAGCTCGCGGAATATTTTTGCAGTCATTCTAAAGAGGATTTAGAGAAGGAAGGCTTGGGGGGTATAAACAAGCGGCTTCGACTAGATCTTGAAGTGCTTGGAGGCCTCAGTGCCGAAGGAGTTGATGTCACAAAGGAATGGGTGAAAAGGCTTTGTGGGAGAGCTCCGTCATTTAAGGTACTTTCTCGGCTACAATTAAGCGAACTTCAGTCTTACTGCCAAGGAGCTGATGACGGAGAAATGGACCAAGTTCACCAGCTGGCTAAAACTGCTGCGTCTAACGAAAAAAAAAAGCTCCCCGACGTTCCACAAGATGATGGGCTCGTGCAAAACACCAAAGCAACGAAAGCTGTAGATGAAGCAAATCTAAAGAAGGCGAAAGATTTGATGATTGAAGCTAAAATATTGGCTACAAACAAATCGGAAACAGCAAAGGAGATCGTCAACGACAAAATAAAATTAATTATGGAAACAATTAAGTTACCATTAGATTGGTTCAAACTAGATCAAATGCAACCAGATCAAATGTTTCAAGAGTTAGATCAGATAATTGAACAATGCAGCGAAGTTGTGGAATCAGATGAAATTTACAAGAACGCGGTGGAGGTGATCACCAAAGCCAGTGCTGGGAAGGCACTATTCGGAATTTATCATTCTGAATATGAATTACCTAAAGCAGCGGGCAGACCGCTTCTCCTGCCACCAACAGATGTGTCACTAACCAGTCCAAGCATATCCAGGGATATGAATTATATCAAGTTCTCCGCCCAAGGAGCAGCTGCGAATTACATCCAAACTGTTGAGTCCTTAAATACAAATATTGGTCTCGCTTTGGCCGGTTTTGAGGGCTTACTCTTTGGCGAGATACAAGGAGCTTGTGGTTCTGAGCGGCAGAAACAATTCCGTGATTCTTCCAAAGAATGGTCAACCAGTGCGTCTGTCCTTCATTACACCCGAATGCCAACAAGATCCTTTCTATTGGAACGTAACCAAATAAAACTTTGTGAATCAGCAAAGGAAATGGCAAGATCCATTGTTCAAGATACTGAAATACGCAAGGACCAACAGCAAGGCATGGCTCGCTTATTCTTTGAACGTTTTGGGAGTCATTTTCCAGCCGGTGTTCAGACTCTTGGTGGCGTGTTTTTCAGCTTCGCCGATGCCGAAAGCGAAAGAGCAACTAAGAAATTCGAGCTAATGGAGGCAACTACGCAATATCTTAAAAAGCAAATGTCTGTTGGACTTCTCGGGGCCTTCAATATTGGAGGAGGTATTGCTGGTGAACACACTTCCTCTAAAGGTAGTAATGTGGGAAAGTACAAAGAAAGGCGTCATGAAGTCTTTTCGCACTCTGTCAAAGTTATAGGGCCTACAGCAGCAAACACCAATACTTTTCAGAAACTTCTGTCTTACAACTCAACCTGGGCTTTGATCGACCGAGGGCCTGTTGAAGGATACATACCAGTATGGGAACTGTTAAAAGATCTTGGCGGTGTGTACGAAACAGCAGCTGACGTCCTGGAAGAAATTTGGCAGTGTGACGAAAAGGAAAGGAAAGCTCGAAAGATCGCAAAAGATGAGTTGTTGCTTATGAAGGAAGACTTCATCACGGGGGTAAGAATGGCTAAACTTTACTTTTAGAGGCAAAACTCGTTTTTTTTTTGTTTTGTTTGTAAGTTGTGGTACTACTAGATATTATTTACCCGAGATTTAATGTGGTGACCGAAGGCGGTAGGACGTTTGGAGTTACTGCTTGCCAACTCTGCTTACGCCTGGTACTCAAGAATTGCAGATCAATAGAATATTTTAAGACTAATTATAGAAACATCCACCTCGGTGAATATTTACCAAGGTTCGTCTGTTAAGTGAAAAGCTGTTACCTTGGACTTGAAAATGCTTCCCTCGGTGTGCTTTAATTCAAAGTGTTCTGAAAGCAATTTGCCTCAGCCGTTACGATGATATCTATGAATCAATTGGCTAGTCGATGAGTGAATTTACAATCACACATTTATCTAGTATTTTAACATGATTTTAAGCAATATTTGTGACGATGTAGCCTTTTTGGACCTTAACTTATGTACTTGTTTTACTTTTTCCTCTCTGTTTTCAGGGGATACTGCCTTTTTGTACGGAACTCAAGTTATTTAAACAAACTCCAGTTCATACTAGAAAGTTTGAGGACAAAGCAGACGCCTTCGACGAAGCGATAAAATTCATCATGGCAGACCTGCAGAACCATATCTGTGAGGTCAGTCTATTAGGCCCGTTCCAGAGTAGATTTCGTTATGAGTTGCGATGCCATACAGTTCTTGGCCATGAGCCACAGAACGCCTTCGCCCCCATTGTTCATCTTGAATATCACCCCTTTTTACCACTGTCCACTATAGTTAAAGTTGCAGCTGTAATGATCAAGTCAGAAATGGGGACCGTTTGCCACATCTTCAGTAAAACATTCTTCAAACGGAGAAACCTCGTTCTCTAAACGTTATTGTATCAAAATTTACACGTACGAGCTTTTAATGTTACCATCAGGGTGATGTTAAACTACAAAATCTAGTGCAACCAGCTTGGATCTTGAATCACATAGTCAATCAAAATGCACAAAACTGGCTCAAGAGTTAAGACTACTCACTTAAGATTTTTATCACCGACTTAACCTAACATGACGCTTTGATGTATAAATGGTTGTGAGAAAGGGATAACTGTGCGCTGTTTCTTTTTTCTGCATCAGAAGCCTTAAAAATGCTTGTTAGGTTCTTCCCTTAGTTGATTACCTTATAAAGGTGTTGAATTGGTCCATAATTTTGAGGCTCAAAAGTGTATCAGGACTAGCCTACGGAAATATATCTGAAGGAAAAAGAAAAGTATTTGTTTTACAAGATTAACTCTTAACCTCCTTATTTCAGTATGTATAGTCTCGATGCTCTTCTCTGTCCGTTTCCTTTCATACCGATAAAGAGAATTCGTTTAACAATCGAAGCTTCTTAGGTTCGTGATTTCCTTTAATTATCATGATCTTTTTTAATGCGTTAGCAGTATTACTGTTGCATGAGCTAAGAGGCTGGTCATTCTTAGGGTTTAACAGGTTAATTTACTTCTCCTCTTTTTCCTTTCGTCCTAACTTTTGACCAGGTTGACGGTATTATACTTAACCGATATACTGTTGAATTATGACATTATTTTAAGGATTAAGGAATCTTTCCAAGTGTTAAAAGACAAAGCTGGCATCTAGCAAGAATTTTTGTTAAGGTAATTTTTTACTTATATGAACGTGAAAATAAATGGAAAAAAATACATTAGTACAAGCCACTAACCATTAGGTAATTTCTGCGACTAGCACGTATCTAGGGGCGGTACCTTGGGTGCGCCCGTTCTTCTCCGGATTTTGTGTTTATTCTGCTGTTATGCAATTTCTCTTAAGATATCTTTTCAAGCATTATTTTAATTCTGTTAGTAAGTTTATTATAATTTTTATATTGTCAATCTTATTTTTTTTTACCCGAACTTGACTGTAAGACCAAGAGATTTAAGTTAGAAAGACATTTCGTAAAGCGTACACATCGCGAAGGTATCTACTCTGTGTATTTTAGCGTGATTCGATAGTAAGCATGACGAAGGTTAGAGATTGACAGCTCCGTTAGTGTTACCTTTATAAGCGGTGACCCACACATCCTTAGAGAGATCAGACCTGGTCCCTGTTGTAATAACTTGCGCAATAAAGGAGAGAATAAAAGAAATAGTCAACTGAACGACGAGTGTTAGGAAATTATTTTTAACAGTGGTTACGACTTTTCTCAGGGCCGGAAATCCCTGTGTAACACTGCAGTTTATGTGATAAATCACATTTCCGCCCAGGGACACGAATAATATTTTCGTATGCTGGTAGTATTTCTTACAAGTGAGCGCGATGTGAGCTCAGAAGTATTTGATAAATTCTGTATTTTAATGTTTGACAATCACAATGTCAAGTTGCCTCCATTACAACAAAACCGAACATACATTCAACATGCTTCTTTGGTCTCCACAACACTCGCAACCGAGCAAGCATGGCATTGTGGGATGTCCAATACATAAACTCACGGTTAACTCAAACATCCGGTTTTAGTACACCACAGTATTTTTTCTAAAATTAATGTTCTTTTTTTTATTATTGTGAGAGAACCTAACTTTTTTAAGCCTCGATGGTTTTCATCAGGTCATTTAGATGCCTTTGTTATTCTTAAATCTCAAAATATTAATAGAGGTTATTAAAATCACCGGTAAAACAATTGTTTTGGAATCCGACCTCTACTGACGGCTCCTTCTCCAGCAAAGGCTACCAATATGAGTCCCAAGTGCCTGAATTACCTCTTTACACCGACTACATAATCGATGGTATAAAAGAAAAGGGTGACAAAAACCCTCGAGGACGCTATCTTGGACAGTTTAATACAACTACAGCCAAAAAGTCTGCAATACTGGAAAAAAACAGACTCACTGCACCCAAGAGATTATAAAAGTTTATAACCTCTTGCTGCACCTTGTTAGTTTTGTTTTGTTCACGTTTCTCCTCTCAGCACTCGGTGGAAGATAAATATTTTAACCTTTGAAAAATTGTGTTGTATCATCTTACACCCAAACCTCTCTTAAAGGTCACTTTTCTTTGTCTTTTCTCTGTCTCCGTTGTGGCGGTTGGGGGAATTCTGACTGTATTACACTGAATTTAAGCAGGATACGATAATTGCATCATTTTCCCCCTCCCTCCCCCCTCAATCCATAACTCATTATTCGGTGACAGTCCTGGAAAAGGGAGGCTTGGTTTATTATAAAAGATAAGACCAAAGAGGAGCAAAAGGCGAAAAGCAGGTTTCATCTGTTTCGATTAGTTCATTAACAAAACATTGTCCCTCGTACTATCGGCGCTCGGATCAAGCTCACTTCCATCCTTGCCTGTGTTTTTCACTTCTTGATAAGTTTACTTTTTTTCGTTCAGAGAGCTCTTGTCAATTAGACTTACATTGTGTGCTTCTTTTGTTTCTTGTGTTAGGTTGTATTTTGCATACTGTATATTTTGATTGTCCGGCGTCTGTTTAAAGTGCCCCTGACACGAAATTTTTTTTGTGCATTTTCTGGTTGATAGCTGTTTTTAAAATTAGAAATAATCGACCTTAACGCCTAGTGAGTTCACCTTGACCATTCTTTTGTGCACTGAAAGTACAATTTGGCTACCAAAAAGTGTCTCCATTATTGTTTATTTCACGCGCTTGAGATGTACTCATACTCCCTGTCTTTCCACATGACTATATTTGCGCTTTTCTTATCGTATAAAAATCCCACCAATTGTAGTTTCCGTAGTATTTTAATAACAGAAACGCATCTTTTGTAATAAAGTTCAAGCCCTTTTATGAGCTGACCGATATCCTGTCGCGTGAACGGTACGAAACCTCTGGCGGATAGTGGCTTAAACACAAGCTGGCAACGCTGCACTTAACCTAAAGAAGTTTTTTATCTATTAAAATCCCTGGTAAAATTTTCGCACAGCCCCATACTCCATTATGCATTCAGTTCTTGGATAGAGAAAACACTGACAAAAACAATACATTGCCATTGGGAAAACAGATTTGTTTAACAATAATATGGGGCTGTGCGCAAATTTACCCTCCAAAGCATTGACCGAGGGAAACCTTCGCCGCACATAGTGCGAAGGAATAAATTGTTGTGGCAACAGAAACGAACACAGCTACCCATTCTTAACCATGATAGATTTTGCAGTGAAATTTCCGTACAGGCCCATATTATTGAAAAAGAAAAATGTTTTCCCGATGGCAATGTATTGTCTTTGTCCTGGTTTTCTCTATCCAAGAACTGGATGCATAATGTAGTATGGGGCTGTGCGGAAATTTTACCGATTTCGCCATAAAAAACAAAACACAAACGCAACAAACTAAACATTCAGTAACGCGAAGTTTTTGTTCTAATCCTGATTTAAACACCGCAGTTTGGTGCACGCGGTTCTCCTTCGTAGGGCTGAACTATACTCGCAACTTCCATTTCTTATCTACTACTTGAGTACGATGTATTACAACTCTCGGTAGAGCTTGCTGAAGGTAGCTATACATCGCTATCGGACATTATTTCGAGAGTATTTAAACGCTGACTATACAAAATTAGAAGATTTGTGAGAGATTTGTAGGTGTCAACGGAGAATTTTCACAGTATTTACGTCATTACCCGCTAATTCGTTACCAGTCCACGGGACACTTTTAAGACAAAATAAGAGCACTTTAGGGCCCGAAGAAACCGAGTTTTAAGTTTTTTGAAATTTTTTCTTCTTTCGGAATTGGTTTGTACATATGATAAGCTGAATATTTACCCAAAAAAGTTTCGTGTCATAGGCACTTAAATGCTTCGCTACCCACGATAATGTATTCTGTGTCTAATGATATACCTCCCGCTTTTGCTAATTATGGTGTAAACTGACCAATAAAGACACTACTACGTGATCCCAATAGCGGGACTAGAACGGGCGGACTTTCAGTGAACTTCAGCTCGCTTTATCCAAACGTTAACGGTCGCTTTTTAATAACTTGACGGAGGATCTCTTTTACTGAGAGAAGGTACGTAGTGTCTTAACCCTCCTTACTGCCGAAGTCTAAAAATGGAAAAATTACTATGAGCATCTGCATTAGAAATCATGGAAACGTTGACAAGGCTAACTAGGCATTTGGTTGAAAGCTGTGTACTTGAAGTTGGACATAGAATCCACAAGATTCTTATCGCGATTTAGGAATTGATTGTCTGCAAAGTGCACTTATTCTTTAAAATGACATTTTTGCAAAGCGAGACTTGTGTTGCGTAGGAATTTCAAGTCACAGTCAACCACCCTGAACATTATACCAAGTCATGCAGACGGGCGGCCTTAGTTGAAAATTCTATTATTTAAAATATTGTTATTGTTATTTAAATTATTGTTGTAGTTGTTATTAAATTTGCAAAAAAGGGACAAAAACATTAAGCATAACTGTTTGACTTCAAGAGGCATTTTACTCCACCTTGTATTATTGATTACAGCAATCCGCAAAAGGGTTTTTTTTTAGTATCAGTTTTCTTCTAAACTGAGTAATCGTCTGCAGACAACGAAAATCGATTCTTGGGTCACAAGTATGGAAAAGACAATTTCTTCCAATTCGCTCATCAATATTTATCTTCTTGCAAATTACAAAACAATGCTTAAGAGTGACTTAGCTAATCAGTTATCGCTTTACACTCAACCATTCCTAATTTACTCCTTTTTTTATTCGGTTGCGTTTTGGCTATGCCAACATGTCTGTTTGCATTCAATAACTAAATACCACATACTTTCCTGTACACAGGCTCACTCAATCAATTATGTTCTCTTCATTTTATTTATTTCGTTGTTTCTTTCGTTTTTTTTCCCTAACGGACTGATATACAGACTTTTATACGATATACGAAAGCCCTAGTGTTCAATAACACGCAAGCCGCGCATATCCTCGCAGCTGGTTCAAAATTTCATCACCAGCATCAAATAATTTATTAATTTCATTTTAGAAGCCGAAAACCTCTGCCTTAATTGGTTATTTTAGTGAAGCTTAGCTCTTTCAAACTTGCCCTCTGTTCTCAAGATTACTTTAACACAGAAAATAACGCAAGGCTGTGCTTTGACCTTAACCGACTAGTTGGAAAGCCTTTGTTTTTATTTAACTGAAGGTTACAGAGGCAAATTGTGTGGCGCGCACCATAGCTAGAAGAGAACACTCGACTTTTCACCGCTTCTTTTAAAACCGACAGACACCTCGACAATGAGAAGCTGTGTTATTATGCATGAATACCAAAATACATTAATAAATGATAGATGAGGAAAGCAACAGAAAATCTCATAAATTTGTGTGTCGTAGGCAATTTCCTTTCCTTCCCTAATCAAGCGAGGAAATTAAAGCAAGCGAAAAAGTAAGAGAACGTGGAATTCATCCCTTCCATCTCTATCTTTTCCTCTTCTCGCTGGAAGTCTTTAACTGGTGAATTAAAAAATATATTAATACTGAATGAAAAAAACACACACTTGAACTAATGAATCGAAAGTAACCGTTAGATAAAAACAATTTTTTTTTATTTTGACAGCGATGAACAGCTGCTCCAAAGTGCGTGACAACTTAACACGTATAAAGCCTACAGAAGACTGGTTATCGGAGAGCCGCCTTAAAAGATGCCTTACAACCTTAGATCTCACTTTTTTAGGTGTGGGCTGTGTGTTAGGTGCTGGCCTGTACGTGGTCACAGGGGAATTAGCACGTGACATCGCTGGGCCCGCTGTTATTATCTCCTTTTTCATTGCTGCTGTTGCTGCCGCTTTGTCTGGGATTTGTTACGCGGAGTTTGGATGCCGTATTCCCAAGGCCGGCTCCGCCTACATGTACTCGTATGCGACTGTTGGAGAGTTTTGGGCGTTCGTTGTCGGTTGGAACATGATTCTAGAATATGTCATCGCTGCTGCAAGCCTGGCGCGCGCCTGCAGCGAGTATATCAACTCATTTGCTCAGGGTTATATATTCAAGTTCTTTATGAACGATATAGCCACATGGAACGTTTCTGGCCTTGGAAGCTTTCCTGACTTCTTGGCATTCACACTGGCCTTGGCGGCTTCTTTTATTGTCTCGCTGGGAGCACAAAAATCATCTCTTGCGAATAAAATCGTAACCTTCGTAAACTTAGCCGTCATCTTGTTTATTATCGTTATTGGATTTTACTTCGCCGATGGGGAGAACTGGAAACCAAAATTTGCCCCGTACGGGTTTCGAGGTACTCTAGCAGCTGGGGCAAGCTGCTTTTTCGCCTTCGTTGGATTTGACGTCATAGGATCGGCGGGAGAAGAAGCTATCAATCCCAAGCATTCGTTACCCTTCTCTACCATTCTTACTCTTGTGATAAGTTTCTTGGCGTATTTTGGAGTCGCAACGGTGCTTACATTAATGATACCTTATCAAAAACTGAGCCACTTTGCTCCTCTGGCTGAGGTTTTTGTTCAACGTGGGTTGAGCGGCGCCAAATACGTGGTGGCAATAGGTGGGCTCTGTGCAACAATGAGCTCCCTGGTGGCCAACTCATTCGCAGGCCCACGTATTGCATACTCCATGGCGTCTGACGGATTGTTATTCAACTGGTTTGCGCATGTGCACGAGAAGACAAAGGTTCCAGTTCGTGCGGTTTTGGTTGAAGGAAGTTTAGCTGCAATCCTTGCTTTACTTCTTGACGTAAAGCAACTGGTTAGTTTCTTAATTGGAATTAATTTCTTTGAATTTTTTAACTGAAAGCAAATTCGAGTCTCGCGAGAGCTGTCTAAACATGATTCACTAGCGAAGCTGTCGAAGTATGTTACTATTAACATGACAGGTAATTTAGTAGAAGTGGGTGTATTCCCTAGAATGGAATTTTGGACTGAATTTGAATTATTCTCCGCATGGTAACTTTTTTTAGCATTAGCAGCGACAACGCCAATCGTAGCTTAGAACAAACACCTAAAAAATGGAAAACGTAAAAAAACACGGTTTCCATTTGAACGCGTTGTGGTTCCACAGAGAACGTTCGACATTTACTAAGAAAGATACTGAGGGAAATTTTAATTCTTAAAATATCTTTCTGTATCATATCGCTGGCATCGTTCGTGAGCAATATGAAGCAAATCCTGTGTTCTGATTGGCAACCCAACTGGGCATCATGGACCCATCTTGCCCACTTGGGATTGCCTGCCTCGATCCTGCGCTAAAAAACGTCGCATGGAGCAGACTTACAAAGTTCGTAATTTGTGGACAATAGCGGCGATAGAGTCACAAAAAGCGGCAAAAGACTGTCAAACCAAAGAAAACATAAACGACTCTTGAGGGTTTATTTTGCTGCAAACACAATAAGCTCTCTCTCCCGGCTCTCATCATTAAATCTTTTATTAAAACAAAGCGAGATACTTTCGATATATAGATACAATTAATCCTTTGTTGACCAAGCTTGTTCGGTCAAGGTGACTGGACATTAGGCTAGTTCCTTTTTCGTGTTTCTATAGACTCGACTTCGTCTCGATCCATGGAAACGCAAAAAGAGAACTTGGCCAATATCCAGCCATCTTCACCTCACTCTTGGTATGTCATTTTCAAATGTATTTTTAGGTGGAGTTGTTGTCTATCGGTACCATAATGTCGTACACCATGGTAGCTATTGCTGTGTTGGTGACGCGTTACACTCCTGGAGTACAAACCGTCAAATATGACGACGACAGAACCAAAGAAAGGACCCGAAAATGGCTTCAGTCGGTCTGCTGCCGTCCTGGCGAGACTGAGGACAAAGATGGTGCTAGTCACGAGGTTACCTACCAACGAGTCGAAAGCAACGATGAGGAGTCGTCAAATGTAACAACAGAACCAGACAGTACGACAAGCTTCCATGCACGTGTTGGTGCATTCTTGTTGACTGTATCCATAATGGCCCTAAATATCTGCCTTACTCAGACACAGTCATATCTGAGCTCGGGGGAGGTCTGGGCAATCATTCTTTCCTGTATCTTCGGTTTAATGATCGTCTCATCTTTGACGTTTATCATCAGGCAGCCTAGAAATTCTGCCACATTCCCTTTCATGGTTCCAGGAGTCCCGTTCATTCCTGCCCTTACGATATTTGTCAATACTTTGCTTTTGGTGACGCTGAATCATTGGACGTATATAAGGTTTAGCATTTGGATGTGTCTAGGTAAGTAATTGAAAATTGGTATGAAATGTTTGAATGTTAGCCTCGAGGACTGGGTCGAGTAGAAGATGAGGCAACCTCGTCCCCAGGGCGCCTTTTCTCTGGCATAGCACTCTGGCATAAATTTTGCCCACATGAAAAGTTGAGTTTCTTGATCTGTCGACCAACTTCTCTTTTTTTTTTTTTTTATTTCCGGATTAGTTTCCTGTTTTTTTCTTGGTGTATACTTGTCATGGTTGCAAACGTTCCAGTGTAAAAAGTTGTTATTGTTCATTCCAGGTTTGTTGGTGTACTTTTCATACGGTTACAGTCACAGTTTGGAAGCCGTTAGACCGTCTGAGAAAACAGAATCTCAGTTCATCCTGACCCAGACTCCAGACTTTGGTCAAGAAGTTGAAGAATATGCACCACCACATCATCCATAAGGAGTCCCATAAATATTGCAATTCTTAATTAATTTTATAGCTGGAAAGTACTTATATGAATCGATTAGGAGGATCAGTTCATATTAGAAACAATCTTTTTGAAATCGCCCGGCCATCGTAGAACTAGTAATCTTGGCGTGCATAGTTTCCCTGTATTGAGAGGCGTTGTCATAACGTGCTGAACTCCAAAGGGTCGAGACCTGCTGGCCGGATTTTTAATAGCGTTCTTCTGCAAGACACTGTACTGAAATATATATTCTCTCCGGTTTATGAAGATTATCCTACGTCGCCAAGCCTCAGTTGAAGTCAGAAAGCTTAGCTTTGTTTTCAGCCATAATTCGCATAGCGTTTGGGAATAAAATATCGTCAACTCCAAAACTAACTTTGTCGCTTGGAAGAACCAAATGTTCACTGGTTTCCTTCTTGAGCTCCAGAAGGTCTGTCAAAATGGGAATAGAGCGGGAAAAAAAATCTTGAAAGTTTTGAAACCGCGCTAAGATCAACGGAAAATTTTAGCCGAAGTGAAATTGTACACGTCATGTGATGGATGCAAAGCCGTGCAGTACATAGGGATTAGCTCCTTGCTCCTCCCTGAATAACCTTGCGCGAGCGCTATGTTATAAAAACAATTGTAACAGAATGGTTTCAACAATAACACAATTTTCAACAGAAAGCGAAAGCACTTGGGCAATTACACTAAAATAATTATTAACCTGAGCCTCAGTGAGTATTGTTGAATCGACTCCCTCTCGGGAATTATTTAACAATATTCACTTCGCCTCGACGAATGATCGTTAATTATTGGTCTGATATATCACATAAATAGCTAACTACTTTATTCATTTTAATGTTTAACAATCAATAATGCATGATTCTTAGACCGGGAACAAAATCGTTGAGACAAACCCGTATTTCTTAAATGAGGCTGTCCCTAAAAAAGCACAAAGATGGTTTCTAAAATAAGCCTATAAGATTTAATTTACGGTTGAGTCACTTTCTTAGAAACATTCCGAACGCAAGTAACCTTTTAAAACTCTTCACCGCGAGTGAATGATTCATTTTTAAGCATATTTTGCTTCATGAGACAAATTTCGCTGATAAATTTTCAGTGCTTGGTGTTTTAGAGAAAGATGAAACAAATTTTCAAAATAAATTTATAAGGCCGACGGAAAAAACGATAGCGTATTGCAAGAAAGTCCAACGTGCGATAATTATAACTTGTCTTCAGTCATTACGGTGGTTGAGGCTTCGTTATCTTTCGTCCGACCTCTGGAGTCTCTGATGCTTTTGCATTCTTACCTATTTACAAGATATTCCTTTGACCAGCAGATAGCAAATGCTAATCGAGGCGGTCAAATTTTTTTTTCTTTACTAACCTATTTTAATTACACTGGAAATAAAACGGAAAAGAAGAAATATAACATGAAAAGACAAAAAGGAAAATAGCAAATGTTCATTGTAAAGGAGAAAAAGTCCTAGAGTTTTTAAGTTTCTCGCTGCAAGTGTTTCCATGGTACCATTTGGGGTATGAGAAGCTGGAACCACACCCGCTTTGTTACTTTTAGATTTTACTCTCTTTTATTTATATTAGTATTATTATTATTATTATTATTATTATTATTATTATTATTATCATTATTTATGGTTTGGACGACTTTTTCCAGCATATCTAAAAGGAATTTATTTGGGAATTCTAGAGATTTTTCCCACTCAGAAGCCTTAGGAAATATAGGAAATTGAAAACAATTTTCAGGGATTAGGGAACATCCTTTTTTGCCCTTTTAGAGCTTTAAATCGTTAATAAAACTGTAAAAATGAGTGAGACATCCAGAAAGATCGTGTTCGGTCTCTAAAGTGGGAGATTCTCCTTCTCGATTACATTTGAAAGCGGATTATCAAGATTTTACACTGAAATTAAATTATTTTCACTCCCTTTTCGTTTCCTGTTTATTTCATCGGACACGTTTGTATCAAGAAAACGGTGTGTCCACAGCTAAGGGTTGGGAGGGTAGTTTTTGGACTTTTTAGCTCATATTAGCAAACCGATGTTGGGTATCCAAAAAAATTGAATTATTTTTCTATGTTGCTTTAAGGAATTTAATAATCAATCGATGTAACTGCATGTGACTTTTTAAAAGCGTAAATAAATGGGGAGAAGGATGTTTGTGAGGGGAGGTTGGAGACCATTATCAGGATTCATTTTCGTATTGTTAACTCAGTTGGTCAGGGAAATTCCACATTTTTCAAGGAAAAGTCATGGAATTTCAGAAACTTAGGGCTGTGAGAGCCTAACCAGCCTACTTCTGTCTTTGGCTGTCTTGTGCGATTCACAGCCAGGCTCATCATGGGCCTTCTTGCAGCTCAGCCGGTGTGCTAAGTCACCTCGGCAGTAGGGGATGTTGAGTTTCCAAAGCAGGGTGCTTTGCGGAGACTTTACGTTGGCTGTGCTCCTGGGTATGATATTTGGCGAATTCATACAGATGTATACGGAAATTTAAATGTATAAATGAGTGAACAAAAATATAGCAAAGAAATCACGTTGTAACTGGAACAGTCAAGCTGTTTAATTACGATGTTCAGCCTTCAGTCTTCTTCAGGTGGAACTTACAATAAAACTTATTAACTGAAACGCTAAAAATCCTTGTATCAAGTTTTCAGAAGCGTACGAATTCATACTCAGTCTAAAAAAATGGAACTGAGGTTATGCAAAAACAAATGAATTACAGTAAAGGATTACGTAACTTAATGGTACAGATCAAGAAAGTGCAAACAGCAAAAGACAAGTCTCCTAGCCTATGGAACTTGATTTAAAAAATACATTTTTGATTTTATCTCGTCAGCCTCTCTCCTTGTGGCAGTTTTAACCTTTAAAAGTTGGAAGCGCCCCATTATAATTGTTTTTTTGTGTGCGTGCGTGAGTGTGTGTTTGATTAAAGCGCCTTTCAGACTTTTCTAAGAACTATTATCATTGTCAGCATAAACATTCTCACATTAAAATTTTTGTTCCAACAGACGCGCGCCTTACTTGAAATGTCTCTGAGAAAAATTCGAGGAAAAATCCGCGATTTGCCGCGAGATAATCCTGCAGAGTGTGAAGGCTTCATTCGAAAGCTGTATAAAAGCATCACGTCCTTAAAAGATTTCGATGAGAAAGAGAATCTGCTTGATGAACTGGAAACAGTTGCCTGCTGGGGTTTACAAAAGGACCTGAAGAAAATGTTGAAAGAAAATGGGTTGCACCTCGAAGCGTTACCCCTGGTTGTGAGATCCATGGCAAATACAGGTGAGCTTGCGGAATATTTGTACAGTCATTCTAAAGAGGATTTAGAGAAGGAAGGATTGGCGAGTATAAACAAGCGGCTTCGACCACATCTTGAAGTGCTTGGAGGCCTCATTGCTGAAGGAATTGATTCCACAAAGGAATGGGCGAAAAGGCTTTGTGGGAAAGCTCCGTCATTTAAAGTACTTTCTCGGCTAGAATCAAGCGAACTTCAGTCTTACTGCCAAGGAGCTGATGACGGAGAAATGGACCAAGTTCGCCAGCTGGTTGAAACTGTTAAAGTTAACAAAAAAAAAAAAAAAAAGGCTCCCCGACGTTCCGCAAGGTGATAGGCTCGTGCAAAACACCAAAGCAACGAAAGCTGTAGATGAAGCAAATCTAGAGAAGGCAAAAGAACTGCTGAATGAAGCTTAAACAATGGCTACAGACAAATCGGAAACAGCAAAGAAGACCAGCGATAAAACAAAAAAAATTGAGGGAACAATTGAGCAACCTCCAGATTGGTACGAGCAAGATCAACTGCAATCAGATCAAATGTTTCAACAAATAGATCAGATAAAAGAACAATGCAGTGAAGTTGTGGAATCAGATAAAATTTGCAAGAACGCGGTAGGAATGATCACCAAAGCCAGTACTGGGAAGGCACTATTTGGAATTTATCATTCTGAATATGAAGTACCGAAACCAGCTGCCAGACCGCTTCTTCTCCCACCAACGGATGTGTCTGAAAGGAATTTGAGTTAGCAGTTACTGTGATATCCATGAATCAATGAGCTTGTCTATGAAATAATTTACAATCAAATATTATCCAGTATTTCAACATTGTAACTGCAATATTTGTGACGATGTAGCCTTTTTGGATCATAAGTTATGTACTTGTTTTTCCTTCTACTTTGTCCTCAGACGAGACAGCCTGTTAGCGAAACACTCAAGTTTAACTCCAGTTTGTACTCGACAGTTTGAGGACATAGGAGATGCCTATGAAGAAGCGATAGAATTCATCATGGGAGACCCGCAGAGCAACATCTACGTGATTATTGGCGATCATTCAAGCCTCTTCCAATGTCATCCCAGCTTGCGTTGCTTTAAAGTTCCTGGGAATGAGCCGCTGGACGCCTTCGTCTCCACTTCTGATCTTGGTAATCATCCCCTTGCTCCATTGCTGGCCCTCTTTACACCTATGTCTGAATTTAAGTCAGGTGGAGCTCCAATAATCTTACAAAGAGAAAGCGTTCTCTTTAGTAAAACGTTCTTCAAACAACTGAGGGGAGAGGATCCCGCTTCCAATCTAAAATGAATTAAGCGACTTTGAATAGAGCGCACTCCAGATCCTGGTTCAATCCCGTTTTAGTGAGACGTTCTTCAAACGGAGAAATCACTTTCTTTAAGCGTCATTGTATAAAAATTTACGCGTACGAGCTTTTAAGATTACTAGCATGGTTATGTTAAACTACAAAATCTAATACAACCATTTTGGATCTTGCCCTAAACCATATAGTCAGTCAAAATGTACAAAACTGGCTTAAGAGGTTGAGACAACTCACGTAAGATCTTTATCACTTAACTTAAACGTGACGCTCTGATGTATGAATCGTCGTTGGAAAGTAGTAACTGTGTGCAGTTGCCTTTTTTCTACACCAAAGGCCTGAAAAGTGCTTGTCAGCTTCTTCCTTTAGTTTATTACCCTACAAAGGTGTGGAATTAGTTTACAATTTTATGGCTCAAAAATAAATCCAGACTTTCCCACGGAAGTATTTTACTCCCAAAATTTAGTACCTATAGTCTCGATACTCTTCTCTGTTCGTTTCCTTTGGTACTGATAAGGAGAATTCTGTTAACAATCAGAGCCTCTTAGTTTTGCGATCATTTCCTTTATTCTAATGATTATTTTGAATGATTGAAATTAGACGCTGATCACTCTCACGGTTTAATGGGTCAACTTACTTCGCCCCTTTTTCCTTTTGTCCTAACTTTTGACCAGGTTGACGGTATTATACTTAACTGATATACTGTTGAAATATAACATGATTTTAAGGATTCAGGAAGATTTCCCAAGGGCAAACCAGACGGGGAATAGTTTAATTTATTTTTTTTCATGTGTAAATTTTCCCTTTTTCTCTTAGTTGTAGAAATTGTCTCCTCTCGTGAGGTTTTGGGGGAAAACACAATTACAGATAAAAAAGCATCATCTTAAAATTACTCAAACTTTGCCAGTTGTTGAATGTATTACAATTCCGCCCAGAGACATGAAAAATATTTTTGTGGTGGTAGTATTTCTCAGGAGTGAGCACAATATGAGCTCAGTAGTATTTTGTCTCAAATTAATGTTCTTCTTCTCTTTCTTGTGAGAGAACCTAAGTTTATAGGCCTCGATGGTTTTCATCAGGTTTCATCGCCATTTCGTTCAGATACCTTTGTTATTCTTAAGGCTTAAAATACTAACAGAGGTTGTTGAAATCACCGGTAAAACAATTGTTTTGCAGTTGAACCTGTACAGACGGCCCCTTCTCCAGTAAAGGCCACCAATGTGAGTCCCAAGTGCCTGAATTATCTCTTTACACCGACCACGTAATCGACGGTGTAAAAGAAACGTGTGACAAAACCGTCGAGGAGGCTATCTTGGGCCCCGTACACACGTATCCGGATAAATTTGAAAACGGATAAATATTTATACGGTTACGGGTTCCGTCCACACATAAACGGCGTTTTCACACACCGAATAAATTTGAAAACGCTCTCCAGAGTGGATAAATTTGAAAACGCTGGCTAAGCGTCTCCGTGTGGACGCCTTATCCGGACAAATTTGAAAACGATTTGAAAACGATGACGTAACAATTCAAACCTAGTCCAACGCGTGCTCTCGGCCGATCGACCATTAATGAAAACATGGCGAATAAACAAGCTCTAGTTTCGGTACTAATGAGTCTGAAAGTGCACTGTTTTCCTTGTAGTGGTTTTGCGACTCGTTTGTAACCTAAGACCGAGTTCGACATCGATGCGCGTGCGTGGCGGCCATGCTGTCACGGATTTCTGGCCATGCGAACACTGTTGATAAGTTTGAGAAGCCCAAGAGCACAGCCAAGAAGATTCAGGCTCACGATACGCGAGACTGCGGGCACATGTTTTGCTCTAAAGAGCATGCTCAGTAGGCGACGTCATCGTTTTTAAATCGTTTTTGCGTTTACGTATGGACACCAAAAACGATTCACAAACGGCAACGTGTGGACGCGGATAAATTTGAAAACGGATAAATATTTATCCGTTTTCAAATTTATCCGGATACGTGTGGACGGGGCCTTGGACAGTTTACTACAACTACAGTAAAAAGTCTGTGATACTGAAAAAAAATATACAGACTCACTGCACCCAAGAGATTATAAAAGTTTATAACCTCTTGCTGCACCTTGTTAGTTTTGTTTTGTTCACGTTTCTCCTCTTAGCACTCGGTGGAAGATAAATATTTTAACCTTTGAAAAATTGTGTTGTATCATCTTACACCCAAACCTCTCTTAACGGTCACTTTTCTTTGTCTTTTATCTGTCTCCGTTGTGGCAGTTGGGGGAATTCTGACTGTATCACACTGGCTTTAAGCAGGATGCGATAATTACACCATTTTCCCCCTCCCTCCAGGCCCCCTCCAGTCCAAAACTCATCGTTCGGTGACAGACATAGTCCTGGAAAAGGAAGGCTTATTTTGTATTAATTGTTAAGAACAGAGAGGAGCAAAGGCGAGTAATAAAGTGCGTGAACCAAAAGCAGTTTTCACCCGTTTCAATTAGTGTAATGCCGGTGTTAGGATCAAGCTCACTTTAATATTTGCCTGTATTTTTCGCTTCTTGATAAGTTAAGTTTTTTTCTTTCAGAGAGCTCTTGTCAATTAGACTTGCATTTTGTGCTTCTTTTGTTTCTTGCGGTAGGTTGTATTTTGCATACTGTATATTTTGCAATGGCAAACAATGTTTCGATTGAACGACTGTGAACATATGAAAGTCATATATTTGAAATGCAGATAAAGACGTGAATAAGAAAGCGATCTTCGCAGTAATGAATGTTACTTGAGCAGAACTTGTTAGCTCAGTTGGTAGAGCACTGGTATCGCAGAGGGTATGGGTTCAAATCCCGTACAGGCCTGAATTTTTTTCACTGCTCAAGTAGTGTTCATTACTACGAAGACTATTCCTTATTCAAATGCTTCGATTGTTCAGCGTCTGTTTAGGTTGAGTGCATTTGCTGGGTTTATTTTGGTCACAATCGTCTCTACCCTTTGTAACCCTCCGTTTCGCTTTGCATCGCTTCGGTTTGCTTGGAAAGGATTTAAAAGATATGGTACGTGAAAGACGTTCGTGACTACATGTACTGTGATCTGTGTTGTCATGTTTTGTTTAATGCTTCGCTACACACGATAATATATTCTGTGTTTGATGTTATACTCCCGCTTTTGCTAATTATATGATCGCCAGTGGACTAGAACGAGCGGGCTTTCAGTGAACTTCAGCTCGCTTTATTGAAACATTAACGGTCGCTTTTTAAAAACTTGACAGAGGGTCTCTTCTGCTGAGAGAAGGTAAGTTTAGAGTCTCAACCCTCCTTACTTCCGAGACTTTCGAAGTTTGAAAAAGGAAAATTTAACTGTGAACATGTGCATTCGAAATAATTGGAGCGTTGAGAAGATTCACTCAATCAATTCATTTGATTGAAAGCTATGTACTTAAAGTTGGACATAGAATCTACAAGATTTTTAGCACGATTTAAGAATTGATTGTCTGAAAAGTGCGCTTCTTCTCTGAAATTACATTTTTGCAAAGCGAGAATTGTGTTGCGGGGAAATTTCAACTCACAGTCAACTACCCTGAACATTATACTAATTCATGCAGACGAGTGGCTTAAGTTGAAATTCCATTATTTCAAACAAGGAGTGTTATTGAAATTGAAAAAAGGGAAAGAAAAGTTGTAGCATAAAATTGTTTTACTTAGAAAGGCATTTGTCGTGTTCAATTCCTTCATTTGTCATAAACTGATAGCAAATCAGCCTGTAAGCAACGTTGATTTTCTTTGGTAGATTGGATATACAAATAATAAAGAAAATTTAGAATTTAGGATACAGTGAAAGTGCTCGCAAAAATTCCCTTTTCTAATACCCCAAAATAGGAGAACCTGTTTTACTAAGCAACATCAAGAAGGTTTTTACATGTGCGTTACAGTTAAATAATGATAAGCATTTTAAACAAAGGGTTTGAAAATGAGATGGCAAATTCATATTATATTAACATAATATGAATATAAATACTATAGATTTTAAAACCAAAGTCAAATCTTTTAAGCTTTTCTGGTAATCTTTATCTCCTTTATGGAAATTACTGAAAAACTTCATCAAGATGCTTCTTAAATAAAAGCTGAGTTTTCCGTTTGTCTCACGAAGTAGTCACATGTGATGTAGATCGCGACGTTTCGACTGCATACTGCTATTCTTCTTCAGGCGATGAGGTCGACTGGTCATGCGTGATCTTATAAAGCATGATGCTCTGCTGTGATTAGTTGTTTTTTCAACAGCTCTGATTGGTGCATTTCGATCCTTGCTGTTCACTCAGTGATTTGCTCCCTCGGCGGTCCGCTTTCGCACGGCTCTCCTGTTTTTGTTTTTTTTTGTGGGCATCCACGCTTCTGGAATTTCTATTCCACTATCCCTGTTGATGTTGTTAGAGTGAAGTCTTATATGAATTGCCTCTTTGACCCTGTGCGTGTAGTAATAAGGGTCACGATCAACAGACTTTACTTCGTTCCAGAGTGGCTTGTGTCAGGTGTTGTACGGGCGAGTCGAATGTCTCGGTCGTGCTCCTTAATTCTGTCTTGCATAAGTCTTCTAGTCTCTCCGATATAAACCTTGCCGCACTCAATCAATCAATAAACTTTATTTACCCTCGAATTTACAGTGTAGCACTCGGGTGCTAATCTCTTCGAGCAACTACATTAATAAATAATTATAATAAAAAGATTAATTCTATAACAAATAGGATAACTAACTACCTAGACAACTAACTAGCAAATCATCTTGATGTAGAAAGGTTTGCAGTTCCTGCCCTTTTAAGTAAATTATTGTACCTGGTAGATAACAGTCGTCGAAAAGAAGTAAAATCAGAAATAGTGCGGTGATGGTCAGGAAGAGAATTCCAAGATATTGCTGCCAAATAACTAAAGGAATTGATACCATAAGAAGTGGTCAATGGTTTAGGCAAACAGAGTATATTATGTCCTCTTAAAAAATAGGTGCTAAAGCGCAAGCGAAACATATCTTTTAAATATCTTGGATAATCAGAAAAATGTAGACATTTAAAAATAGTAAGAATCATGTTTTGTAAATGCTTGTCCTTAAGGTTTACAGTTCCTGCCCTCTTAAGTAAATTATTGTATTCAGAGTTAAAATCCTTGGAAATAAATCGAAGAATACTTTTGTTTAAAAGATCCAATTTATCAGAATCTTGTTTACTAGAGAAATGCCACACCATAGAACAATAATAAAAGTGAGGAAGTATAAATGCCTTATAAAGACGTAGCATGGTTTCAGTAGACATCAGTTTGCCGAACCTCGTCATAACGCTAAACTGATTGTTTACCTTTTTACATATAGAGGACACATGTTGCTTAAACGTAAGATCTTTATCAATTGTAACGCCAAAAAGTTCCACAGAGTCATTTACTGAGAAATTAAACTGATGATCAGTTTTTCCTAGTATCATCCCTTAGTGTTTGCTGGGATTTGCTATAATTCCATTGATCTCATACCAGGCATTTGCTGAGCTTACCTCACGCGAGATACGCCTTTCCAAAGATACCGGATCCGTATCGGCAGTTGACCATCATCTGCATACATATTTAATTGTACAGTTTTAATTTGTAGGAATAAATCATTTATAAAAATGTTTTTAAAAAAATGGTCTAAGAACACTGCCTTGAGGTACTCCTCGCCTGACTTCCTGCCAATCAGAGCTTGTATCACCTACTTCCACCCGTTGCATCCTACCATGTAAGTAATCTTTAAGAAGCATACAACTTCTACTGTTGATACCATAAGCCTTCAGCTTAGCCAGCAAAAGTCCATGCGGTATGGTGTCAAAAGCCTTTGATAAATCCATTGATATCACTGCAATAATTTGTTTGTTATCCAGACTACGCTTCCAATCTTCTGTTAACCTCATTAACGCGGATTTTCTCAGCTATAGTGTCTCCTATACGCTGAGATGTAGTCAGACAATAGTTCAGTGTAGAACTGGTCTGGTTGAGAAGCAAGAAGTTTCTCAAAAAACATTATTTAGGGCCGGTAAAACAGTAACTGGTCGATAATTTTCTTTACTCAATTCATCATTTTTCTTGAAAAGAGGTGTTACCTGCCCCATTTTCCATCGAGAAGGATATTTACATTGTTTGATCGATTCATTCATTAACTCTGCTAGTGGACCAGATATCACAGAAGCGGATTCCTTAAGAAGCCACGGAGTTATGGTGTCGTGGCCGCAGGTCTTGCGTGCGTTGATGTTTAGTAGTAGTTTTTCACCCTGGTTCTTATTGGTGTATTTAAAAGTAAAATTATGTATGGCGTTCTTTCTTCTGTTTTCCTCCGCAATTGCTCGAATGCTGGGATGTGTACTGAATTCCTGTCCAAAGTTATGTTCTTTAGGTACAGGGAATCAGCGAAATACCACACCATTTTATTTGTTCATCAAACAATAAAACCGTTAAAAAGTGAGACATCCAGGAAGATCGTGTCCGGAGCTCGAAAGGGGGAGATTCACCTTCTTGATTACATTCAAAAGCAGATTATTAGGATTTTACACTGAATCTAAATCATTCCCCCCCCCCTTTTTTTGTTTACTCTTTATTCCATTGGACACGTTTGTATTGAGAAAATAAAAGGCAAGCAGACGCGCACATCCAGGCTTTCCTGTACACAGGCTCACTCAATCAATTATGTTGTCTTCATTTTATTTTTTTCGTTGTTTCTTTTGTTTTTTTCCCTGACGGACTGATATACAGACTTTTACGAAAGGCCTGGCGCTTAATAACACGCAAACCGCGCATATCCTCGTAGCTGGTTCAAAAATTCATCGCCAGCATCAAATAATTTTTTAATTTCATTTTGGAATCCGAACACCTCTCCCTTACTTGATGTATTTCAGTAAAGCTTAGCTCTTTCAAACTTTCCCTCTGTTTTCAAGGTTAGGGTTAGCTTAGGGGCTGCGCTATGACCTTAACCGATTAGTTGGAAAGCCTTTGGTTTAGGCTAATTTTAATTTAACCAAAGGTTACAAAAGCAAATTGTGTGGCACGCATCATAGCTTGAAAAGAACACTCAACTTTTCACCGCCTCTTTTATTATCAGCAGACACCTCGATAATAAGATGCCGTGTAATTATGCATGAATATCGAAAAACATTTATAAATGATAGATGTGGAAAGCAACAGAAAATCTCATAAATTTGAATGTCGAAGGCAATTTCCTTTCCTTCCCTAGTCAAGCGAGGAAATTAAAGCAAGCGAAAAAGTAAGAGAACTAGGAGTTCATCCCTTCCATCTCTCTCTTTTCCTCCTGTCGCTGGAAGTCTGTAACTAGTGAAGTACAAAAAGGATTAATACTGGATAAAAAAAAACACACTCTCGCACTAATGTATCGAAAGTAACCGTTATATGAAACATTTTTTCGTATTTTGACAGCGATGAACAGCTGCCCCAAAGTGTGTGACGACTTAACACGTATAAAACCTACAGAAGACTGGTTATCGGAGAGCCGCCTTAAAAGATGCCTTACAACCTCAGATCTCACTTTTTTAGGTGTGGGCTGTGTGTTAGGTGCTGGCCTGTACGCGGTCACAGGGGAATTAGCTCGTGACATCGCTGGGCCTGCTGTTATTATTTCATTTTTCATTGCTGCTGTTGCTGCCGCTTTGTCTGGGATTTGTTACGCGGAGTTTGGATGCCGTATTCCCAAGGCCGGCTCCGCATACATGTACTCGTATACGACTGTTGGAGAGTTTTGGGCGTTCGTTGTCGGTTGGAACATGATTCTAGAATATGTCATCGCTGCTGCAAGCCTGGCGCGCGCCTGCAGCGAGTATATCAACTCACTTGCTCAGGGTTATATATTCAAGTTCTTTATGAACGATATAGCCACATGGAACGTTTCTGGCCTTGGAAGCTTTCCTGACTTCTTGGCATTCACACTGGCCTTGGCGTCTTCTTTTATTGTCTCGCTGGGAGCACAAAAATCATCTCTTGTGAATAAAATCGTAACCTTCATAAACTTAGCCGTCATCTTGTTCATCATCGTTATTGGATTTTACTTCGCCGATGGGGAGAACTGGAAACCAAAATTTGCCCCCTACGGGTTTCGAGGTATTTTAGCAGCCGGGGCAAGCTGCTTTTTCGCCTTCGTTGGATTCGACGTCATAGGATCGGCGGGAGAGGAAGCTATCAATCCCAAGCATTCGTTACCTTTCTCTACCATTCTTACTCTTGTGATAAGTTTCTTGGCGTATTTTGGAGTCGCAACGGTGCTTACATTAATGATACCTTATCATAAACTGAGCCACTTTGCTCCTCTGGCTGAGGTTTTTGTTCAACGTGGGTTGAGCGGCGCCAAATACGTGGTGGCAATAGGTGGGCTTTGTGCAACAATGAGCACCCTGGTGGCCAACTCATTCGCAGGCCCACGTATTGCATACTCCATGGCGTCTGACGGATTGTTATTCAACTGGTTTGCGAATGTGCACGAGAAGACAAAGGTTCCAGTTCGTGCGATTTTGGTTGAAGGAAGTTTAGCTGCAATCCTTGCTTTGCTTCTTGACGTAAAGCAATTGGTAAGTTTCTTAACTGGAATTAATTTCTTTAAATTTTAAAACTCAAAGCAAAATCGAGTCTCATGCAAGAGCTGTCTGACACATGGTTCACTTGCGAAGCTGTCGAAGTATCTTACTATTAACATAACAGGTAACTTAGTAGAGGTGGGCGTATTTCGTAGAATATTCAGTGAACGTTTTACAGCGGAAATAAAATTTTGGACTGAATTTGAATTATTCTCCGCATGGTAACTCTTTTTAGCATTTAGCAACGACAAAATTTCTCTTTGACGCCAACTGTAGCTCAGAACTGAAACCTTAAAAAAAGGAAACGTAAAAAAACACGGTTTCCATTTGAACTCGTTGTGGTTAAGGACTCCATAGAGAACGTTCAACATTCACTGAGAAAAATGTTGAGGGTATTTTTAATTCTTAAAACATCATACTGTATCATATCACTGGCATCGTTCGTAAGCAATATGAAGCGAATCCTGTGTTCTGATTGGTAACATGGGCCTGTCTTGCCCGCTTAGGATTACCTGCTTTGATCGTCGCGTGGAGCAGACTTACAAAATTCGTAATTTTTGGACAATATCAGCGATAGTGGTGCAAAAAGCGGCAGAAGACAGTCAAACCAAAGAAAACACAAACGACTGTTGTGGGTTTATTGTGCTATAAACACAGTTAGCTTTCTTTCCGGCTTAAAATGAAGCGAAATCTTTTTGCTTTATCTTTATAATAAATCCTTTGTTGACCAAGCTTGTTCGGTCAGGATGGCTGGATATTAGCCTAGTTCCTCTTTTGTGTTTTCATACACTCGATTTCGTCTCGGTCCATGAAAACGCAAAAAAAAAAAAGAACTCGGCCAATATCCAGCCATCTCACCTCACTCTTAGTATGTATTTTTCACATGTATTTTCAGGTGGAATTGTTGTCTATTGGTACCTTAATTTCGTACACCATGGTAGCTATTGCTGTGTTGGTGACGCGTTACACTCCTGGAGTACAAACCGTCAAATATGACGACGACAGAACCAAAGAAAGGACCCAAAAATGGCTTCAGTCGGTCTGCTGCCGTCCTGGCGAGACTGAAGACAAAGATGGTGCTAGTCACGAGGTTACCTACCAACGAGTCGAAAGCAACGATGAGGAGTCGTCAAATGTAACAACAGAACCAGACAGTACGACAAGCTTCCATGCACGTGTTGGTGCATTCTTGTTGACTGTATCCATAATGGCCCTAAATATCTGCCTTACTCAGACACAGTCATATCTGAGCTCGGGGGAGGTCTGGGCAATCATTCTTTCCTGTATCTTCGGTTTAATGATCGTCTCATCTTTGACGTTGATCATCAGGCAGCCTAGAAATTCTGCCACATTCCCGTTCATGGTTCCAGGAGTCCCGTTCATTCCTGCCCTTACGATATTTGTTAATACTTTGCTTTTGGTGACGCTGAATCATTGGACGTATATCAGGTTTAGCATTTGGATGTCTCTTGGTAAGTAATTGAAAATTGGTATGAAATTTATAGATGTTAGCTTCGAGGACTGGGTCGAGTAGAGGATGAGGCAACCTCTTCCCTAGGGCGCCTTTTCTCTGGCATAGCACTCTGGCATAAATTTTGCAAGTTGAAAAGTTGAGTTTCTTGATCTGTCGACCAACTTCTCTTTTCTTTTATTTCCGGATTAGTTTCCTGTTTTTCTTGGCATGTATGGGTAATTATTGCAAACGTTCCAGTGTAAAAATTTGTTATCGTTCATTCCAGGTTTATTGGTGTACTTTTTCTACGGTTGCAGTCACAGTTTGGAAGCCGTTAGACCGTCTGAGAAAACAGAATCTCAGTTCATCCTGACCCAGACTCCAGACTTTGGTCAAGAACTTGAAGAATATGTATTACCACATAATCCCTAAGGAATCCCGTAAATATTGCAATTCTAAACTAATTTTGTGGCCAGAAAGTACTTATATGGAAGTGTTGAATGATTTGGAGGATCAGTTCATACAGGAAACAATCCCCTTGAAATCGGCACGGCCATCGTAGAACTAGAAATCTCGGCGTGTATATTTTCCCTGTATTGAGAGGCGTTGTCATAACGTGCTGAACTCCAGTGGATCGAGACCTGCTGGCCGGATTTTTAATCGCGTTCTTCTGCAAGACTGTACTGAAATATATACTTTCTCTACCTAAGATTTTAAATTAGCACTGGTAAATTTTCAGGGAAGCTTGACGAAATCCCGACGAAGAGGGGAGGGGAGGGGGGTAACAATTCAACAAATACAAAGAAGAAAAACATGGCGCACGAGGCTCAGCCTCAGTATGCCACTGATGTTTCTTACCACATTTTGACGTCTGCTGTGATCCATTCCTGAACAGACCCACGCAGGCAACATATGGAAACTATTTGTTTAATATAAGAAAAGGGCGAAATTTGGTTAATGGTGACGTTATCTATGCGTCTGTCCTTTAATAGATCATAAATAAGAACCAATAAAAATACTACTGAAATTAGGATCAGCTGCAACAGGATAGACCAAATGACTTGCGCACTGGGAAGATGGCCTTGTAACACTTTTATACGAACCATAAGACTGGGCAGACTTAAAAATTATAAATTGGCGTAAAATTTATTGTTCCATAAAAGACAAACGGTTGCGTATGAACAAGCTCTAAAGAAAGCCGTAAGAAACTACAGGTGTTTGTTAAAAAGGAAAAGCCCAAATAAATTGTTTGCATACACACTGACATAAGCAACTGATAGATGTAACCAGAAAAATATTACAACCGTAGACAAGGATGCATAAATATGTTTGAGTGGACCAAACATCTCCATTCCCCTCTCTCCCACAAAATAATTAGGTCTATCTTCTATCAGCCTGCTTCAGGCAAACATCCAAACTTTACCCTAATGCATTGCTATCGCGTTTCGTTCAATGACTACACGCGCGGAGGAAGTTCTCCCTAAATCAACTTGAACATCCGAGTGTGTTCGGATAGTCCCTGAAATGAACAGAGGGGCGGTGGGGCGTGACACGCGTGTACCGTGTGGCATCCTACGTTTTGCGCGCGTGACAATTATAACCAAAAATAGAAAATAGTACCTTCCGACTCATCTAAAATTGCGAATATTATTAGTAGATATTTGTAATCTCTTCAAACAAGGACCATTTGATAAATATTGAAAGGGTTTCGCTGGGTACGTCAAAGAACCAACTGTTATGCTATTCGTGTCCAAATTCTGAACAAAAAAACAATTAGAACTAATAATTAAAGCGGCCAATCAGTGAAAATTCTCTATATACAGCATAAGTTTCTCGTAGGGCTATTTTTGTATCTCGCCACTAAGAAGAATACGCTAGTCATGGCAAAATGTCCGCGAAAAGTACCGTATTCGCTGAGCCGAGATAGAAACCTGTCGCATTGAGGGCCAGAGGAGGGGATGAGGAGTTACTTTTGCAACGCCCCTGATGGCGATGACTGTTGAGTATTGCTTCAAGAGAGTCCCCACATGATCTCTTAAGTTTCTTATAGTGTGCACATGAATTGATCTCTCGTTTGATATTCCTTTTCCCTGGAGACCACAATCTTTTTAAATCAGATATCCGACTCAAATCATCAATAACAAGTCATGTGAGATTCCTTTCAGACTCGCTTATCTGTACACCTGTGTTAAAATATACAGTTTGCCTCAAATACAACCCATTTTTTACGTGTTAGTTTACACCATACAGCATTTAGAAGATCACGCATTCCAGATCACATCGTGCGTATTCATGGTAACGCACTCCTTTAATAATAGCCTGATAAACGAATTGATTCTTTGCGTGCCTCGTACTTCATGCCAAGTGTGAACTTGAAGAGTCTTTCATGGAAAACAGCGTGTGATATTTGATGGTAACTTAAATTAGAATCTCTTGATATTCTGGCTAACCTTGTGTTTTTTTGCGTCCACAACTGTCTCTGAAACACACTGATTTGTTTCTTTATAGGGTAACAAGGATGATTTTTTTTCTTTTCGTAACTGATAGGTTTTGCATGACTGTGTGTGACTAAAGTACAGAAGAGAAATGTTGAATTGAGGACGATTTCCTGATAAAAAAAATTACGTGAAAGGTTGAACTATATTGGCTATCCACGGAATTTAAAACCGTAAAAAAATACGATGTTGTTATTGTCACGCGCGGGTGCAATTGACTTTGAGTCCAGTTAGTTTTTTTTTCTTCATCGTAAGGGAACATTCATCAGTCTACATTGTTCATAATATAAAACGTATTTTTTAAAGGTTGAAATAAATTTTTCTTTCTTTTTTTATGAAACTGTCTTTTTTAATTTTGGCGCATTGTCAGCTTTCTTCGAAGACTCCAACGCTTCTAGAACATCAAAGGGGAACAGCTGTAAGCCTTTACGGACAATCTCCCCCAAAAAGAGCGATTCTATTTTTTTTATTTCTTCCCTTTCCGCCAAATCGCACCATGCTTAAGATTCTGCTCCCACGCCGAGGGTTAATTTTAAAAGTTCCTCGATATTTATCCCTTCCTATTATCTGCAGAACCAAGATATCTCAAAGCCAAAAAAAAAATCTCAAAGAAAAATGTTCTTTGACCACACTTTTACAGGCTCTTACTCGGATAAAATCCCGGTTATGACAGCATACCTTTTTGGGAGCGTGCGAAAAAAGCTTGAATTATGTGACCATGTTGTCTTCTAAAATAAAAATTCAACGGTTCGCAGAAATACAAAGAAGACAATTCTTATCGAAATATATCGGGTCTAGGTTTACTTTCCGGCTCCAGGAGCTTCTGTTGTCTCTAAATTAGAGAGATATGAAGCAGCGAAATAAATTTTTAATGAGAATATAAATTTTAAAATATGTGAAGTAACTGATGCTTCCTCGGTATAATAAAAAGTTGAATAGTTCTAATGGATATTACCAATTCAAAACAAGTCACCAGTACGGTTGGTAATTAGGAAAGCTAATTTGCATTTCAGAATTTTTTATTTGCACTCTCGCCCGCGGCGATTATAACCGTTTTAACATTTGATAAACAGAAACCTTCCATCGTCCCTCGGTTTAAGTTTGTTTTAGCCGTGAAAAATAAAAATAAATCTTAGTTTTAGTTTGATTTGAAATTTTTGTGAAAATTCAAGATTGTAGAAATTAGCTTTGTTAAAAAAAAATGAACGCCTTAAGGAAAATGGTCGCGTGGGATGGGACAACATAAAGATTGAGTCCCAATCGGCATTGGAGATTATTTAAGGGTAGGAAATAAAGAGGGAAAAACCAAGTTCATCTCAAGGTCTTGGCCTTAATCAATTTCAACGCATCGTTCAACGCATCCAACGGCATTGGAGATTATTTAAGGGCAGGAAATAAAGAGGGAAAAACCAAGTTCATCTCAACGCATCGGAGAACGAAGATGCAAATTTTTGTTGTTGTCAAAAGCGGTTACGTTTACAACTCCTCAAACAATAGATCAAAGACCATCTGCTATTATACGTCACACAGTGGCTGTCATGCAAATGTACGTCAACAATCCGGAATATATCGTCTGTCAATTAAAATTCTGATTCGATTTTCTAATTTCACAGGTTTGAGTAGCCAAGCGAAAGTGTTCACATTGAATCGAATTTTGTCCAGTTTAAAGGTTTCGTTTCATTCCCGCAAATCGTCAAGAGGAGAGTGATCTATATCTGAGAGAGAGAATTTAATTATGACAGTCATTTAGAGACGTTTTAAAGCGAAGGGAGGTTTCAAAACCTTCATCAATTAGCCATATTGAAGACGGAAAACCCGCTGGGAGGAAGAGTTTTACACCGTTGAAAGCTATGAGTTTTATACGGTTTCTTCGTCTTCTCACCCGAAGAAAAGTTATCGACAATGATCTATCTAATTCTCAGCTTCGCCGATGTCTTGATGTCTTCGATTTAACTTCAATTGGGGTCGGTGCGACGGTGGGAGCGGGTCTGTATGTAGTCACTGGACAGATCGCCAGAGATGTCGCCGGACCAGCCATCGTGTTGTCGTTCTTCATCGCCGCTGTTGCAGCTTTCCTTTCGGGGATTTGTTACGCGGAATTTGGATGCCGTGTCGTCAAGGCAGGGTCTGCCTATGTGTACACCTACTCTTCTTTAGGTGAGATATGGGCATTTATCATCGGCTGGAACATGATTCTAGAATATGTGATCGGTACAGCTTCGCTCGGCCGCGCCAGCAGCGAGTACATCGACTCCATTGCCGGCGGAGCTATTCGAAAATTCTTTATCGAAAACATTGGGGCGTTTAATGTATCGGGCTTGGGATCGTACCCGGATTTTCTGGCTTTTATTCTTGTTCTCTTGGTGTCCATGATCGTTGCCAGCGGAGCCAAGCACTCGGCTGTATTCAACAAATGCGTGACCACAGTTAACATGCTGGTAATACTCTTCGTGCTGGCTGTCGGCTTGTTCCATGTCAACCCTTCTAATTGGGCCGGCAGACAACAGTTCCTTCCATACGGAGTGTCCGGAGTCCTGGCCGGTGCTGCGAGCTGTTTTTACTGCTTCGTCGGCTTTGATGTGATAGCAACAGCCAGTGAAGAGACCATTAATCCCAAGCGAGCCATCCCTCTCTCTATCATGTTGTGCCTTGTTATCAGCTTTCTTGCTTACTTTGGGGTTGCGTCCGTTCTGACACTGATGGTGTCCTATGACAAGCTCGACAAATTCGCTCCCTTACCAGAGGCTTTCAAAGCAACTGGTATCCCCGCAGCCAAGTATGTTATTGCCGTTGGAGGGCTGTGTGCGTTAGCAGGTTCGCTGATGAGCGGCATCTTCGCCGTCCCAAGGATCATGTACTCCATGGCAAGCGATGGTCTCCTTTTCAAGTTCTTTGCCAGGATCTACGAGCGAACTAATGTTCCTCTGATCTCCATCACCTTCGCAGGGGTACTTTCCGCCCTACTGGCCCTACTGCTGGACCTAAAACAACTAGTTGAGATGTTGTCAATTGGTACCTTACTCGCCTACACCTTGGTCTCTATCTCTGTCCTTGTGTTGAGGTTCCAGCCTGGCGTCGAAGATGTCAATTATGACGAAGATACCCCGAGTTCTGTGCGAAGCTACAAAGTCATCTGTTGCCAAAAGATGCTGCCGGAATCGAAAGGTGCCGAGTACAAGCCTTTGGAAAGCGTGGCGGAGGACAAGAACCAAGAAAATAAAGCTTCGGAAGAACCATCCACATCAACAAGTCATATTGCCAACGCCGCTATCTCTCTTCAGGTCGTGGGTCTCGCTGGTTTCTGTGCGCTGCTGATAGCAGGATGGGGAGATTTAGGCGACGGCGAGGCATGGGCTGTATTCACAGCCGTTTTCCTTGGAATTCTCATAATATTTGGATTTGTAGTGATGCAGCTTCAACCTAAAAACAGAGCGAGATTCCCTTTCAAGGTTCCCTGTATACCGTGGCTTCCCATTGCCAGCGTTGTGGTAAATCTGTTCCTGCTACTCAAATTGTCCGTTTGGACATGGGTACGATTCAGTGTTTGGATGATTTTAGGTAAGCTCAACTCTTTTATGTTCTCTTTTCAAACCAAAGGGGTGTTCTTTAAAATTGATATATTGGTACTTGAATGTTCTTTTCCCCGTTTGACCCCCAGAAAGTATGGTTTCTATTTTCCCATTTTACATCTTCTTTCGTCTCCCAGTCCGTAGAATTGAAGTTCCTTTCGTATTTCTACAGCGACCATTATCTAAAAAATGAAGTACCGGTAAGGACTGAAACAAACGTGAAACTTTTTTACCGACCTAATCTAAATTCGGTCAGATGTAATTTTCTTAGATACATGATTTTAAAGTGCTTCGACCCTTAATTTTTAGGCTAAGAAGAAATTCAAACGTAGATTTTTAGTGGTTAAAAAGTTGTTTCCGTCATATCTACATTTTGGGAGGCTTTGAAACAAACCGAAGGTTTTTAGAGGTAAAAGCCAATTACAATTACTTCAAAGGTTTAGCATGCAAATATACGTTGCTTCCACGATAGAACATATCCTAGGCTACACTGCGGGGTTGAAAAGTTTCTAAAATTTCTCTTCATTTCAACATCTAATAGGCGAATTCATATTCAACTCGAAGCTGATAAAAAACGCTATGGTGGCGCCTTTATAAATACGAGAACGCGGAAAAAAAAACAGTATTAGTATTCATGGATTTAAAAGCCAGACCTGAAAAAGTATTTTTTTTCTTTCTCATGGAAAAAGTCTATTTATCGATAATTTTTAGGATTTTTATGTTTCAAATGGAGTCTGCTGGCAATGAAGTTCATTTCTAATAATTTTTCCTTTTATATTTCCTCGCGGGACACATTTGATAACGTCATCCGTTCGGGGTTTATCGCCCTCTTCATTGAAAAGACTCAGAAATTAGCAATTTATATTTCTTCCTGGCTTCTTCGGTATAGAATTGAATTGATAACTTAAATTTTCGCCTCCAGCCTTCTGATTTTTTGTATGATTTCAATAAGTATCTACTCTTTGATATTTATATAGTTTTCAACTGAAATCTGCAACAAAAATTATTAATGATATATTTTTTGTTAAAAGAAAAGGCTTCCTGTTTGGCTGATAAAATTTCATCTTTATTCGCGTCATGGAAATTTATTCGATACCAGTGTTCAAACAATTGTTGCCCACCTCCGCATTTGACGCATTTTCATTGAAAACCTGTCCAAGCTTTTGGCTTCCTCGTCAGTAATGCAATACTGTCGAAAGATTAGCTATTTTAGTCTCAGGTATCTAAATAGTGTTAATTGCATCCTTTAGCACTGCAACTATTAACGCTAGAAGTCGTACCTTTTGGGTATTCCTTCTGTGAACAAAACATATTCTCATCACCGACAAAAGTAATAAAAACAGATAATTACACTTTGCCAAATACATTTACATTTTCGAGTCTCGAATTCTGGGGTTTGTTTCAGTTGGTCTGTTTTTTCTTCCGTTTTCGAACGTATTTATCTTCAAATTTAAAAACCTTTATCGCCCTTTCCTGGCGATTTTGCTGCAAAGTGAAATGTGTTCAGTATATTACTGAATTTTTATGGCTGTTAGCAGTTACTTGCATGCAGGTGTTTTACAAAAATGAGATCATCGTGGGTGGTTTACTCGCGTGATTTCGCGTGATATCGCGTAAGAGAACGTTTGTTTCCGAATTCGATAAAAATGCACCAAGATCTCTAAGAGGAGCTATCACTTTAACTAATTCTTGACTGTGAAAGTAGGGCTTGCAGTCTACAGATATCTTTTTTAACCTTCTTAAAGCGAAACCGGAAAAAAACGGCAGATAATTTAGACACCATACATGCTGCGGGGAATAAATAAAGTATCTCCTAACGTCCTTAATCAGTTTCTTTTTACGAGAATGCTACAAATCTGTCCATTTGTTCTTCATTTTCGCTGTAGTTGGCAAAGTTCTTTGGAGAGAAGTGTTAAACAATTTTGTACCGTTTAACTTATGGAAATTATCTCAAAATTATTAGATGTTGCTATGATAAAATACAGTTGTAATAGAAATGAAATTTCACCTGACGATAATTTTACGATGTTTGTAGGGCAAAACAGTGGGAAATATACATGGGAAGATGTCGACAAGGGTGTCGCTAAGATATTTTCAGTATTTTTTTTTGCGACAAGAAAACATACATTTATCGCTGCCGCCTCTTTAGTTATATGTCACGCAATGTTCCTGTAAGACGACGGTCTTGGAGTCCACTTGATCTCCAAAAGATAAATAGCATAGAAGGCAAACGGTATGAGAAAAATGAACTAACCTGGGACGAGCGATGCCTAGAATGGAGAAGATTCAAACGGAACGTAAAGACAAAATTTAAAGTTTCGTCAAAATTTATGAACTGTAACGAAACTCTGACAGTATCGAACACAAAGACCCAGTCATAGTTTGTGTTTAAATATCTTTTTGGGCTTGTTGGACAATAGAAAATAACGCAAGTTTAGGGCATTTCTATTTCATGTTGGTCTTTCCTTACATCTTTCACTTTTCTTTGCGTAGGATTTGTTATTTACTTTGGCTATGGAATAAGTAACAGCGCCGAAGGAAATCCGAAGCAAGACACAAACGACAACGATTTTATCCTTCAAGGAACACCAGATGTGAAACAAGATGTACACCAAGTTCAGCCCAGTCGCGAAACCGATGACAAAGAACCTTTAGCAGCAAGCTTCAGTGATCCTTCCTAGAACTTGAATGTCTCGGAACTGTCCTTCGTAGCTGGTTTGTTAATGTCACGCAACGATGTCACGAAATCAGGCTCCCAACATCGTTACGTGACATTTCTCTAGAGGGCTGCAACGGAAACTATTCATTTGGTTAAAAAATTTGAATCATGGGTTAAAATATTATTATTTTATGAATATATTATTAGTTTATAGAAACTTGTGCGTTTTGGCAGACTTGTCGTTGTCCAAAATGTCCTCAAGATTAATTAATTTTTCGAATAAATAATTTTTCTTTGTTCTGTCGATAATGTATATGGCCACTCCTCCTTGACGCAATACCCATGCAATTTTTTCGCCTAAGTGTGGATGTTGGCTAATGTTTAAGATTTAATTCATGTTGTAAATATCAACAAATGGCAATAATTGTTCTAGAACACATAATATGCTCGCTGACTGGGAGAAATACTGTCGTAAAATGAAACGAAAGTTTGTTTCACAAAATGTTATTAATTTTGAGCGAATATGTCTTCAGGGTACTGAAATCGACAAAATTCTCCTCCAAGATTTAATTTGTATTATATTTTTGTTCCTGTAAACAGTGGCAGAAACCAAAGAGTTTAATAATATTTATTTTTAAATTCAAGAAAAAAGATATGGAGCATGAAAAATTTCAATTGGCTAGCCGTAGTTTCCGTTGAGAAACTACTATTTTACAGACTTTTGAATGGTTGAGAGTATTCGTTGTATGCTTGCAGAAAAGGTGCCATTTTTTAAGGATTGTTGGAGGGGAGGGGGGGTATAGAGGCGTGCGAGAAGAGCACGAGGCGGAGTCACACGCACGCGCAGGTAGATGGTCGCGCGAAAAAGCCTCTCCTCGCCTTCGCCTGGTGATTGCCTTCGCTCGCCTGATAATCACAAAACGAAATGACAACTTTTCTACAAGCTACAGTAGCATAAATTTCTGCCAATGCGAACAGTTTTCATGCTGTTTTTCCTTTGATATTATTTACCACATGTGCTTGACATTTTGTTGTGAAAGTCATCTTTCCTTATAGTAAAGTTTTAATTTGGGTCACTCAGTTTGGAAGTATGTCAGTGCATTTTAGGAAACACTTGGGAAATATGGGTTTTAATAAGATACATGAAAAAAACTTCTCTGTTCCGATTGGTTAAGATAAATGCAGTTTTCAGGTGACTCATTACAGAAGAGGGTGAATTCAGTGCAAAGAAGTAACAAACCAGACTGAACAATTCCTAGAACTGTTTAGCCGGATTTTGAACTTTTTTGCGCCTTAAGGATGTGAAAGAATCATTAAATTATTGTTTTGATCGTACGCGGTTATTTTGGCCGAACGCTGTGTTTGAATAAATTATTTTCACATTTGATGCGCGCGCTTTGCTTCTGCGTTATTATGATAAGCTATCTCGTATTTTTTCATGTATATTATTAAAACGTAATCACATGATTTTTCTCGTGCAATTTGGAATAAACAAGCACTTGTAAATTTTTTCAAAGACCACAAATTGCACTTACCCAACGGGCTCGTGCACTTTTGTTAGTCTTTGAAAAGATTTACTAGTTCTTATTTATTCCAATTTCACTCGAAATCATGTGATTGCCTACACAAAAAAAGATTCGTTTGAGGTGTAAAATACCAACACATTTATTTTAGTAAAGGATTTTTGACCACGATTGCGCAAATAAATTGCGCCTTTTGTGCCTCTTAGTACATCTTACTTTTTGCTGCCCGATGGTTTAGTACAGAAAAAGTTTATCACCCATGGTGAGCCGCTCAAAGGTTTCAGCTGGCATGGGCTGCATGTACTGGTTTAAAATTAGTTTCACTTATGGGATTATTTTAATTTATCTTCATTAACTTGCTTTTTTGTTCTGCATAGAATCATGAAGCTGGAGAAATGCATCACTTTAAAAAATGGTGACATGTTATATTTCTCTCTAACGGCGTAAACAACTAAATAAAATAATTTGTGGGTTAGTTAAAAGGAGTTAAATATAACTGATATCTCGTTTTAGAATTCTGTAACGGGTGTTAAATAAAATTACTGGTGCTGAGTTTCTTTTGCAATTGATATCGCCTCCTGAGGGACTGTATCTTGTCTCCTCCGAAGTTTAGGTTGAATGTAACCCAGGTCACTCTCTCTAGGACCCTGGACCTATCTTGAGCTCGTCGAGTTCCTCCGGAGATTTAGTCTAGAGCGCTTTTTTCAGTTAACCATTCAAGACCTGTTCATAACGGTTCCAGAATCTTCCGTCATTCCGCTCGCGCAACCCACGTCACAGCGCTACTGTGACGTCATTAAACGCGCTAAACAGCTAAACCTTTCTCATTCGGCGATGTTTCAAATTTATCCCTCAGGAGCTTTGCTAACTCATTTGTAATTATTATCGAAAACTGTTTTTCCTGGCCCAGAGAAAACGCAGTGCAAAGGAACAACCACTTCAGCAAGGCAAGTTCGTTATTATTTAGAGGGTCAGATTGTTAGGTTCAGACCTTATACAAATCTTTATAATTCATTGGTTTTGTTTGTTGTAAAAGAAAACGGTTCATCCGTGCTAAGAGGAAAAACGCTCCTTGCAAACCTTGGTGTAAATTAATCGTTTCCATCTTACATCTGATTTGATGACAAAAAAGGCTCCTCAGTCTTGACGACATTATGATAACATAAAGGCATCAATGGCAAAGTTTCGATTTTTGACTAAATAATGTACATGAAAAAATTACGTGCGCTTGGCTTGCCGAAACCGACTGCATTTTTCATGTTACACATGTGCAAATTACAAATAGCTGTGATGCGTTCTTCCTGTAACTCATTGACAAGTAGCTACTTGAATCATCATGCAATTTGTATCTGTAAATGTTTCAAAGACTATTTCGTTACAAGACAATTTGGTTTTACCAACTGAGATGATGATCTGACGAAAGGTCGACGCTCAAAACGTCAGTATAAGAAACTCTTTAAAAAAAGCCAATTTAAATTATCAACTCCGCTGATAAAACCAAATTTATTACAGACAAGTAATTAATATTATCAGAATAAACAACCCCATACAGAAAACAAATGCTTTAATTGACATGGTTTGCGTTATTATTGAAAGAATGCTGCATATAAACAAGCAAAGATATCCGCACATGATATCTTTTATAATAGTGTTATGTACAATCGATTGCCTCTTCCATCTGATAAGTCCAATGAAAACAAAAGTAACCGACTTTGTCGTGCTATCTCCGGTGTCTTCCATGGTCACGTCCTTTGTCCCTAGAATTCCGGTAGTCCACGCCATTCCTATCACGATGCCTGTCGTCCCGTTTCTTCTTGTCTCGCCCATGTTCATATTTCATGCGCTGCCTTTTAACGGGACTCCGTGACCGACTTCGACTACGAGAATACGGCGACCTACTTCGCGCCTTCTCCCGTTTGTAACTATTAGCTCCGTCAGTTCTCGCTTTCTTTCGCACGTAGTTACCGTCGTATTTCCGAGGTCGTGATCGTTTTTCATCGTCTCTTCCTCTGGGCGGGCTCCTTCTTCGTTTATTCTTCGCTTTCTTTTTTTCCGGACTTTCGTCGCTGCTCTCTGAGTCACTTCTGCTAATGTTGTCGGGGCTGATCGACAAGCTGTAACTTCTTGATCGGCTTCGACTTCGGCTTGGCGTCGGACTTCTTGACCGGCTCCGAGAGCGGTGATGTACGGGAGATCTGCTTCGGCGATTTCCCCCGGAAACTGGACTGCGGTGAGAAAAAAAAACGAAACAAAACCAAAAAAAAAAAACAAGAGATGGAAAAAGATTAATAAGCATCAATCCAGGCTCTTCTTTGGGAATCACATAAGCCATACAAGACAGCTGTTTGTCTAAGCCTTCGCAGTTTACAAGCTTCACTACAATTGCGGACTTAGAAAACATTCGATCGGGTGCCTGCCCCACTTCAGCCTTACTAGAGTAGAGACAAAAGAAGTGTTTATCACGTCCCACTGCTCAGTGCAGGTTCTACACAATTACCGTTCTTTGTGGTTGGTTCTTTTTTCTTCTTCTACCCTTGACGAGCTCTTCTTTTTGCCATCCGTGATACTTGGAGCAGATGGCGACACTTTATTAGGTGAAGAAGACTTTGACCCTGAATAAAAGATGAAAGACTCGAGTTTGTCTTTATACAATAAACTCCTGTGTTGTTCACCTGTAAGCCTCGATCAGGTGTAATTAGCTCAGCATTCCTGGCTCATGTTGAATCATATTGAATGTAGAGACGGGAAGTTTTTACCTAAACCATCTTTAGCTGCGGCGGCTCCGCCTGATGGTGACAGATTAGGAGCAGAGTTGGCTGCCGTGCTCTCTTCTGTTTTACTTTCACCCTTTTTCAGAGCGATTTTATCACGAATTTCATTAACATTCTTTTGAAGGGTATCAATGTTAGCCTAAAACAAAATAAAACAAAAAGCATGTTCAGTTTCAATCAAAGAGAAAGAACTCGAAAGCTTCATGGTTTGATCAAATAAATAAATGACACTGTCATGTTAAAGAGATCTTGTTCTAATCTTTTATAATAAACTGCCAACTTTCTTGGAAAGTTTTAGTACTAAACACTTGTAATTCACTGCAGAATATATATCGAATACGAAAACAGGATGGCGTGAAGTACAAGTGACACACAAGGGAACAGATACATCAAATGGGGGTAAAAGAAGAAAGAAACTGATTGCAGTATCTTCTCCTCTCATGTGTCGAGAGGAGTTTCAACTTTGGCGTTTCAACAATTCCCTTGATTACACGAGCACAGAAGCATTATGCTAGATCGCACACAAAACCCTCAAAACCTGGAACCTCACTCCTCAATGACTTATGTACTTTTATTTTCCTCAAGTATCAGTAAACAACTGTACAAGTCAGCAGGAGTGTAATAAGTACCTACGTTTAAAATGAAATATAGAATGTAAGTGTTAGTACCAACTCAAGCTGCAACTTTACCTTTGATCGCAGATATAAACTCAAAAGAGTTAAACTTATTTCCTGCAAAAGGAAAAAAATTGGAAACAAACATGTCAAGTCAGGTGAATGTTCAAGACTCTTATGGTGTCACTGTGACGAGCAAAAACACTTTCCACATAATTTATTTCCAAAAAAACAATTGAAATCAATAAGGGCTAACAAGTACAACCACTTCAAGCTTTCAATTTTCTCTTAGTAAACAGAAACAAGAACAAGAGCAAAACCAAAAAGTACCTCAAGATCTTCTAACTTAGCACCAAATAATTCCCACCAAGGTGGCCTGTTTGGTAAACTTATCTGAAATAGCCAAAAATATGTTTTTAGTATTGTAAACCACACATCCAGTAAAGCAACGTTTTTTCCTTCATTACATACCCCCAGTTGTCTTGCCGAAAGGAATATACAGGCACAGCCAATGGTCTCAGGAGGGTACCTTACAAAAACATTTGTTCTAAAACTGTCATTCATAAAATTCCTGTGATGAGAAAAAAGGAGAGATGACATAATGTTAATTACTGCAACTGCTATGTTAAAAGCTTGAAAAAGACAAATATTATAAGAGGAACCTTACTGCCACTTCACGTAAAACCAATAAATAAAGACAATTATGTTGTTAAACAAGGCTCAAATTAAGTTAAGTTGTCCAGACAGACCTATTTTTGCTTGACCACAACTCAATGTGACTGGATAAATATCCTTTAGGTCATATTTAATAGATCCTGCCTCATTTGATAGAAGTATATTTAGCACCCTCTTGTTGTACATGGAGCCTCAAACTCAATGGGTGAAAAGTGGTACTGCTGTTCTTAAATCCTGAACTTCCCCCAGAATTAAATTCTTATTTGCATGCGTAAAAAAAATACTGGACAAAATGTCCAGCCAACAAAGGAGTTAACCGGACAAACCCTATATTTGACTGGACATTGTCCTTTGACTGACCATAATTTTGAGCCCTGTCAAATTTACAAATAAAATTAATCAATAAACCAGATATTTAAATAGTTGCTGTAGACTTTTGTAAAGGTGATAATACTGATTACTGTGTGCCTGCCAACACTTCAACCCCTAAAAGTGATTAACAGCTAACTTCTCCCAACAGTACCAACCTTGAATTAAACATTTGGGTCATGAGAATAAAGGAAATGATCCCAAACAAAAGATCTTGGTTGTTACACAAATTCCCCTGATTAGTGTGATAGGAAATGTATAAAGAACAGTATGGAGGAACTTGCATATTGATGTTAGGGTGTCAAAGGTTAAAGTAAACTTAAAAACAATAACAATTATACTCACCAGGCAGACTGAGCAAGGTCTCTCTTTTCTTCACTCTCAAGGATTTGAAGATACATTATTATGATCTAAACATGAAAAATAGCACAATCGAAGCTGATACTTAGGCCGAGAAACTGTAGATTTTATGTAAGTTGTTGTTGCCTGTCATAAAAACACCTAGAACAAGTTCTTCACAGGTTCCACTTCTTTATCCAAAAACTAACTCGTCACACCATAGGAGACAAACAATGAATCCAACTGAATTAATTGTACCAATCATTACTAAGGACTATAACTACAAAATTTCCAAATAATTGAGGCAGAGTTCATTGCTTATGTGTTTTCAATTTTTATTGCTTAGTTTTATGTAAGCCACCCTGAAGACAGTTGTGGCACTATAATATGACTAATTTAACAAAGTTGGTTTCTTCTCAGTGGGAGAAGATGGAAATGGACTGACTGTGTTAACCCAAAGCAATGGATGAGAATGTCATTAACCCTTAAACTCTTATGAGTGACCAAAACAGAATTTCCCCTTGCAATACCAAAACAATATCAAGCAAACAAGTGATGAGAATAAAGAAAAACATAAATAAGGGGATAAGTTGATCCAATGCCAAATTCTCTGAACTAAAATCATAAGAACTGTATCAACGACAGTGTGGAGAATTAGTAACAGGAAGTTGGGAGTAAAAAGGGTTAAACACAGTATCAACAGAGTTGTTGATCACTGCTTGTAAGGTGACTGGTATCAGTACATACCTTGTGAGGATGTTTTACATGAACACAAAACCCCAGTTCCTGAAAATAGGGTGAGTAAAAGTGGTTAATAATTTAATTACATCTTACACAAAATAAAAGGTGTTCTATCTCAGAGCAAAACTAACCTTCAATATCCTTCGTTCAGCTTTGATGACTTGGTTTTTAAGGTTAAAGTAGGTGTTACCCATGTACTCCATGGGTTGAATTGTCCTGAAATATCATTTCAAGTGATATAACATTTAATCTTCCAAGCACAAATTGAAGACTAACATGGCTCCATTGCACTGCAGTGCTAACTCCAATAAGCCTTGAATCTCTCAAGAACCACCTGGAAAGTCAGTGGTAATGCTCTGACAACTACAGAAACACTAAGATTAACAAAAATGCTCCAGTTTAACAGAACCTAGCTTAACACTTTGCTATTTTTCTGTAACTTTACAATAGAATGATAGCATTAAATTAACAAATAAGATCTTTCTTATTGCAAACTATCTTGTGCTACAGTCTAATTTTTAAATATCAAATGCTTTGGGAGTACTGCTAGAATGCTTGTTTCTAAACAGCCTGATATGCCACATACCAGTAACATTTAAATACCTGCAAATAAATTTAAGAGGATTTAATTATAACCAGCTAAGCTTATCTTAATGTCACAAAAGTGGGCCATGGTGATAAACTTTCTGTTAAGAAGACTCCAACTCAGTTCCCAGATGAAATTTGAAAGATCTTGTTTTCCTCAATTCAGGTGTGGAGCTGAAATTTCCAATATGAACCCAGGTGAAACTTGTCCTGACAAGCTCACATGAAGATGGCTGTCCACTGACTGACTGCAGGAAACATTTTCTACTCGCACATATTGTGAAGATGTATAAAGACAACAGCATTTACATCAGCTTTTAATTTTGTAGTTGTCCTCACCCTATAGGAAAAAAAAGAAACCTGGCTTTAGGAATTAAAAATAGTTCGTAACTAAAGATATCACAATAGTGTCCCTTCAAAGTCAATCTTGAAAGCACAGTTGAACCTGTATTTAGCAGTCACCCATGGGAAATAGCAGGGTTACCATTCACGGGGTGTCAAGTGACAAATGACACTTAGAAAATAGGAAAATAGAAATGACAGTGGCTAAACAATAGGAAATAAATAGGGATTCTCACCCCAAAATGAGGAAAAAATAGGAGGATTTCTTTGAGTTCTATCCTCTTAACACTCCCAACAGCAACTCTGTTCCATAACCCAACACTTTAATATTTAACAGGCACCATGGCATACATCCACAATGCATTGCCATGTAAACAAAAACAAGTGTTACCACCTATGTTACCAAGCACAACTCATCCTACAACAATTACCAGATTCCAAATTTCATTAGATACAAAAAAATCACTTAGAAAGGCTTCAAACTGGTCTTTTTTGACATGAAGTTTCAGTTTTTTGTAGAATTTATCAATTTTATTGGCAATTTTATTTCAAATACTTCAAAATGTGTCTGTGTACCCAGTAAAACCCTAAAAAATAAGAAAAACTTGGAATTTCATGAAAAAAAAAGGAGAAAATAGGAGGCAGGCCAAAGAATAAGACAAAATAGGAACTTGACACCCTGCACTCAATAAAAGTGACAGCTAAATACAGGTTCCACAAAATAAGGATCAAAAAAGATAAATTTTTTTTTCCTAACAGCCATAAGTAGAAAGATAACCTGCAATTGGTTGAGGACATTTAGACTCAAAGACTAATATTGATTTCAGGAGATAGATATGGAATGAATTAGACTTAAGATTGATGTTCAACATAGTTAGGAATCTAAGTTAAAGAGTTTGATGTTCCCACAATTCTACTATATCCACAACATACGTAGGAGGCTATGAAAATGTAAATCAAGTCATAGGGAACTAGGAGTTAGGAGAGTTGCTACTCATGCAAATAAGAAAGCATCACTTGAGTGCTGTACAAGTGGCAAATAGAGATAGAAATCAGCACAGAGAATATGCATACTGATGGTGGAGTGTGAGGGGTAAAGGAAGCCTGTCCTTATCAAAGTAAGAGAAACATCTCCCCAAATTGGATTATTACTGTAAAATACAAACAAAAGATTTATGGTGCATGCATCTTTGAAGTGAGAAATGAGGCATTTTAAATCAGGAGATACGAAAATGAAATGATTGCTTTAACTTGAGTGTGGTTAGTTAATAGCTACAGGTGGCATAAGAAAAGTTATATTTATTCTAATGGATAGAAGAGAAAAAATTTCTTTTGTTAAAAGTCAAATGCATCAGCCTTGAAAGCTTACTCAACAAATGAAAGATTAACCCTCTTACAATGTTTTCAAAACAACCACTTGCTACTTGTGATAACCTGTTGTATTTCAGATCAGGTAAACTGTCAACTGGTGGTGAAACTCGTAAAAAGAGAGGTGACAGAGAATTAATTTCCACAGCACAAAGATCAACTAAGCCTGGTAATGTTTCTCCGAACAATTTACCCAATCTGAGAAGATCCTCAAATAGACACCTGATTACACTTAAGAGTGTATTTGTTAAAGCCTAAAGCTTGCAGAACAACATCTAGACAACTATCTCCTTAATTAATTTCTCACATCTGAACAAAAGGTCTGAAATTGAAGATCACAAGTCTAAGCATTTCCCATTTGCATAAGATGCTAAGTCCTATAGATTCTCACTAAAGCATTGTGACTCCTTGAAAGCTCCTTGAAAGGATTTAAATGGTAAGCTACTACTGTTCATATTTCATTATAATAATAAACAACCCTTTTGGGGGGGAGGGGATTAATTTCCTTTAGAGGATCATACAGGCATACTCCTCTCTAAAGAATAACATTTTTCAGGCTACAAGTTTATAGGAGCAGCAACTTCACAACTTACTGTGTACAAACAAGGGATGAAAAATATTGTAAATTCAGGTATCAAAAGGTTGATTTGAGGTTATCCCTGAAAGTTTTCTTAGTATAACCTCAAAGTGCTTTTGTGTATTTCTATATTGGGTTTTGTATATAATTGTTAAGCATAGAGTAAAGACAACCAGGCATTTCTGGTTAACTAAAGAACTTGTAAATATATAAGAGTCAGATAAGCTTCCAAACTGGAAAGAAAATTGAAAAATCAATAAGTACAGTGGATGGTGAAGCAAAGGGGGGATACAAATAAGTAGTAGTTGTCTTTATCAACTTTCCTCTTAAGAGGCTATCTGAGTTAATTTAAAATGCTAATGAGGTGGACTTTGGCCAGACTGCATTGGGACGTTTAAAATTTCTTGAAAGAAAAGTGTCCCAAATTTCAGAATCAAGGCAAGACCTCTACAACAGGAACTACATTCCCCCTTTTGGTGAGAGTTGCAGGGACCCTTTAATGTACCCTGCTAACCAGTACAGAGAAGATGCAGGAGACAGGGCCTACATCCTTATCCAAAAAGACAAAAACATCTGACCATTTGCAGATACCATAGCAAAGGCAACACATTCTCCTCAGTTAATTTAAGACCCTGAGTGTTGGTCTGCACTTAACTACCTGGGCTTACCCAGTAACCTACATGTACCAATTTTCAGAGAGCCTATAATATATGCAGGGATGGCAACAAAGTTAGGTGATAACTGGCATAAAAACACAACAAAACAATGTCAGGAGGGGAATTAAAAGAATCTGCCAATCATCATTTGTTTCTGAGAAACATTTTGAACCAAAACAGTGGTGACAAAATCTGGATAGTATTCAAGCGTCTCACTAAAATAGAGTGAGGATACTCCTGGTTGCTTCATGCTTTGGAACCCTTAGTGGGCTTAAGTGTAGAATTCACCTTTGCCTTGACAAGATCTGAAGTACGTAGATATTGAGGAAAGGGAAAGGAAACATGGATAGTGCAGCACGTTTATCATTCCTTTCTCAAGTTGATGAGTTGTCCTGTCGCAGCAGTTAACAAGATCTAGCATTACAGAAATAATAAACACACTATATCTTGACTGCATCCAGGTAATATACCTGTTGCAAGCTTGCTTGCTTATTGCAACCAAAAGCAAATGATAATTTTTTCCCTAGGAGAAGTCAGAGCACTGTTATAGGTATGGAATCTGTTGTTCAATTTCAGAACACTGGTCCTTGGAAAGGACCTGTGGTTGATGACTATTTTTGTAACACGAAAAACTGAACTTTGTTACTTTGCCCAAAAGCTTCCAGAAAATCATAGAGAAATCCAGAATGATATTAACCATCCAACTCCATGAAACTCCCTGGAATAATAAACACATACCCCAGGCAATCTATAAAATCATTAAAAAAAAATCTTGTGTTTATCAAACTTCCTTTTGCAAAATTCATCAAATTTTCAGCCAAATTATACTATTTTCCATCCCTATGCCTATAAATAATCCTTGTTTGTGAGGTTTTCCTGCTTGTATCTAGTAATGAACCTCTAAAAGTTATTTTCTTTCCTACCTCAAAGGCATTTTATGTGAATGCAAGTTGTTATGACTGATTAAAATCTGATTAAAATTATAGATACCAGTTTGTGGCAGTGAATTCCACAAGGTTTCTTTTGTCATCAAAGCGCAGGATAATTTTTGTCTACTAAAAAGTGATACCATCAATCCAGCCACCAAGGTTTAAATAAGATAATTGAACGTAATCAATCAGCCAAACTTTTAACTGTTCTAACCATTCTTGTTTTACATCAGAATGTAAACGATCTGTTGTGGTTCTTGTTTTACATCAGATCCTTAATGATGGAAGTGATTCATAATATTGGGTTTGTGCTTTAACTAAAAATTTTTTTTGGTTTGCTCAAAAAGTGGCATTTAAAGCAACAATACTGAGTAGAAACTGTAACAAGCCTGACTATCATTAATGCACAGTTACTTTGGCTCAGGCGAGTTTGGGACCTCTAATCGCCACAGTGTCTACACCCGAGTGAGTGAGTAACTCATTTGCATATTGAAGTCACCACTAACACTTGTTTGCCTAGCATACCACAAGTTAAATAGGCCTCATGGTAAATAAACATATTAAATAACTTTTTTTTGTTTAAAACAGTAGACTGTACAACAACTGAATACAAAACAGACCCACAAAATATAAACATAATTTCAAAACTTAATTTGTTTACTTTTCCTGAAGTTAAGTACTTTCTTTTTCAACCAAGCATCCACCAAAGTATATGATAAAAATTCAATGCCAATTAATTAGAAGTTATGACATCTAAATATACTTTGAATGTACAGGGTAACATGAGAAAAATTTGCCCAGCCCCTTGGAGGAAAAAAAGACAAAGTAACTATCCGACATAGTCTATTTATAACATATGCCAAAGTTGGCTTTTCACAGTGTCACACGACATTTTCATTCCAGCAGACACTGTTATCCTGCTGCTATAATCATGGAATTTCATGGTAGGTTCAATATTGAACTCAATTTTTGGAACTGTAAATTCTGCTCTTAAATCAAGCTACATGTAGTTTCCTTTAAGAGGACCACATCAAATACATTCAAAGATGACCTTCCAGTAAATTGCTTAGCCCCAAGCCCACTTGAGTAGGACAGCATTTAACAAGACTAATACTGAAAAACAGGAAATGGGTCTCTCAACAAAGTGATCATAGCACTATTTTAATATAATTAAATTTAGAAGAAACTCTTACCTTCATTATGCCATCAGCTTTCACTTCCAACCAATAATGATTCACATCCAGTTGGGTTTTTGACTTGATATCTCATCAATTATATGGACAGTCCATTCATTTTGCTCCTAGCCCCTTGTGCACTAAAGTTTCCACTGCATTTCCAAAGTCATGTTGTCTTTTATATTTGAACTCCATAACATACAATGACCTTCACATCATAAAATGTTTCCTGCACCAGAAATCCACTCTGCTACCCTTTCTTGGATAAATTACTCTGATGACAGCCACAACTTCCAAAATACACAGCTGCAGTTCTGGACATGACCAACATTGGATACAATTGAAGGATGTTTGCTTGGAATTAACACATATGTAGTTTTTATTCCAAGGCTTTCTAATCATCCTTCTAGGACAAATTTTAAAGGTACATGTTCCTTGACTCAGGCATTGTTAAAAATAGATATACATCACTTGACAGTAACTTTTAGGTCACTCACTTTCAAACTAAACCTTGGAAAACTAACTCTCACAGAGCTTTCAATAAAAGCTGGTTACCAGCAGTCAACCACTTCCAGTAAAACCTCTTACTCCTGTCTGTTTGGCCTGCAAGCAGGCTCCCATGTTTGGACTCTGCCTTACAGCCCTTTTCCGGCCATAGCTGTATATCAAAACTATCGGTAAGCACTTACGGATAAGGTTATTAAAACCCCCACTATCACCCATCAAAGAATTATGATCAAAAGTAGCTCTTGAACAAAGGGTTCATGTTATCACCTTAAACTGGAGCATTTCTGTCAACTTTATGATATGAAATTCAACTGCCAAGGATTTTGAGGGGATGACAATGTGTCAAACCTGAAAAAATTTACTCAGAGATATATATACTTTTACATGTGCCCTGCTTGCCTTCTGTTAATGCAGACCATTGACCAATGGGAGAAGCACCACTTCAGTCCAATGTTGCCAGGGTAACACCAGACCCATCAGAGCTGGTTTAGAGCAACACAGAGGGTTGGTGCGTTGGGTGGTGAGAAGGTAGCAGGCTGCTGGAGTTAGCAATGACAGCACAGAGAAAAAGAGAAAAAAGTCAAGTCAGTTAAAATTCTACTGTCTATTGATGGAATGGAAAGTCTCTTAACCAAACTTCATATTTAATAGTGACACAATGATTACTCCAAACAGGGACTTGACATTGCAGGGCGTGAAATTGCGCCTAATACAAGCGCCAATATGCCTAAATTTTTCACTTTGGCAACCAAATCCTGAAAGTTAGTCGCCAAATTGGCGACTAGAACGTCTCATCATAACCTTACCGAGAGATATTGTGAATTAAAAAGATTTGCAAAGATAAATCCGCGGCAAACTTCCTCGTTTGGTTTGTTTCCAAAACGTAGCACATGCATCTCGATTGATAACTAGACGCCATCTTGGATTTAGATGAGCCTGAACGTTGTATATCATCCATCCTAGTGTCCACTTTGTAGCACATTAAAGATCTTTTCCCTAACTTAATTTTGGAGGGTCTATCTAGAACGCTGACAGCGTAAAGAAAGATTTTGTTTGCCTTTGAAAATGGCGACCAATTTTTTTTGAATTGGCTACCACTTTGAAGAATTTATGAGCCAAGTGGCTATCAGAAAAAAAAGTTAATTTCACGCCCTGCATTGGTAAAATGACAGTAAGTTTGACTCTTTGACATGAAATATTTTCTGACAATTTCCCTTTTGCAAGTATATGAAAGATTATCTGTACTTGCTTGACTTTCATCTGGTTGTTTTTATTGCTTGTATGTTTACAAAGAAAGCTAGTTTCAATTTAAGGTAAGCCTGTTAATTTTGAGAATAAAATGATGATAATGATGATGAGAACAATAATAACACATTCATGCTTACAGTCATGCTAAAAAAAATTAAAAGCCTCGGCCTATCTTGGCAAAAATAGAGAAATGTATCTCTTCTTTCTTTGGTAAAGGGCAAAATTACTTGATTCTTATAAGTTTATAAGTTATTAGATTATTGAGCAATTAAAGTTTCATCACCCTTAGAATTATTAAGTTTTCAGAGGTGGAATGATAACCAAAACTTAAAAAAATATGCATGAAAGTAATCTTTAATTGTATTAAGGCTTGGGCAAATATTTGTAACAACTCAATATGCTTTCTCTGCACTGCAATCAATCTGATTTTGAGTTGTGCCATGGCTGAACTGCAAATGGAACTTCTAACAACTGATTTTGAGGTAAAATGACAGGACTTCTGGAGAAATTGAGAGCTTCGTATTTTTTTGTTTTTATCAAAAGTGGCTTTTCTAAAAGCAATAAAACCCTGTGAGATGGAGCTGCTTTTAAAAAGTAGAAGATTACAAAACCAACATGATAAAAAATTGCCTTCCAGAAAGTTTGAAGTCTTCAAAAATGGAGTGATTCTCTTCAAAAACAACCCTAGTAATTATTACAAATGAGCTTTACTGAAATTCCGCAGTAAAAAGAAGACAAGAGAGGAGTAATACAAAACAAATGTACAGTACTGCAGCATTTACATGGAGAAATAATCCAATTTTTCAAATTATCCAAATCTTTTACAACTAGAGGTAAATGTCTGGCTTTTAAGCATGTCAAGGTCATGTTGAGAAGTCAAAATTCCCCGGAAGACCTGCTTCAAGAAAGACTTCTAGTCTAATTAACAAGTTGGACAAACTTTAGATCTTTTGAGCAAAAACTCTTCACTTTTGATATTTGTTTCAGTCCTTTTCCTTTTTTTACGGGGGAAAATGTTAGTTAAATTTTTTTGGTGAAAACCGGAAACAAGAGAAATTCAGATTTTCGAAAACACTCCTAAACCATAAATGTTCATGAAGTCTAACCAAATTAGAAAAAAATGATCAGTAACTATTTAGTATTGGTGGTGGCATGAACCGTCTCCCTTGGCTTTTCCCTTGCCCCAAACAAATGCACAAATATTTACCTGGCATTCCTTCTCTGTTTTATGTGATGAAACACGTTAATCACGTCCCGAATTCTTCTCGGGCATTCTTCGATTTTTGCTGCGAGAAAAATACTTGCCATGGCGTATATCTGCAATTCAAGTTTATGAAAGCGATAGGTTCGGCATGAATTTTTCGTTCGGTAAATCGCTGAATTTAATTAAAGACGTATAAGCCTCGTACTGAAACTTCTTTTTCGTTGACCTTTTGTATGAATTTAGGTCAGATTGAGATGTAAAGTAAAATCTGGTCATGGACACTTCACAAAGCACATGTATGCAACTGCAGAAAGAGATCTAGTTTGAACCGTTTGGAATTTCCCTTAGCTTAATACAAAGTTCGAGAGGTAAAAAGGATGGAATGAATTGCAACTCTGTACCAGAGAAAAGACAAATTTACCACGGAGTCTTGGTGAAAATACTCAAAGAATTAAAATTTAAGTAAAGAAAAACTGTATACAATCTAGGAACAACAATCGTCCAATTGCTTGCACGTTAAAAGTATTGTAACTTACCTCGCAGTCGTGTTTTACGAGCGACTTACTGTAGTAAAACCGTTGAAATAATACTTGAGCTGTAGCCATAGCTACCTGAAGGTTCCAAAGCAAAGAATCTCAGCTCACAACATCAAGGTAAATCCAAGTTTTCAAAACCAAACCGGACCTGCACTCACCTGAGGTAGCTTCAGCAAGATGCCCGCCATTTGGATATACTCGCAACCTAAGATTCGTAAATCGATTTCTACTTCTCTATCTAAGCCATCTTTAAATGAAGGTGTGTTCTGAAGTTGTTCTTCGTCAAGAATGCAGTTTTCTAGCGAAATAACTACGTCTCCGTAGTCCGATTTACCGGCGACAGCGGCCATGTTCGATGGTCTTCTTCAATCGTTTTAGAGACGTCACATTCTACTTGTGATGTCACCGGTTGGAAGCACGTGCACGGATATTCCCTAATTTGGGATGATTCCGATGCAAAGAAGTCGTTTTCTCTTCGGAAATCGTCGGAAATCACGCAAAAGCGGGAAATATGGCTGTCGAAATGGGAGAAAAACACGATGAAGACGATAAAGTTGATATTTTGACAAGGATCACAGATTCTATCGACAACCATTTGAGAGGTTTTAGGGTGAGAAAAGAAAGGGTGTTTCAATAAGGTTATAACGTTCTTTCTTTTCCTGGATCACTTGACTTTATAGATGCACGATAAAACGATATTAAAAAGATCTAAGCTATGCAAAACTTATTATCTCACTATTTTAGCAATTTTATGATAACTCCAGTGAAACAGACTAATGAAGTCCGTTCCCAGCGGTGTTAGTGCATCAATTAACCCATGGAAACATAAGAGCAACTTTACAAATTATCATCTTCAGTTAAATTGTTAACTTGATTAGTGTGGGTTGTGTTATTTATTGTCAGTAATTTACAATATTTAAATTACATTTAATGAAAACTAAAATATGGTTATCATTAGAACCAGGTAGGAGACAAAATCCCCTTAACTGTCAGATTATTTGTGAATTGTGATCAAAGACAGAAAATAAGTACAGTGGAACCACATTTTCACGAAGTGCCAAGGAACGACCACTGCCAAGTTGCCAAGCCTTTGATTTGGAGTGAGACTGAAGGTGACCTTGTTGTGATAGAGACTAGTATCTAGTTAGCATGATAACAAAGTAATTTGCACTTGAAAAGCAACAAGGTTTGGAGTAACTGCAGAATACCCAGCCACTCATTTACATGTCATTGAATAAGAGTAGCATCTATTGTGTTATGCCTCGATCTTCAAAGCCTCCCGACACATGTAAGTGAGGCGAACCAAAGTGGCTGCGTATTCTGCAGTTTAGCCCAAGGTTTGCATCATAACAAGGTAAACCTTAGCCTCCCTCCTGTTCAAAGGCTTTCCAACCAAGCACACAACTGTAAAATGGAGTATTAGGGAAACTGGTTTGTTATGATATACAAATAAACATAAACATATGTCATGGAATGCTTGAGTCATGTCTCAGAGAGTATCAAATTTCAAATTTTTTGAGGGAAGATGTCTCCATATTCCATTCCTTCCACCAAAGGAGGGAATGTTGCTTTGCAACATGCTATGCTTGAAATGCAGGCATAATTTAATTCAGCAGCTTATCAGTTCAGATCATACATCTACTACATTCTCAAATGACAACCCTGCCTCAGGGACTCTTAATCAGTTAATTAATGTAACACATGGAATTGCTCTAAGGTACTTTTCTATATTCTTCTGAAGTCACCCTTAAAGGAATGTTACAGAATGTTTTAAAAAACATGCAGGTGTCAGGAGTGTAGCCAGCTTTTTGGACTTGTTGTAGGCCTGTTCCATAAGAAAGTTCAATTTTAGTTTCAACATCTGCAAGAGTCATGTTCTAAAAGTCAAGCGGGCAAAAAAATTGTAAGTTTGAGGCTGGCTATGCCCTCAGTTGTAAATGCATTCAAAGAGGTCTAGTAACAATATACGTATATATATATGTATATGAACATATTAATTGTACACAAATAGTATTCAACATTTTGTGAAATTAACATTCATTGGTGATTTACTCTTTGTTTTCAAAATTGCAATTACCTGTTTAGGGAGGATCTCTGCAGTTGGCAATTTTAGCCTGATCTAGCCTGTTCTCAATTTTTTTTTCCTTAGGAAAGTGACATTATCAGTATATAATAATCATAGATATGCTTTCCACAGAATGTTTCCTGGGTTCTGGCTGGAGCTGGAATTATACTGATTGCAAGGAGAACATATGTGGTAAGTGTTCTGATATAATTATTAGGCAGGGATCAGAAAATCTTTGTGAGAGCCAATGGATAATACTATTGTAGAAACTACACAGTGTTTATCAAAGAACTTAACCCTTCACACACTAACATCAGAATGCATGTTCTCCCTACTCTTCTCTATACATTTCCTTAGGTGCTGAGAAGGAGAATTTGTTTAACAATCAAGAGCTCCTTTGGTTGATGATCATTTTCTTTATTCTTGTGACCTGAATGTGTGATTCAGGGGTGATAATGTAAGGAGAAATTAAGTGCTGGTCACTCTTAGGGGTCAAAAGGTTAACATAAATACCCCACACAGTAAAAGTTACAGAAAACCCTGATGTTTTTTTTTTCTTTCTTCAAATCCAAATAAAATGCCAACTTCAAATTACTTTTCGGTGGAGAAAGACTTTCATCATACAGTTGCCTAAAAAGCTTAAGTGTATTCTCTTGTGATGCAAGGCCCAAAAATTCATGCACCATTAAGTGCTGGTGTCCTTGCTCTTTCCTAACCCTTAAACCCCTAAGAGTGATTAGAAACTATATTCCCCTATCAGTATCCCCCCTGAAACAAATGTCGAGATTATGAAAACAAGGGAAATGATCAGCAGCTAAAGAAGCTTTTGATTGTTAAACAAATTCTCCTTGTCGGCATCTTAGGAAATGTATTGAGAACAGTATGAAGAAAATGTATACTGATGTTTGGGTGTAAAGGGTTGAGTGATTGCCTTGCTCAGACAAGGGCTTGAACTATAACCAGACTGAATGAAACATTGTTGCTTAGTTTAGGCATTTTAAAGTTGTCTCTGACATCCCAAAAGAATTTGTTGCCAAGAACATCACCTTTCGTGGCCATGTATGTGAGGTTAGGCCAGACAACACTCTTGGTGTTTATCATATTCCTTTGCTCAGGAGACTCAAATATTCATCTGATACAGGTTGGTTCTCAATTTACTACAGGAATAAATTTTTTTCCCCTATGAGTGAAGGTCATTTTTTGTCAGAGAAACATCCACATGATGCCCATCCTAGTTTGTCTCATCATTTCAGAAGATTTTTTTAGGAGTAAGGCTGCCTCAGCTTGTAAGTTTCTAAAGAAACTGTGGTGCTGCATCAGTGTGAGAGTATAGCAGGGTAATTTGGTATTATCAACTGAGTTGATACCTTAAATTGGCCACTGTAAAGAGTTACAAAGCTGATGTGTTGAGCCTAGCCATTCGTCATTCACTTTAATGAAGAAACATCAGCTTTGTGACTCTTTCTAAATTTCAGGTTATAGGCTGGACTGTAATAAGTCTCATTCAAGTAAAGAAATGATCATTGCAGATTGGCTGTAATCAAAGGAATTTCAGAAATAAAAGCAGAAAATAACCATGGACATGATCATATTCCCAACATATGGCTAAGTTAGGAACACTACCCAATTAATATCCAGGAGGCACCAGTTCCAATCCAAACCTTCTAATTACAGATAGTCTAATTTTTGAATAATGGAGAGGATATCCAGATGTCTTTTCAGCCCAAAAAGAACTTAGAGACTTAAGTCATTTTATATACTTTTTCATTAGGGGCCTCAAAACAATCCAGTCTTCTAGCTATCAGTCTTATAGGTGTGGAATTCAGGGAAGGTGGGCACCAATGGCTTTTAGGCCATCTGATGTCAGCTGATGTTAAGATTACTCCTTTCCAAGTCACCAAAAAGCATACATTGGACTGCATGGTGTACAAGAAAAAGGTAGATATGTTACCTGCTCCTAGTGTGGTCACAAAATTAGTTATTACACCATGGTGCATTTTATGTTAGTGTGCTAACTTATGCTGTTGTAGTTGTGTGACTTTAGTGTGACTACTTTCCTCCCAGGCAACTTGTATACAGGATTTTTCATAGCATATAAATTGTTTTGCAGTTGTGTTAAGATGGCAACTGGTAATTACAGGTAGCCATAACCCTTGAGAAAGGCTCTTAATTATCTCTCAGTGGCTGTCATACCTGTTAAAGTTCTCTCTTAAAGATAACTTAGGATAGCTAAGATGAACCAACAAATTTTAATAGACAGGACAATCATTCATTTACTTGCAGCCATGATGGATCTGTCCACTCAATCCCATTTTCTTTGTGGTACATCTAAACTCATGAATATTCACTATATAAACACAACAAAACATTACAATGTCTTGAAATGTCTTTTTTTAATTTTAAAGTAAGTTGAATTTCAGATAAACAAGCCAATAGTCAGAACATGTATGACCCTGAATATATGGAAATCCAATACATTTTCTGCAGTTTTATAGATGAATATGAAAGTGATCTTTGCAGTAATGAATAGTACTTAAGCAGTGGTGAAAATTAGGCCTGCTTAAGCAGAGTTCATTACTGGGAAGATTGTCTTTATATTCATTTCTTAAATGACAGTTCACATAAATGATTTTCACATTCACAGTCACTGATTTATCACTTCACAGGTTTATTACAAACCAAAATACTAACCAGCTCCTGGTTTGCTTGTTAGCTCAGTTGGTACAGCACTGCACTGGTATCGCAGAGGTTCTGGGTTCAAATCCCATACTCAGTGGCCTGAATTATTTATCAGGCCTTTTTTTCACAACTACTTAACCCTTTGGCCCCTAAGAGTGACTGGCATCTAATTTCTCCTTATTATATCATCCCTCATTCAAACATGAAAATCATGAGTGAGAATAGGAGATGATCACTAACTAAAGTAGCTCTTGATTGTGAAAAAAATTCTCCTTGTCAGCCTCTTTGGAAATGTATGGGCAACAGTATGGAGAATATGCATACTGATGTTAGGCTGGTAAAGGGTTAAGTAGTGTTCACCATGGTGAAATTGCTTTCATATTCAGTCTGAACATGTTTTGAAAAAAATAATAATTTGACAAGAAAGGAGCCTGAGAAGGGGAATTCCCTTGGTACAAATCAGAAGGTTTTATTTAAACTATTTAATGATGAGAGTTTTTGCCGTCAAGGTGTCTAATTTGGTTTGCACATGAAGAAGCAAAGAAGCTGTTGCACTGTTTTTGTTCGCATTTAGGCTGGGTAGATAAGATACTTTTTTCCTTATAGGTTCAAGCCATTTTACTTTCACAGGCATTTTAAAAATCTAAAGGCATAATTATGCAATGTCAGTTAATTGTGTTGATGCCTGTTTTCAGAACTGGTTTTCATCTATATGTGTAAACCAAGAATTGCTGCATCAAGGTGTAGCAGTCACATGTCATGTTCCCACACTTGTCAACAGTCCAGTTTATCAAAAACTTCAAAGACAACTCCTGAAGGCAGAAATATCTGCTGAAAAGAAAGGTGTTGGCATTTGGACGAGGCCATCAAGAATAAAAGCCTTTTGGGAAAAAATTTCCTCTCCAATCTCCTGGATAAAGAAGGGACTCAGTGCTTTTCAATATGTTAGAAGTCTCTTTTCAAGGAAAGCAACAAACCTTGAAGAGAAGTAATTTTTAAAAAGTAACTTAACAAAGTGAACTGGGATATTTTGATGGCACAAGAATCTTCGACCAAGATTTGTTTGTGACATCAACCTGGATGCTTATGTTTGTCCTAAAAAATTGAGGCAGAGAACAAACTAACTCTTCTCCAGCATTGCACCACTTCCCTAAAGAGGAGCTTTGCTCACAGTGGAGTTCAGTTTTGGAACAACCCACCCCCAAGTCAGTCTTAACATGATGTTAAGGCAAATTAACAATTGGTTCATACGTCAGTGTGTGTTCATCGAGATATGAAGCACGCGGGAAGTTTGGAGAGCATGAAAGATGCGTAAGAGTTGCTCAAAGCATAGCCGAGAGTAACTCTAGCCTCTTGAGTGCTCTAAACTTCCCAAGTGCCTGATATCTCGATGAACCCACAGCTGATGCATGAACTAATTGTTTTATAGCATTTTCAACCCTATGGAAATTTTTTTTCTTGAGGGATATGTTTGCTGACGTCATGAGCATGCACAATAGGAATATGAAGCATGCTCGCGCAATTGAATTTGATCAGACAAATTTACTAGCTATGTTATAAATTGAGTTGACAGTATGAGACAGTATGTTATTTAAATGCTGCCTCTAAGAAAAGAAGCATCTGTTGTTTTAATTTTTTTTTCCTGTGGTGATTGTATTTAAGTGGGTAAGTGGTTGATCAATAAGAATTTGATGGGGTTCATAGAAATACCATGAATGAATAGTAAAAGTCATCTTATTTTATGTATCGTATACATGTTCTACCTATGTCACCCTCATTGTGAGTGGCTCACTAAATGAACCTAGCTATCTCTATCCCACATTACCAAGAACTTGTAAACCCTTTGCCTCCCATGGGTGACCAAGACAGAGTTTCTCCTTACAATATCAGTACAATGCAAATCAGACAGGTGAAGAGAATAAAGAAAAATATAGGTTTGAGGATTTTCTGGTTGATCCAGAATCAAATCTCAGAACTAGCATGATGAGAATTTTATGGCAGACTATAAGGAGTATTACTTATGAGATCTTGAGCTTTAGAGGAACTTATTTTTTCAAACCATCCCCTGTGATTCTAATGACCAAAAGAAAAACCAAAGTAACCAACATTTAATGAGGATTCAGAGAGTCATTTTTGTTTATTTCAAATAAACTTCACACATATTATCTGTATTTCTCTAAGTCTATAAATTAGTCATTAAAATTATCAATATCATTTTTCACCTCTTCAACAAGCTTCAATGATATTTCATTTAATGAGGTAAATACTGATTACTACTTAATAAACATGAAGTTTCAAACAGAAATTATTCCAAACGAAAGGGGCTGGGGTGCAGACTTTAAAAAATATTTCAAAATAGGTTTGAACTTGTTGATTTTGTGACATTTGCAATTTATCAAAGTTGAAACAAACCTTTACCAGTAATCAAAAATATATAAAGGGAATTTACATCAAGTTGATAGTGCTCTCAATTTAAATAGTACTTACTAGTGTATTCTTTAACCTTTAACTCTCATGAGTGACAAAGCCAGAATTCTTATGATATCAATACAATATCAAGCAGTAATGAGCATAAAGAAAAATACCAATTGGGGGAATTATTACTTGAGCCAATACCAAATTCTCCAAACTAATATCCTGAGAATTTTACAGCATACGGCAAGGAGAAGTACTAATGAGATCTGGGAATGAACCGGTTAAGAGGCATGGATTTACCAAAGAATTGTAAGAAACCATGTAACTACTAAGTGATAAGTTGATCTGTCAACTACCCCATGTATTGAGCTTCTTGTGGTGTATGTGGTCTTGAAAAAAATTTAAAAAATCTTACAATAGTACCATTTTTGAACCACTTCATCCTTTGAAAATGTTTAGTCTGGGGACCCATTTCTCAAAAGTCCCAGTAACTTAATGGACCAGAAGCCTTAATTCATAATCAAGATTTAAAGAATAAATAAGCAGGTTCTGGTACCCTAACCAGTCCATTTTTTTTCTTTAGGTGATGGTTTCGAAGTATAATTTTCAAAACTTTTAAAACCCCTACCTTGAATGAAAACAGAAGAACTTTACAGGCCTGTTTAGTTACCAGGACCCTTTTTTTTTTTTTAATTACTAAATGGGTCTTAGGATGACATTTAATTTTGACCTATTGGCTTGTTAACTTAAGAAAGACATCTATATTGTACATGTTAGGCAGATAAATTAAAGCTAAAAAAATTTCCCCAATTTTATTATTCACTAGTTGTTTCTGCAAGGATAACTTTTTTTCTTACAATTTCCTTAACCTAACCCGGAAGTTATATTGCTTTGTTACATTTATTATTTTGATGAAAATTGTGTGCTAAGGATCTGTTCTCACCAAACCTTATAAACAAATTTGGACTCAAAAACAGAATTTTGTTTCCTTTTTAAAGTGGTGTTGGCAGGTGGATCTTACCTTCCTTGATTCTAACATGTTGCAACGCAGAAGATAATTGAATGTCAAAAGTCAACAAACAAGTTCAAATTTCACTGTTTTGAATGAAAAATATGACTGGCTGGATAAGAACTTTTTTTAATATAAAATTCAGTCCTATCCTCTGATTGCTTGTCATTATTCCATTGGCCTGAGGTATATTAAAAGCACTGTAAAGGGTCTTGGTAACAAATTCTGACAATCACTCATACCATCTAAATAGAGAAGCCTACCAGGGCCTCATTAAACAGCACCTCAAGACCCTGATTCAAATAAGACACGCTGAATCAATTGTCAGGATTTCTCAGCATGTTCTACACTGAGCCTCTTGTTTAGACTTCCTCATGTTCTATGTCTTCTCTGTCCTTTTCCTTGACTTTTTTCTGATGACTTTTGGCTCTTTGGTATAAGAAGACTCCACATGTCACCATAATAGTTCCTATGGCACTAAGGGTTGTGACCTCATTACCAAACACTAAGACAGACAACCAGATCAACAAGGCTCTCTTTGCTGTGTTGGAGACACTAAAAAGAAACAGATAGTATTGTTATGAGAAATACATCTATCTCGAGTAACAGATCTGACTAAGGGCTAATGCTTGAAAAGTCAGCTTTAGAAACTCTGTATGGTGACCAATTTACACCATCAACTTATTTGATAAATCCAAAGTATCTCTTACAGTGGGCTTGACTTTTAAAGCATAAGATTTTTTGTTGGTCACAAAAAAAAAACAAAAAAACAAAATGGCTAAATTATATGTGCTATTTCCATTTTTTTTGTGTGTGCCACATGTGCCTTGTCCAAGCTTTACCATGCTCAGATAGGGTCATAGGATGTAATTCTTGATGATAGTGAAAATAGGATGATTTTCTCATCAAGAACAAATTACTCACCTAAATGTAACAGGAGAAATCAAAGACATTAGTCCAAATGCTGTAAGACTTTGCATGTAGAACATAAATCCATTCAACAGCAACATAAAAATCAAATGTCTATCCTCTTTCAACTTTATTTCCCCAGGCCACTCCTACAAGACATGAAAGATAAAAAAAAATAGTTCATGCATCCAACATAATCTGCACTTAGGATTTGCAAGGGAGATGTGAGTTTCATTTTCAATCCATTCCATTTCAGCTCTACAACATTTTCTACACAAGTTTCTCTTTGATGGAACAGATGAAAAAAAATAAATTTTGAAAGAGGTACAATTATGATTTGTCATCAATTTAGACATGGGAGACTAAAGAGTTGATCAATCTGAATTCCTTCAAAAAAGAACTCAACATAAAAATTACAAGATTGTAGATTCTCGTTCACAAGTAGAGCTACAATACTTGCAGGTGATTTGTAATTTTAACAGTTGCAGAAAAGAAGCCTGAAAAGCAAAATTCAGGGTTAAATGACAATCAAACCCATACTTTATCGATACTAACCATCAAAAGCCTGAATTTTCTCAGGCTTTTTATATGTAGTTGCTTACATTGCAGCTCACTTCCAAGGATAAATTGCTTGCAGGCCAAATAAATCATAGTTGGAACTGTTCTTACATACTAGGCAATATGAATGGTCAGCCTAGTGATATCCTAGTCCATGCTGTAATATTTGCAAGATGTTTGTTACCATAAAGGCTCAGATAAAGTGGTCAGCTAAAAATAGTTATCAGTGATGTGCAGATTTAAGGATCCTAGCCAAGCATAAAATTTGGCTTATGTACCATGTAATCTGCCATTTTTATTTAATTTGGCATCACCCCTGCTTTGTTGTTTGTTAGTTTGTTTTGCTTGCAGTAACCTTCTAAATCTTCATGAATCCTTACAGACATACATTGTATCTCAGTTACAACTGAAATTTATTATTGCCTAATTTTGATTCAGCATTTCTGAATCATTGATTTGCATAGATTATTGCTGGGAAAATTGTTGTTGTTCCTACAAATCCACAAAATGAGCATGGTTGACTAGGATCCTTTAATAAAGTACAAAAGAAAACTTGTAAATTATACCAGGAAAAACCAGAAAGGTAGTTGAACAGCAATTGCAGCAGCACTGGTATAAAACTGAAGTTCTGGTGGACTAAAAGAACAAATGAAACCTTGTTAATAGAGTGAAAAATTAAACAAATGGACATGGTTGGACCTACAGTTTTAAGACCTTGTAGCTAAATATCTTTCTGACCTTTCCAGGCAAGTTGTCACACCATGAGAATCACAACAAAGGTATCCCAGGTAAAATTTCAGTAATACTAGAGTTCTAAAACTGGAATGGTTTCCAAGAAGTGATATTGTGGAAGCTTTTACATCACTGAAAGGGAGGCATCTGGAATCTGGACACTCTAAAGCCACATACAGCATAGTGACCTATACGTCGATAACCCACTCCTTTGCACAAGACTACCACAGATTACCCTTAACTGTGCTCGAATTATCCATCAATTTTCTACAGAAATAAAAGCTATCACCTTGGAATGGGGGAGGAAGCTTGATGTTAATAATTTAAGATCAATCCGAGAAAAAAAAAGAAAGAATCCAGGAACAGCAGTAATCAAATGCAGTGGCAGATCAAGAAGGTACAGACCCCCACGCCAAGAATTCTTGCAATAATAGGATTGCTTATTACTACTAAACTGAGTGATTTTCTTCATGCAATAATTGCAATTATTGTGAGTGAAGGAGGGGGTGGGGAGGTAAACAACTCCTGAACACTTTCATTGATGGAAAGAATAAGTCACTTGACACTTTGGCTTACCTGTAGGGATGATCACTACTTAGAAGCTTCTTTGAAAACACATTCTGAAAACTATCAAGTAAATGAGAAAAACAATTATTTTAACTTATTAACTGGAAAAAATTACAAAATTTCAGAATTCTTAATATTCACCAAATAATATCTAAATTCACAATAATCATCATAATCTTTTTAAAAGGCTTCTTGAGCTGAAACCTTGTAAAAGTTAAATCACCTCCAGCTTGTGGCTATCAAATATATGCTAAGTAATAAAACTCTTTTTTTTCTTCAAAAAAATTAACCCTTTAAGTCCCACTGGAGTGACCTAGACAGAATTTCTCCCTACACTATCAGTACAATATTAAGCAGACAAGTAGTGAGAATAAAGACAAATATCAATTAGGGGATTATTGGTTGATCCAATTCCAAATTCTCCAAACTGACATCATATGAATTGTATGGCAGACAGTAAGGAGAATTACTAATGATATCTTGGGAGTTAAGGTGTTAAACAGTTTAAAGTTAGATACATAAACAAGAAGTGGGAAGGAAGGAGCTGAGAACTACATCACAGAAAAAAAAATGTTTGAGAACAAAATTTGTTACTGTCAAAAGTGTGCAATATTCACACAACAAAAAAACACCCTAAAAAGGAATTACATCTCTTCACATAGTTTAAAAAAGTCTAGTTCATGCTAACACCAATCCATAACATTATTCAACTCTCCAACTCACCAATCCATGACATTATTTAGAAGAGCAGATATAAATCCAACCATATTGAAGCTGAGCTCTGAAGCAGTACAAAGTGACAGACCAGCCATGATTGGAAGAAGAGACAGATTCACAAATACACTTGATTTGTCACCTATAAAAAAAACAATACAAAAAAATGAAAAAGAAGTTTCCTTTTATATCCAGATTTCTGGAGTTTTTCGGGTGAGTGAGACATCCATTCACACCCTTGAACAAGTTTGTTACTTAAGGGAACATGGTTTAATAAGGGTATTTGGTCTTCTCGAAAATATGCCATTTTCCAGTAAAAATTTGCCACCAAAAGTTAAGAGTATACAAGTTTAAAGACCTTTAAAAGGTCCCTTGCCAGCCTATATTACTGGTGTGAATCTGGAGGGTGCATGCATAATACTGTAAAATTCCAAAACTAAGCCCCGAGGCTTATATTTTTCAAAGGACCTTTTTGAGGGGCTTATTTTTGGGAGGGGCTTATATATTCAGAGGGGCTTATTATAGGAGGGAAATTTGCATTTCAAAATTGGCTGGGCTTATAATTGGAGGGAAATTTGTGCCAAAATTTTTTGAATATGCAACTGGTAATATTAGGATTTTGGCTAGAAATTCATCACAAATTAATCACACTGAAAATGCCAAGTTCAAAGACAACGGCAATAAACTTTATTAAAGCAGAAATACAGTAAAAACAGTAATTTAGATCAGGTTCAAAGTTAAAGTTAACTATGAAAGCTCATATCATTCAAGGAGCACCCGAGGGAGTTTGGGTTCAGGGCGGTGGGATTGCACTTCCTTGCAAATACTTTGTCGATGGACCGAAGGAATTAAAAGCATGAGTGAAGAGCAAACTGTGTAAAAGACAATAAACTTCAACACTTGTTGACCACGTTGCTTCAGTGCACGGAATCATTCTTTTATGACTAAAAAAGACTTCCTGATAATGGTGATTATGTTTAGTTTGCTTTGGTTTGTATTAATGAGGATAATTTCCAAGTACAAGCCCCCGGTAGCTTGTATTTGGAGGCTTGCTACAGGAGGTATTTTTGTGTTTCAGATTTGGGAGGCTTCTATATGAAGGGGCTTATTTTTGGAATTTTATGATATCTCTTTATGAAATTATTGACTGTCATCTTCAATTTTAATGCAAGGGAAGGCTGGAAAGGAGAGAAATATCCCTCAAGAAGGAAGATGATAAGCAAGAGGAAGTAAGGGAAGTCTTTTGGATCACAAATTTTATTTCTCATACTTACCTAACATAAGCCAAGCTATAATTGCTGTGAAAATTGGAGCTGAAGATTTTATGGTTTCAGAGAAAGAAACAGCTACATACTTCAGAGTAATGAGGGAACACACTATGGTAGCAAACCTATAAAAGGGGAAAAAAGACAGACAGGCTTTATTACTTTTCATCTGATACTCCCTTGATCTGGAGTTAGGATTCGATCACAAGCAAAGCATTTAACCCTTCACTCCCAAGATCTCATTAGTAATTCTCCTCACTGTTAATTTGTATAATTTGGTATTGGATCAATGAATAATTGAAACAAAAGTGTTTACCCAGTCTCCATTTAGCCCCTGAGTAAAAAAGTTAATTTTGGACTCTGCCTGTCTAATTTGCTTCAATATAATGAAGAAAAAACTGAGTTGTGAACATTTCTGATCAATTTTGTTTTTAAAAGAAAGTCTGAAAAAACTGAACAGGATAAACCATTTGCCCTAAATGACAAAACATTCCAAACAGAATGACAAATGCCACCCAGTATTCTGACCAGAATTTTGCATTTTCCAGATCACCTTTTGGAAACTCTGATAAAATGAATTTCATGCTAACATGATTTCAGCCCATTTTGACTTATGATTTGTTATGTATCAATTATACCAGTAATAATTTAATTGGAACATAAAAGTAATGAATAATAATTTCACCTCATCCAACCTAAAATTGCCATGTTACGAAAAAAATGAAATTTAGGGCCATCTTGGTGATGGCCTGAAGTCCGATGGAACAAGCAGCAGGGTAGATACATCTTGACTGCTCCAAATAGCACAGAACACACCATTTGGGTCTCACCAAGTAGGCTGGCATCACCATCTAATGTTGACAAGATGTACTTGTTTGATATAATTGAACCGAAACTAAAAAGGTACCAAAGAGACATCATTACAGTTTGTCGCACAAATGTCTCCTTTAACTCAAATGTAAATGTTCTCTGTTGTCTTGGTGATGAAGGAGAGTGCGAAACACCATCATGAATTTTCTTTGTTTGTCCAATTATTGGAGCCATGCTGGAGCCAGCTTGGGTCAGATGAGAGACCATCTAACAGATTAAAGTTCTTTCCAATGAAAATGAACCAAAAGATCTAGATATCTGCATGATGCACTCAAACCCTCCACATGCAGCTTTGGTCTTCCAGAGTGCTTCCATCCAGAGCCAAGATTTTTCAACAAAAAGTCATGGCTGTAACAAAAGGCAAATATTACTCTATGCATGGTTGGGAGTTTACAGCCAATAGGAACTTGGGAAAAAAACATTTACTCTGTGTACATTGATTTTAAAAATGCCATTCTTAGAGTGCCCTAGTAGAGGGTAGCAAGAGGAGGTCCTAATCCCATTTTAAATTGAAATTTTAGAAAAATTCAAGCATCACATGTTCATGTACTTTAAACAGTATTTCACCCATCAAGAATTTAAAGATGAAAACTTCAAATCTCACCTTACCTTGCCTTTCTGTAAAATTTACAGGTCACATATTAATTTTGGGCGTAATCACACGTCCCGTTTAAACCCTTTGCCACCCTCTGGTGATGACCTCTAACAAACAACTAACAGCTAAGAAAATATTTCACCATCATTTTTAAAAATTTACGCAAAGGGCTTGTTCATGGAAAAATGTAGAGATGATGCTAGGCAAATGTTTTGATTACAAGAGAAAACGGTACATAGACCTCCCTACATTATTCATGAAAGGTGATATTTACGGAGACTACACATTTGAAGGGGGCAGGAACAATCACCGCTTCCCTAATTGCCGAAAAAAAGATCAAACTCCAGGATTTTTCGCTGGGCATTGATTGCAACAGAATGAACATTTTTCTTCAGCTCAAAATGTTAACAGAAATTGAAAAACTTGTGAAGTGGTTGTCCCAGCAGTGAGAATCTCATTTTTCTACGTTTATGAATTATTAAATTAACGTACAAAGAGCTGGCGATCAAAGGGAGTAAGAAATTGCTTGACAATGGAGCTTTTCAAATTTTTAAATGATTTTTACAAGTTGCAGTTATGAAATCCGCCGTTAGCACGAAACCCGATCTTATATATTTTGTATTATGGTCTTAAGATGTTCGCTGGAACAATGAACAACTCGCCCGCACGCAGCTGCCAGTATCCTAATAAAGTCAACACAGCCGCGAGAATATTGCAGACGCTGTTTGAGGAACAGTAGATTGTCGTTATGTAGTCATAAAATGTTCCCTTACCGATATCTCTAAAGTGATCTTCGCTTTTTTTGTCAGCAAAATATAACAATATAGCATTGAGTTTGATCACGAGTGCACCCGCGAAATCTCACCTAACCACTTTTTCTCCGATTAGTCAGCAGAATCTCTCCAAGCCAATACTGCGTCAAATACCGGAAATGAACTGTAACTGTCCGCCGCACTTGCGCAGTAATCATCACCAAAACGATGAAAACACGTTGCAGTGGATTGCCCGGAGAGTGCGAATGGGCGTCTGGCGTCTGGCGAAAGTGCTCTTTAATTCTTCATTTCTCTGGAGATGAAAACACGAACGATAACTTGACGATTTGATCTGGTTACTTGAAAAAGGAGCGTAGTTTGAAGCCAAGAACAAATTTTACGTGTTTCAAGGTAAATTCGAGATTTGAAAACTCAGCGCGGAGGCGAGGCTACAATAATTGACACATATTCTTGCAAAGAAGTTTTGGGAATTCAACATAAGGAACACACAGCAGTCTTGGTCCTCTGCGGAAGAGGAGGGGAATAATTTCCGCTGAAATCAAGGATATCTCCTTTTGGATGTTGTTCTGAGGCTCAGGAATAGTGGTCGAATACTATTTGTGATGCGAGTGTGTTGATGTGGGATGTAAAGGCTGTAACCCTCTTACTTCATTAATATTTCATAAGCAAACAGCTTTGCTGCAAACACAGTACACATGGCTTCGAAATCAAAAGAGCAGCAAAGTCCAGTGAAGCGGAAATTTACAAGCCCCGTTGGAAATCAGAAATACGTAACGAAGGGAATTTCTCCGCGTTTTAAAGCAAATTTGAAAGATTTTCGCTCGTTTGGTCCCGTGAAGCAGAACAAACAGAAAGGAGATCTGGGACCTAATCATGGAAAAGCTTGGAGGAAGACTCATAAGAGCCAAGCTGTGAAATTTCATTTTGGAGGGAACAGTGCAGATCCACTGAACTTAAACAGTTTAATAGATCGAGATCCATCAGCTGTCACCCCACAAGCCTCCCCAATGTCAGTTCACAGTGCATCCCCAGTTGAAGTTTTAGAACCACGTGATAAGACAGACCCTCTCAATTTAAAACGTTGTCTGCCAGAACCTGAAAACAATGTGTCTCATGTGACACCAAAAAAGCGCAAGAAAAAGAAGCGAGGACATAATCATCAAGACAGGGAAAATGAAATTGGGTCAAAAGAGCAGTCAGGTGTCATCAGCCAGCTGAAGAAGCAGAAAAAAATTCTTGTAAAAACTGACTTTTCTTGTGATAAAATTGAGGATAAATTAGGCAAAAGCTGCACTGACCAGTGCAGTGTTCAGTCAACACAAACCAATGATCTGTCAAAAGAGGAAGACTTGAATCCATCCCCTGAAAAAGCTGGCTACATCACAAAGCAGACTGCAGAAGCAGTTGATAACAAAGGTGCAAATGTCATAGAAGTGGAGCAGTCTCCTTTAGTGACAAAACCCAAAATTGCTCCTGGAAAATCTAAAGAAATAGGAAAACCTCATGCATCACACAAAGGCAAAGACTCTAAGAAAGATAAACAAAGCTTATCAAAGAGACGTGAAAGAAAGGAAAAACTTTTTATTTATGGTAACTATAACAGGTATTATGGTTACAGAAACCCAAACTCCAGCCAAGATTTAAGACTAAAATGCTTTAAAAAAGAATGGTTTGAGGGGAAAGATGTTTTAGACTTGGGTTGTAATGTGGGTCATGTGACATTAACAATTGCCCGGGACTTCAACCCACGTGTTATCCTAGGAATGGACATAGATACTGCCCTGATCAAAGCAGCAAGGAACAATTTACGATATTATGTGCAGAATCAAGTGTCTGTTCCTGGGACATCAAGACAAGGAACAAGTTTTCCAGTGTCATTTTCTGTCACCAGTGGACCTCTGGCTGCACCTGTAGTTCAGGGCAGTGAAGAAAATCTGTCATTTCCACATAATGTCCTATTCAAACAGGTAATAATATACTTAAAGTAATCATAAGTCCCAATGCTTCTCTGAAAATATTGAAGGACTGTTGGAAAAAATAGAGTAGAGTAAAAGTTGAAGAATTCATCCTTTTTGTATGATTTTTAAAAAATTGGGGGCTTGTCAAGAACACAACAACAAGAGCTCTCAGTTAAAAAGGCATAACCAGCATTACATGGTTAACTTTTAATAGTTTGTGCAGATATCAGTTCTTTCAATTTTTTAAGGGATTTTTGCGTTTGTGAAGTGTTGTGATGATTAACAAAAGCTGAAGAGTACAGATGTTGCTGTGTTAATCTGACATGACAGAACCCTTGGACTTATTTGTTTTCCTTTTTCAGAAACATGCAAGTCAAAAAGTTACTGAAATTTTCTTTTGAAATTTGTAGGAAAACTACGTTCCTTGCAGTAATGAGGTACTTTCCAAACAAAAGCCAATGTATGATATGATTTTGTGTTTGAGTTTGACAAAGTGGATCCATTTGAACTGGGGAGATGAGGGACTCAAACTCATGTTTAAAAGAATATTCCTCAATCTACGTCCTGGTGGAAGACTTGTCCTTGAGCCTCAGCCATTTTCCTCATACAAAAAGAAGAAAAATTTGACAGTAAGTGATTATTTCAAGGTTGTAGCGAAAGAAATTAAGCTTTTGGTTGAAATTTCCCGTGAGGCAGCTGAAAATTTGAATGATTGTGTGTGTGTAACCCTAGATGTACATTTTGTGCTTAACCAAGCAATTGCTAGCCAAAAATCAAAGAAGCAATCACTGCTTTTCATCTGCCAAATCTCACCGGCAACCAGGGCTTAGCAAGAAACCTGTTATTTACCATCAGGTACTAGCTTTTTCCTGTATAGGCTATGAATGCAATAGTGTAGGTCCCCAGTTTAAAACTTCATTTTCTTCTGTATCACTCAAGGTGAAAGCAATTTCAACTCAGTATTATTAGCAACTTCTACAACAGTATTGCTCTAAGAAACTAATTTCATTCTTGCATTTTTTTTCCTTACAGAGAAATTTGATTTAATTTTAACATCAATGAAGACATTTTTGTAGAAAATAAGCCTCAAATTAACCATCCAGATCCACCCTCAAGTCTTTTCTTTAAGTTTTTGTTTTTAATATTAATTTAATATTTTTATATAGTCATGATTAGGAAATAAACCATTGCATCTTATTTATCATTACTATCCACAACATTTTTTTAGGAAAAAATCCGTGCAAATTATGATGCCATTCTCTTTCGCCCTGAACACTTTATTGACTACCTTCTATCAGACATGGTGGGATTTGCTACTTTTGAAGTTCTTGAGATTCCACAGCACAAAGCTTCTGGTGAGTAGTATCTAAGTGCAGAATTGTTCATTCAAGGTTTTTGTGAAATAGCATTTTGTGAATGCTTTGAAAAGAATTTTTCTGGGAACTTAGTAGCCTAGTGGTTAGCCAGGGGCAAATCCAGGAATTTTTAAATTTTTCATTCAAAAAAAGATAAATTTTTTAATTCTATTGCCTAAATAAGTTAAGAAATAAAGTCAAATGTTAGATACTTCATAATTAGTGGTAAAATGATATGCTTCCATCGCAAGAATTTTTTAGCAAACAAGTATTAAAATTTACCCCTAAGTCTGATGGGTGGAGGAGGGGGGGAAGGGTTTGGCTTCCTCTGGACCCTTCCCCCTGGATCTGCCACTGTTAGTAGGCAAGTGAGATATACACTTTATGCTCAATATGCTGGCATAAACAAACAAAACAAACTTTATTGGTATTTTTGATTTGTTCTTGAGCAAGACACCTTTATGTCTTGAGGCTTCCCATTGCCCAGAGGTGAAAACTGGTACCAGTACCAGCAAGGTGTTAGGAAAATCCTCAGGAAAAAACAGGGATAATTTGTGATGGATTAATAGTCCATTGGAAGGGGGCTCTGACACTGTTCTTTGGCTGAATGCAATAAAACATGTTGCATGTTTCTTATCTTTTCTTAGGGTTCCAGAGGCCTCTGTATCTTCTTACAAAAGCTGCAGATAAGCAAGGGGAACCTTCACAAGAAATGTATTAGGATTCAATAAATATGTCATCCATATTATACTAGAATAGTGTGTGGAAGTCACAAAATGTAGTTGTCTTCCTTAGGTCGATGGAATTAGTGACATTCTTTTTACTAACCTCATATACAGCCACAAACTTGAAAAGTAGAGAATAAAACTTTCTTTTCATTAATGCAATAGATTGTTGCTATATATCTAAGAGTGTGTTTGAAAATTTTGGATTTTTTTGTTTGTTTTTTCTTGCTTCTAAGTTAAAATTTTTGGAAATAAAATTAGTTTTAAAACCTAAACTTTCCACAATAACTGTGATAGTTTATTCTCTTCATCAGGTAACACCCTTTACATAAATGAAAAGCACTGCTGAGAAATATTTTAGCTGAAAAACATGCATAAAGCATGCAAAAAATTTGTATGTAAGTGCATATAAATGTCACCAATGTGTCTCTAAATTGCACATATACACACATAAGCATATATAAATCTGTCTCATTAGTGTGTTTTAGCTAACTTTGTCTTTCCATTGTTGACAGGTAATTTTTCTATAGCATTAACTAGTTGCACTAAAATACTACATGGCTAAAAACTAGTATAGACTTGTTTGTCTCAATGTCTGCTTAAGCTGACTTTCCTAATATGCTGTTACTTATGTAGGCAACTTCATAAAGACCTAACCACTTTTCTTGTGATACTGATGGCTCAGTATGGCTTACACTTGTAACATAGGTCTTCTCTCCTCTGCTTTAAACACCGTGCACCTCAGTTGAAGTTTTGTTCCAACTAAGTCATTTTGGTTTTTTTTCAAATTTAAGGGAATGGCCAAGCTATCACTCAGATTACACATATGCATGGGGGAAAGCTCAGCAAAAGGGTCACTCCCTCTTGTTCTTGTTGTTGGTGCTTCTTTTTTTTTTTTTTTTTTTTTTGGGGGGGGGGGGAGGTTTTAGAGTCCTGCATCTGAGAAAGTGTGACCTATGACCCCTCATACCTATATATACCTATTTTTTACAACAACTGATCATGTATTTAAGTGAAGTTGTTTCAGCCATTTACACCATTACATTAGTATGCAAATTCTCATACTGTTTTCTGTACATTTCTTGTGATTCTTACAAGGATAATTTTTCTAACAAGCAAGAGCTTCTTGAGTTCATAATCATTTCCTTTATTCTCACTGGAGATACTGTCAGGAGAAATCAGATGCTTATATTCCTATGGGAGTAAAGGGTTTCAAACTGGGTTATGTTGTAACACTGTTGCTATTGCCAACTCCTATTGTGTTTGAACTGTATGATTGGCCGCTGTGAAAACTTTTTTAGTTTAGATCCCCTCGAGACGCGTTCGATTGCGAAGTAAGAAAAAAGCCCGACGAGTCAATATGTATATTAAGGCCTATTTACACGGCACGACTTTGTCGCGTGCGACAAGCTTACGACAGGCCTACGACATGACTTAAGAGTCGTAAGCGAGTTGTAGGTTTGATTTACACGAAACAATTCGTGTCGTAAGCCTGTCGTAAGCTTGTCGCATGCGACAAAGTCGTACCGTGTAAATAGGCCCTTACACATACCAGTTGTTAAGGCGCGGCAAGCTTGTGGGCTCAAAAATTCCGGAAGTTGGCACGGAACTCCATCTAAGTCGGAACAAACTATGTCATCCGTATCGTTGAAGATGGAAGATAGCCTGAAAGAGTTGATTCAAATTTTTTTGAAAAATCGGGGAGAAGTAGAACTTGGACATGCAATTCTACAACTTTCTCGAGCTAACCGTAAAGTTGTGTCAGATTTTGGGGCGCAAGAGTTTGTCAATAAGTTTCCAATACTTTTCCAGACCAGGCGAACGAAATCGAAAGTAATGTTGAGGTTGGACGTTCCTCTCGAGTTTTGTCCTCAAGCGGGGAAAAAAGGTGGATGTACTGATATGAGGTGTTTTCGTCTTCATTTGTGCCCTTTCTTTGTCAAAGAAACCTGCAAATTTGGTGACAAGTGCAAAAGGTCTCACGATTATCAAGACGAACATGCGATGCGCATTCTGCAACACTTCCGCCTTAGCTTTCTTGACCTTAGTCTTCTTCAAGGTATACTGAAGATGATTGTTGACGAGAGTGAGATTCAGCGAGCGGCTGCCGGTCGCTCTTTACCAGACATCTGTATATTCTACAACAACAAGAGTGGTTGTAAGAAAGAAGAAAATTGTCCCTGTCTTCACGTGTGTGAGCACTTCGTCGATGGCGATTGTAAATTCGGCGGAGAATGCAAAAGAGACCACGACTTCTCTGATTCACATAACAGAAAAGTTCTTCAGCAGTATGATATGGGGCACATCAGTATCCATAAAGTGCTTCAACTACTTAAGGGCAGGGAAAGGAAGAGAACTGTTAACGCAAGTTCTGACGGTAAGGTCCGAATAGTTAATAATTAACAACTGTATATGTTAGCTCAGTTCTCCAACAAAGTTTTCTCTTAAAAAAGGAAAGGAGTCAGTTTAGACATTCATTTAGGATATAAGCTTACGACTATTATATGCGATCAACTTACACCACAACTTTCACATGAATTCTGCCTTCTGAAACATATATGAAACAACTTTCAAACAGACTTGTACAACAGGAAATATGAATAGTTGGGTATTTTGAATAAACATTGTATTGAAATATTGATCTCATAGCCTTTAGCGAGATATGAATCACGGATGGACAAAAATCATGCTGACACTTAAACAATTAAACAAGTGCCTTAAAAAGTTTGTTTCATGGGCAATAAAGTGTGACAGAGTTTTCTACAGTCATTTATTGATGAATTTTAAAATTTGTTTAACTTTTCCCATAATACAGGTAGCATTTGCTCACATGCTGTCAACCCCAGTCAAGATGACAAAGGCAAAGATACTGAGATTTGTGGATTCCACTTGCGTGGCAAGTGTAACTATGGCAATAACTGCGTCCATCACCATACAGATTTACCCTATTTATGGCAATTTGCTGCACAGGGTGATGACCAGTGGGAAAGTTTTTCAAATGAAGAGAACACAATCCTCGAGAATTGTTACTGTGATGTCAAAAATGAACACTCTAGTCGTGTAACAATAAAAGGATCTATTTATCTTGTTAACTTCCAGGATATGACTGCTGTTCCAGTTTCATTTCCAGGTACCACAGCAAAGATGTTAAAATTGAGAGGGGAAAGTGGGTTTATTTAATATGTGACATTCAAATATCCTGTAATAGACAATTATGACAGAAACAACTTTTTTTTTGGGAGAGCACCAAAGCTACCTTCTGGTCCATGTCAGGATGAAAAAAAGATGATGTATAGGAAAATGGGCCTTAGCTAGCTAGAGAAGGCTTGGTATGTAAAAAGAGGCAAAATGTTTTCTGTCCAACCTGCTTCATTTTCTCTAGAAAAACATTTGAAAAGCGTTAGGACCAACCACATGAAATACAAAAAGATGCCAGCCTTTTATTATTGAATTAATTACTTTGCTTGGTGCATGAAGTTGCTTTTAAATTGATCTGACCATTCTTTTATTGTTGTTAATTGTTAACTTGTGTGAAATCCATTATAAAGGAAACAGGTTTCAGCTTTTAGAAAAGAGAGGATGACCTTCTCTTGTGGTTAAACACTCATTTCAAAACTTTACCATTCACAAATAGAACTGAAGAATAACAGGTATACCCTTGTCTTGACTAAAGTTGGGGCTAACAGTTTTTATTATTGTTTTCTGTAAGTGTGTAAGACCACTGAGACTGTAATAAAGGTTCGGAGACTATCCACCATGTCATCAGCAGTTGCTGCAGCAGGCCATGTGTTCAGCACCAGATGGGAGTGGTACTGGAAAGATGAGAACAACAAGTGGCAATCATATGATACTCCTGGTGATGGACATGCTGTGAACACAACTAGCAGTCAGTGTTTTGAAAGAGAGTATCAAGCAGGTAAGGTAGAAAAGAAATGACTGTATGCTTTAATGAAAGTGGAAGAAAATGTATTTGTTTTGCAGAGAGACCTTTGAGATATTATAGCTGTGATAGCAGTAGTCTTCCCAAAAGCTGTCCTCTCACATGTATATGATTTAGAAGGGACTTTCTGGTAAGCTTGGTGACTATGTAATAAAGAAGGAATTCAAGGGGCTATGGCAGGTAGGGTGGAGTCTAGGTAGATGCAGTGGTCTGGTGGCTTGTCGGTTGGAGTCTAGATTGAAAGTCTTGGTTGAAGCTTAGTTCTTGTTGCACAAGACACTCTACTCTCACATACCCTTTTCTACCTAGGAATGTAAATAATAGGTACCAGCAAACTGTTTGAGAATGAAAACTTGCAGGGGTAACCCAAGGATGGTGTGGGATCCCCCATGAAGGGGAAACTAGTAATACTTGTTGTGTCCTTATGTTACTGAGACTAGAATAACCTTTGGCAGGATGAAGCTTGAAGTCTTGCAACTTGTTAACTTGCTTTGCCATGGAGCAAAGTATTCAAAATTTAATCTCTTTTAGCCATATATTAACCCTGTAACTATCAGAAGTGATTAAATTGTAACTTCTCCCTATAATATACATACTCTTAATCCAGGAAACAGGCAATGGGAATACTCAAACTTACCAGGTGGAAGTTTTTATCTCAATCTACAATGTAACACCAAATTCTTGTGTCTAATTTCCAAGGAAATGTGTGGCAGCTAGTGGGGAGAATTAAAAATCAGATCTGTGGAGTTAAAGGGTTTAATTTTGCTTGCTTGCTTGTTTGTTTGTTTGTTTTCTTTTTAGGGAAGGACACTCACCCTTTTAGTGCTTCTCATCACCAATACACTTTGGACTTTAAAAGATGGTGCCAGAAAAATAACAAGTATAAGACAGAAAGGCCTGTCAGAAGGAGACCAGCTGAGTTTGTGTCCAAACATAATATAGCAGATATTGTCTCTCAAAGGTGATTATATTACAATTTTGCAATGTTTGAAAGCACAAGGTGGGGTGGGGAGGTGTACTTTTCGAGAGCAAAACTTCAAAGATATGACAGAGGTTATCACTCAGAGGTGATTACTCTGCAATGTTGTCATGTTTGAAAGTACAGGGTGGAAGGGGTGGAGCAAGATTTTAAAGATATGCCAAAGAAATTATCACTCAGAGGTTATTGTTTTACAATGTGGTGATGTTTGAAAGCACAGTGTGGGAGGGAGTACTTTTAAAATGCAAGACTTTAAGATATGACAAAGAGATTATCACTCAGAAGTGATTATTCTACAATGTTGTGATGTTTGAAAGCACATGGTGGGGGATGGGGATACTCTAAGATATAACAAAGGTAAGTAAACACCTTTAAACTGGAATTTGTTTAGAATTAGTCTGCAAAGAAACTATTTTAATTTGAAACCCTCTCTGTATTCATGCAAAGTGAAGGGTTTGATTTTCCTTTTCTTTACCACATTAAAGATAATTTTTTCACGGAGCAGTTAACATGTGAAATAGCCATACCATAATATGAATATACAGCTGTTTTGAGAAAGTTTGTCGAAAAAAGAAAGGTGTAAAAGTGCACGCAATGCCTGGGTAGTTTTCAGGTCGCGGTTCCTAAACCTCAGGATTTCAGAATCCCAGAAAACGTCACTGAAAAGAAAAGGAATAGCGGGTTGATGAATCTATCTATTTATTTGAATTGTTAAAATTTACTGATTCCTGAATGCCCAGACTACCTTTCGAGATCGTCGTGTGCACTTTTGTGCTTTATTCCAACAACCTTTCTTGAAACAACTGTATTAAATCAACATAATGTTTCTTTCCTTCACATAATGTATTTTTAATAAGCCTGTTCCAGGGTAAAGTTGGTGATTTTTACTTTCTTTATTAGGCGTAAAGCAGTCAGTATGGCCCGACCATCCACTTCGGCAGAGGCGGACAGGGTGCCATCCCACTGGTCTTCTATTCCTGATGGCAAGGATTACTTGTGTGAACGTTTGTCAACCATCACTGAAGAATACAAGAAGACAGAGAAGAGATTCAATGATTCAATGGAAAAGAGCCACAAAATTGTCTCCATAGAGCGAGTGCAGAACCTGGAACTGTGGATTCAATATGCACAGTAAGTTATGAGTTGAAGGACATAGGATAGGCTTGACGGCTTCTTTTGTTTAACCCTTTGGCACCTAAAAGTGACTAGCATTTAATTTCTCCTCACAATATCACCCCTGAATCAAACATGAAGGCGACGAGAATTAAGAAGTTGATCACCAACCAAAGAAGCTCTTGATTGTTCAACAAATTCTCCTCATCAGCACCATAGGAAGTGTGTAGAGAACAGTAAGGAGAACATGCATACTGATGCTACAGTGTAAAGGGTTAAGTGGTTCGCCTATTTCCATTGCCGCCATTTGATAGTTTTTTTGTTTTAATTCCGCTAAGTGAAGGAAATCGTTTAGCTCATTTTCAGTCTTGTGGCACTCTAAGATGATATGACAGAATGATTTTTTAACGGGTAGATTCCACGTTACGGTGCGTCTGTTCAGTAATAGATCACAGTTGACGTCAAAATGTGCTGAGAACAAAAACTATTGTTGCTGACGTTCTTACCACATTTTGACGTCTTCAGTGATCTATTACTGAACAGACCCACAGCAACATTGAATCTATTTGTTTTATGTAATGAAAAAGCAAAATGCAGTTAATGATGACCAATCAAAATGCACGTAGAATTCGGCTTATCATATGGGTTAAGATTTTGCCGAAAGTTAAAGAGACAAAAGCTCAAAAAGGTGGCACCAAGTATCTTACACAAGATTGCTGAACGTATTTTTACATCCTTTTTTTCCTTCGTGATTTGTAGGAAGAAGGGCCGCATGGCCAAGAAAAGCGGCAAAGAGCCCGAAGAACGCCAACTCTTCCATGGAACAAAACCTGACACTGTCAAAGCAATCTGCCAACAGGGAATCGACTGGCGAATGTGTGGAAAACATGGTACAGCTTATGGCGAGGGAAGTTATTTTGCTTCTAGTGCTAAGTATTCTCACCGTTATTCCAATCACGGTGTTACTCGTGGTAATAAGCAGATGTTCTTGGCTAAGGTTCTGGTGGGTTCTTTTACAGCTGGAGACAAATCTTTTAAAAGGCCTCCTCCTAAAGATTCATCCAATCCACATGTGTTGTATGACTCCTGTTGTGACAACACAGCGAATCCGGCATTGTTTGTTGTGTTTGAAAATGGGCAGTCCTATCCTGAATTTTTGATCACTTACACATGATTTATTAACTTTCTTTGTTTACCGTGATATAATGAACAATAATGTAACGAAACGTAACGAAATGGCACATCTTGTAGCCACCTAAGGGATGGTAATGTGACCTGAGGTAGCAAAATGAACTGTAAAGTAACGTAACATATCAATGATACTGCATACCATCATAGTCAAAATGTGCTCTTCTCAGCATAAGTCGATAGATGAGTTCAAGTGCTTTATTTTCTTAATGTTTTTTGAAATAGTTTTCATTTACTTTAATGACAGTTTTAAATATTCAAAACAGATTAACGCCGTATCGTCAAAGAGGATTCATTCTTCTCTAAATAAGAAGAGATAAAAATTTGATAGTTTTTTTTTTATATATATTTACAAGTAGTCCATGAAATTTTGGAAAATTCCTTTAAAGGTGGAAAAAAAGTAAAGTAGAAGAAATAAGAAGAAATTAAAAGTAATGAAATAACATAAATATAGTGGGTGAGTTTCTAAAGAAACTGTGGTGTTGCATCGGTGGGAGAGTATAACGGGGTAATTTGGTATTATCAACTGAGTTGGTAATGTAAATTGGTCATCGCAAAGAGTTGCAGAGCTGACGTTTCGAGTGTTAGCCCTTTGTCAGAGCGAAACTATTCACTATAAACAAAGGGCTAACGCTCGAAATGTCAGCTTTGATAGTAGCTTTTACTTTTGGTTTTTATTGTTCAGTTTTCTTTATAAGGACATAAATAGGAAAGTAACTAAGAATTACTACTTTAAGGAAACTCATTTGAGAAGGCCCTGCTCTCAAGTTTTGCCTTTTATTAGGCTGAAATGTCAGCATTCTCCTCGCCCCTCTCTCCCTTTGGAACACTCCCAGGGGTGTTGGGGCCGGGGGACATCTGGTCGTTCAGACACCCCACTTACTGGAAGAGTGGTAACATTATTTCACCCCGACCTAGAATCTCCACTGACCTAGAATCTTAAACAATCCAATGTTAATTTTCAGATGGTGATGCGACATTCAATCCAAACCCTGGATGCTTTTGTCTCTCCCACCCCTTTATAACATACAATTCAAATCAATTGAAATGCAAGCATATTTCACTGCAAAAGAATTGTTTCACACAAACGACATTTCCACTCTGGGAGTCGTATCACCAGCTGCAAGGAGATCGAGCACCCTACACCCCTGTAACATATCTTCCTTGTTTGCTTAGGCCCCAACTGATCACTGTAAAATTGAAGTTAATAAAATCAACATTGAAGGGAAGCCTTGTGTTGTCCTGAGCTGAAACATTTACAATATCTTTCTGCTTGCTTCAAAAGAAATGTGATGAAGTACGATCTCTCTATATACATAGTTCCATTTCTGCCACCATGAAAAAAAGTGACCGAATTAATTTTTTTATTACACCCATTTTGAAATCAATGGTGGTTCCTGTAATCTTATTGGCACTAATTAGTGCGATTTATTCACGAATCGCACTATTTTTTGCTTTAAATCGCATCTTTTTCCCAGCCAATAGGGAGGCTACACTAAAAACAAAACAACCAATCAGATTTCAAGGCTTGTTTAAAGTAACCCATCAAATTGCAGGAAAATAAAAGACAAAGTGTATCATGTAGCAAATTTTGCAACTTTTGTTTCCAAAACTTTTTTTTTTCCCCCCAGAAAATGGATCAATTTAATTTTAAACCGGCTAGTACTCCATCAATAAAATATTTGAACTGACCAAGTCCTGTATTTGGGCGATTTCAAAACGGCTGTAATAAGTAGTAATTGAACCTCGTGCCGTGCAATTTTCGTCCGAAATCATACTTGTGATTTCAAATCGAACTCGCGATGCGCGCTTGTTCGATTTTCAAATCATGCGTATGATTTCAGACCAAATTGCACTCCACTCAGTTCAATTACCACTTTAAACCACCAGCGCGCGGATGAAACATTTTTATTATATAGATACTGGTGAAATACCAGGATTTTTCCTTTTTCCAAAAAATAATATCTTCATCGCACGCAGTGAAGATACTATCTTTATCTTTCACGTGTGAGGATATTGGCGTCGCCATGGTTACTAACATGATTAGCCAATTACATGAGAGAAAAAAGTGAAAAAAGTTGCCTTTTATGTAGGAATTTCATCAGTATCTATATAATAAACAGAACATCACATTGCCGCTTGGGGATACGAATTTTATGAGCGAAGCGAGCAATTGAGTGAAATTCGTATCCCCGCGCGGCCATGTAATATCCTCTAATATTCATTCATGACAACCTTTGAGCACAATTAACAACTGAGTATTTGGTTGTTTACCATTTACCACAAATTCCCGGTTGGGATGTAACTCATGGCTCTTTAAGGGCCTGTTTACATGAAGGTGGGGGAACCCCAGCTAGGTGAGGTAACCCGCCTAGCCGTGGTCAAAAAATAAAGCGCGTTTACATACAATCTTACTACCCCGGGGTGCTGGGGTGAGGTTTCTTGAGGTTGTTGTCGCGCTTGTAATTAAGGAGTTTGAGCAGAGGCGTCCCAAGCTCACATCTGGAGAAAGACGGAAGATTAATTCTCGGACACGTGTATTTACGCGCTGTTAAGTTACGCGAGGAAACGTTGACTCATTACGTTATACGGAATAGTTTGGGAAACGAAATATGGTCGATTTACAACGCTAAATATTGCGAAATGTGAACATTTTACACTCCTTGTGTGTCCGTTGCGGTTTCTGGTGATTTCAGCCATGAGAAGGAGCTTTTTGCCATGAACACAACCCCGGCTAAGCGAGTTACCCCACCTTGAGACGTTTACTTGCATTTGGCAAATTGTCACCCCGGCCGGCTGACCGGGTTACCCTACCTGGCAGACCAGGCAACCCACCTCGGCGGGTCACCCCACCTATCATGTAAACGTGTTCAAGATAAAATAGGAAATTATATAGACAAGCGGGTTACCCCACCTAGGCGGGTTACTTCACCTACCACCTCCGTGTAAGTACTAAAACATGGAACGACCTAAAACCACCTAAAACCACCTAAAACCACCTAAAACCACCTAAATCCACCTAAAACCACCTACAACCATCTACAACCACTTCAAAAATTTCAACAACGACCTACAACCACCTCAAAAACATCTACCGTCAATCGCAAACTATCTAAAACCATCTAAAACAAGGCATAAATGTCTTAAATAACGCGAAACGACAACATGTCACGTACATGAAATACGAGAATCGAACGAAACCTCCACCTCCTCCTGAAATCTCTTCTAGCTTTTGAGGTGGTTGTAGATGGTTGTAGGTGGTTGTAGGTGGTTTTAGGTCGTTCCATGTTTTAGTACTTACCCTGAAATCTTACTCTCCCTGGTCCCATGTATAATCAACCATCTCACGAAATGAAATGCGAGAGCATGCCAATTATATTTTTTATTACCTAAGTAGTAAAAGATCTAAAGAACTTTGCAAGCAGACGTTTTGGTTCACGTTTCATTTGATTACGTAATGGTCCAAGGTAGTGTTTTTCTCCACTTGCAATCTCAGCACTGGAAATGTTACGGTAATTGGAGCGAAACGTGAGTCACTATTGAGTAAGTGGCACCACTCGTACAACTGCATGCTGTATGAATGCCAGCACGATGGCGTTCGTGCCAAAGGAAGATCCCGAAGGTACGCACAGTTCGCTTAAAATATTTCCAAGGATCATTCTTACTCATACTTTTACTAGACGTGAGCCAAAACGTCTGCTGGTACCCAGGGTAGAAAAAGCCAAGTCAAGTCAGTCTTGACTACGAGTTTGTTATTTTACTTTATTATTTTTTGTAACTTGATAGTTCATTTTGTAAAGTCCTTTAAGTCTTTAGCTACTGAGGGAATATAAAATAATTTGCATGCTATCGCATTTCATTTCGTGAGATGGTTGATTATACATGGGACCAGGGAGAGTAAGATTTCAGGGGGTGGTGGAGGTTTCGTTCGATTCTCGTATTTCATGTACGTGACATATTGTCGTCTTGCCTTATTTTAGACATTTATGCCTTGTTTTAGATAGTTTGCGAGTGGCTGTAGATGTTTTTGAGGTGGTTGTAGGTGGTTTTTGAAATTTTTGAAGTGGTTTTAGGTGGTTTTAGGTCGTTCCATGTTTTAGTACTTACGAACAGATTCGGCGGGAAAATTTGTGATAAGGAATGAGAAATTGCGACCATTTCTGTTACTTGGCGAGACGGACACATCTAAAAAAGCGTCGTAAAGGTAAGACGCTTGTAATAAACTGCTTTCCTAACACCTAGGGTGGGTAGCACTGATTTGAATTTGGGTGACATACACTCCCACAACAGAAAACCACAATGTTTACATTCTCTATGATATCTGTAAGTAATCTACTGTAACACTTTCTAATAAGTTTACCTTGGAGTTCGTCGATACTATTGCTATATAGACGGTAAATTTTAAGTCGGATAGTTATTCAGTTCTCATCGAAGCTCGAAATCGCATGAGAACGACTAGCTTAGAGCGTGCATAAATTTGTTCATCTACAGTGAACTAAATCATTGTGGAGTAATATTTTCTTAAGGAAAACAAAAAAAGATTAAACCTGAACCGAAAGTGGAGACACTTGCCCGAAGAATAGAAAGTTATGTGAGGTGAGTTCACACAAGGGAGTTTTGGCAGCGCCTAGACAGTAAAATTTCAGTTTGAGAAGGCTGATCTCTCCTTAATAGGTAGTTATAAATGTTGGCATAAAGAAAAATTTTAAGGTTGTTGAATGATTTCTAGTGTAGTTTGAAATGAAGAAGAAATTTTAAAAAATATACCTTAAGTAATCACAAGTCCCAACATGTCTCTGAAAATATTAAAGGATTGTTTGAAAAAATGGATTAGAGTAAAAATTGAAGAGTTCATCCTTTTCGTAGGATTTTTGAAAAAACTGGGGACTTGTCAAAAACACAACAGCAGGAGCTCTCAGCTAAAAAGGCATAATCAGCATTTCATGATTAATTTTGAATATTATGCAGATACCTTTCCATTTTTTAAGGGATTTTTTGCACTTGTGAATCATTGTGATGATTATCAAAAGTTGAAGAGTACAACTATTGCTGTGTTAATCTGAAATGACAGAACTCTTTGATTTATTTGTTTTCCTTTTTCAGAAACATGCAAATAAAAAAGTTACTGAAATTTTCTTTTGAAATTTGTAGGAAAACTACGTTCCTTGCAGTAGTGAGGTACTTTCCAAACAAAAGCCTATGTATGATATGATTTTGTGTTTGACAAAGTGGATCCATTTGAATTGGGGAGATGAGGGACTCAAACTCATGTTTAAGAGAATATTCCTCAATTTATGTCCTGGTGGAAGACTTATCCTTGAGTGTCAGCCATTGTCCTTACACAAAAAGAAGAAAAATTTGACAGTAAGTGATTATTTCAATGTTGTAGCTAAGAAATTAAGCTGTCAATTGAAATTTCTAGTGAGGCAGCTCAAAAATCGAATGATTTTGTGTGCATAATATCAGAGGTACATCTTGTGCTCCACCAAGCAATCACTAGCCAAAAATCTAAGCAGCAATCACTACTTTTCATCTGCTGAATCTCACCGGCAACCAGCGCTTAGAAAGAACCCTGTTATTTACCATCAGGTGCTAGCTTTTTCCTTTATTGGCTATGAATGCAATAGTGTAGGTCCCTCGTTTTAAAACTTCATTTTCTTCTGTATCACCCAAGGCAAAAACAATCTCAATTCAGTATTATTAGCAACTTCTACAACAGTATTGCTTTAAGAAACTAATTTCATTCTTTTATTTTTTTCTATATGGAGAAACTTGATTTAATTTTAACATCAATGAAGACATTTTTGTAGAAAATAAGCCTCAAATTAACCATCCATATCCACCATTAAGTCTTTTCTATAAATTTTTTTAATAATAATTCAATATTTTTTATATAATCATAATTAGGAAATAAACCATTGCATCTAATATTTTTATCACCATCAACAACATTCTTTCCAGGAAAAAAACGGTGCAAATTATGATGCCATTCTCTTTCAACCTGAACACTTTATTGACTACCTTCTATCAGACATGGTGGGATTTGCTACTTTTGAAGTTCTTGAGATTCAACAACACAAAGCCTCTGGTGAGAGTATTTAAGTGCACAGTTGATCATCCAAGGTTTTTAAGAAATATTATAGCATTTTGTGAATACTTTGAAAATAATTTTTTGGAAACATAGTAGCCTAGTGGTTGGCTAGGGGCAAATCCAGGAATTTTTAAACTTTTCATTCAGAAAACATAAATTTTTAATGCTATAACCTAAATAAGTTAAGAAATAAAGGTAAGTGTTAGATACTTCATAATAAGTAGCAACATGCTATGCTTCCATTGCAAGAATTTTGTTAGTGAACAAGTATTAAAATTTACCTCCAGGTCTGATGGGTGGGGGGAGGGTTTGGCCCCCTCTGGACCCTTCCCTCTGGATCTGCCACTGTTAGTAGGCATGTGCAAGGTGTAGGAGATATACTCTTAATGCTCACTATTTTAGCATAAACAAGCAAAACAAACTTTATTGGTAGTTTTGATTTGTTCTTGAGCAAGACACCTTTATGTCTTAGTGCTTTTCCTTGCCCAGAAGTGAGAACTGGTACCAGTACCGGCAAGGTGTTAGGAAAATTCTTAGAAAAAAAGGTATGGGTAATGTATGATAGATTAATAGTCCAATGGAAGAGGGCTATACTGTTCTTGAGCTAAATGCAATAAAACATGTTGCATGTTTCTTTTCTATTCTTAGGGCTCCAGAGGCCTTTGTATCTTCTCACAAAAGCTGCTGATAAGCAAGGGGAACCTTTGGAAGAAATTTAGTAGGATTCAATAAATATGTCATCTATATTATACTAGCATAGCAAGTGGAAATCACAAAATGTAGTTGTCTTGCATATTCCTTGAGTCAATGGAATTAGTGACATTCTTTTGACTATACATATATATATATATATACAGCCACAAACTTGAAAAGTAGAGAATAAAACTTTCTTTTCATTGATGCAATGGATTGTTGCTATATATCTAAGAGTGTGTTTGAAAATTTTGGATTTTTTTGTTTGGTTGTTTTTACTTGTACAACTGCCTTAAGGATTGTCTCTAAGTTAAAATTTTTGGAAGTAAAATGAGTTTTTCAAACCTGAAAATTCCAGAGTAAGTGTGATAGTTTATTTTTTCATCAGTTGACACCCTTTACTTACATGTACAGTGCTGCTGAGAAATATATTAACCAAAAAACATGCATGAAACATGCATAAATTTGAATGTGAGTGCATAAACATTTAACTTATGTCTAAATTCTACATCTGTCTCTTTAAGTGTATGAGCTAGTTTATTGTTTTTTCCATTGTTGACAGGTAATTGTTCTATAGCACAAACTAATCGCACTAAAATACTACACAACTACAAACTACATAATTATAGACTTGTTTGTCTCAATGTCTGCTCAAGCCAACCTTCCTAATATGCTCTTACTTATGTAGGCAACTTCATTAAGACCTAACCTCTCTTCTTTTGATAATAGAGGCTCAGTGTGTGGCAACCTTGTTCTTGCATAATGGGTCTTCTCTCCTCTGCTTTAACCACAGTTTGCCCCTGTTGTAGTTTGTTTCAACCAAGTCATTTTGGTTTTTTTTTCAAATTTAGGGGAATGGTCAGGCTATCACTTTAAATACACATATGCGTGGGGGAAAGCTCAGTTAAAAGGTTACTTTTTCATGTTTTTTTTTTGAGGAGGCTTTAGAGTCCTGCATATAAGAAAGTGTGACCTATGACCCCTTACATACCTATTTGTTACAACAACTGATCATCTATGTAGGTGAAGTTGTTTCACCTATTTACATGCTAATATTAGTGTAAAAATTCTCCATACTGTTCTCTATGCATTTCCTGGTATTCTTACAAGGATAATTTTTCTAACAATCAAGAGCTTCTTGATTTCAAAATAATTTCCTTTTTTCTCAGGGATGATACTATCAGGAGAAATCAGATGCTTATATTCCTAAGGGAGTGAAGGGTTTCACATTGGGTTATTTTGTAATACTGTTGCTATTGCCGACTCCTTTTGTATTTAAACTATATGATTGGCTGCTGTGAAAACTTTTTTCGTTTAGATCCCCTCGAGACCCATAAGAAAAAAGCCTGAGGATAGAATATGTCGATTACATTCCCATGAAATCGAGATGCTGAGGTGCAGCAAGCTTGTGGGCTCAAAAAATCCGGAAGTTGGTACGAAAATCCTTACAAGTCAAAACACGCCATGTCCTCTAAATTGTCGAGCGTGGGAGATAGCCTGGACGAGTTGATTCAAATTTTATTGAACAATCGGAGGGAAGTAGAACTCGGACATGCAATTCTACAACTTTCCCGAGCAAACCGTAAAGTTGTGTCAGATTTTGGGGCGCAAGAGTTTGTCAATAAGTTTCCACAACTTTTCCAGATCAGGCGAACGAAATCGAAAGTAATGTTGAGGTTGGACGTTCCTCTCGAGTTCTGTCCTCAAGCGGGGGAAAAAGGTGGATGTACTGATATGAGGTGTTTTCGTCTTCATTTGTGCCCTTTCTTTGTCAAAGAAACCTGCAAATTTGGTGACAAGTGCAAAAGGTCTCACGAGTATCAAGACGAACATACGATGCGCATTCTGCAACACTTCCGCCTTCACTTTCTTGACCTTAATCTTCTTCAAGACATACTGAAAATGATTGTTGATGAGAGTGAGATCCAGCGAACGGCTGCTGGTCGCTCTTTACCAGACATCTGTAAATTCTACAACAACAAGAGCGGTTGCAAGAAAGAAGAAAATTGTCCCTGTCTTCACGTGTGTGAGCACTTCGTCGATGGCGATTGTAAATTCGGAGGAGGATGCAAAAGAAACCACGACTTCTCTGATTCCCATAACAGAAGAGTTCTACAGCAGTATGATATGGGGCACATCAGTATCCATAAAGTGCTTCAACGACTGAAGGGCAGGGAAAGAAAGCGAAGTGTTAGCGCAAGTTCTGACGGTAAGGTCCGCATAGTTAATAATTAACAACTGTGTAGAGTAACTTCTACAACAAAGTTTTCTCATTAAAAAGGAAGGAGTTAGTGTAGACATTTATTTAGGATGTAAGCTTACAACTATCATGTGCGATCAACTTACACCACATTTCACATGAATTCTGCCTTCTGAAACGTGTGAAACAACTTTCAGACAGACTTGTACAACAGGAAATATGGATAGTTGGGGTATTATGAACAAACATTGTATTGAAATATTGATCTTGTAGCCTTTTGTGAGATATGAATCATGGATGGACAAAAATCATGCTGACACTTAAACAACTAAACAAGTGCCTTAAAAAGTTGTATTTGTGGGCAACAAAGTGTAACAGAGTTTTCTACAGTCATTCAAGTTTACTGATGAATTTTTAATTTCATTAAACTCTTCCCATAACACAGGTAGCACTTGCTCACATGTATGCTTTATGCAGTATCCAAAATTTTTAAACTTTCCAAGCACTCAATGAAAATAAAGTGATATATTTGTTAGCTGTTTACTCAGCTTGTGTGGTTAAGAGATGGTTGATTTATTGCTTAATTTTTAGAAGAGAGTGTGCAATTATCAAGATACCAACCAGTGATGAGAATGGATAGTGCTAACCCAACCATACCACATATTCCTGTGCAGCAAGGAGTAGGCAGTCGCTCCATACCAGAGATCTGTAAATTCTACAACAGTAAAACAAAATGCACAAAAGGTGATAAGTGTCCTTGCCTTCATGTATGTGAGCATTTCATCAGTGCTGACTGCAAATTTGGTGAGGCTTGTAGGCATGAACACAGCTTCTCCTCTTTCCATAATAGAAGAGTCTTGAAACAACACGACATTGCCAATGTCAGTGACCTCAAAATCCTTGAATACTTACAAGCAAGAGTGAAGAAACGAACAGGAAGTGCAAGTTCCAGTGTTGAGAAGCCTTTGACTGTCAACTTAAGTGCTGTAAACCCCAGTCAAGATGACAAAGGCAAAGATACTGAGATTTGTGGATTCCACATGCGCGGCAAGTGTAACTATGGCGACAAGTGTATCCATCACCACACAGATTTACCCTATTTATGGCAATTTGCTGCACAGGGTGATGACCAGTGGGAAAGTTTTTCTAATGAAGTGAACGCAATCCTTGAGAATTGTTACTGTGATGTCAAAAATGAAAGCTCTAGTCATGTAACAATAAAGGGATCTCTTTATATTGTTAACTTCCAGGATATGACTGCTGTTCCAAGATCATTTTCAGGTGCTACGCCTAAGATGTGGACATTGATGGCAAAAAGTAGGTTTATTTTTGTGACATTCAAATATGCAGTAATAGACAATTATGACCAAAACAAACATTTTTTAAGGAGAGTATCAAAGCTACCTTCTGGTCCATGTTGGGATGAAAAAAAGATGATGAATTGGAAAATGGGTCTTAGCTAGCTAGAGAAGACCTAGTATTTAAAAAGGCAGGTGTTTCCTGTCCCACCAGCTTCATTTTTTCTAAAAATTAAAACATTTGAAGATTGTTAGGACCAACCACATGAAATGCAAAGAGATGCCAATCTCTTATTATTGGTGCACAAATTTACTCATAAATTTCATGATCTGACCATTCTTTTATTATTACTACTATTAACAGTGGTAGTGGTAGTGGTAGTGGTAGTTGTAGTTATTTGTTTGAAATCCATAATGAAGGACACAGCTTTTAGCTTTAAGAAAAGAGGGGAATAGGCATGACCTTCTTCTGTGGTGAAACAATCATTTCAAGACTTCACCCTTCACCATTCACAAATGGAACAGAAGAATAATAGGTAAACCCCCGTTTTGACTACAGTTGAGGCTTACAATTTTTATTCTTGTTCTCTGTAAGTGTTTATGACCACTGGGACTGTGGTAAAGGTTCGAAGACTTTCTACTGTGTCATCAGTGGCTGCTGCAGCAGGCCATGTGTTCAGCACCAGATGGGAGTGGTACTGGAAAGATGAGAACAACAAGTGGCAGTCATATGATACTCCTGGTGATGGACATGCTGTGAACACAACCAGCAGTCAGTGTCTTGAAAGAGAGTATCTGGCAGGTAAGGTAGAAGTGAATGACTATATGCTTTATGGAAGTGGAAGAAAATGTACTCTTTTCACAGCTATAGATGCCATAGCTATGATGGCAGTAGTCTTCCTTTTCAACTCAGTAAAACACATTGATTTAGATTTGAATTGTGGTTCACCCTTCTGTCCTCATACATGTATATGGTTAAGAAGGGACTTTCTGGTAAGCTTGGTTACTATGTAATAAGGAAGGAATCCAAGAGGATATGGGCAGGTAGGGTGGAGTCAAGGTAGCTTAGCTACAGTCTCTCTCTGTTCTTGAACAAGACACTTTTCTCTCACAATACCCCTTTCTTCCTAGGAATGTAAATAATGGGTACCAGCAAACTGTTTGAGAAAAATGAAAACTTGGTGGGGGATTACCCAAGGATAGTGTAGGATCCCCCATGAAGGGGAAACTAGTTATAGTTGCTATGTCCTCATGTTACTGAGACTGGAATAACCTTTGGCAGGATAAGGCTTAGAAGTCTTGCAACTTGTTAGCTTACTTTGCCATGGAGCAAAGTGTTCAAAAGTTAGTGTCTTTTAGCCATATATTAACCCTGTAACTATCAGAAATGATTAAACTGTAACTTCTCCTTATAATATATGTACTTATTCAGCAAACAGGTAATGAGAATACTCAAACTTACCAGGTTAAAGTCTTGATCTACAATGTAAAACCAAATTCTTGTAACTAGTTTCCAAGGAAATGTGTAGCAGCTTGAGGGGAGAATTAAAAATCAGATCTTAGGAGTAAATGGGTTCAATTTTGCTTGCTTGTTTGTTTGTTGTTGGCTTTTTTAGGGAAGGACACTCACCCTTTTAGTGCATCTCATCACCAATATACATTGGACTTTAAAAAATGGTGCCAGAAAAATGATAAGTATACAACAGAAAGGCCTGTAAGAAGGAGACCTGCTGAGTTTGTGTCCAAGCAGAATATGGCTGAGATTGCTGCTCAAAGGTGATTATATTACAATGTTGTGATGTTTGAAAGCACAAGGTGGGGGGGGGGGGGAAAGGGGGTGTACTTTAAAAAGCAAAACTTTAAAGGTATGACAAAGAGATTATTGCTCAGAGGTGATTATTCTACAGTGTTGTGATGTTTGAAAGCAAAGTGTGGGGAGGGGGGCATTCTTTTAAAGAGCAAAACTTTGAAGATATGATAGAGATTATTGCTCAGAGGTGATTACTCTACAATGTTATGATGTTTGAAAGCACAGTGTTGGGGAAAGGCATTCTTTTAAAGAGCAAAACTTAAGATATGACAAAGAGATTATCGTTCAGAGGTGATTACAATGTTGTGATGTTTAAAAGCACGAGGTGGGGGTACTTTTAAAGAGCAAAACTTTGGAGATATGACATAGAGATAATTGCTCAGAGGTGATTACTCCACAATATTGTGATGTTTGAAAGCACAGTGTGGGAAGGGGGTGTACTTTTGAAGAGCAAACTTCAAAGATATGACAAAGAGATTATTGCTCAGAGGTGATTACTCTACGATGTTGTGATGTTTGAAAGCACAATGTGGGGGTGGGGGCGCGTACTTTCAAAGAGCAAAATTTTTAAGATATGACAAAAAGATGATCGCTTAGAGATGATTAATCTACATGATGTTTGAAAACACAGGGTTGGGGGAATGGGGGGTACTTTATAGATATAATAAAGGTTAGTAAACATCTTTGAACTGGGGTTGGTTTAGAATTAGCCTGCGAATAAATTATTTCAGTTTGGAACCCTCTCTGTACTTCAGGTGAAGTGAAGGGTTTGATTTGCCTTTTTCGTTACCGGTTTAATTAAAGAGAAAAATGTTTCACCAGGCAGTTAACATGTGAAGCAGCCCAACCATGATATGAATATAGAGCTGTTTCAAGAAAGTTTGTCGGAAAAAAAGGTGTAAAAGTGCACGCGAGGCGTGGGTAGTTTTCAGATCACCGTTCCTTGACCGCAGGATCTCAGGGAAATCCGAGAAAACGTCACTGAAAGGACGAGGCATAGCGGGTTTGATGTATCTATCTATTTATTAAAATTATTAAAATTTATTGACTACCGGATACCCAGATTACCTTTCGAGATCGTCCCGTGCGCTTTTGTCCTTTATTCCGACAACCTTTCTTGAAACAGCTCTATTAAATTAACATAATTTTTCCCTCCTTCACATAGTGTATGTCTAATAAGTCTGTTCTAGGGTAAAGTTGGTGTTTTTTGCTTTTTTATCAGGCGTAAAGCTGCTGGTACGGCCCGACCATCAAGTTCATTTTCCACAGAAGCGGACGGGGTGCCATCTCACTGGTCTTCTGTTCCTGTAGGCGAGGAGTACTCGTGTGAACGTTTGTCAACAATCACCGAAGAATACAAGAAGACGGAGAAGAGATTCAAAGATTCAATGGATGAGAGCCACAAAATTGTCTCCATAGAGCGAGTGCAGAACCCGGATCTGTGGATTCTATTCAAACAGTAAGTTACGAGTTGAAGTTGGGATAGACTTCATGGCTTCTGTCGTGTTACCCTTTGGCTCCTAAAATTGACTGACATTTAATTTCTCCTTAAAATATCACCCTTAAATCAAACATGAAGGGGACGAGAATTAAGAAGATGATCACCTACTAAAGAAGCTCTTGATTGTTCAACAAATTCTCCTCGTCAGCAACTCAGGAAATGCGTAGAGAACAGTAAGGAGAACATGCATACTGATGCTACGGTGTAAAGGGTTAAGTGGTTCGTCTATTTCCATTGCCGCCATTTGATAGTTTTTCGTTAAAGGAAACCGTTTAGCTCGTTTTCATCTTGCGGCGATCTTAGGTGATATGACAGAACGATCTTTAAACAAGTAGGCTCCATGTTACGTTACATACGTCCGTTCAGTAATATATCACAGATGACGTCAAAATGTCCTAAGGACAAAATTTTTGACGTCTTCTGTGACCTATTACTGAACACACCCACAGAGACATTGAATCTATTCGTTTTATATGATGAAAAAGCAAAATGCAATTAATGATGACCAATCGAAATCTTAATCATATGGGTTAAGATTTTGTGGAAAGTTAGAGAGACAAAAGCTCAGAAAGGTGGTAACAAGTATCTTACACAAGATTGCTGAACGTGTTTTTACATCCTCTTTTTTCCTTCGTAATTTGTAGGAAGAAGGTCCGCATGACTAAGAAAAGCGGCAAAGACCCCGAAGAACGCCAACTCTTCCATGGAACAAACCCCAACACTGTTAAAGCAATCTGCCAACAGGGATTCGACTGGCGAATGTGCGGGAAAAATGGTACAGCTTATGGCAAGGGAAGTTATTTTGCTTCTAATGCTAATTATTCTCACTGTTATTCCAATCGCGATTTTACTCGTGGCGCTAAGCAGATGTTCTTGGCTAAGGTTCTGGTGGGTTCTTTTACAGCTGGAGACCAATCTCTTACAAGGCCTCCCCCTAAAGATTCATCCAATCCCCATGTGTTGTATGACTCCTGTTGTGACAACACAGCGAATCCTGCATTGTTTGTTGTGTTTGAAAATGGGCAGTCCTACCCTGAGTTTTTGATCACGTACACTTGATTTGTTAACTTTGTATTTACCGTGATGAAACAGAAACGTAAAGAAACGTAACGAAATGGCACGTCTTGTAGCTGCCTAATGGATGGTAACGTGACCTAACGTAACAGAACGAACTGTAACGTAACGTAACATATCGACGATACAGCGAAGAAACATAAAATACTTTGGTGTGAGAGTTATATACCAACATAGTGAAAATGTGCTGTTCTCAGCATACGTTGATAAATTAGTTCAAGTTCTTTATTTTCATAATGTTTTTTGAAATGGTTTTTGTTTATTTTAATGATAGTTTTAAACACTCAACAGATCGGTACCGTATCGTCGAAGAGGATACATTCCTCTCTAAATAAGAAGAGATAACAATTTGATAGTTTTAATTTTTGATATGTTTACGAGTAGTCCATGAAATTTTGGAAAATTCCTTTGAAGGTGGAAAAAAGTAAAGTAGAAGAAATAAGAAATTACAATCCAAGTAATGAAATAACATTAATAAATGGGCTGAGTTTCTAAGGAAACCGTGGTGCTGCGTTGGTGGGAGGGTATAACAAGGTAATTTGGAATTATCAACTGAGTTGATGACGTAAATTGGCCATTGTAAAGAGTTGCAAAGCTGATGTTTCGAGCGTTAGCCCTTCGTCAGAGCGAATGGTTTCGCTCTGACGAGGGGCTAACCTCGAAACGTGAGCTTTGAAATTCTTTACGGAGGCCAATTTACGGTTTCAACTCAGTTGATAATACCAAATTTCCCAATGAAATAATAATTTGGTAGTTTTAATTTCTAAAACGTTTACAAGTAGTCGGCACAACGTCTTCAAAACTTCTTCAAAACGAAAAATCGACAATAGAAAAAATAACAACGAAAAACAACAAAAGAAAACAAAAAAACCACGAAGGAAGGAAAGAAACAAACGAAGATTTGAAGATTTCTTCCAGCAATGGTGACAAAATCGGGAAAAGTATATCAGTTTCATTTGCAAGTACCTGCCGTTTTCATTTGTTTTTCAAAATCGCTGGTAGGAAAGCACAAAGCTTGAAAACGAAGTTAGAGTCGAAGCTAATCCTCAAAATCTGCCTTAAACAAAACCTGCAAAAATGCTATGCAGTAGTCTACAAGGTGTAAGGTACGATTTACCAACAAGTGCCACCGAGCCACTTTGCTATTAGCAACTACCCGTTCCAGCTTTGTAGTAAGGGCTTATACACGCACAAAAAAAAAATTAAAGGAAAAAGGAACCAAGAATGAGATAAAAAAAAAACAAATGAGAAATAAGAATAAAAGAAAAGGAAAATCATTTGACAAAATCAAACATTTTGTGGGATCCCATCTTTAGGCTAAATTGTAAAAATAGATGGACAGTATTTTTTAAACAGCAAGGGGAGAGGAAATAGGAACAACAGATAATAGACTGGAATTTAGGTAAAGTAAATTCCGTTTCATTTCTAACCATTTTGCAAATTTGGTAATGTAGAATAGGGCGCACGTGAATTTTTCTTTTGCTTTTATTTTTGGTTTTTTTATTCAATTTCCATTATATGAACATAAATAGGAAAATAGGTAAGAAACGCTTCTTTAGGGAAACTCGTTTAAAAAGGCTCAGCTCTCAAGTTTTGTCCTTGTTAGTCTGAAATGTCAGCATTCCTCTCGCCCCTCTTCCCCTTTGGGACACTCCTAGGGGTGGTGGCCTGGGGGATATCTGGTCACTCAGAAACTCTCCTTACTGGAAGTGATATTATGCTGTTTTTTACCTTGGTTATTAGTGAAACGGATTTACTTTTGTAGCTGTAGCTATACAGACATTTCGTTAGCGTTGTACCGTTTATACCAAATCTTAGTGCAGGAATCTGCTTTGTAATTCAGCACTTTGCTCAGGTCTAGCTGTCTTTGGCCTGTGTACGAAGACCAGTTTCCGGTTGTCGCTTGTCTATTCAATGGGCAGACAATGGGGACAACTGGAAATACGTAAGCGTTCACAGGCTACGCTCTCGTCAGACTAAAATTGTATTTCGTACAGCATAGAAGAAACAAAACGTTTAATCTTAGGTGTTAAGGCCAAGGCACTCGAGGGGGACATGTAGTAGGGAAGAGTTGTTAGTGCAGACTGTCACTCCACCTGTTTACTGCTTGGAACGTGTTAGATTGTTAGTCATACAAAGAAAAACTGCGGTTCTCTGGCAACTATAACCTGTTCCAGGGATTCAACAAATAAAATGAAGCGCGATCTTAAACGGCACGATAGAAGCCAAGGAATGGAAAAGCAAGGGAGGTTGACTAGCGTCCCGTAATGAATTACGCGATCCGACCCAAACCTCCTTCATTTTCGCTCGTCTGCTACTATTGCGCCGTTTACTATTTCGCTCCGTTTTGCTGAGAGCCTGGAACGGGCTATGACGACCACAACTACCGTTTGTCACTCTGTCTTCCGTCTCCACTAACCTAGAATCATAAACAATCCAAGGGTAATTTTCAGAGCGATGCGACATTTAATTCAAACCCTGGGTGTTTTTGTCTTTTCCCCCCCTCCCCCTCCCCATTCAAAACATACAATTCAAACTAATTGCAATGCAAACATATTTTAGTGCAAAAGAATTGTTTCACACAAACGACAGTTCCACTCCGGAAGTCTTATCACTAGCTGCAAGGAGATCGAGCACCCTACACCCCTGAAACATGTCTTCCTTGTTTGCTCAGGCCTCAACTGATCACTGTAGAATTGAAGTTAATAAAATCAACATTAAAGGGAAGCCTTGTGTTATCCTGATCTGAAATATTTACAATATCTTTCTGGTTGCTTGTTTTAAAGGATGAACTGTCTGTTTTGTCCTTTAAGACTGGCTTGCATCTGGTTTCTCCTTACAATATCAACCTGAATCTCAAAAGTCTTATGCTTCTCATTTATTATACTGGAAGCAGATACTCCTCTCCATCTAGCCTTTAGCTAGACGTTTCGAGAAAAATCAGCTCGACTCGTTAGCATGTTTGCGTTACGTTGACAGTTTGGTTTTGAGAAATTCAATCTCTTTCTCCCACAATGGTATCTTATATTTATTACGAGACCATTTTCAGCATTCTTTGCAGTAAGCGCCTACCTCAATTTCAGGTCGCCACAGGATCTCTAAAGAAATTCGATGAAATACGATCTTTTTTTTAAATATTGTTCCATTTCTACCACCACGAGCCATAACTCTTAAAAGCGATCGAGTTAATTTTAAAACAACCCCTATTTACCACGCCCTTGTTTGCGAACGTGGTCGACAACCTATCTTTCTTTACGGCGCCGGTAGATGGGAATTCTGTCACCAATAAACCCATGCGGAGCTAAAACGTTTAACCATCTAGCGCGCGGATTAAACATTTTGATAAACTGCGCGTGCTATTCCTGGACTGTGACGAAATATTCATCTATGACGACCTTCAAGCACAGTTAACAACTGAGTAAAGTTGTCAATCCACAACAGCCTCAATCCGCTAGCTTCACCATCAACTCATGGCCCTTTAAATCCACGTGACCTTACACTGGCGCGGCTGCCAAACAGATTCGGCGGGAAACTGTGATGTGAAAAAAGAAATGGCGACCCTCTCTCAGTCACTTGGCGAGACGGACACATCTAAAAAGCGTCCTAAAGGTAAGAGGCTTGCAATAAACTGCTTTCATAACACCTAGGGAGGGAGCACTGATTTCAGTTTGGGTAACATACACTCCCCCAACAGAAAACCGCAATATTTACATGAAGTTTGCTGTTGTTCACTTTTCCTTGTCATTCTCTATGATATCTGTTAGTAATATACAGCAACCCTTTCGAATAAGTTTACCTTGGAGTTCGTTGATACTATTGCTATAAATACGGTAAATGTTAAGTCAGACAAAAAGTTATATAGTTTTCATCGAAGCTCGAAATTGCATAAAGAATGACAAGCTGAGAGCGTGCATAAGTTTGTTCATCTACTGTGAACTAAATCACTGAAGAATGATATTTTTCCTTAGGAAAACAAAAAAAGATTAAACCTGAACCGAAAGTGGAAACCTTGAAATCCAATACTTGCTCGAAGAATAGAAAATTGTGTAAGGTAGGTTCACACAAGGGAGTTTTGGCAGCGCCTAGATGGTGACTTTTCAGTTCAAGAAGGCGTATCTCTCCCCAATAGATAGTTCTGAATGTACGTATGAAGAAAAATTTTTTGGTTGTTGAATGATTTCTGGTGCAGTTTGAAATGAAGAGGAAAGTGTAAATTATTCTAAGACCTAAACAAGTCTAAGGGCAAGTTTCATCTTACAAATTTCCTTCAAAATCATATGAATTCCGGTAATGTACTCTTCATTTCCAATTTTAGGGGTCTTTTTCAATTTTAGGCATTAAACTTTTGTCTTCTTCACTGATTGGGATTAATTAGGATGTTTCCTGCAAAGTACCACTGCTTGGGATTAATTAGGATGATTCCAGTAAATTAGCATGTTTTAATCTTTGTGTCTACAATTTCATCAACATTACTTAATTCTACCAGAATATCATCCTAGTGATAAAATAGAGAAAGCTTGAGTTTTAAATCAATTCATAAACTTTGCCTAAGAGAAAAAGAAGGGAATTAGCATCTTTGTTGACTTGTACTTTTTTTGACATACTTTGCACAGCAAAAAAATTCCTCAGAGCAAACCGGCCCCAAATCCTCAGTTATCACTGCACCAGAACCAGCTTGGGAGATTGAATACTACGATTCTGTCCCAGACCTTTATCCTGAACTGTCAGACTCATTAGAAATGCAAGAAGGTGACACAGAACAGCTTGTCAGGAGGGAAGGTTTACACTATTTTATTTTTCCATCTCATTCCTTTGTTGAGGACTCTCTACTACTATGTATAAGTTAGAGTGACAACCATTTCCTGATGCCTGTTGCCAGAAATTCCATTTTTATTTCCTCAGGTCATGCTAACTTTAACATCTCTTCTTATCCTATTACCCTTAATACACATCATAGGTAATTGGAAAATAAGCCACTGCTTTTTCTATTTTTTTTAGAAGTAGACCAAGCAGGAGCTGTTTGCAATTTACCTAAATAATATGAGTTACTGCCTTGAAATGCACTTGAATGAAATCCTCCAATTAAAGTATACTCTCATCCAGTTAATGCTAATTTCTATTAAACATTTTATTTTTTGTCTATGTTTAGTTTCTCTGGATCACTATAACCATGAAGAGAATGTGCAGTGTGTTCCAACTACTTGTGATGACAATCTTTCTCAAGAAAGCACAAGTCAACAGGTATATTCAAATCCTCACTTCAGCCATTAGATCTCATATCCTGCAATAAAATTTAAAGAGATGAGGTCCCCTAGAGTATTTACAAATAAAATGTTCCTTCAGAGTGTAAGTTATGAAAGAAAACTTAGTTTATTTATCTCAAAGTTTTCCCTCAGGAGATTTACCAGTTGGGTCGACAATGTAATAATGGTTCTGTTTGGTATTCAATTTTAGACTAATGACATTATCATGGCAACATCATCTCTTGTAACAGACAGATGTATTCCAGTTTTTGGCCTTGATACTGTAATATCTTTACTTTCCCTCAGAAAAATGTCCTCATTCTAGCCACATTAGTACACGTTAGGGGAATGATATTGCTTGACCTTTTGAAATGGTAAAAACTTGAGGTTGCTTAGGTGGATCTGTCAATATTCTCTAATTTTTCATTTTTCTTACTGTATTCCATTAGCTCTGACATACTGAAACAGAAATAGGCTATTTGATAGGAATTGTATGTCACAAGGAGTCAGCCAATTTTCAAAAAGTTTTACCAAAGAAAACTTAATAAATCTCACTTCTCACTTTTTCAGGCACAGATTAGGCCTATGGATATTATGGGTTTAGTTACTGGAAACCTTAGAGTCCATTGTATAAAAACTGCATTGTTTGAAGACACCTTTCTAGATAACAATCGTGCAATCATATCAAGCTGCTATGTTTGTTTCGCATGTTGACACTTTGAAAGCATACTATGTTTGCATCCAGATTTTGGGCATTCAAAAAAATTACAGAGCCTTTTATTTTACTACATCAAAGTAACTTTACTTCAAAGAATAAGAACATTGCAGATTGTCTATAGGGATTTTTTATATTGTAGCTAGTCCTCCAAGCAGGGTATTGCCAAATCACATACAAACTACATAGTTATCCTTATCAAATAGGAGGTTACTTAATGGCCATGGCATGATCTTTATTGCTTACTGTTATTGCTTTTGACTGATAGTGGGTGATATAGGCATGTACCTCTCATTTTCTGTACAAGGGTTTCAAAAGCAGCCAGATGGTGCATAGATCTAAACTGCTTGGAATACACTGGCCACCCACTTGTAATCTTAAAACAGATTTCATTGTACACTTCTCATTCATGTAATTCTCTTCAAATTTGTTCTAACTGGTTACATTTGAAGAACAAGAAAGCATCATAAATTCGAATAGAGCCCAAAGTTTAATGGAAATGCAACTGTAAGAGTCAAGAACTTCAAAATTTCTATTTTTTAAATCTTCTGAACAAGAGTTTCAGGCCTTCAAAACTACCCAGCTGAACTAAACTTGTTTGTACCAGACTTTTATTAAAACAACTGTCTAGTTTTCTGACAATCTATTCATTGATAAGCTGCAATTATTTAGGTCATGAAATTTGGACGAAAGAGACACTCTCTTAGTCATTTCTAACATTTTTTACTGTGTTACAACAACTTTAGGATAATTCCCAAGCATCAAATTCAGGCAGCCAAAGCATTACAAATGTCGTCAGACAAAAGAGGAAATTGGCAAAACCTAGAAAGGTTAGAAAAAAACAGGATGGTAATGTTGTTCCAGATACATCAGGAATGGTAAGTCAACACTTTTTAGGTTTCTTTGTGCACATATTGGAGTCAATAGCTTTTTAATCGCCTCTAGTTACTTTTTTCATAGAATTTTGAGCTGCAACCTATGTATCAAGAGACTGGAAAACAGGGTACATGGGCACAGTGTAGCATCCCTAGTTGCGGTAAATGGAGGTTTCTTCAAACTAACATAGATCCTCAGGAGATACCAGAAAGATGGGTGTGTTCTTTGAACGAAAGTAAGATAACGATCCTTGACTAGAGGCCTTTCCCCACTAGCGGACAAAACTAGAACTGCCCTTAAAAAATCAAAGGACAAATTTTGTCATGACACATCTTTGTTTCGTCTGTTGCATCCGCATTAACGATTTCAAAGCCGTCAAATTCCGTCAGCGCCTGATCTATCTATAAGACCGGCCAGCATGCTTGCCAAAGGATTCCGCCTCCAATTTCCAGGATTTGGCTTGAGTCGATTTAAAGTTTTAGAATCCCTGAGTTTCGCAGCAAAACACAATCTTTGCCTTTCTAGTAAACTGATTTGTAGCTCATACAAATGATTGACAAGTTTATCACGGTTTTGTTATGTAGTCGATTTTTCCCAATTTTTAGCATGGACAAATTTTGTCGGCGGTGCGTCTGAAGATTTGTCGGCTTCGGCCAAAATTTGTCAAGTCGCGACAAACCATCCGCACTTGTAAAATGTTGGTGATGACAGAAAATTTTGCTAAATAAACAACTTTGTCGCAAGTGGGGAATGGCCCAAAGCCTATATATCTTCAACTAACCATGCCTATGATTTCCTTTGTTAAAGCTACTCACACATCACATTACTCATTCAGAGTGATATCTTTGCAGATGATTGCTACAATTCATGTAGTATTTCACAAGAAACGTTTGATAGTCAAGAGGGGAATTTGGAAGTAATGTATACACCTTATCCAAGTGGGGCTATTGTGTGGGCTAAGATGACTGGTTACCCATGGTAAGATAAGATTTTTAAGAAATCCTTAAAGCAAAAGTACTTACTCAATTTATTTTATATTTATTTATTTATTTTAATCGGGCTAGTTTCCGTGACATACAATACGTTTGAACCCTATAATTCTAAAAACGTCGAATTCAACGTCCTTTAAATGGATCGACTGACAAAGCTTCCCTTAAAGCGATGTCAGCGCATGACAACTTCCGAAATCAAGCTTTGTTTACAGCTGAAACAGTGTACTAGATTGACAACAGTGTGATTCGATAACCTTGGATGCTTTTTTCCTTTCTTGAAGTCCTTCATCCTTTTCTTTTTTTCACGCTGAGTGGCTCGCACTAATTGTCTTCATTTCTTTGTTCATCAAAAGGTGGCCAGCAATGATGGAGAACGACCCAGATTACGGTTACTATTGTGAAACAGGAGAAGATAATTTTACTCCGGTAATCAATACAAAAACTATCTTACCCTAAAGAAGAAAACTGTTTTCAACGGAAATTAAAAATGCATGATCTATATTCACTCTGAGGCAATATGTAAATTTCAGGTGTCGTTCCATGTGGTGTTCTTTGACAAACAAGTGTCAAGGTCATGGGTGAACACTGCTTGCATCCGTAACTTTTCTTGTGATGATGACCCGGAGGATTTGGGAAAGGTTTGTTCGGTAACTCCTCACTATGATGTTGATCTGTATAGAATGCCATTGGTGTTTGTTGTAGCCTAGGTTCCATTTCCGGACTTAGTGTCACACGCGATTGGGTCGTTCCCGCTCTTGCTCCGAGGGCTTTTGAGCGGGCTCTCCGGTTTCCTCTCCGGTTTCCTTCTTCCGCAAAAACTTCAGCCTTGGTGCATGTATTTCTAAAGAGGAGCTTTTAACCCCATTGACATTACATGTTTGTCTTGACCTTATGAAATTATCTTAACCCTTTAACTCCCAGAATCTGATTGTTAATTCTCTCCTTTCGCTGCTACACATTTCCTATTAATGGTGTTGAATTTCCTTGACTCTTTCTTTCTTCAGGTGAGCGTTAAAGGAAAGAACTACAGAAGACAACTTACAGCTGCCACACGAGAAGCGCGGAGAGCAGCAAAAATGTCACTGCAGGTACTTCCTTTATCTCTTGGATTCTCCTCTTCTTCAAGCAGTCCAATCTCTTATGATTTCAGAATAATTAAGACAGCTTATAACTGTTTGATTGCTATAGGAAAACAGTTAAAAATAGGAACCTTCTAAAACTTTCTTCCTGCAGAGTCGATTGTCCGAATATGGTTTTAAAGCGCGCTATAAAGGCACCATCGGAGACAAAGCAGAAGAGAAGGCGCGCTCAGCAAGTCTAAAGAAAGGAGAGTTGGACGATTCAGGTGAGATAGTTGAAAGCTTCATTATCTAAAAGGGTCTTGCTAATTGTCGTATTAGCGCCCACAGAACACAAAAGTTACCGAGGGAGTTATCAAGACAATCAAAACAGAGTATCGAGATGAAGAAAACGGAGATTCTAAGAGAGTGCGCGGGTGTGGGAGCGGAAAGGCCTGCAAGAATCCTAACATCCGCACAGTCAAACACAATAAGCTGCAATACTCAAGTAATGCAAATTATTGTGAACTATAATGTCCCTGCAAAATCTTGTTTCGGTTTGGTTCCTTTTTTTAACCAGCTGAATTAGGATTTTGGTGACAGTCGGCTATTTTTTTTTTAGTTACAGGCTCATCCAGCCAGGAAAATTGCAGCAGTGGGCAAAGCTACGGGTCTTTCAGCAGTCCCGAAGAAAACGATCAAGAAACCCCTCCAAAGTCTAAAACTTGGATAAAGAACGCTGTAAGAAAGCAAACGGAAAGCAAGACCAGCACTAAAGTAAGAAATTCTTGTAGCCCAAAGAAAAAACACAGGAAGAAAATTGGTACAACCAATCCCAATGAAGGTCAGTTGCACGCACTTTCTGATGGTTTTCACTGGAGTACTTAATTACCACGTTTTAACGGTTAACTTATATCTTCACTTATTTGGTAATAAAAAGAAAACTGAAGGCTATTTTCAGTCGTAACAGTTCGATGACTATATAGCTGCACCTAATTTGTTTGTGTACATAATCAGTGTCTTTTAAAGGTGTATGTTTCCAGATTTTTAGCATGTTATGTTCTGAAATCGAGTACTAAAGAATACGGCGTACCCGTATTTGCAATAAGCCCATGTTTTTCTTACTAACATGTTTCGTAGGATAAGGCTTTGACTTATCCCTATAACTGTTTTTCCTGACATATCTTTAATTCATGGTCTTACAGCAGAACGAAGAGAATAAATAGTTAATTGGTAATTTTGTATAATTGTTTGACTAAGTGAACTTTATCCTCAGGGGATTCAACCGTGAATAATGTCGCCTCAAGTGAAAGTTCTGAAATGTGTGAACCTACCGACGAATCAAGAAACACCCTTAGACAGCAGGAACATACCATGGCTATCGAGAAACTTCAACCAACAGTCCACATTGTCTCAAACACCGACAGTAATTTGGATGAAACGCTCGGTGAGCGAGAGACCAGTGCAAATGGAGCCATCATGAAACCGTGTAAAGAAACCGTTGGAGTTCCAACTGCGAGTAGAACCAAAGTCACGAAAGTCAATAAGAAGAGGCAAATCTCAGACGAAATACAGGGAACAAAGAAACGAAAGAAAAGTAAGAATGTCATAGAAAACATTGTCAAAAAATTCTCCAAAGAATCTGAGCAAGAACAGGTGGAGGAGAATAAAAACGCCGTCGTTTTTACCAAATCAGTGTCGTCAAAATCAAGAGACGAGGAGAATAATTTATCTGAACAGGATAAACAGCCAAATCAAAGTGACGAGATGGATGAAATGATTTCAAAAGATATTTCTTCTCTTGGAAAGGATGTAGCGAGGGATTCAAATGTTTCAACGCATGGAAAAGCTCTTCCAGGAGACAAAACTAAGAAGCGAAAATCTATAATCAGTTCCAGAGATGTTTTAGTGAAAGGAAACCCAACTAATAACGAAACTTCAAGCCAGGAGGCTAATAGCTCCGCATCAAAATTACATGTTAGTGATGAAAAGCCACATAAAAGAAAAGATCCGTCTGATGGGAGGGATCAGTCAAGTTCAACAGGTGAACAACGTACCCATGAGCGAGAAAGTAACGAGTCGGCAAGCATCAAGGAAGAAGTGTCACGTTCCCCTAGTTCAGAGGTCCTAGATCAAAATTGGGAATCTAAACAGAATCCAAAATTTCCCGAAAAACCTGAATTCTTGTATAAAAAAACAGCCTCAAGCACAAATGTTAGAGTAGCTAGCGGTGAGAATGGTTCAGTTCGAAAGAAATGCCTCCCTAAGTTGATAAAGACTGCTTTTAAACCTCCCATGGCGTCCAAAGATGGTAATACTAGCAAAATTCCAAAGATGCCCAAGCTTTTAAAGCCCCACTTTGTTAGCCCTGCAGTTTCACTGCCTGAAAGCAACCACAAAGAGTTTGGAGTAGGGAAAATATCAGATAAAAGCGTTGCACATTCCGTAGCTTCCAAGAAGGATGTTGAACCCAAGAAAGAACAGGAACTGAAGAGGAAGGCTCATTGTAAAGATTCTAGCTTGGCGAATCCGACGTCAAAGAGGGAGAAGAAAGATGACGGGAGGCACGGACGAGCCAACGACATCTTGTCAGGTAAGGACTTAGACCTTTTGACTCGTCAAATTTATTTTAAGGCATATTATGCCTTTGTAGTTTGAAAATTAGCTAAAATGAATCAACAATATTTCATGGGAATCGTGCTTCACTAAGCTAAACTGATTATCCTATTTTTAATGGAGACCCCAATGATCAAGAACAGTCTAGCTTGATTCCTTTATAATGTAGTACATTTTTTTTCATCAGAAAACCTTCAAGATGAAATAGAAGAAATTGACGATGACATCGCAAATATACAGAAAGAACTAAGGCTTTCAGACAGCAGCGATACAAGTTTGCCGGAAGAGGCGATAACTTTGAGAAACGCGGACGGACGCATGCTTTCCGATTCGCCAGAATTTTAAGCCGCAAGCCTTATTTATGCATCAGTATGCGTGATTATATTCAAGCTCAGACTTTCTAGTTAGAACTATCAACGCACTGTAGTTTATCAAATAATGCATTTGGTTCGAAATTGTACATTTTTTGCAGTTATTTTTGTACACTGGACCATTTTCTTCATCTTGCAATTAGAATATGCTGTGTTTCCGAGAGATTTGGATTTAACTAATGTTATCGGGGACCATTTAATCATTTTGGGCCTTCTATGAATCTAAAGATACGAGAAATTTTGGTCGGTTTGATTTTGTTACAATGTTGATGGAGTTTGTAATAGTCTCATTTACTTATTAAGAATATCGATCAGTGTTACGAGACTTCATCTTATTGACAATCTTGTCTCTAACGGCATTCTTCTCCTTTAGAGAGTTTCATCTGGGAGCACTACATACCATTCCATTTACCTCAACACTATTTCACCTTCTCAGCCCTACTTTACCAGTAAACAACTTACAGTTCAGTAGGTCCCTGTTCCCAAAATTTGTGATAATGATCTTAATGCCTCAGAGATCTGAGAGCATCCTGAACGTTCACATACCATATTGTGCTACTTCATGCGCGCACATTTGTCTACAAAATTTGAAACAAGGAAGTCGTCATAAAAGCGCACGCTCCGTGCGCGAGCTCCTATAAATCACTAACGTTGCAACGTCTGAAGAGATGATAAAGATAAGTAGAGGCCGAGGGTGCGTTTATTAAATCGACCTAAGGATTCCAAGGGTTTTGCTCTCACTTCTACAAGTGCGAGCAGCCTCGGCTTTAATAGAGGTCCTCAAGGAGTACAACGGTCTTCAATTCACTTTTCATTAAGCTGCGTTTTGAAGTATCAAAACATTTCTTTTATGTGGAACTTGAGCCAAAGACGCAAAGGAACTAGATCTTTCTCTTTTACCGGAGTCCGTCGTAATGCATGATGGGATAACAATAGTATTACTGCCCAGTCTCATGACGACGGTTCCGCGTCCTGAACTTTGCAGTTTGAGGTTGGTTGTTCTTTTGTTGACACAAACTGCAGTCTTCCGCAGCCACCTTTTACAGTTCATTTAAGAGAAAAGTCTGCTTTGGTTTGGTAGATCGAAAGTCTTCAAAAAGGTGCTTAAGATGGTAATGTGGGTACACAATCGACGCTAAACAGGGCAGTCAATATGTCAAGCCTCATAATATTGGAGTCGGTGAGTTGACCAGGTTACTTCGTTTATGAACTTTATGATTTAATTTTATTGACATTCTTTATCTCGTCCATTTCGGTTTGCTATATCTTGTATTTACCTCGTAATTTACAACTCACGAACGCAGTTGATGCTTTACGCTGTTAAATTTCACACCCGCATTTTGATTACTAAATTATTTAAGGTGCTGCCAAACATGATGCCGGTAAAATTTTTCGAGGGTTAATCGAACTTTTTGCTGTAAGCTTCAACATAAATCGCCAGACCGTTGTTTGGTTGCATGTTTATTTAAGTGTCATCTAGTAGAGAGGAAGTTATCTCTATGATACTCCGCACAATAATTTCAAGCAGTAAAGTAAGATAATATCCTAATGATAGATCGAATTTTTTTTTCCATGGAGATGGAATATAGAGTTATCAGCATCGAATTTAAGTTGTTGAGATTTTTGTTATCAACTTATCTTTTTTAGATATACTTCTGCACATAAGTATTGTTGTTTACTGACTTCGTCATCGTTTGTGAAAGAAATCGAGCAAAGCTGTAAACAATATGTTATTCAATATATTATTCAATAGTATAAAGTTGAATAGTTATTCAATATCAAATTATAAACAGACTCCTGCTGGTGTCAATGACCCTCTAGTGTAATTTTTATTGTCTTTCTTATGTCTTCCTGATACAATATATGTTACTATTTTCATCAACTGAAGTACAGCAGAGGGAAAACTGAGATTTCACTGATAGGATAACAGATGAAAGATGAAAAAGGGGTTCAGTATTGGAATATTACAAGGTTAAAACTCTAATTTATAATTATGGCTGAGGTATTGCCTGACACTTAATGTAGTTCTTTGAAGGAATTAGCTGGCCTGGTGATCAGCTTGAAAGATAAATTAAATGAGAAAAACACAGATTCAATGCTTCCTAAATGTGTATGTATTATACATGTAGCCTTTGCCAAAACATTTTTATTTTATTCCTATGGTTTGAAATATTCATCCATTCAATTTAAAGTCTACTTTTTATTCCTCCTAATATGGGGAGCTGGTAGCTGGCCAAAAATGCTAACAATCATGGCATTTTTACATGAAGCTACCTGCTTTTACCTAAAAATGTTGATGAAAAATGGTGCAAGTTCTGAAACACTGTTGAAATAATGTGTACAGTTGTTTTTTCAAGTGCTAGTCAAATTAAATGCTAAGCTACCTGCTTTCACCTGAATTTATTAAAAATGTTGATGAAAAATGGTGCAAGTTTTGAAACACTTTTGAACAAATGTATACAGTCGGTATTTTCAGGTGTTAGTCAAATTAAACACTAAACTAACGAGGTATAGATGAATCAGTTCCACATTCAGAATTTGCTGGAAGGTTGGTGCAACCTTGCTGGAATACCAGGGACATAATCCCTTTACATCCTAACATCAGTTTGTATATTCTCCATACTGTTGTCTACACATGTCATAAGGTGCTGACAAGGAGAATTTGTTCAACAATCAAGACCCTCTTCTCGGTGATCATTCCTTTATTCTTGTGACCTTCATGTTTGATTCAGGGGACATTGTAAGAGGAAAATGGATGCTTATTACTCTTACAAGTCAAAGGGTTAAGTGGATGGTTCCTTGTATTACATGTAATCTGAGAAAACAACATGGTGTCCTCAATAACTTGGCTTTGTATTATTTCTTAGAGATTGTCTTTTCCTTTAAAACTTGTTTTGAGCCCTGCTAATTGATATTTCAAATTGATTATCCACAGAAGTATTTAACACTTTTGAAAAACAGAACAAACTGTGGCTCTGAAAATATTGATACCTTATTCATGATCATCATCATTTATTTATTAGCCAGTTAAAAAATAATATTTATACAGGTTTGACAGTATGGTAGGGTGAGGAGACCTCCAAGGAACCATCAGGCTTACAGGGGAGGCCACCTTGGTTGTCAATATGTTTGTAATTAAGTTGTGGATGTGGATGTGCAGCTTGCCCAATTCAGACTCATTTTATCAAAAAATCGATCATCTTTTAAAAGTAAAAAAGTTAATGACACCAGTGATTGATATTGGGAGAGAGTTCCAGATTTTAGGACCTTGGTAGAGTATTGTAAATTGTTTTAAGATTAGTACAACAGTTGTGTGGTCAATAGCATTTGACTATTGTTGCTATTTCTGCAAGCTCTGTATAAATTTTTGCCTCCTTTTATTACTCAGGATGCAGGGGAACTGGGAGACATTGATGACAGACTCCAGAAAGATGGCTACAGAACAAATCTTCCAGTTGAGCACAAACTTCGCTATTTTTGGAGACAGTTTCTTCGATCTGAAACCAGTCTTAAATCCTCTCTGGAGAGTGTTGAGCAGCTGCGTAAACAGCATGGAGAAGAAATGATTGAGGTGGAGAACTATGTTGCACACATAAGACAACTGTCAGATGAAAGAGAAGCATTGACTCAAGAACTGGAGACTGAAAACGAGCAGCTTAAGGCAGAACTTGAGCAAATGAAAGTTGAAAAAGAGGCAGGAGCTTATGTCTCAGAGGATATATGTGACTTGTTAACTGAGTCTGGCTTGACGCAAATTGGAAGAGACACTAATCCAGTTAAGGAACAGGTGAATTACTTGATAAAGGAAAGAGCTTCACTGTCAGAGAAAGTGAAAAGGCTTGAACTTGATAATGAAACACTCAAGAATAATTCAAACTCAGAGCAGTCAGATAAGCGGCTAATGAAAATTATGGAGGAAGAGAGGAAAGACATGGAAGAGGAGATGAATAGAATGCGTGAAATGATGAAGCAAGTGAAACAGGAAGAAAGGAAGATTCATGAACAAGAAGTAAAAAAAGTTACGGATGAGAATGATAGCTTGAGAGCCCAGCTGGATAAAGTTGAAAAACAGCATAGTGAGGACTTGAAAGAACTAATTAACAGACATCAAGGTTTGTTCTTACAAAACACAATAATGTGTAGGGGCAAGTTCATTTATTATTCACTACAACAGAATTTTATGTTCTTTTCTGTTTGTACTGAAATTTCCCAAATTGAGATTGTTCCTTCTTCTCATGTAACCATGATTATAAAACTTTCTTAAAATGTGATTGAGTATACCTTGTTTAGCCCTTGTTACATGTAGGTGTGCAACCAGAATTTTTTTTCACTTCCATTTCTGATGAAAAAATGAATATTATTTTAGTGGACCAGTACTGCTTGTAGAAAGAAGTTTTTAAATATTTTTTTTATTATCTGTTTACCGTTTTATTAATTCAAAACAATAATATTTATTTCGTGCTAATGTATTGTTCAAACTATATTTAGGAGAAAAATTGAAATTGCTGGAGGAAAGAGACCAAGAGAAAGAAAAAACTACTGCTCATGTGGGCAAGACTGATAGAGTAATGGCAGAAGTTGAGGAGCTGAAAGGGAAAATGAAATCCATTGAACTTGAGAAAACATCTCTACAAGCCACAGTAAGAAAAAACCGAAAAAAATTACTTTTAATAGGCAGTTGCCTGAATGAACTGTAATACATTGTGTCTTTTTGTGAATTACCCTTTTAAAGTAACAAGTTTCTGAGAAAACCTTTATTATCCTTAGTACAAGCCACAAATGTGATGGCTCTTAAACAAATACCTGAAACTCTTACAAACCACAAATCAAAATGTCAAGCAAATGTCATATTTCTGAAATTTTGGGAATTTTCCTTCCAAGAATGTTAATAATTTCCAGTGACTTTCCCCTTCTCTACTAAATCACCATCATGGTCCAAATTCACCTATCTCTTTCCTTTGATTATTTGTCAATAAAGTTGCAAATCCTCATAAAAATCTTTCAAGAAGGATCTGCTCTGTAGACATTCTTTGACTCAGTTTAGCTGTATCACACTGGGATTTCTTTGCACAAATGGAGCAAATTTAAAGCAAACAAATGCTAATTTGGTTGTTTACTCCATGATATGCTCATGAAACATTCCTAGTACCCTACCACAATACTCAAACCTTGCAAGGGTTCACTTGTACTGATTCCTACAATACTGTTGAAAAGGATGAAATCATGATAGTTCAATATTTTAACCACAGAAAAAGTGAATTGTTACCAACAGCTTGTACTTAAAAAATTGTTTTAATATTCCTATTGTTAGAACATTAATTTATATGAGATATGGTGTTAATATACAGCATAAATGTAAGATTCTTTACATTTTATAATAAAAGTGTAAAATGAGATCTTTCTAATCCAACCAGACTGTGAAAGTTATCTAGTAAGTATAGGTGATGTTGTGTTTGTGGTACAATTTTGTGGTAACTCTGTCCTTTTAATATGGTAAGACCTGTTCTTAAGTTAGACTTCAATGTTACATGTACCTTTATTTGATACACAGGTACGGTCACTGGAAGAGGAAATTGATAAAGAAAAGGAAGAAATTAGTGAGACAAAAGCATCTCAAGAAGCTTCAATCAAGAAACTCAAAACAGAACTATCTGGCACTAAGCAAAAGCTCCAAGAGACAGAGGTTTGTCAGATGTAACTTGGTGATTTAAATGAATTTTAATCAATTACACCCTATTCAATTTCGGATTGTTTAACACTATTTTCAGTTGTTGGGGAACAATGAAAAGTTAAGTTTAGTGTGTTTTGAAGTTTAAAGAAGAATGGCAGGGAGATTATTGTCCAGAAAAAGTCTTACTCCCAAAGCAAACTTGTATTTTCCCATGGCAAGCCTTAAATCATTCAGGGCTCTCACAGTTTCTCAGGAGCTAGGGGCCAGGAATTTCCTTTGGGATTTCCCCCCTTCAAGGCAAAGAGGTTTGTCAGTGAATTGACTCGTGGGGAACACTCCTTTTAATATGTAAGAATCAATGAAAAATTTTATAGTGTGCATTATGAATTTTTAAAATTCGGCACTTTTAAATTGGTTATTCATTAAAATGAATAACCATTTAAAAGTTAGTGTTCAAGAAAATCTTGCTGTCAGAATGAACAATTATATTTACCCAAGCCTTCAAATAAATTTGAGAAATTTATACACATATAAAGTTCCAAATAATATTACTGTTCACCAGTAGTAAAGTTGTTAAAATATTGAAGAATATGTGAAAAGATAACAATACTACTAAAACAGTTTCAATTATGGTGTTTCAATTCTTTACTTAATTGTAAAATTCTTTTGAAGCCATGATTTTTGATATACTCTGAATTCTTCTTAATAACACTCCAGGTAAAACTCAAAACAATTGAAGAGGAAAAGAGGACCATTGAAACTCGGCTACAGGTGGCACAAAAAGACCTTACAACCATCCGTGATCGGGAAGCAAAACTCTCCAGTGAGAAGGTAGTGTAGGGAACTCTTCACTTCACCTGATTACTGTGAGGCAATTAATCTTGCCACTTTTCAGCTGAATTACATGACAGTATATACGCAGTGCCATGTGAAACTCAGTGGATTAGTGGCTTACATGTAAGACTCCTGATCAAGAGGTTTTGTTGCAAGCTCTGGCTTGTGTAATGTATCATTATATTTCTAGAACTTTTTGGTCGTTATTATTACTGGTTTAGTGATGCTATTATCAACTGTGGGAAGTTGCACAATTGAAAAAAAAAATTACCTCCTTGGTAAAGTAGTTTTTGGGCTCCTATCTGTAAATTTTAAGTGGATGATTAGGTTAATTTGATGTGTATTTCATCTTTACTTCAGGACAATGTTTTGACTGAAGCTAAATCTTCAACTCAAAAGTATGTTTTGAACTCTAATTACCTAATTCTGTTTATCCTTAGAGGGTCAATATTATTTTTCTTTGTCTTGCAGCTATTTAACTTGATATAAATCATTGTTTTATCCACAAAGGAAAAAAAGAGTATTTTCTTGATTGAATGCTGGGAAGGTGATAAAAAAAACTTGTCAACCTTATATGGAAATTCCAATGTGTTTCTAATAATTTATGTGTAGGATTCATTGAATTATACTACTTTATAACTTGGTTTCAACTTGCTCTGATTTGATTGAAATACTAACTGTAATGAATACAATTTGATATTTATTTAGAACAGTCAGGGCCCTCTTATTAAAGATGAAATTTTGATTTTGGCTTAATCTTACAAGTGCATCATTTACAGCATACTGCTTTGCTCATTTAGGCAACAAATTAGAATACAGCAACTTGGTGATGAAAATAGCAGTCTGAAAGAACGACTTCAGACAGCAGATGATACCATTGAACGACAGATGAAACAGATTGAAAATCTAACTTTACAGCTTGGAGAGGCAGAGAGGAATCTTGCAGAGAAAGAAGAAGATATGGAGTCTTTAGACAAATCATCTAAAGATGAGGTAATATAACTGTATTAAAAGTGAAAGCCTTTTATAGATTGTTCCTATTAGGGAACTGAATTATACATTTTCAGTAATGATTGCAATAAAGGGAATCATCTTTCAGAGCAACTCCAAAAGCTCTGCACTAGCTTACAGAGAATTGTGTTATTATTTGTTTTTTGATTCACTTTCAGATCTTGAGATTTTTAGAGGATTTTCATTTTTTTCCTGGAAGTAACCAAAATTTCCATCTTATAAATTATTTGGAATGTGCAAGTAAAGCTTTGTATGTATTACTGTGGGTTTTTCAACTTTGAGACTCCCCAGTCCCATCTTTGAATTAACTTAATGTCCATCTATCTCCTTGAGGCTAATTTGCTAATGAATGAATGATTAAACAGCTAACTGGTGGTGTCAGTATTAAGCATCATAGTGCAGCTGGTAACAATTTTCAGCCTCTTAGTAATGACTGCATAAAATAATGATTGCAAGTGCAGCTGAACATATAGTTCTTTTATTTGTACAAATCCTTAACTGTGATATTTTAGATTAAATGTCTGAGATTTAAAGTAATGTACCTCTCTGAACTGTCAGTCTTTCATGATTTGCAAAACAAACCTATTTGCCTCACATTAACAATGGAAGCAAGTATTAAAGATCTCCCTGTTGCTGAATTATTGATTTGTTTATTTCTATTTTAATGTATTAGCTCAACACACTGAAGGCAAAACTAGCCAGAACCACAAGTGAAGCAACCACTTTGAAAGAGGAACTGTCTGAAACAAAGCAAAGACTTAACAAGGTCAGTATATGAATCACAGTCAAGAAATTTTGCTGTCATAAATATGGTTACAGTCTTTACCATGACAGTGGAAATACATATAATTATTATCAAGTATTCTTATGAGCTGCAGGCTACATACAAAGTATATAAGAAAAAGAAACATTAAAGGTGTATCACATATCAAGCACAATTATGTATTTAACCAGGCAAGAAAAGAAAATTTTGAAAGGTAAAGGGTGTAATTTTTAAGAAAAACACATTTTTACTTGATTGTGTGTGCAGTATGGGAACACTTATCTCTGACTCCTCACAGTGACCCAGTCAATGTCTATTTACTTTACATGATGCTCACTTGACATTAGCATTGCATGCATTTTACAAAAGTGTATATGTTGCAATCTCTCTGGCCTATACTGTACAGAAGTAATTTTTATCACAATCTACCCTGCCAGTATTTAAGTATAAGATGGTATATGTAAGGAAAAAATTATATACCAGTATTTAGAGTTTTTCATTTTGTAAAAGTCATACAAAAGACATGAAGCAGATATGTTTTAACCATTTTGCAAATTAGATCTTGTTACTACCAACATATTGGTTTAGAAATATTGACTTCATTACCAAATACATTTATCCTTGTTGTAGAAAGCCAAGTTCATAACCATGTAATATACAGTATATTTGCCTTCCAGCACTACCAATTTGAAAGTGTGTATGAAGAAATTAGAATACTGCAGATAACCAGCTAAAAATTAATCTCTGAAAATTAAACATATCACTGCTTTGGGGTAACAACATTGGAGTCTGTGTAGTTTTGAATAACAATAACACTATAACATCATTTTTCTCTGATATTTGTCCTGTGCAAGTCTTAAGCTAATATCATTTCCTTTTGAGGAAGAAATCAATAATAAGATTTTGTATTCCAGTTATTTACATTTTTGCATTCCCTGACACATGTGTTTTATGGCTTGTAGATTATGTCTGACCACAAGACTAATGAAATCAGTTATCAGGAAAAGCTAATGGCAGAGTCTGGCCGCAGCAAGAGTGCTGAAGAAGAGAAGGAACTATTGCGTGAACAGATTGTTGACTTGAGAAAGGTTAATGCATAACATATCAACTTAACCTTTTGAAATTTTGACTCAATCTTGAACTAAACAAACCAATGTTCCTGTATGCATTGTCTTACATTTCAGTGTTAAGATGGTTCGATGAAAGGGGGAAATTTGTTCAAAATTTACTTCATTTAGAGTAATGACAGTTTCTCTGTAAACAGTGATAAAATACATCTCATTTTTAACCTCAAATGAGGGAACAATCATGAAGTTCTAATTACCAACTTAAAGCACTTAATTTTTGCATCATATATGTACTCCAAAATGCATGAAACAATCTAAAATGACATTTACAGCTTCGTGTTGATGGGACTACATTACATAGTAGTTTTTTACTTTCTTAGCCATAGCTGTGTGGGATATCACTTCTAACTTGTAATATGTTTTGTGTGATTCTGTTTCTAAGGGGCTGTAACCATTCCTCCTTTAACACACATAATCAGGGACTAATTAAAATTCTTCTGCCCATTGAAGCACTTATCAAACAGATGCTTTTCAAAATTCACCTTAATATTGGCTTTAGAGCTGTTCAAAGTTTTGTTAAAAAGTCCCAATGAATGGCTGGTGATCCAAATGACCTGTAATCTCTGCTATTTACTCTTTAAATTGTAATTGGAATGAGTAACTTGCAAGTAGCTTGCCAAGTATAAAGTATAGTTTAAAACCAATTTGTGTCATAAGACATTTGCTGGGAAATTTGGTAAAAAGGCATTACTTTTTGTTAATACTCAATCCCTTTGTAAATTTTTATGACAGGACTGTGCTTTAACATAAAAGCTGATCTCAATTTTTGTTTAACTAAGCTTTGTTTAGTTTTCTTTTCTAATGAAAAGTGGCTCACAATGCAACAATAGTTAACTGAAGTCATTACTCTATCAACAAAACAATACATACAAGATCTTTCAACACTTCATTATGACTGATCCCCCCTACTGAGCTATTTGAGAGCATTTAGAACTGATTTGGACTTTTTTTGTGGCACAATGTTGGGGGAAGATGACTGTCTTGAAGAAAAACTTCCACCAGATATCAAGGTATAAGGTTTTGTAAGAGCTTGGTGAAACAGGAATGTAAAGGCACTATCTAATCAGAAAGTTGTATGGTCTTGTTGGTACATGCAATTTTAGAAATTTAAAATTGTTACTGGTACTTCTAAATGAATTCTAGCTTTCTACTACGATTTTTTGGTCAAATTGGTTCCATTGTACTTATTGAAACCAGTTTTTTGAACAAGTAAATTATGTTCTGTTTCTTAAGGAGTCAAGATTTTGTCCTTAAAATGCCTTCAAATCTTTCTTTGACCAATACTGGTGATGTATGACCTTACATAGTACACTGGCACCTTTATGTTACATTATTTGGTATATGAATTATGCAATGCATTTTCAATTGATAAAACAACAGGATCTTGAAGCATCACTGGCAGCTAGTATGAGCAGAGAGAAAGAAACCATGGAACAGACTGCAGCTTTGGAAAAAGAGAAGGAAAATCTAGCAAGAGAACTTGCATCTTACATTAATAAGGAAAAGGACAAGGTACATGAGTTGTATATCGTTAGAATTTTAAGTTATTTTTGGAAAGCATCAGTGTTTAATCCATTTTATTAGGGTTGTCAAAGGTGCCAGCTATTTTGAATGCTTGTGGCTTAATCTTCAGCCTGGAAGCATGACTTTGTGCCACCTACTAAGTATTACCTTCCAGAATCTTTTTTTGCAGCCCTGATTCTGTGCAGTTTGTCTTAAGTACTATTTATATATTGTATTTTTTCATGTTTTTTGTTAATAGTAAGTTTGCCCCTTCACTTTTCAGCAGTACAATGATTCAGTGATTGGGAAAATAGAGATTCAGAATTATTCTTTGATTATTTGATGGTCAATTTTTGGTTAAACTGTATTTAGCTTGTTGAAAGCAAGTTTCTTATGGCATTGTTTAATGTGAGAGTATAGTTTAAAGGTTAAGGGTGGCTTTGGTTCTGTCTGACCTTGATTGTACTGTGTAATGTCAGAACAGTAGGTTGGAAATGCCATGAGCAACAGATGAAAGGTTTGAAAGTTACCTTATAAGCCAACGGTGTCCTTACACATGTCGTGAATGTGAAATATATGATGTTTTGACCTGTGGAATAGATAACTTCAGTTGTGACAAGTAGTTTGTGACCCATCTAAGCTACATAGCCATTTGTTGAGCCTGAGGCATATGTTACTGGGCCCTTTGTTTTCTGCAAAGGTTCTTGTATTTATAGATCACTTTAAGTACACAATTTAATTTCAGATCATTACTGATAGCTAGGATGAAGAAAGACACGATTAAATTAACTGATATGTACATACTGTTTCCTTGTTTCAGTCAAAGAAAACTGATGAGCTAACTGTACAGTTACAATCAATGGAAAATGAAAAGACTTCCCTTCACGCTGTTGTGTCCACACAAGAAAGACAGATTAGTGATCTCAATATTAAGGTACAGGACATCTTTAGTTAGATAGTGGTTGCCATGAGTTAGAGTTAAATTTAGGGAGATGAGAGGATAATTGATATCGATGGAGACCTATTACGAAATCCCTCAGGGTTTCAAGAGCATGGCTCAAAATACATTTTGTATGCCATGCATTCCTAGTAGCTTTGACCTATGAAAGAAACTGGGAAAGGTTTAAGTTTGAGTTATCAAGAGTTGAGATCAAATATAAAGGATAGCAAGGGGAAACATTTCTTTGTTTCTTCGTTTCAAGCGTCTCGAAACTCGACACGAGCCACGATCCTCGATCCTCGAAGTTTTTGAGAATCGAGGATCGAATTTCGATGATCTGTCAATCTGTTGAGCGGTGCAGTACCTTTCACACAAGTGTCACCTGTGGTATCGTGCTGACCAGAAAGAATGGAATGTTTGAGGGATAAAAGCAAAGCTCTTTATCACTATGGGTGACTGTACTTTAGCTAGCAAAGCTTCAACTGGTCTCTATGTCTATCGATCCTTGTAATGTCAGTACCTTGTTTTGACTCGTCACTTTTGTACAACCATGTCTAGGGTCATCAAGGTAAAATTTAATGGTAGTAACTTGAAGAGCAGCGAAAATTGCTTCCAGTCAACGCGAGGATCAAGTTATTGATGTTCAAGTTGCCTGGGTTGAAGTTAGGGAAATTGATGTTGGTTTGAGTCAGTGGAGGGTCAATGGTAGAGAGGTTTCAAAATAGTGATAACAACTGTATGCGCTTTGTGTTCTTACTAGGTTTCATAGTCCCTGTTACAGTCTGTGTTTCCTTTGGTTTTGGATTCTAACATCACTTTTGTATTAATTAATGCACAATAAACCGTTTATACACAGCTGCATATCTGTTGGTCTTGTCTTTGCTTATGTGGTACTGTGTTTTGAACTGTTTATGGTACCAACAAAACTAAGTACAAAATTTTTGTGCAAACATGGGCGAAAATTTCTTTGTAGTTAAAATTGTTGGTATAAATGCGTTTTCAGTTGCATTGACATTGAGCTTTTTTCTTTCCTCCTCTTTTTTTTCAGCTGGAGAAAATGGATGAGAAGTGTGCTGAGTTTGAAGAGCAACTGCAAAAAGAACAGAACAGAACTTTAGGTAGGATGCCACATGCACTAGATATGGTGACATTTTTTCACTATGATCTTGTTATTCGAAGGGTGCATAACACCTTCTAACGGATAAGTCACAATCCCAGGAATGGTGTAGTTTTTTTGTGGACTCCTATTCACTGGATATTTTTATGTTGTTCACCCTTCAAACAAATGCAGCCTGTCCCAGCTAGATTATTCAAAGGATAGATTGCAACCCAATTGAAAACCTCTTTTAGTCTGTCTTTTTGTGCCATAAATAGTTATTGGCTTACTGGAAAGTGTTATTAGTTCATTGAAGATCTAGGCAAGTCTAACAATGTCAGGTCAGCTGTAGACTACAAGCAGTCCCTCCTTTACGGCGAAGTGCCTCGCGCGAGGCAAAAAAAATTAGAAACAAAAAAAATTGATGTTAGCACGCCACGCGAAACTTTGGGTTCATGCACCTCACTCTCAGCGTTTCCGCGCGTGCGCTTACATCAAAATTGTTTTTCTTCTTTTTTACTCGCGCAACGGACTTCGCCGAAAAGGAGGTACTGCTCGTAGTCAAGTTCAGCTGATCCACGCCCTCCTCCCCCTAGATGTGCTTACTAGGGGACCGAGGTCCCCAAGTAAGTCAGTTGAAAAGAAAGCTAATGACTCTCTTAATTGTCTATTGGAAAGGTCTTGTTCCTTTCAAAGCTGTTTCGAAATCGTGGTGTCAACATTTTCTTTTGTTTTATGTTCAGAGTTAAGCACACGATACGAATTCACTCAAGAGAGCAACAGCTCTGCTAAACAAGAAGTAGATCAGCTTAAAGAGGAAGTGAAAGTGATGTCTGCACAGCTTCTTAGACAGCACAATGCTTCCTTGGATAGTCAAGTGCGTAGTATTTACTTTATCACATAATTTTTTTACAACTCGTGCTAAAAGTCTCTGATGGATTGCCTCTCGAATGCGAGGCAGTCATTCAACTTCATACCAAGATTTTACTTTTTCACTTCATTTTAGTACTGTTATCTAAGATAATATTTAAAAAGTTATGACGTTAAAACTGGCCGCAGCTGGATAGAAAGAAACGAGAGAATTAGTAGCAATTCGACCCTAAAAGTTAGTTTCATGATGCGAGGTCGTCAACTGATGGAAACAATACGATAGAGAATCGGATGTCATGAACGGTTTTCATTATGTTATGTTGGATAAAACAACAAATGTCTACAAGTTGAAGTAAATTATGTGGTTTTAATTGTCCTTGTGAATGTTCGTGTTTATAGGCCAAGTATGAGAGGCTAATTGTGGACATGCGCAATGAGATCGAGCGTGAACGAGAGAAATCCTCCGCAGAGCGTCACTCCTTGGCGAGTCAGTTAGAGCAAGCAACCCGGGAAAGTAAAGATTTAAGTGCACTTTTACGAGAAAGAGATGAGGTAATGCTCTTACTCTGATTAGGAAAGGTTTCTTAACTTCTTTCTTTAACCCTTTTTCGATCTCAGGAGTGACAAAGCCCTATTCATTTTATTTTCCAAACTGAGACGAGGAACAACACAAGGGTAACTGACTCAGAACCTTGCATTTATTTTCTTGTAGGAGCTTATTGCCCTTCGTGCAGAGCTCACCAACGCTAGTCACACTGGAACCAAGGCTTCTACAGCTCTGGAATTTGAGAGCAAAATGAGAGGAAGCCTGGAAAACAGGACAGCGCAACTAGAGAATGAGCTCAGTAAGGCCTGGGAACAAATTAAGGAATTGTCTGAGAAGGGATCCATGTTGGAGACAACAAAGAGGCACCTAGAAATTGAACTGGATAAGGTATTGCTTCTTTTGACCTGTTCACAACCAACTCACGTCGACACATGATGAGAGTCAACAGTCAGATTTCCACTTCCTTTTGAGGAGATGAATTAACCCCTAAGAGTTTTTCAACATCTTATTTCTCCCTACGATGTCACAGCTGAATCAAATATTAAGGTCATAAGAATCAAGAAAATGATCACCAGGTTGAGAAGCTCTGGACTGTTAAGCACATCCTCTTTGTCAGTACCATAGGAAATGTTTAGAGAACAGTATGAACAATATACATAATGATTTTAATGTGTTTAAGGTTAAAGAAGATATCTGAAAACTAATTGGGTGAATAACTCTGCAGAATGAATATAGTGATGCAAATCAAACTGCAGTTAGTAAACTTAGGTGCTGACTCTTCAGTTAATTGTGGCGACAAATGCCAGGAATACAATAAATTTGTCACTAAAAGTAGCTGCTTATAAATAGCTGTTCTTCATTTCGTCACCAACGTGGGACCCAGAAAAATGTATGTTCTCCACAAATGTACTTTTAAAAACTTCAACGTGTCATATGCCGCATTCACACCAAAGCTTAAACATGTTTAAAAGTTGTTTTGTTAAACACAGTTTAATTTTTTTTTTCTTTTTAGAAACTATTTAACCGAATATTTTTGACTTGAATGTAGCACATTGTGTCGTTTAATCCAATGGAAAATCAAGTTTTTCAGTGCTCTGTTTATAATTTTCATTCAATGAAAACCAGTTTAACAAAACATGTTTTGCTGGTGTGAATGGGGTAATAATCATGGTAGTAATTTAAGCTCATCTTTTGTAGTGTCGTTTATTCTTTTGGAATCGAACCTTCGCTATTTCCAACACTGATAAATTTATTGATCCTAATACTTGTTTATTTCCAACAGAAAATGCAGCAGCTGCGTCAAACAGAAAGTACACTTCATAGGAGACAAGCGGAACACACTGCAGTTCTGGTTGCTAAGGATACTGCTCAACAACAAGCAGAGCAGGCTGAGACTAAGGTGGAATGTCTTGCATTTTTATTCAGTCTCCTGTAGTTGTTTGTTTATTTAGCTATATTTTCAATTTCTTCTACTCTTTCAGTCTATTCTTATCTTTGCTAGTTCTGCTCATTCATTTCCTCCTTGACTTCCTTAAGCGATTTGTAACATCATTAACCTTTTGACCCCTTATAGTGACTAGCTTCTAATTTCTCCCAACAGTATCACCTCTGAATCAAACATTAAGGTCTTGAGAATAAAGAAATGATCATCAACTAATGAAGCTCTTGATTGCTGTACAATTCTCCCTGTTGTCACCTTGAGAAATTTATAGAGAACAGTATGGAGAATATGTACACTGATGTTAGGGTGTAAAGTGTTAAAGGGATACAGACTGGTTTTTGACAGCAGCACATGAGTGTACGTAGTAGATACGTGTACTTTATTTTATTTTTTACTTTTTGGTATTAAGTTGGCAGTTTTAAGGCACGAGTTCGAGGGAATCAGTGAAAAGTTGGAGCTCACACAATCAGAACTGAGGCTTGCAAATGAGCAACTGGCTGAAATGAAGCTTACTTCTGAAGAAAATAACACTCTAAGAGTTCATCTGGAAGAGGAAGAAGTTAACAAGTGAGTAATTGGCGTGAGAATTACTCCCTAATTCGATGACATGTTTATAAGGAGTGTACATTACAACTTTTGAGGTGACGCGAGATAATTCTTTGAACAAGTGTCTCCTTCAAAAACCAAACGAGCAACAATTCTCTGAAAAAGTGTCGCCTTAAAAAACAAAGTGAGTGATATCTTCAAATTATGTTATGGTTGTCGTTCACAAAATTTGAAAAATGCTCCGCACCCATCAAAAGAGAACGAGCATGATTTTTTTGCGAGATTATTAGATGTAGATTAAAAATTAGCCCTCTGACATTTATAAATATTATTGTACTACGTGCTTGTAACGTCATGGGCAGTCTTACGCCATTTGGAACCCAGTTATATGCTTAATACTATTGCGAAAATTTAATCAGTGACACTTGTTATTACGAAATTAACTAATGGAACGTGATGATTACATTCTATAAATGCCCATAAATCGTCGAGTTCTGTTTAAAATTGATTTGTTATAAATTCTCTTTTATTTGACAAAACCTGTCTTGTAAAAAAACCTTGATTTTGTTCAATGAATTAAGTAAAATATTTAAATGAAAACGAAAAAAGTTAAAAAGGTGATACTGCAAACTAAAGTAACAATACATGTTGGCCTAGCAAAGAACACAAAAGTAAAACTAAAAACCCTGACACGTTATAAACTTATGCGCCACACTTTTGCAATAAAAGAATAACTAAAATGTAAAATTTAAGATTAAACGCATCACAATGATACACTCGTATTATGTAATTCACCAGACTGTAACACAATTATTTTAAACTCCTTAAGTTATCTGTAACGTAAAGAAAAAAATAATCGACTCTTCCGTGTAAAAAGAGTGTTATAACTGTTAAACGTTGTCTTTATGTTGCACTGAAATCTGAACATAACTGGTGTGATGTTTTCCAACCTATATACCTAAACCTCGCCAGACTCGCTTGTGATGTTATAGAACTCGAGGAGATGCTCAGGTAAAGATAACAATGTTAGTATATCGTTATTACTAATGTTAGCGAATAATGATCTCAACCAATTCTATGTTTTATATTCTTTTTCTTCTCTTTAATGACTAAATGCCTCTAATTGCTGAAAATACTGGACTTAAAAAATAACTCTATTTGAATTTATCGTAAAAGCGAGGTTACATTTATAGCACAGAGAAAAGTAGAACAAGATAACAGTTCTATTCGTCAGCATAATGCCAAATTTAGTGCGTTTAACCGTGCAATTGGTTGAAAGGCCAATACTGGAAAGATTTATTTTTGAGCTGACGTCGATGTAAGAAAAATACTCCTTTTAGTCCTGAGGTCATCTGTATATGAAATGTTAGTTTTTAGTTCTATAGAACCCTTAAAACGTTCAATGCAAGGAAAAGTGGGATGAAGTCTGTATCCTGTTAGAAAACAAGCTTGTCTTATGTTGTCCGTTTGAATTAAGTAGCTGTTAAATTTTTCGTTCTGATAGTCGCATAGAACATCATCGGATGTTCTAGGAATTTTAAGGCTCAATAAGGTTCAGCTGAAAAGGGGATTGACCGGGCTATTTTATGTATTGATTGGGGCAAGGTGATATGGTTATCTTAGAACCCTGTCTTGTGCAAGGATTTGAGATCCTCCCTTGTCTTTTTAGGGGAATACAACATCAAACTGTTCAAGAACTAGAAAAACAAGTCGAACTTCTTCGTGATAGAGATGCTCAGCTGCAATACACAGTCAAAGAACAAGAGGCAAAGATAGAGGCGTTGAAACAAAAAGTCAAGAATACTGGAGATAAGGTAGTTTATCTCTCTGCTGCTCATTTACTCTCGTGGTCAACGTGCATATTATTCCAATGCTTCGTTTTTCCACAGTTTCAATCATTCTCAGTGCCGAAACCTCTCATTAAATTCATGCAATGGGCTGTTTTTGTCATGATGCACAGGAAATGACAACTAGGGGTCAGATTTCTTTCGTCTCACGCAGTATATATGACGCCTCACCAGTTACACTTAGCCTGCGTGCACATCTATATATTACCCCCGAGGAGGGAGTTTTTCATCTGGTAGACCTTCATTGTCCGTAAAAATCAGTCATAAATTGCTTCTGGTCCTGTCAAGTTCAGCTGGTAGAAAAGACTGCGTTTTTTTTCGCTATTCAGGGTTAAGCGCGAGTGGAACGCGATGGACGAGTTAGTCACGCGAGTCACGCGTGAGAGAAAGAATGACCAGCTGAAGAAGGCAAACTAAGAACAAACTATGACTGTTCTGCGGGCTAGACTATCCAATAATGTAATAGAGAAACTAAATGAAGCACATCCAAACTTGTTTTGTCTTGATTATTTCTTGATAGCATAAGCAAAAGGAAGATGATGCAAAGTCTCTGACAGAAAGAGTGAACGAGTTCCAACAAGAAGTGGAGTACTTACAGGGAGAGTTGGTTAACGCTGCGGAAAGAATTGATCAACTACAGAGGAAAAACGACGAGAGAAAAACCAAGGCTCATGCCACAATCAGATCACTTAAGTGAGTCTTAAAGTTTCTACGCGATGTTTAGTTCAGTTATCTCTTTCATTCTGTCACAATGGGCAAAAGCGTAGAAAGCATTATATTCCTAACTTTATTTGATAAATATTCTAGCGCCTCTTTTGCATTACTTCTGGTTGTATTGATGCCATGCAACAAGTGGCGTTTTGAGGTCACTTGTATACAGTGGAAGAAACCTGCTCAATCTATAATCCGACAGTCACATTTCAACAGTCAAACATTACGAGCGAGGTAATGTTTCTGATTCTAACGGAGTAAAGTTCGTTTATGACGGAGTTTACGGTGGAACAAAATAAGCATAAATCTCGGTGCTTTTCGTTGGAATATCAGAAAACTAACACTAAAGTAATGACGACGGTCAATCAGAACAGAATTATTATCTAATGGGTCAGTAGGAAGCGACAGTAAATGTATGTCAGTTGCCTCGGCGTTTGGGAAATTGAAGTCGCAGTTGGGTTTACTTTCCTATATAATTAGTTGAGAGGGTGAGGCAAATTTCTAGACCAATCATAAAGCGAAGTGGAATGAAATGAAAGCATTCCCGGATTATTCTCAACATTCAGTTGGAAATTACTCCAAAGTAGAATTTGCCTGATTTCAGGGATAGATTTGCACGTGAAAAGAGAAACCTCGAATCCACAGTGCTGTCCCTACAGAGCAGTTTGGAGCTGACTCAGGAGAGAATGAACAAGGAGGAAGAACTTAAGGGCACAACACAGGCCGTTCAAAAGCAGCTCATGGGAGAGAAACGAGAGCTACTTGCGAAGTGAGTCAATCGCTCTGCGTTTATCCTCATCAAACAAGAGTAAACAAAGGCTGACGATTCTCCGCTTTTCTAACATCAGATTAGAGCTAACGTGGATGAGATGAAAAGTGGAAATCACAGAGGAGTCGGTCCATAATTGATATTAATAGGGTATCATTTTACAGTAGCAGGAATATTGATAAACCCATATTCCCAATTCGATATCCTCAAACAAATCTAAATCAAACGCGACATCTTTAAAAATGTCAGCTGGCAGCGGGCGTGGAGCTGGATCTGGGACTACTGAGAAACAAATCAATCTGTTTGTCAGAGCGGGACTGGAACCTGGAACCTCTGAATTAAGAGTCCAATCCACTCTCCAGTCTACCACACTGCCTCCCTTGTAACCGAACAGTGAAACCTAACGGACTTCTCAACTTTGACTCTTCTATTCCCTCTGAAGTGAACATGTATTCGTGTCCTAAAGCCGATCATTCCGGTAGAGTATTACCAGAGACACGATAGTAAAGTCTAGGTTTTCGTTTTATTCAAACAGATTAACGGACAGCGAGGAGGTTATCCGGGAACATCTGAGAAGTTTACGCCAAAGGGAGGCTGCACTGAACGCGTTGGAAAAAGAGAATTCTGAACTCCACGACAAAGTTAACTTGCTAGTGCAAGAAAAGAGTACCATATCAAGAGAACTTGAGAAAACCAAGGTTAGTCAATCAGTCAATGCGGCGCCGCCAGTTCATTTGGTATCAAAATTTTGTGCGCAGGCTTAAATTTAAAAATTTATTTCGTAACTAGTAGCAGCATGTTAACAAGGCTGCGGGTCACGTCGCTGGTAACCTGTCTAAGCTAGTACTTTTGCTGAGGGGGTAAGTGTTCGTGACTGTTGTCATAGCTCTCTCGTTTCCATCGAAGGTGAAACTGGGCTAAATTGACACGTTTTCATTTCTTGTCAGTTGTTGTTCCGAAAGGTATCTGTGGTAGTTCATTTTAATTCTGAAACTAGTTATTTTTTTCCCTCTCAATGGAAACATTCTGAATCAATTCTAGGCTCTTCTAACAAGTTCATATACAAGCCCCAAAGCATCAGGACCCATTGACTCTCAAGCACTTCAGAGCGCTTTGGCGCGCCTGAATCAGGTGGATACACTGGAGAGGTCCTTTTCATCGAGCTCTCCTGACTTGTACTCCCCTGAGCACAGGTCCCCAGAAAGAACCATGGCAGGTAACGCACTGAATGGTTCTTTCAACGGTTCATATCGGCCGGGACAGATGAATAGCACAGTACAATAATACATTGGGTACCCTGTGCACACATACTGTGGACGCTTCTGTGAACAATCCTGCATGCGTACGTCAAGAGCGGAGTTCCTTTATATTGTTGTATTTGTTTTATTTTGTGAAAACAACAGTCCTTAGATGGAAAGAGATCATCAACTGATACTGGCGAAAAAGGAGCGAAAATATAACCGCTACCCAAATAGGAAGCTATCCCTATTTGGTTTCCTCATTTTTGGAGTGCTACTGTTACAGTTTACACCATCTGTTGATAAGGAGATTGTTGAAATGACCGGAGAGTGATCTCAAGCCTATTACTTGCACCTAGAAATTGAGAGCGATTATTTATGAACCATTCAGTCTTGTCTCTTGATATATCCTGCAACCACCCAACTGACTGAGATAAGGATGAACAGGAAAAAGGATCGCTGACTAGTTCTTTTTTTTGTTTGACAAAGGGTTCGCTTAACTTATTGCATTTTCTTAGTTTTAAAATTACATTCGGTGCGAAAGCTGTCCGAGAACCACACAAACTGTGAACTAATTGTTAAATGTGGACGAAAGTAGAAATTTGTAGTCACAAAAGAAAGAGTATTGAAACTCCTGAACAATTTTACGAGAACCCCCTTTTTTAAGTTGGTTATTTTTTACTTCACTGAACATTGAAAACCATAATTGTGAATATTTAAGTCTGGAATCGTAATTTATAGAAATAAAACCACAGCTTCTTTGATAGTCACTGAAGAATTCGCAATACTTTTTTACGCAGTTTTGAAAACATTTTTAATGATACTTAGACCTAGAGATCGTCTAAACTTGTGTCGGTCTCTTGGAGTGAATTACGAAGTTAACTAATGTGTTCGCGAGGATTAATATATTTCTTGTATAGAATTGTTAATTTATTATCATGGCCGCTATCGACAGTATCTTCAAATGTTATTGTATAGTAATATTACTTTTATACATTTATGACTGTATTTTTAAATTATTGAACAAGTTATTGCTGTAAGTATTTTGTATAACAGATTTACATAGAAAAAAAAACCGACGTAATGCTGGTCTTTGGTAATCTCGCCAAATAAAACAATTTTTCATTTTTTAGTGGCATACGACAAGATCGAAAACTCTGCGCTATTTTAGGACTTTGAAGAAAGTTGTTCGAACAACAGGTAAAAACTGCTCTGAACGTAGCTTGCAAGAGCCTCCATAAACACTACAGCATGAGCAACCAGGCGTGCAAGATTCTTGCTGGCTAGCGAAGCGGGAGCTGAATGTGAAGGGTTTATGCGGAGTCGACTCGAAACGCGTAGGCTTCGCCACCAGTGTCTCAGCGCCAATGAGAGGCTGCTTGCAGGCTACTTTGAGCGCTAAGAGGTGGTTTCATGGGTGGATGATCATCATCCTGAGAATTTTATAGTAACAGACAACATTGATGCTTATGCTTCATCAAATCATATAAATGCTTGGCATGTCTTGGCCCTTCTCTATAAGACTGATCAGTTAAAGTGAATTTTACTACCTAGTTCCCTTTATAAAATAAACTCAAGAGTCGTATAAACGAAAATAAATCCGATGAGAAATCTGCTTGACTACCTTTGGTAACTGCTAAAAATGAAAAAAAAATTGCAAGCCACCCCTTTTACGGGTGTAGTCCTGCAACTCGTTTTCTTCATGAACGTTATTGTAACTTAACTGTCTCTTGCCCATGGTGATAAACTATCGTCAGGGGAATCAATTAAAGTGAAAAATATCAGTGTCAACGAAGTAGCTGTAAACATTGAGCATGAAGATTCACTGTGCAAATGCAAGGGATAAGTAAGTAATTCCGGTTTTGAAAAATCTAGCTCTTGGTTTGTATACAATAGACTTAACGTAGAGTTTCTTGAAAAAAAAATTGCTTGAAAATTATTTGGTTTGACAAGATAAATACTCTTGAACAAAGGTACCTGAAATTCTTCCAGCTAATTGACAAATCGTTCAAGACAAAATCAACCAAAATTTTCTACGCTTGATTGCCAAGAGTAAATTATCAACTCTACGACTTAAGATTTTTACAAGTAAATGCCAGATGAGCTTTTTACAGAAATGTTTTGCAGTCTGTATTAGTCTCTTCCTCAGTAACTGGTGTCCTCCCACTGAATGGAGACGATGGAGAGTTTATAGCTTGTTTAGTCCTTTACATTTCGTTCAAGTAAGTCTATTTTACTCATGGCTCTTCGGGTGTGATTGATCCCGGCCAGTTTCCAAAATCAAACTTCGCGTTGTCGCCAATCAACATAGATGGAGCTCATTGTGAAATTTCGTCAAAGCCGTTATTTCTCATCCAATTCCTGGTAGCTGAATTTCTGAAATGTCCATCGTCGTCAAGAGGTAGTCTTCTTCTCTCGACGGGAAGGGGTCAATAGGGCGCTTTGGAGAGAGAACAATCTCTCCTCTTTCGGCATTACCGTGGGCAGCAAAATGTATCAGGCCTACTGATTTATTCCTTGAAGCCTGCTTTGTTGCACGGTCTTCAATCAAAGGTGTTACGCTAAGAAGTTTACCGATCATCTCTGCTTCCTTTCTGGCACATGGCAATGGCAGCATATCGATATTAAATCCTAGTAGTGATATGTTCGTGACACGAATCAAGTTTAATATCCACTGCGAATACCATGAAGTTTCTATAGTTCAGTAATATATAAAGCACCCGAAATATTAATCCGAGAAGTTAATAGTTCGACACCTATCAGCAGCTCACTGCGTTTCTTTCTTCTCAGTTCGTCATTTCACTTCCTAAAAAAGGCAATCTTTCAGTTTGGCTGGTGTTTACGTTTTCTGTGTAAATTAATTGTCCACCACAACAACCTTACTGTGTTTGCGCACGAAAAAGACTCACTTAAACTTGCGCAGGTTTGTAAATGGGAGGAAGCAGTTTCCTCTCGTTGAGGGCGTCGTAGTCTACCAAGAAAAGCCTCTTGTTCGAGGATTTGAGCTTCTCTAGAATTAATGTTCTAATCAGTTTACTTAGCATTTCTGATTAGCCGTTACTCATGGGGCCTCGATCATCATTTTTGGATATGAGCAAACCCCGCCATTCTTGCTCTTCTCACTGAAGCTAAACGGAACTAGCACAGCGCTTTAAGGATATTCTTTTATGTATTCATTCATCCTTTTCTCTCTTTGATTCAATTCATGCTAGTTTCCAAGGTATTGTTGCGTCCAGAAAATTGTACCATTTTCTAAACATGCAGTGGAGAGAAAGAGAGTGAACACAGCTGGGCACGAACATTACTCACGGGAGTATACTAAGTGGCTTTTCAGCTTTGACGTCAATCGACACAAATATGGCGGACGTAGTAGATTCCTTTCTCGCTAAGAAATGAACTGAAACTGTGATTTGCATGAATTCTTGGGGTTGAAACTTACAATCATGCTGATATACGTGGAGAGCAAAGCTTTTCCGGTAAGTTAAGAGCAATGCCTATGCGCTTTTTCGGGGAAGACTAGAGCAGTGTTTTCATGTTGTTTCGTTTATTGGTAACTTGGAGACGATAAGGGCATGATGAGATATAGATGTGTATTCAATTTTATCTGCTGTTTCCTCAGAGGCAACAACTGTTGCTCAATTCCTTTTCTTGATAAATTTTTCTGCGTATCTATTTTTGGAAGAGTTGGCAGAACTTTTGTCCATTGTTATTTTTGGAATTAAAATTTTTGTCAAACATACACAGACTGTAAATTGTAAGGTTGTCATCAAGAAACACTTGTGATTCTTTGATTCGAAATCTAGGCACAAGTTGGCGATGAGAAAATCCCTCAATTCCTCGTAACTGAAACTCATCATTTGCATAGCCATCAGTTGGACTATACTTACCTCTTAGACATAAAGCTGACCTAAGCAACCAAATAAAAAAATGTCTTAATAATCCCATGTAGTGCCTGTAACTAAAATTGCAGTTCACCATTGAGGATCATTTTCTTTACTTTGGTTTTCACCCTAAGGTCAACTGAAATATATTTCTTTACAAGCTGTTTTCAAATTCCTGTATGGGTAAAGAATAATACTCTAAACATTTCCTTGCTCTCAGAGGCTTCATAGCTCAGTTGGTAGCAGCACCCAACTCATATCTGGGAGGCACAGGTTTGAATCCTCTCAAACATGTAGTCCACCTGTCAGGATCATTTCTTTAACAAGTAGTATATCTGAAACAATCTGTTACCGTCAAACTCTCTGTCAACCCCAAATTGTCCAGCTTATAAAAGTGTAGCATATTTGCACAAAGACATTATAAGGGGGCTAAATTGTTCTTCTTGAAAGTTTATATTTGTTTCAGAGTTTTATCAGAGTTTGAATAAAAACTAGAGAAGGGTTACTTAACAACATGCCCTTTAAATCATAAAAATATGGGTAAAGTTAGACCTTAATAGCTCAAACTGCGAACATAATTTAAGGAATGGTTTTGTAAGGTGGTAAGTGGTCCTTGACAAGCATGCTTGTTTTCCTGGGTGTGATTAGTTATTCTCTCTCTGCCTTAACTCTGCTTTGAAATCACCTCAGATGACAATAAACAACTGAAAATTGCACCTCAAAAGGAAGGTCTTAAAGCTAAGTTAGTGGGAAGTTTGACTTGGGCAAATTGAGTCAGTGAGGTTACAGTTTAATCACTTTTATTAATAAATCAAATTGTATTGCCAAAGGTAGCAGTGTTACACTCAGTGATAATTTGGTTTCATGAACTTAGTTGATTAAAGTGTAAATTTGTCACTATGGAGAGTTTCTAAAGCAGACATTTCAAGTGTTTCCACTTTTGCTCTGATGAAGGGCTAATGCTTGAAACATCAGCATTACAGTGGCCAATTAACATATTCACTGAGTTGATAGGACCAGATTATCTAGTATAACCCCCTATCAACACAGCACCAAAGTTTCTTTACAAACTTCCCCCCTTTTTCCACAAACAATGAGTTTTCATTCTTAAAACAGTCCAAAGTTTTGGTAGTATCACATCAGATGACACAACAATCCCCTGAGAGAGGCATTGTTGCCCTATATATATTTGATATGGGTTTTGTGTTATTTACAGAGCAAGACATTCACCCTGGTGTGTAACCCACATGAGACAGTTGCAAGAGCAAGAGCACAGATGCTTCATATTTTATTTGAGCTTGGAAGAGCAGAGCACCAGTTTCGATTCAGATTCAAAGGAGAATATCTGAGAGATGGCTATACCTTTGAGGTAAACAAATGCAAGAAATAATTCAATGTGCTTCTGACCCTTTGACTCCCAATATCTGATTGTTAATTCAAATACAAATACCAATACACTGTCACCTTGTTCTTCATTAGATTTGGTGAAAGAAATCCTTTATTTACTTAATACTGGTAATCATCATGGTTCCACATACTTCAACAAGTATGTATTTTTATTGTAACAATTTTATTGCATTTATTAGGACTACAGGATTCAGGATAATTCAGTGATCAAAATGGTTCCAATGAGTAAAAGAAAAAGAGGGGTTAGTGTCTACTGTGTTGCTGTTGTGTTTTTTTCTCTTTTATGATGTGAACCAGGTCAATCATAATTGTAGTGTTAATTGCGTAATTGATGTTTAAAAAATGATCATTGTGTTGTATGGTAATTGTATAAGAATATTTCCTTCCTCAGTAATGAGTCAGCCTATATTTATCTGTTAGGAAAGTGTTCCTAAAACTTCCCTGCTACAGCTGAATTACTTTTTGTCTTAAAGCATGCATACTGAGGGATTTTCAAACCTCTTTCCTCTTCTCTTTTCTTATCTTCTTTGACCAGCTTTCCAATCCTCAGGTGATTTTCTGGACCTGTGCATAGTGTAAAACTGGGTTCAGAGTACTCTTAACCCTTTGACCCCAAAGAATCATCAGCATTTAATTTCACTTGACAAAATCACCCTCAATTCACTCATCAAGGTCAGTAGAATAAAGGAAATAAACATCAACTGAATCAGCTCTTGACTGTCAAACAAATTCTCCTGGTTAGTGCCTTGTGAAATGTATATAGAACAGTTTGGAGAATGTGCATACTGATGTTAGGGTGAAATGGGTTAATGCAGGAAAGGTCAAACTTTGTTGATTTACCCTTTTTGTGAATTCAATGGAATTTTTTAAGATGAGTGCTTTTTCTTGTTTTAGTCTTATGCAACTGTATTTGGGCAAGAGCAGTCCACTCAAGATGTGGCTGGTGCAGATGAACATGTGTTCAGTTCACGAGCAATCCTCCTAGGACAAGAGGAATTAGATGATGTACAGAAGGCATTGCGAAAAGAAATTAACATTTTTGAACGAAGAGAGACATTTCTGGGCAATTTTAAGGTTATTATTTTGGTTGTTAAGTTTATTATATAGGAGAGATACCTAATAGTGACCAACTGATTGATTACTAAACTGACAGACTGAGAAACTAACTCTGGATATTTTAAAATGAGCTAGTGACTGAATATTTCACCAAACCAACTTTCAGACAAACTGAGTAACTTATAGGATATACTGTTAAGTTGCATGATTTTTAAACTGGAAACTTATGGTCTATCTGAGTATTACGCCCAGATGTATTGCTTGAATCTTTGAAAATTATGGTCAGCTTCCTCACTAAATGAGGATGTTGAAAAAAGTTGAGCTTAATGCCTTAAAACATTGGAGATTTACTGACTAACTAACATCCAGACTGCCAAAAGATTGATTGACATATAGGCTGACTCTTTAACGCACAGGGTATTTAAGTATTATCAATTGAGTTGATAATGTAAATTGGCCACTGTAAAGAGTTTTAAAGCTGACTTTTTAAGTGTTAGCCCTTTGTCATTCGCTCTGACAAAGGGCTGACACTCAACTCAGTTGATAATACTTAATTACCCTGTTATACTCTCCTACCAATGCAGCACCATAGTTTCTTTAGAAACATACCCCCTTTATCTCTGACTGATTAACTGACACAGGCTGATTGACTGTGACTGACCACACATAGGCTGACTGACTGAATGATTGAGTATTTGACTGATAAAGGTTGATTGACTGGATGACTGCCTCAGAGGGACTGACTGACTGATTGATTGGTAGGCTTGCTACCTGACTGAAAGTATAGACTCACTGAATTACCTGTTGGAAACTTTAAAGAAATGAACTTACAGATTTCCTTTTTTACTCTTTGCAGGTCCTACTATGGATTCATTTTCTGGCTACAGTTTTATCCTTTACAACCATTTATTGGTTTTCCTCATTTTGGACAGGTAAATACAAAATATGCTAATCTTTGTTTGTAGGTTTGCTTCATTACACAATTTTTGACAATTCTGTTTATTTTTTTGCAGGTGCTTTGATGTTGTTTGGTTTCTTATATTGCCCAAATTACACAAGACTTGGTGGTTTTGTAGGAAAGCATGGGATGAAGTAAGATTCATTTGATCTACAAATTTTAGTCACCATTTTGTCAGTCTCACAAGAGTTATACAGATTATGGCAATTTTTGTGATAGCGGTATTTAGAACTATGATGGTTACAACAGTTCAAGCAGTGTTGGATATTTTGAATTACATTAATTTTGCAACCATGATGACAGTTTTCATAATTTGGTGAAAGTGAGGATGGTGAAGGCTATTAATAGTAAAGTTAATGATATCTAGTCATCTACATCTACATGTTGCTATCATGTAATATTTTGAACAGATAAATGCACAAAAAAAGAACAACTATATGTTGTCCAAAAGTTGATTTAGTGCTTTCACTTACATAAAGTATTTTTAGCAGGCACTGTAGGGATTTGACAAAATGGCCAAAAGCTGAACATTTAGGTTTGAAGTGTGTCCACTTGACAGATTTTGTAGTATGGTTGGAAATTATAAAGAGTTGATTTATTTTTTGTTTCTTTTTCAAGCAAAAATACTTTTGTAATTGCTTTTGCTGGTGGTGGCATCATGAATGTAACAGCATCTTTGTTGATGGGAATCTATGTCATTTTTGAACTGATGGTGAGTCTTTAATTCATAAGCTGCAAGGCTTGTTAATAGGCAGGGGATGCAGGGAGTAGGGAATTAGTGCAGTGGTGAGAGCACTTGCCTCCTTCCACCGTGGCTCAGGTTTGATTTGTGTGGGTTGAGTTTGTTGTTGGTTCTCATCCTTGCTCTAAGAGTTTTTCTCCAGGTCATCCTGTTTTCCTGGCTCCACAAGTCATCTCCTGGAATGTCCACTGCTAAATCCCCAAAATGGAACAATTTTATGAATGAGTGCAAACTATGGGATGAGTTTGGCACCTAAGGGCTTCTTTTAAGGTTGCCATTACTTGGTTGAATTAATAAACTTGAGTAATTTACTCATCATTTGAATTTTTTAGGCATTTGAATGTGATAATGAGGAGAGCACCTGTTTGCGGAAGAAAGAACAGATGTATTGGTCAAGTAGGTGCCAAATTAAATGTTCTAGAAAAGTCAGTAGTATAAATTTCTAGTTAACAATGGCTGGTATTCGCTAAGGTGTTTTAAAGTAATGCAGCTTAACCCTTTCACTCCCAAGATTTTATTAGAGTAATTCTTCCTACTGTCTGCCATAATGTCAATTTGGAGAATTTGGTATTTGATCAACTTGTAGTCCCCTAATTGAGTTTACTTCTTTATTCTCCTAACTTGTCTGCTTGATGCTGTGTTGATATGGTAAGGAGAAATTCTCTCTCAGTCACTCATGAAAGTTAAAGGGTTACATGAACACAAATTGATGGAAAATGGCAGCCAAAGTAAAGAAATTAAATATATGCAAAAGAGATGCAATGAGGGAATTTAACACAATTTATTCAAACAAGAAATTTTGCTTACTATTAGAGATATGTATTTGTTTTAATAACTAATTATATTTCTTTGTGATTTTTCAGTAACCTTTTACCTTGGCCAGGCATTTTTCCTGGTATGCAGTGTGTTGATTTGTGCCATTTTGTTTCATAACTTCAAAACAGAGGTAAGGTATCAGTTTGAAGGTTTTGTTTTGTCAATTTTCTGTGGGGATGAAGGGGGGGAGGGGGAGTATCCTCTTCTCTTGAGCAAGAAGTTATTAGAAGCAACTTTGCCCCTGTCATTTGGAATGCTATCACAAGTAAACCCCCCACCTTCCCATTCCTCAACACATGTAACAGGAATTGAAGATCAGAGAATTCTCCTAACACTATTTTAAGGCCTGAGCTACTTTTCATTTAGACAATGAGAAATACTCTCCTCAGGCTTTTTAATCCTGTACTACATTTCATGATGTAAAGCCACTACCACACATATCATCAGGCATCCCTGAATTTTTACAGGCTCCTTTTTGTACTCCTGGCTTTAGAGAGGTACTGCAAGAAAGTGTTTTGCCTTATAATGCAACACAATGACCTGATCAGGACTCAAACCTGGGTCTTTTGATTCTAAAATTAGTTTGTTTGCTCTTGTGAGCCTTTCTTGAATTTTTCTGAAGTCATGATTTTTTTATCACCATTATTGAATCTGTATATGATATACCTTAGTTAAATGTTAACTTGTAGTTAAAAAGCTGATTAAAAAAACCCATTTTACAGGTGGGTGACTTGATTGAGACACATCTGGTACAGATCAGGGACATTGATAAAGTTATGAAAAGTGCCAAGACAGGAAGTATGAAAGAAAGAAGAGGTGCTGCATTTGAACTTGCCAGTTTAGCGGCCACAGGAGATGACACAAAATTTAGGATTGTACAAGAGGGGGGGTAGGTCTGAATATTTAGCTTTAGCTGTTTAAATGGAGAGAAAAATCTCTTGAGCCAAAAATTTCAATGTCCCAGTCTTTCTATCAGTCATAACTTGGAAACCATTGCTTTGATCCCTGTCATTTTTTCAGCTGTCGGAAGAGCAGGTGGTTCATACATATTAAATGTTCTTAGTGCAATGACTTTCAGCACTTTAAATTTACAATCAAGCAAAATACAATCAAGTAGCTTGTTTTCACTTAAACAAACCCCAGCCAGTTCAAATTGTTTTTACACTAATCACCAAGAAATATTTCAAAAAAGTCCTTTTTGGAAACACTCCAAGCCTAAAATTAATAGTTTCTCCATCAAGGCTTAACATTTTTGGAAATATCAAGTTGATGTCAGATGTATTGAACTGTTATTTGAAACTGTGACCCTCTCAGAAGTAACTGTCCATCACCCTTTTTTTTCAGACTACCAGCCTTGATGAATTTATGCCTGTCACAAGATCAGGTAAAAATTCTTTCATAAGTCTGCTGATAAATATTTCCAAAATTTTAATATTTGTATGGCATTAGGTATTCACCTAACAGCTTTTTAGCTTCAGTTTTATGACATAAACTGTGTATGCACATGGCTGTGATGGTGCAGGGTGTTCCCTTCAAGCATCTGAGACACTTGAATTTCCAGCTATTACGCAGAACTCTCTGGTTCGACTCTGATGTCCTGAATTTGATGCCCTTAGCTAATCTTTACCCAGAATGTCTTTCTTTTACTTAATTAACCTTGATGGTGAAAGTATTTTTTTCATCTGATTTCCTCAGGCCACTCAAGAATATGCAATAGAGGCAATATCAGAACTACTCACTGTTCCTGTTATCCAGGTTTGAAGTTATTTTTCTGTTTTCATTGTTATGTCTCACTAGACAACGACTCTCTCTGACAGAATTTTGTAGCTTTTTTTACACTGTAACATCGGTAAAACAAATTTTGTAGTTTACTTTGTATGTCACGCTTTTAAGGCTGCAAACTAAGTCCTCCATTCTCTTTAAACAATGTACCCACGAGTTAACAACTGTGAAACTTTGATCGTTTTAAGGACCAGTTTGTGGAACTGGGTGGAGTTCGCACCATGTGTGCTCTGTTGCACTCCAAGGAGAATCGTGTGGTGAATGAAGCTGTGACAGCCCTGTCGTATATAGTGTCTGACAGTGAAGCTAACAGGCAGGTGGTCATCGGAGAAAACGGGTAAGAACCAAAAGAAATATAAGTCAGTGCTATAAATATTTGTCATTCATGTATTTTAAAACATTGCTGTTGTAAGGGTACAAGTGAAACAGAAGTGAATCAAGATATTTTCGTAAAGATAACAAGGAGTATATGAATCTGGCCTGCAAAAGAGGAAAAGGAGGTAGAATGGTTGTTAAAATTTCGAGAGTAGGGAGAAGAAAGCCCACAACCACGCTTTGAGCTATTTATGCTCTTCCCGAACGATTTTAACTTTTTCTTCATGATTCCTATTACACCTGGCTGCTAAGTCACTTTGCAGCCGCCCTTACCCTCAAAGACAAAAACGGGCAATGGGCCCTTTCCGATTTTTTTTGTGGGTAAGGGGCGGCTGTACACAGGTTTCTCGCTGATATGAATCCTGACCACTAAGTAACTAAGGAATAACTGCATATCTATTACAGCTAATAACCTCCAGTTACACATGTTGTAAAATTCCGCATAACTTGTACAGTCTTTCGATACAACTCATTCAGAGCATAGGTAAAATGTAGATGCACGAGGCGGTGGGGTAAGCTCCATTTGATCACGGAGCATATAAAAGGGTCTTGCTGGCCATATGAAGCATGGTGGATTGTGAGAGATTCATATGTTTTCTTGGTGGAAGGGAAGGGAGGGAAGGGTTAGTTGTACTGTGAGGCTACCCCTAAAGGGTACTATAGTATTATCAACTGAGTTGTTGACGTGAGAATTGCAAAGCTAACATTTCGAGCGTTAGTCCTTCGTCAGAGCAAGTGGAGGAATTGTGGGTTTTGTATGTTTTTATGCAGAAGATCAGGTAAAAACTGACACCACTGAGCCAAGACTTCTTTTAAAACGGTGTACCTCTTATTTATGTTTCACGAAGCTGTGAATGAAATTATTGCAATTCCTCTTTTTCATTTACAGCTTAGAGGATTTGTGCTACGTTGCTGAACGAAGTAAGTGTATTGATACTGACAGTAGCTGATTTATTATTTACTTGAAAGATTCAACAAGTCTGATTTTTGATATCTCTTTTAAGGGTTTAATTAATGGTATCAAATTATTTTGTGAAAGAGTACTTTTGGACTTTCTCCCCCTAAAAAAAGACAATTGCAATTCGAAAACTTCTGCACACTCACTTTTTTTGCAAAAGATTGTTCTATATCGGGTATTGAGTAGATTGGCATCCAGCGGCTTTTTGACATTAATAATAAGCATAAGAGAAAACATAAACGTTTTCACAGAAATGCACAACAGCACGCTTAAATATGTAATCAGCTTAAGCACGAGCAACGCACCTGGTATAAGTTAGAATGATTTCGTAAAGAATAAAGGTTGCCAGTTTTAACATGCAACTGAGCAAGTAACAAAATTTGCCTAAGGAGGTTCACTCTCATCGGCTCAAAAGTGTGAAATGTCAAAGATTATGCATCCTAAAAAATTTACCTGAAAGATGTTACGTTCAGGTAATGATATTGTAGGGAGAAATTAGGTGCTAATAACTCTTTTGGGTGAAAAGGTAAATAGGGGGTTTTGACAGCAGTTTTACAAATTAGACTAATACTCTTTCTTTTTTCTGTTTCAGTTCAAGTCCCAGCTTCTCGAATCCTTGCTGCAATCTTCCTTGAACTTGTGTTTACGGCAGAGATACGAGTCATGCTTTCCCAACAGAGTGCGCCTGGTATGACATTAACCCCTTTACACCCTAACGTCAGTATTCATACTCTCCATATATACTGCTCTCTATTCATTTCCTTGAGTGTTTGATTCATAATCGAAAAGCTTGACGCATAAAATTTTTGTGTAGTCCAGCCCGCTTTTGTTAAATTAAAAACCATGCCAAGTACTTTTTTATCATTGAATCTTCTAATCAGTGACATAATAGCCTCCTTCTTTCTGTAGCTACTTCTCTTGTGCATCTGTGCAAACTTCGAGATGCAGAAACGCAGCGACTTGCTCTTCAAACACTGGAGCTATTGGCCATAGAGAATTCTGATGTCATTATTACACATGTAGGTTGCGCATTCTGGTTTCCCAATTTTTACGTATTTAATTTGAATACTAGCAAATCGGTTCCTTGAAAGTGAGTTGGAGTAAAGGAGTGTAGGACGAACTTCTTAGGCTGTCATAAAAATACTGATTATTGTGATCAGCTTGGAGTAGTTTTATTCCATCCTTTTGTTAGTCTCATAAACAAGTATTAGATTTTACCTTTATCGTGTACAAATAAAGGGTATTCTTGTTGCCTGAAAAAGGAAAACCTCATATTTTTGGAGAACGAGCTTTGGAAGTTTGGACCCTCGTTAGAAATTTCTACCGAGGGGGTGGTCGTTGGGTAGAGGAAACCGAGGGGAAGGGGAAAGGAGCCCGCCCACTCCTCTCTCCGGCCACTTTTATCCCGGAACAAACATGGAAGCTGGGTGGACGATCGCGAGCTTAAAACGGTAACTCGCTCTCCCCAATAAGACAACTGTACTGTAGGGTAGAGAAGGAATGTCGCCATTAAATTTTTCGTTTCTAATAATTTTAATTCATCCCAGGATTCCCTGCTGGAGTTGCTGCTGTCTCTCCCCAATCTGACAGACGATGAACAGCTGTTCTTGCTGGCAGGAAAGATCATTCTTTATTACGCTGAAAGTGAGCTGGTAAGTAACAGAGATACGACACGTATGTACAAACTTGAGCGAAAGGTAATATTGAAATTCACAGATTCGGACGACGTTTCAGTAAAAATCTAGAAAAATCCACATGCACAAAATGATTAGAGCGCTCTTTCTATCGGTTTACCGGAGAAATATTCATCTGTGTTTCTTATTACTAAGCTTCTTTGCAATAGTAACGAACAAAACGTTCAACGAACTTTTCTTTTGACCCTTTATACCTTATCATCAGTTTGTATATACTCTGTACTTTTCTCTATACATTTCCTAAGGTGCTGGCAAGGAGAATTTGTCGAACAATCAAGAACTTCTTAAGTTGATGGTGATTTCCTTTATCTCATGACCTTAATGTGCCATTCAGGGGAGATTTTGGAAGGAGAAATTAGATACTAGTCACTCTAAGCGGTTTAAGTTATTACAAATTCTGAAGAGGTAGCACTTTACAATTATATAACAAACTATGTCCTGTCTATCCCTAATTTCAGGCTTGTCAGAAACTTGTGGAGGCAGAGAACTTGAAGTTCTGTCTAATGGAGTTAGCATACAGCTTGGATCCTCTGCTGCAGAATGTAGTGGCCAAGATTATTCTAGCTATGATAGACTCACACGAGAACAAGTAAGTGTGTGCCTGATAATTTGTGTGATACATTCTTCCATGGTAATCGGACTTTTTTCCAAAACAAAATTTAGCACGAAAATTTTATTTTCATCCCCCTTGATATTGGGTAATCTTTAAAGTTTTAGTTTGTGAAAGTGTCAAATCTTCAAAGGAAGAACGTAATCCGAGAACTGATGAAGGATGCAGCTCAACTGTAGTATGCATATTCTCCATGCTCATTGTTCTCCACACATTTCCAAAGGTGCTGACAAAGAGGATTTGTTTAGCAATCAACAACGTCTTTAGTTGGTGATCATTTTCTTTATTCTCGTGACCTTTATCTGTGATTCAGGGGAGATATTGTGAGAAGAAATTCTCTCTTGGTCACTCATGGGAATTACAGGGTCAATAAATGTTCGATGTCTCATTATTAAACTCAAGGTGAAGCACTTGCTCTGATTTTTTTCTCTTTAATAATTTTTTTCTTTTTTTCTTTCACTTAGGGACGAAATTTCCGAGCTTGGCTTGGATGAAGTGTTAATCCACATCAGAAATGAGTCTGCAGACCGAGATGCTTGGCGCATGGCAGATCATGGACTGATGATACTGCACAATGTCAAACAAACTACTGATTCAAACAAGTCCAAATCACTTGCCACAGACCTACCAACTAAGAAAGCTCTTTGAACCATGTGATGGCTACGCTAGAATGTAAGGTTGAAAGTTGAGATGAAGAAGTAGCCTTCAACATTTACATCCACTTTTTCACTCTTTTTTCCCATTATGTTCGGTTTTTTCTTTAACAAAATTTCTCTTGCCTACGAAACGGTACAGCTGGAAACGTAGAAAAAGAGAAAGAATAACGTAAGAAAAAAAGATAGACGAGAGCATACTGAGAGCTCTGTATATTCCAGACTTGTACTCACTCACAAGTAATTGTAAAAAGCAACGTGTAAATAGGCAAACATTGCATTCGTTAAGAGTGAATCAGCTTATTGTTAATCATTGAAGAAAAGCACAGAACTCCATGAGATGAATTTTAAACCGTATCGGTGCAAAACTTCTCGTAGAGGAACACAACGTTTAACCCTTTACACCCTATTGTCAGTATGCATTTTCTCGGTACTGTTCTCCAGAAGTTTCCTAAGGTGCCGACTAGGAGAATTTGTTTAACAATCAAGAGCTCCTCTAGTTGGTGATCATTTCCCTTACTCTCATGACCTTAATGTGTGATTCAGGGATGATATGATGAGGAGAAATTAGATGCTAGTCACTCTTTGGGATGAAAGGGTTGAGTATTAGGCGTAGGTCACGCAGAGAAAGTTTAGTGCTGCTGCAGGAACGGCGTCGATTACAGAACGGGTTCGTTGTTTGAAAATTCTTACTTACCCTTCCTGGTTGAAAAACCGCGTAAACAAGTTCCTCAGTTCCTGCATATCCAGTTGCTGGGCTGTTTTCCCAACAATATGTATTCAGCTCACACGAGTCAACTCACTCCCATCTTTGTGTCAAAACCTTTTGCCCCAAAATTTAATCTCTTCATCATAAATTCTTACCGAGGATAACAAATTTGTTATGACTTTTCCAGCGTTGCCATTCCTTTTTGCACATTGGGCTTTTAGTAGATATAGGTAATGGACAAACCAGCCTTACAAGTGTAGTTGACGCAAATTGTTATTTAAGTGTAAAAAAAGTATTTATAGCAGGAATAAGTAGGTTTAGTTTTTGCCAAAATGGCCCCAAGAAAGCGTCTGGTTTTAACTCCTATTGAAAAGCGATACATCTGTTGATCGAATTAAATATTTTTGTACCAATTGCATTGTGTTCTTAAATATTTTGATAGTTTAATGCATCAAATGTAAGCTATGTTGTATAAAAATTACGTAGCTTATGTTAATTCAGTCGCGATTAGACTCAATGTGGTGGATGATTTTGCCTAAAAAACTCCTAGTGAGTTGATTCCTCAGGAGGTCCTCTCGACTGAAAATGTAGGTTTCTCATTTCTAGGGTAAAATAATGACCATAAGAAGCCTTATGTCCGACCGTCAAAGCATTCTGGATATTCGAATAATTTTGAATTTTCTATCCATTTCATAGGGTTGTAACGGAATGATTAATCCAATTTATTACAAAAAAAAAACGTTTTAAGAGGGTTTTAAGTAAAGGAATATTAATACCTACAGTTACAGTAAAAAAGAGGACCACAATCAAATTCATTTTTTTCGAGTAAAATAAAATTCCGAAGTTATTCCAGGCGCATGGAAACATTCAGTACTTCAGCCTGATTTCCGATTTCATTATCAGTAAGGGTTTAAAGAAATTCGCTGTGCAAAGTACCCATATATCGTCTGGCGGAAATACCACAGGTGCTTCTTTGCTGCTTGATCTATTTGACGATGACAAGAATCCGATCCAGGCCTTTTATGAGTGTCCGGATATTTTCGGGGGATATTCAGAAGTTTACGGAATGTCTAAGAAATAATATAATATTTAGAACTCTTGAAGATATCAGTCAGGAATACTTATAGCTTTATTGGCATGCTTGAGTACTGTTTTTAATTCCCTGCTATTTTTGAGAAACAATCCTCACGTACATGCCAGAATTGTCGTAACGTTCAGGTACTGATCAAACCTGATCATCTTGATAGAAAAAAATGCATCTATGTTGTCTTAAAAGTTGTTTTTGTTGTGCTTGGTTCCCCCTACACCCTAACATCAGTAAGCAAATTCTGAAGAATATTTCTAAAAGTTAAGAGACCTTTACTCTCATGAACTTGATATTTGACAGCCTATAGGCTATAAATTTCGCAATAATAGAAATAACATGAAAATTAGCCACTGGGAACTTGATAGCTCATGCATAAAACCTTTAGTATGAACTTTTACATAGTTGTCAAAGCATTGTGTTTGTCAAAAACGATAATGATGTTAATTTCGTTACTATTTAAATTCCCCACAAATAATGCACAGGAAGAGCTTAGCTGTAAGCGTATTCTGATGTAACAGGACGTACATCTATTATTTTAATAATAAGATACGAATTAAAATACGTCAAAAGATAACCGTTTGATGGATAAAAAGATGAATAAACTATCACCTCGAACTATATTGAAGTTCAATTGATTTCAAGGTCAGATGGTGCAGATATAAATAAAAACATGGGTCCTCTTTATTGCTTAAACACAGTTTTTCTGCCTCGCAAAATACACCGACGACTAATTTGTCGCGAAATTGAGTTATCTGAAAAGTTTTATTAAGAAGGCATTTAAACAACATTTTTGGGATATATTTTTAGGGAAGACCTATCCCGTCACTGGCCCTCCTCACTTATCGGATGTGATCCCCTCCCCACCCTAAGGATGTCCGAATTCTTCTCATTCCGTTACATTACTTAGTCGTTCCAAACAAGGCAAGCCCACATATAGAGCCACAGTTCACTTTGTCAGGAGTACAATACAACTTAGCGGTTGACTGATCTTGTGTTAGCTGATAACAATGGCCTCCAGGACTCCAGTTCGCTTAGACCCAGTAACAGGCAAAAAGATTCCACCGCCTGTTTCGCCGAAGCCTGTCAGAATGACAGCCACACGGTTAACGAAAGCGAATGCCAGACCGCCACCACCATCGCTTCAGTCTTCAGGTGGAATGAAAAGCACTGAAGAAGAACTTGACGCACTAACTGATCTTCTTGTGAAGAATTTGGAGAATACAGGCGATCCAGACTTTTTCGGTAAGGCACTGCGCTGTGTTGCATTGTTGATGTTTACTTGTTCTTCTGTTTTGCATCGCGTCTTGTGCGAGGGCTTCTTTTGCAGTTCTGTCTAGGCATTGTTTGAGTTTTGGGTAAATCTGTTTATAATACTTAACTCGTCTAGGCTTTTTCCTTGACTGGATTTACATGGTTATGTTTTATTAATCCTGTGCAATGAACAGACGCTGTTTACTTTTCGATTTGAGTGTTGTATCAAAGCACACAGTGGGTCAGAAAATTGGTAACACTGACTTTCCTTTCCTTACAGCGGATCAAACATCGCTTGATTCTTAAAGTTTCAGTTTTAGTCTCACTAATGTAAGAGCACTTAACCAGCTTTAGAAATGACGTCGCAAATTTACTGTAAAGCCCGATATACTCTAAATAGATGATCTTTCCTTAGACACGTAATTTGCCAAAAAATGGAAAGAAAATTTTTTGTGCTGTCCAATCGTATTCTAGCTTAAAAGTAAAAAACATAGCGTAGCTTAAAACTGTGTACCAGTTAATGTTCCTTTAAAAAAAATTAAAGCTGTTATGCTGTTACTTTTACAGTATTAGCGTGGAATTAAGAAATTGAATGAATAATTTATTGATCCTTGGTTGCAGAAAACTGAAATTGTTAAAATCTTTCACATTCCTTTCTTGGGTGTCACGGTGTCTAGGAACTTATAGAAATGTCCTGTTAAGAATTGCTCCAGTGTGCTACTCATCTACTGCTGTTGCATCATTCAGCTACCAAATGTTCACCTTCGAAAGTTAACTCAGCTGACAATCTCCATATTTGCAACATAGTTATGTCAGTTTTTCATGTCAATTGTCCTAGTTCACAACATCTGTTAGGATGGCATTACTTCAATATTTAAATTAGGTAGCTAGATATGATATGGGGAACAAATTGTTTTTTTTTTTAAAGTGAACTCTCTATGAAAAGGAAATTCACCATTTTCCAAGATTTAGCTGACTTTTGAATTAAAAACTTAACATCTTGAATATCTCTGATCATTTCAAATGGCCAGTGATTAATTACAGAACTGTTGCTAGTGGCTTCTCTTTTTACACAACATGTCACACAATTCCTTGATTTTGCCCAACCATTCAAGACATAGACAAACAAGAATTTCTACTTGCATTGAGTATAATTTCTTTTTGATATTCAAAAGACATTTAGAATACGGTAGGTATTCTGTCAAAAGTTTTGCAGGAATACTTATTTGTGCTCTGTTTACAGTAGCTTAGAGAGAAAATAGTTACAACACCCAAATATTAGATGAAATGTTTTCTAGACCCACAGCATCAAGGTAACATTTTCCTTTTAACTCTCAAAAGTGGTAAACATGTAACTTTTCCCCACAATAACCACCAGAATTAACAATCAGATCTAGGTTTTTAAGGGTCAAGTGAGGCTTTACCTAGAATATTAAGTGGGAGAAAACACACTTGTCATTTATTTGAATTTGAAAGTGGACCAAAATAATCAAGATATCATGTGTTTGTTTGTTTATTTTTTTCATAGGAATGTGCAGTAAATGTGGGCAGAAAGTCTCAGGAGAGGGGACGGGTTGTACTGCCATGGAAAAATTATTCCACATCAAGTGTTTCCTCTGTGACAAATGTGGTGAGCAGATTTCAGTATTTATTGGTATTCCTGTGGTTCAGTTGATCTTGATGTCCATTGAGCTGTTCAGGTTAGGGTGTATCTGGTATGAGACACTTTGACTGGTTTCCATAACCTAACCTTTCAGGAACAGATAAAATAAGAGCAACCTGGAGGTTCTGAAGATATTAACAAGATAATATAAAGTGGTCCTGCATGTGTGTCAACAGACATACACACAGGTCTTGGGGACATTTCCCGTCCAGACGACCAGTCTCAGCACTCTTCCCAAGCAGAGTACCAAAATCTGTTATGGGCTCAAAGGAGCTTGGGGGAGAGCATGTTTTTCAGGCTCTGATTTGTGTCCCCTTTGAGTATGTTCAGTTGCTCAGTGGCTCCTGTCCTTATCAGCCTTAAAATTTCCAATGTGGAAGATCCTTGCAGGCACAGTTTTAGAAGGATCTCAAGGTTCTCAAAGGTTTTTCTTTGGGAAACTGAGGAGCCCAGCTCTTTTAAGCCTTCAGAAGAGTATCTGGTAATTTTTGACTGGTTTCCAATTTTCCAGATAAAATAAGTTCTGAAATATTAACAAGATAATATAAAGTGGTCCTGCATGCAGAATCTCATGCTGTGGTCCCAAAGTGAAATGGCCCCCAGAATCATGTTGTTATGGCCCTTGTGTTAGTATTAAGTCTGGCTGGAAATTCATACTATGGTCTATACTATTTTACCTTTGATAGGTTTCTGGTCAAGCAGGATTTTTCTTCAGAGTTTTATTTCCTGTTATTTTCTCATCCACTTAGCTGACTATAGTTCATACCTGTTTTCATAGGATGTCAGCTGACTGGCAAGGTGTTCTACAAAGTGGAAGAGGAAGTGTTTTGTGAGGCAGACTATCTAGTGAGTGTTACTTTGGGAAATATTTTCTAATTAAATATATTGCTCAAACAGAGACAGGTAAACATATCAAGATGTACAGACAGAATGTTTGAAATTTTGGCTATTTATGGCTTAAAACCTGACTTTCACCAGCTTTGTCTTTGTATTTGCTTAGCTATCTAGCAAAACTCAACTTTTCCTCAAGCTTCCAAACTGAAAACAACATGGAAGGTAAACCTTCTAGAGAGGAATAACACCAATTTTGTAGGAGTGATTTGAGAGATTAATGGTGTACAATAATCTACCATATATTTGCACAATAAATCAAAATTTAAATTTAAAATTTACCTTAAGCTGTTTATTTACAGGATACACTGGAGACCTGTTGGGCTTGTAACAAACGTATCACAGAAAGGGTAAGGAACTCATAACATTTATTATAAAATTTCAATTGAATTGAACTAGCCTTGTTTGAGTGATCAAAAGAACAGGTAAAATGCCATCTTATGAAGTTTGATGCTCCAGAAGGTGTTTCACACCTGCTAAAAAAGAGAGAGAGAGATTGATTCACTGCACAGCATCATGTACTTACAGGGGACTAATGCATTAGGGTGCTGATAGAAGCATTCTAGTCTGGGTAGCATTCAGTAATAGCGGAGCTCGCAGAGCGTAGCCCCATAATTGTACAAAATGGTAGTAGCAACCCATGAAGCTGAAAAAATTTGGACTTATGACCATACGGGTGTCCGTACAAGATGCTATGCATGGTCAACTGTACGGTGGGCATGTCAATACCATGGCTTTGTCCAGTAGTCCAGTGGTCAGTGTACTGGGCTCCAAGTCGGATGACCTGGGTTCTGGTCCTGGCCAGGGCAAGGCGTTGTGCCCTTGAGACGTGCGGGAAAAAAAAAATGCAAGCTCTGCTTTTGGGTGTGGCTAAATCTATATATTATGTACATTCAAATCTGAAGGTACTGGTACATCTTGACTAATTAATCCCATGGTTCCTAAAACTTATTAACATGTAATTTCTCATTATCAGCAAACTTATTAGCTGAAGGGTGCTCTCTTAAAAAAAGGGAGAAATTTTTTCAACTATGAGTGAAATTATTAGTTAAATTTTGAAAACTGAAGGTTGAATCCCAAAAATTAAAATTTAACTTTAAAAGGGAACTGAGGCCCAAAGAATTGTAATTTTTTCACATTCATTTTTAGTTAGCTTTGGAGGAGCAAGATAAAGTATACAGAGTTATTTTCATTCACTTCTTGTATTGTATGAAAAAGTGTGATTTTCAGTCTCTTTTGCAGGGGTATGGGGGCAGGGGAAGGTGGGCAGGATGAGGTGTGAGAGGGGTGGGGTAAGGGGCAGGGTGTAATACCCTCTATTCCACTCTTGGGTCATTTCCTACAGATCTATTCAGTTTTAAGATGTTTACTTTATTTATGGAGTGAAGTGCTAATGCCGTTTTATTTACAGTACCAAATTCTGTTATCAGATTCTACGGGCCACTGGGAAATGTTTTCATCCAGACTGTTTTGTGTGTGAAGTTTGTAGTAAAAAACTTGATGGAATACAGTTCACAGTGGACAACTTTAATATAATCCATTGCATTGAGGACTACTATAGGTATTTATGTTATGACAAGTTTTTGATTGTAATAATGATTACTATTAGAATTCTAATTGTAATGACAGTACTGATAATCATGATCATCATTACATTTATTGTACTTATTCAATAAAAGTTGGAAAAGAAAAACACCAATCTGATTTCAGTTAATTTGATTTTTTGGCTGAAAACTGGAACATGATTTTTAGCTTATAAAACAAAAATATAAAGTATAGGTAAATTTACCAAAATCTGACTAAAGATTTGAAGGATAAATTTCTTCTACAAAGTTCTACAAATAGGCTAGCAGTATGTTAATCAGTAAGTGTTTTTACCTTCCCCAGTTGTAACATACCTAAATAATATAATGCAATAAAATAGAGAAAATCAAAGTTTCCACTGGAAATTTGTTATTTCTTGATGTGTCAATATTTTGACCGCCAATATTTCAGAAACTAAGTGTTTCATTCTTTCTTATTACAGGAAATACTCTCCAAGATGTGCAGCTTGCAACCACCTTATAGTCCCTGAAGAGGTAAATAATTTTCTATTTAGTAGTGCATTTTAGCCAGCTACATAAAAACCCTTGGATGTCAAGACTAAATAATATTATTTAAGGATTGTTCTCACTTTTTCTAATGCATTACCTTAAAAATCTGGTAGTTCCTTTTTGCATGTCAATAATTAATGTGTGTAAAACAAATGAAAATCTGATTATCACATTTTACATTTCCCCCTCCAAAAAATTTTTCTAACGTAAAATATGTTTCTCACATCTTTGGTCAAAATGATATACCGTTAACCATGGTCATTATTACATGTCACTTGAAAAGTGTGTAATTTTGTGACCTCACTGCATGTTTGCTGTTTCATACTGCAACATAATATCCAAATGCACTGAGTAATGACAAGTACAAATTACATGCAATATGAATACAAATATCATGCAATATTAAGGCAGTTGGTTATTTTTCTCTGAAAAAAGACTTGTTGGCTGTGCATGCTCTGCTTCTGTATCTTCTTTGCTTTCCCACCTTCTCAAAAAGTGCCTAAAGTTTTTGTTTGTATTTTGACCCACCTTACAGGCCCATCAAAATACCACACAACTTGCAAAACTAGTCATCAATATTACACACTAGAATATGTAATAAAACATATATTCACCTGTATTCTATTTTACACTCAAATTAATGTTGTTCAATGTTCTTTCAGGGTCAAGAAGAAACTGTTCGTATTGTCTCAATGAATAAGGATTTTCATGTCAAGTGCTATGTTTGTGAGGTTAGATATACAAAACCTTTTTAATTATTGAATTGGAGACCTTAAGTAAGTCTATTTTTAAAGACTCACAAGAATTTTGTGACTTTTAACTCTTCAAATATCACAAGTGATACTTAAAAGTTCTTTCACAAATTGAATAGTTTACATAATCTTGCAAAGAGAATAATTTTTTGCAAAGTTGTCAGCTGGAGGTTCATACCAAATTATCCTGACAAACTAGTAGGGAAATGTTAAGCAGCCAGAAGGGGGAATTACCATAAAGATTATGGGAGTTAAATGGTTCAAGAAGCCCCATCACAGTATCTTTAGTTCCTATAATTTAACCCTTTAACTCCCATGAGTGACTAAGACAGAATTTCTCCTTACAATATCAATACAATATCAATCAGATAAGTGATGAGAATAAAAAAATATCAATTTGGGGTTAATAAGTTGATCCGATACTAAATTCTCTGAACTAACATTATAAGAATTGTATGGTTAACAGTTAAAAGAATTACAAATTTGATCAGGGAGTTAAAGGGTTAAGGTCATCAAAAATTGTTATTAATCAGATGAAAACCTTTAACCCCTTGACCCCTGAGACTGATTAGCCTCTAATATCTCCTTAGCATAAAAATGAAGGCTTTATTCTTCAGAGTGCAGAAACTGTTTCACACTGTCTTAAAAATTATTGTGTATTATTATACCTCACAGTTAGTATACATGTACGCTATTAAGCTTGCTGTATTTGACTGTACGGCCAACTGAAGTCAAAAGTTTGTGAATTGAAATCTTTTTCCTCTATTTGAACCCAAAGATATAATGAACATCCTGCTAACCTCGTTTTCTCTGTTTGTACTGTAAGTTACAGAAACTCATTTCTTTCTGCTCTGATTTAATAGCTTGCACACTTCATGCATAGGTCATAAATTTGACCAGAAAATATTTGGTCTATAACTTATAGTGTGGACCGCTAACTTGGCTAATAAGAGGTATTTAGACACCTGCCATCATAAACACATTTATAGATACTTTCCCACATTAGTTACCATCTAGTTTTTGGTTGTTTTAGGACTGCAGTGCCCCTTTATCAGCAGAGAAGGGTGGCTCTGGCTGTTATCCTTTGGACAATCACCTTCTATGTCAAGACTGCAACGCAATCCGTGTTCAGAAGATGACAGCTGAACTAGATTCTAGGCCAGCACGGCCTTTGACAACTGAACTATGAGACCTGTGTGGTTACTAACAAGTAGAAGCTGACTTTGTGAATGAGGACAATGTATTATCAATGGTTATGCTATTATAATTAACTACTTCATTGTTAACTGGGAATAGTTTTCAGAAATTCATTGTGTCTGCAGTGTCAAGGAACACAGTCTCTGACTTTGAAATTCAGCACCAGCTTGATTGTCATGGAAGAAGTTTCCTTAACTTGTTTGGACTGTTTTTAGAAATTAGTATAAGTGATTTGTTTTCTAAAAGGTTGTATAGAAAAGTCTTGTCTCAGGGTAAGAATAAAGCATTAGTCAGTTGTAAAGGGACTGGACTTTCCTTCTTCTGATGAAACTTCTTCACCATGTGAGCTGATAAAGTGATTACCCGTCCCGCTGGTTGGGGCTGAACATTGGTGCAAATGTTTCTGAAGAAGAAAAAGAGCCTCCTGTTCCTTTACTAAAGCAATAAAGCACTTGAGATTTTCATAGGTTTATTATGGTTAAAGCAAGTTTGCAGCAGTACACAAAATTCCTGTTTGGTTGCTACCTGAACAGAATATCTGTTAGATGCTTTCAATTGTACAATAATTTTAAAGTTTTCACAGATTATAACTATCACCAGCTGGGAGTTTATGGCTTGACATAGAATGGCAGAGTATAAAAATAGCAATGAATAAATCAATCATTGTTCAGAAATTATGGAAGTTTGTAATGCCATGGTTGACTGTTGTTCAGAGAAAAAGGTTTTGATAGAATATGAAACAATTTTTTTGGTGATTTAGTTTGTTTGTTGGTTTTCTTTTTGTGGTATATTATAACAAAGGGTGTATTGATTTAACCCTTTAACTCCCATGTGTGACCAAGGCCAAGGCAGACCATTGCATAACATTATCACAAAAATATCAAGCTGACAAGAGATGAGAATAAAAGAAAGTATCAATTAGGGGATAACTGGTTGATCCAATACAAAATTCTCTGCTCTAACACCATAAGAATTGTATGGCAGATGGCAAGGAGAATTACTTGAGAGAACTTGGGTGTGAGAGGGTTTGAAAGATAAGTTCACTTTTGAATTTGTGTGTAGTTTCAAATAGAATGTTTTAAGTAAATTTTCAAGATAACACGCACTTTGACAAATGAATAAAAAAATCTTGATTTATTTAGTGTACCAAAGTTCCTACTATGAACAGGAATTGCAATGGTCACCTGTACCTTTTTTGAGCAGAAAGCTGATGTGGAGAAATATATGAGCTAAGGGATATTGATTGGCATTTAAAGCCAAATTCTTACTACTAAAATTTTTAGACATTTATGGCAGGTAGTGGAAAGAATTGATGTGTAGATCTTAGGCATAAGAAGTCTAACAGCTGATCTTAGAACAAGTTTGGCTCTTCCAGAAAAAGGAAAATTAAAGGATGCACCTTCTTATAAGACCATCATTTCTGCAAATTGAAATAACTTGCTTAAGTTCAAGAAAATTATTAGTAGGTAGTGAGACACCAGAGAACCTCATTCTCTTTGACTGTGCTGTCAACAAAATGTCTGAATGGTCATTCTGCTTGAATAACTTTCAACTTCAGAGAGGCTTCCTTGGTTTCAACCAACCTCAGGTTGTCAGTCAACCAGATCAACCATGTTCTGCCACCAGGGATTGTGTAAATTGTAGCTTCCCATAAGAGTGGCTCTACAATTGCACTGAGAAAGGTGTGCACTCCACAAATGTTTACTTCTTTTCCAAGTCCTGATTCAAGCTTTCCCATGCTAAGGAAAGGTACAGCTGTGTCTCTGCTTGCCTCATTTTCACTGATAATGTACATCAACATCACTCCACATCAACTTCAATAGAAACAATGTGTTTTCCTGGCACCATGGCTAAACCAAGAATCCGTGGCTCTTCTTTCTCATCTGCATGAACATTAAAAAAAGAAAGGACAAGTAGTTAACCCTTTAACTCCCAAAGATGTGATTTTCAATTCTCTCCTTTAGCTGCTACACATTTCCTTATAAACTGGTGATGAGAATTTGGTGTTAGATCAAGATGACAACTTCTACCTGATAAGTTTGACTACTCTCTTAACCTGTTTGCTGGATAATGAATGAATATTTAAGGTAGAAGTTACATGTCAATCATGTCCAGGAGTTAAGGTGAGGATGGGAGGAAGACAGAGTAGCTCTACATCATCAACTCAGTTGATAAAACCAAATTATCACATGGTAGCTTTGGGTTTGTTCTATCAAGACAGTTGGTATAGTGTTGCAGGAATCAAGTGTAAAATGAATGGAATGACTTTCTAAATAGACAAATGTCTAACTTAACTTAACTCACTCTCCAGCTTATGTCATCCCACACAAATGCCATGTTCACATAAGGGAAGACAATTTACATTAACACTACCCCTCTCCACCCAGGAATACAAATGACTGCAAGGAAAAGCTTAAAAAAACACTGGAAGGGAGGGAGGGGTACCTGTGGGTGACTCACATCCCACTTGGGAATTGTGGTATGCCACCAATCATAGGTAGCCAGAATCATGAATGGATGAATGGTGAACCACTTTACCAATAAATTAATGAAAAGTTTCAGTACCTGAAGAACCAACAAACTCCTGACATGATCCTAAAATTATATTCCTATCTTGATCAGTACATAGGAAGGAACCAATTAATGTTCTTCCATCAGAGATCTTTATTCTCATGATCTTGTTAAGCCATGACTCTAAGAGTTTCCTTTTTTCACTTTTTTCTGGGTTGTCACCATTAAATTCTGTCTCCTAATTAAAGAGAAATGGCACAGTACTATTGTGAGATTGTCATACAGCAAAGCTTACTTCAAAAATATTTTTGGCATACTAAGTAAAGATAGCCTATCTACAATGTTAATCCTACACCCCTCTAGGAGGAACAGGGATGGCCCTACAGTGGTAATAACCCTTGTCTCCCCCCTGATGTGGCCTGGTTCAACTCCTGCACATGGGGCCTGATTATCAAAACGCCTGGTTTCTTTACCAGCCTGAAGTAACATTTTGAAATCTAATTCTAGGGCATGAGAGCATACGTCCTAGTTCGAAAACTATTTCAGTCTGTTTTGTTTCCTGATATTTCAGTGCTTGCATTTCAAAACTTTCAAATTGCAATCTTGAAATACCATAAATTTAATGCTCAAAACCAACAATTTAAACAAAGCCTGATGTATAGCAGGGTGAACTTTGATGGGTTTTAAGTTTTTGTTTTTTTTGTAACCATTCACTTGTCAGTAGGGGCAATGAGCTAAATTGCCACCAAATCACAAATTAGAGATACGTAAAATTCAAAATACTCAAAAGAAGTATTTCGCATTGATTAAAAAGAAAAAATACCATTGATATTAAAGTAGAGCAAAGATTGTTATCGAGTTTGTCCATTCTACGACTAAGAACCAGTGTCTGGGAAACATACCACATTAGACGATGGGCTTGATTCCTTTTTTTCCTCAAGAAGCTGCATATTATGCAAAATAAGATAAAATATTACATAAATGTAAAAAGACCCTCGCTGGAAATATTCTCGTAAAATGAATATAGATGTTACCACATCTGTCGCCTCTTCCACTCCGTCCGCCATGTTTTCCTCTACGTCTGGTAAGGACTAAGTAGGAGACTTCCCGTATGTTCAAGGGCGGTTGCCAGGATGTTTCAATTGACCAATCATCTTTTTATGACGTAAATCCTATTGCGTTGAAGCTTTTTTCAAGGAGTCCATCTTGGATAGTTTCGTGATAAAGGGTTTGAAGGAAAATCCGTTTCATCGTTGTCTTCGAAAGGTTTTTCTCTTGGATAATACCATCAATTTTTTCTTAGTAATCCTAAGTTTTCCTTGTTTGTCTCTTATTTAAAATTTAATGCCACTGAACCTGTCAAACATGGTTCTAAAGTTAAGAATCGCCGTCGTTTGCTCCAGTAACCAAAACCGCAGTATGGAAGCTCATAATTTCTTAAGGTAAAGCATTTCACGTCCAGAAAAGTTTCTAAAGGGACACTTTTATGTAGTTGTTTGTTAGGCCAACGATTGGCCATGGTCGGTTTGCTTTTTGAGGGAAGAATTGCGTTAGGAATGTGTTTTTTCGTTTCTTTTGTTTCAGCAAGCGCGGTTTCAATGTGAAGTCATTTGGTTCAGGAGTTCAAGTGAAGTTGCCCGGCCCAGCTCCGGATCGACCAAACATTTATTCATTTGATACAACCTACGATGAAATGTACCGAGATTTACTGAAAAAAGACCCTCAACTGTATCCAGTCGATTTTCGAAGTTTTAGCGTTGTTGCTATTCAAGAGTAGCAAACAAAGGCGGTAATCTGGTAATGGAAATTTGCTCAGATTCTACTTGCATTCCATCACGTAATGTCGCTAATTGAGCCCCTTTTGGTTGTATCATTCCCTATTTTTAGTATCCAGGAAATGGAAAGTAATGGGAAATTTTCTACTGATTAACAGAAAAGATAGTTTTGGTTAGATCTTGCCTTTTAGGTTAACAGGCGGTTAAAGCATGTGCGAACGTAAGTAAATTGGGTTGGCAAATATCAAATGACGTAGAAGCGTTGTTTGCCATCGGGAAATTCAATATCATTTCTTTGCAGCTCATGAGAAGTGGACCAGAATGTCTCGGCACTCAAAATGAAAAGCCTGTGTGACTAATGCGAGTTGATTTACCGTACTTTGAAAATAGTTAAATTTTAATGTTAGTGAGGGACACAGTGCTTTGTGTAATTGAGGCAGACATCAACAAAGGTTGACAGGGATGAAAGAAGAAATGGACCAGATTGTGGCAAAGGTAATATCCTGTTTCCTGAGACACATTTTTGTGTGAAATTTTGCTTTATCAAAGCATTTGGGTGAATAAATGTATCAGTATGAATCACTGTGTTACTACTGAAATAACCTATCAAATCATCACCCCACTACTCCCTTCATCCTTTCATACCAATCTTTTCTTTTCTGGGCTTCGAAAGCAAGCGCAAATCTATTAACCATTAGAACTGTAAGCTTGATGAGCTGACTTAGACATTCCCTTTGTTGATGTGAGAAAGTTGCCCTTGTATTACATTTTAAAAACAACCTTGTGGTCCTAACCAAGACCATTCTTGAAGGGAAAATTGATCACCTGAAATGATATAGAACTTCCAGGACAAAGAGTGATCAGATTTCAGAAAATTAAAGTGTGGTAGGAAATGGAACCTTCAGATGGTAATTCTGGCAATTACACAAGCAAATCTTGAACAAGATTAATCTGCATCAGTTTGATTCCTCTATCAGCCTCTTACCACTGAATGGCACCATGAATATATCTCCACTTCAGTTATTTTCTCAGAAAAAAGATAAGTTTCCTTGGATACATTTGGACATATCTACCAAGGGCTCCAAAAGCTTCCAGACTTTTCCACCTAAATTAGTTTTTCGTGTGAAAGAGTTACTACTGTGAACATGCACCACACCCGAGACCTAATTTGGCTTGTGACTAAAATGGGACCATAATTCAAATGGGAGTATCTTCAAGGTGAACCCTGACATTCTAATCTTGAGAGAGAGGTCATTGAGAGAATTAGAGAAAGTGACCACAAAGATGTCAAACCACTCTTCTAACAGTTCTAATCAACAAGCAAGATAAAACATTTGAGCATATTTCTGATCCCGATGAGATGGAAGAAGGGAGAGTTATTTGAAATTGGCAATTACATAACACTAACTTACAGTGAGTGAGTGGAGTGCTGTAAATGCAGAAGATTCTATGCAGACAGCAAATAGGAAATGATACCCCACACCTTTCGGCTGTGTCATACCAAAGGACATTATTTAGCACTGAACTTGGAAAAGCAAAGTTCTACTGACAGATGCTTAAAAAGTCTGGATAAATACCCTTTGCTTCTGATGATTGATCTTTGCAGGAGAAGCCTTTGCTTAGAAATTACTATAGTATGCAAACGTCATTCAGATCTCTACCTTAAGAAGTGAACAGTTTTTGTTAGCTATCTTTATATGTCCTCATCAAAGTGATCAATAGGCCATCTTGAGTCTGAGGCATGCATGCACTTAAATAGTATAGATGCAGATTTTCTTGGGTGATTATTTAGAACAGTTGAGTATGACAGCAATCAGTTAAAGTCCTTGTGGTTTTATAGATTATATGAGGAGGCTTTATATGAACAAGGGCCTGTTTTGAAGCAAAGGAACCTCACTATGATAGCAATGCTGGCAGTGATGATACTGCTTTAGGCTGATATCTGTACCATTTGGCTTGTTATAAGCTGGTGATGCAGTGTGTGGTTGTGCCTTGGCATATTTTACTAGGGTAGATGAACCTACTTGAGACGCACCTGCTTTAAAAAAGTAGCATGAAAACAATGTTACATTTTAAATGCCATATGTCAAATTGGTTATCATTCTTTCGGTGTCATTCAGAAGTTAAAGAATGTCTTTTGATGTATATATGTAACCATTTCCAGCAAAATTTAGTATTGTTCAAATTTTGATGTTACATCCTAGCGTTGTTCATGAGAAGACGAGTGACCATTAGGTTATCTACAGTTTAGTGGTCAAATTCATGTCTGCTAGCTGTGTTGTCTCTGTGAGCTAAGTGTCTGACTTGCAATCAGTGTGATGAGAATTAAAAATCCTCATATCAAAATTCCCTAGTTGAAGATTTCCAAGGTAATGGAATTGCTTTAATGAATAGTGTATAGTGACTGAATTCTATACTTATACCTGAATGGTGCCTGATATTTGGGCCTTTCTACAAGATGTTAGGTTGTATTTTACCTACATGGCAAGGCAAAGAAAGAAGTGAATAACTCTCAGTGAGAACTAGATTACTAATGGAAGGATAACCTCATTTAAAGCCTTGTATTACTAAGCAATCACAAATGATGAATTGTCAATTTTTCTGGTTATTCGGCACATTCACAGCCATTCAGCCACTCCCTCGTTGGTTTCCTAGATTGAGAGGTTGACCTGAGTTAAGAAGATGTCTATTTTAGAAGACAACTATGCACTGCAACAATTACTCTTTGAAAGTTTCTAGCAATTCAACCTGAGTTTAGACTTAATCCATATCAGTGTGGAAAGACCTTTCCAGTTATTGGGCCTAAACGGGTCACAAGTTATGTAAAGCCTCCTGTGGCAAGATTCTGTTTTTGACTTTTCTCTCTGAAATCGTGTTCTTTCTTGATGGATTCTATCTTGGGGTACAATTTGAAATGTATCCAAATTATTCCTGAAAGATTATGTTGAAGAAAGGTCTGATGGTTTGCCTTAATTGGTCAGGTTTTGTTGTTATATGTGATCATGGTTGCCACCTGGTAGTATAAGATGGTTATAGTAGTGAAATACTAGGTCATGAAGGTGCCCACCCTTGATGCATTGAACAATGTTACTAGTATACTATTATTATAGTTCAAACAGTAAATGCCCTATACCCTTTGGAGCAATGAACTTAGTGGCATTCTGCAGTATAGTCTAAAAAGAAGGTTTCTTGAACTAAAGGGAAATGATAAGTTTGCCTTTGGAAAGTAATTTTACTTGAAATTTGTAATATTTACACATATGCAAATTTAGTGCTATACAGATGTTAATGATGCAATCAAATTTCTCCCTCTGAAATAGAACACAGTAGAATTAAATTAGCTTTTAATTTTTTGTTGTGATCTAGATTGTTGAAGTCGTTGGTCTATCTAACAGTTAGAGAGCTTTTCAACAAGTATCAAAAAAACAACAACATCAAAGGAGATTTGCAAGGGGCCAATGAGAACCCAAAGAAAACACGAGTTGTAGGAGTAAGAGGTGTGGGAAACATGGGACTAAGTTGCAGGTGTTTGCCAGACTAATCAAACTGAAGTCTAAAAGCTACCCCACATGACATTTCACATGAATGAAAGTCTCCAATCATTAAGAATATTTTAAATATAGGCTGACTTGTTGAAAATGTTTTCCAAATTAATGAATTTGGGATTTATGTGGCTAGTAAGAGATATGCACTTTTACATGTTGTCTTGGCACTTAATATTATTGCAGTCAATGCTGTGAAGCATAATTTGACAACAGCCATTACCAAAATATAACTTTTGATCAAATGGCGTTCTGTTATTGCAACCTATCATCACTTTCCACTTCTTGGGGTGTTGAATAGTGGTGATTCAAATAAACAAGGCAGTCCAAAGAGTTCTAATGGTGACAAATTATTGGAAAGTTGCTCAATTTGAGCTGAAACTAATTTGATAGCCATTAATTGTCATGTAGCTTATCTTTGCTCTGAAGTAGGGTGGGTGTGTTTCTTACTGTACTGTAGAGAAAATGCAGTTGAGATGTTGATTCTCATGAGTAACATTTCTAGGTGGATTGTGGATTGTAATTTTGAAGTTTCTTAGGGGTGTTAAACTGAGAGTGTGCCTCAGCAGAGTTGTGGTGTGATTGCCTGCATGAGCTTGAAATGTCAGTATGGAAGGAATTTGGCAAGTTGAAATTTAGAAACAAGCACAATAGACTGGAAGACAATATGGACTACAGAACTGGGCTGAATAAGGTGGATAGAGAGGATGCCAAGTTTAAGTGAAGTAATTTCCAGGAAATTATTTTGTAATTGGTATTGCAGTTAGGATACATCTTCCCTGATCTTTTCAAAGGTTTTGGGTGAAGAAGATCTGTCCTGATTAAGTAACAAGTCAAGAATGCACTGGTTGAAATTCACTGTGTGGAGGGTCTAAGATGTGACGTTCCTAGCCTCTCAGTCAATGGCAAAAAGCATTTCTTGTGAGGAAGTGGTCAGGGGTTGATGAACAAGATTACTCAGAGTAGAGCCCTACAGCTTGCAAGAATGAACTGACACCAAACATCCAAGCTTTCTCCATTTTGGCTTTGGAAAATTACAAGTGACCCCTTAAAAAAAAACAACAACAACAACAACAGCATTTTCATGATTGTCAGATTAACTGAACTGAAGCTGGCCTTTTCCCAAATGTGCAGTGTTTCCAGCGTGTCGTTCAGTGTAGCGCCTAATTCTCAACCAAATTCCCTCTTGGCTTTTCTCCTCTAAAGGGAGGGGCCAAGTACTACCCATGTTGTGTTGGAATGTTCAATTGATTTAGTTGCTAGCCAAACAATCTTATAGTGTACTTCAAGTATTGCTGAGAAATGCTTACTTTATACTGTGAAATAGGTCCATGTTGTCTTTGCCCAGAAAACCAAGCAAAACAAAGGAATTGCAACTTAAAGCAGCTTTACTTTCTTATAATTGTTATTTCAAGTGACTCATCAAGAGTTAGGGTTTTCAAAAATTTAGAGATGTTAATCTGAAGACTAAATTATGTTTAAGGTACTATTTTCCATCTGTTTAGCTCATTTGCTCATCCCTCTTACCCTAAAATCAAGTTTGTAGCCCAGTTTAGTAGAGGGAACAGGATGACTCTGGTGATGAGGTCAACCTGAGACCCCATGGTTGGGATGGATCTAGGAGAGGGGTGTGGTGGGTACGCAACCCCCCTACCCCAATCATTCCTCAGTGGTGCACCCAGTCCTAAGAAAAATCAAGGATCTGCCCTTGCTTGGTGAAATATTTATGTGAGCCAAAATGTTGTTACTGTCTACTGAAGGTTGTGTGATCTTCACAATGAGGTCAAGCCTGACATAGGCACTGTCACTCAGATGAGTGGCATCAGATATGTTCCTTTGAAATAATGAAGTAGGTGGGCTGAATGAATTTGAAATTGGCACAAATGGTCTGGTAATAATGGTTCTGTTGTAACTTTAATATATATGCCAAACTTCACAAATGAAATGAACTGTTGCACAGATAATTCAGAATGTACTTTGAACTCTTGAATTCTGCTCTCTAGCTGATGTATATTTCCTACCTAATTAACTAAGAGAGTAGTGTTGTAACAAGCTAGCACCCTCCAGCTCATACATTTTGTTTGCATTCACCACCTCTTTGTTTTAAAGTGCATTGGTTTTAGAGGAGAAGTTGTATATTGATTCATTATGGGAGTAAAAATTATTTTGACGTGGAGTTGAAATGTGCATTATAGAACCAAGATCACTGTTGGAATCAGTTCATCCAGCTAGATTCAGCAAAGTCAACTTAGATCTGTTGTGGCTAGTTTAAATCAAGTGGTCTGAATAGGCTGTAAGAAATTAGTGAGTCGCAAACTGAGGTTAACTAACCAACTTTGACTACCCATCATGGAGAATTCCTGGGACTGGTGGGTAGCGATTGCAGGAATTAACTACAGGGTCTTGTTTAGTTACCATGGGGACCAACCTTGACATACATCACAAAACTTTTTAGCAGTCATACTCTGCTTTTATAATTTTATATCATGTACCACATGGGTATTGTTGTTTTCAGCTGAAAATTCCATTTTTTCTTGGGTAAATTATTGACTGTGTAACATTTATAGTAATTTACAAAATTGGAAAAAAATTCCTTGATTCAGCTTATTAGCTACAAGCAAAATGGAATTCTTCACATGCTGGACAGAAACAGGAGAATAAAAGCACATCCTGAGAGATTCCAAGAAACTGAAGAAGAATTTGACCTGGTGGTTACAGTGGAAGAGAGGGTGTATGATCAAGTTATCGAGTGTGAGTATCCTTTCACCTGCTAGATAGATTAAGGAATTAGTTGTGAGGTGATGTATTTACGCTGTTATCTACATGTGTATGAGCTGTGGTGTGGAAATTATACAAAGTGACATGCACTGTCTTAGAACTGCATGCTCAGAGGGAAAATTTGAACTAAGTATTTTATTAAAATGTTAAATTTTCCTCTTCTTTTTTTTTGTTTCATTTTTAAGCAGTGTGTCTTTTGACATGTAGAGTGGTTGAATCATATGTGGTTGAATCATATGTTATGATTAATTAATTGAGTAATTAAGTGAGTGAATGAATGAAAGAATGAATTAATTCATGGTAATAAAAGGAATGGATGAAGGGATGAACTATCCGACTACATAGATTGAGCTGGCTGCTTTTATGGGGTAAGCATTTTTGTGACAAGTTGGAGGGTTACCCTAATGCAAGTGAAAATATTTGTCCATACAAGCCTAAACTTTTACACTTGGCTAATGCTAAAATCACAGATCTTGCATTGCTGATATGTTTTATGTGAACAGTTATAACAGTTCAAGCTCTGACTTTAATGCAGTATTTTGACAATGATTATTCTTTCAGATCTTGAATCACGTGGCGCTCAAAGCTACTCGCCAGTCCATGTCATAAACCTTGATATTCAGGATAACCATGAAGAAGCTACATTAGGAGCATTCCTTATATGTGAAATGTGTCAAGCTGTAAGTATTAAAAGTGTTGAAACTGTGGAACTGTGCAGTGTAGATGAAGGAGGTGAAACATGAAAAGTAAAGCAATATCCAGATATTAAAAGGGTTAGGTGCCACAACTTCTCCCCAACAATATCTGCCCCTGTGCAAACTGTTTTTGTTGAAAAAAGTTGTATTGCATTTAATGTTATTCCCTTCTGGGAGTGGTTATTTCCTGCCTCCTTTAACTAGAGCTTATATTATATATTTCTAAAGGATTTTTTGTGATAATTTTGATATAATGTCCATAGAAGAAAAAATATAAACACCCTTGATTTTGCCACTCAGTTTGGAAGATAACCATCTTTCTAGAGAGGGATGCAAAGGGGGAGTGTTGATCTTGTTTCACACACAAGTTTGAGAAAATCCACACCACATATACTGCAAAAAGTATTTCATGGAGCACAAATTTAAGAGAGGAAACTTCAAATCTCACCTCATCTTGCCTTTCTATAAAATTCACACATCACACATCATGTTCATGTTTATGTACAACCCTTTGCCACCCTTTTAAGAGTTATATACATATTTCAGGGCTTTTAGTACTTCCAACCAGTTACTCCTGCTGATAAAAGTGTTATTTAATCTTTTTTCATTCAGATTGAAGGCCTAGATGACTTAGAAAATGAAATTGATGAAGCTATTCCTAAACTAGAAAAGAAATGGAAAAGAACTTTGCTTCACACAGTAGCTTTCTATTAGATATTGAGTATTTGTACAAACAGTGATATTTTATTCAGTCTATAATATAAGTGTAAATAGCTTTAAACAATTTTGTATTTAACTGAGTAATATCATTGTGAAGCTATAGACAAACAAATGGTTTGCTTCCAAGCCAGCTCTCCAGAAGGTTGTCATTTAACTTAGATGAATTTAGAAGCAGAGACAGACATTGAATTTAAGGCTGGTGAAAGAAGTGTTGATCAAACAGCATTAGTTTCATTAGCAAAATAAACAGTACAGTGTTTAAATGTGCTTGCAAGACAACCACTTAGGAGTTGGTCATCTGTCTCACCTTTACATGCCTTGCTTAAGTGAAAATATAGTCATTTGTACTATGTTTTGGGAGTTTTTTGATCACCTAGTCACAGAGAAAACAAGTATCTTTAATTAATTTACAAATACTATTTATGCAGCCCACATCTTTCAAACTGGAATCAGTTATTTTTGAATCTGTGTATTTTTAATGTGAAACCACAAACTGAAAAGACAAAAGAAGTTGACAATTTGATATTTTTTTCAAGAATTGTTCACTTGATAGACTCAATTGCAATCCTGAAGGTGATCCAGATTGTTAAAAAATATATATATACATACAAACGGCTTAAACAACAGTGAACAGTAACAAGTCTCTCTTCAAGGGTGAAGGGAAAAGGAATGCAGAAGTTGTTTCAAGGAATAATAATTTTACTGATTTTGTAATTCATAGGTTTTTCCAGCCGTGACGAATCTGCATTCAATCTTGATCTTGAATAGTACAGGGTGCTTTACTTGAAACAGTTAAAATATGATTAGCTATTCATCTCGATTACTATTTCGTGTAAAGGTTTCCATTTTCAGTATTTGTTATTGTTTTCCTCCTTTGGGAGTGAAGAGCTTTGCTTTACTTTGCGACATATATGTGAAAATTGTGCTAAAAATATGGGTGTACGACTTGATTGCGTTATTACACGGGGATTGAATGGAGAAAATTTATCGTTTACTTCCTAAAGCTGTCTCAAGTGTATTTCATCGGCACAATTTTGTGCAATTGCTTTACCACTGTGAGTATTTTTTTTTTTACTGTACACCGCTAGAACTGTCTGTAACCTCTCACGATAGTTCAGTCAATGATGGATTTATTTATATTGACCTCAAACAAGGAGTGGACTTCAATGATATAGTTAAATTATTTTCTTGTCGTACAGCTTGTACTTTCATCAGCTAATTATCACTGAAATAAAAAAAAAAAGAATAAAATAATTTTTGATTGCAATTTTGTTTAGTTTGATCATGACGTGTTTCACTCAGACACCATGAAAAGAAAAGAAAATAGCTCCATTTGAGGAATATTTTCTACGATATCCGCCTCATTTAATCAGTTTTGAGGTTAATTCTTCAATTTTTCATTTAGCATTCTTCACTACCGTTTCGTGCTTGGTTAATTAGTCACAGACGTTCCAGGCGTCATCACTTACTGCGCACTCACTTCAGTCTAATGATGCATACACACTTTGTGACGTCAGTGACGCTCTATTCGTTCTGATTATCGCGTTAGTAATGTGCAGTCTTTGGTATGTGTTGGATGGTTGCGTCATTCTCTGTTCATGTTTGGCTTTCACGTTAATGATGCGCGTTCTCTTTCTTCTTTATTTAGCTAATGGACGCACTCTCTTTGATTGTTACTTTCCAGAGGCGCGTCCTCGTTGTTTTTTATTCGACTGTAGAGGGGGCACAAACGTTTTTGACAAGCGGCTAACAGCTGGAATTTGAAGTTGTCATTCCGGGTTTTCACATACGTCTTTTGGTCAGTTCCGCTGTACTTCAAATATTGAAACGATGACTTTCTAAGTTGATCCACCCGCGTCAGAGCGCTCTAGAATAAGTTCAGTTCCTCTTCCGATTGCCGTCCACGTATCTAAAACGTCTCCTGTTATGTTAGGAATGCGCGCTTTGTAATGTGCGCTTCTTTTGTTTGTGTCTGATTGTAGGTTAGTAGTGATGTGCGCTTTGCTCGTTTTATTCTTGGGTTTGTGGTGAGCTTCCTCTAAGTTTTAAAATTGAATGTTACGTCAGTGACGCGCACTGAATTAGTTCGTTTCTGATTGTTACGTCAGTGTTGTGCGCGCTCTGTGTTTTTTACTGTTGCGTCAATAATGCGCGCTCTCTTCGTTTGCTTGTTAAACCGCTACGTCAGTGATACGCGCTCCCTTTACTCTTGTTGACTGTTACGTAAGTGATGCGCGCGCTCTTTCTTGTTGCATTATTGCTGCCTTCCCTCGTTTTTGTCTGCCACATCAGTGATTCGCAGTCTTTGTCGTTGTTTTTTCTTTTTTGGTTTATTTCTTTTATTATCGTTACGCAAGTAACCTTTGCCAATCAAACACTTGCCCTCTTTGACAAGTGTTTGATTGGCTTTATGATTCAGATTCCAATCAAACACTTGCCCCCTTTGGCAAGTGCATAGAGTCACTTTGAAAGTTTTCAGGTATCTACTTTCTCATGGTTGAGCTGTTCCTACATGTACTGTCTCCAATCCTGCACATAGGAAAGGAAATTTTCCTCCATCACAATCAAGAACAAATCGCTAACAGATATGACGGCTTTGATGTTCCGCTTGGAGATACAGTTGTTATTCGTATGGTATTTCACTTTGTGACAGCAACTACGAGAGAACTTTTCTCTTAGTATGGTGAAAATGGCAATAACCTATTTTCTCAAATGCTCAGGTGGAACATATCACGTCAGTGATGCTTTGTGTTAAGTGACTGACTTAAACATTTTTTTTAACTTTGGAATTACCCTAGAAAAAAGATTTAAAAAAAAACAACAAATAACCGAAAAAAAATATGATCTCGTTTTGACTTCAATTTTAAAAGTTTTTTATTTTTCATGTTCTAAAATAGCTTTCATATTTTTTGTTTAATGAGGAAAACGATATGTAATGACTCAGTTTGAAACAGTATGAAAACTGGTGAAAACGTGTCACATTACAAACTTTACTCAACCAATAAGTCAACAAACATACCTTTTGTTTTTTCAATAATCTGTCAGGTATACTTTATCAGTAATAATTAGAACAATATCTTTCATATCATTTCTGCAAGAAAGACTTAACTTAACCCATCATTTGCTGATGACATCAATAATATCATTCATTTACTTACAGTTTCTCAGAAATTATTATGTACAACATAACAGCATGACAACGATGTAATTATTGTAAAATTCAGAAAACCATAAATATTTTAATTTGATTCTGTGTGCTGACCAAAATTAAGCTCAACACTTGTAAGCAAACCTCAAAACCACAAAACAATAACCACAATCTGAAGGTCTGAGGTTAAATTCCTCATGGGGACTCAGAATTTGTTCTGTGTCTCACGCTTGTGACAAGATAAAAAAACATCTTTCTCTATTTCTTTACCAAGCTTACCATCTCTCTTAATCTATTTAAAAAATAATATTGTTACTATCCGCCATTTGGTAGAGACACCAAAGGTCAACAGTTAAAGTGCTGGACTCTAGCTCCAGAGGTCTGAGTGCAGACATGGCAAGACACTTTATTGTCACACTGCCTCTCCCCACCTGGGAGCATAAAAGGCAAATGTCAAATTGTCTGAGAAGCCTGATCAAATGCTGGGGAACTTTGTGGTGGATAGCAGCCACCCAGAGGGGGTAGTAATACTAGTTGATTAATGCTGCAGAAACTGGAATGAATTACAGCTGACAGGGCTACTTGACAAGGGTGTAGACTTCACCTACTGTCTGCCATTTAGTTTTCTGACACCTAATTAGCTATTCCTTTGAAAAACAAAAACATTCCATCATTAATTCCAGTCTTTACAGTCTCCGAAATTTTATATTAATTAATATTTGATTGAAATTGATTTGATAATATTACCATGTCAAATATTTTTCTTTGCGCTAACCTAGAACAAAGGTTACCTCACAAAAATGTATAACTATATGATGCTCAGATAACAGAAAAGGGGTCATTATAATAAGATGCAGACATTTTTTAAATGGTTGTTGAAAGGACTGGCGACTCTGTTTATGTTTCCTCAAGTTAACAATCATTGTTAAAAATATTTTGAAATCTAAAACACAAAGTCTATAATTATTTGTAATTGTACAGTACAAATAAAAGTTTTTGTTGTTGAAAATACCACTCATTTCAGGATTTAGATCCCAAAGGTTGACTAAAAACCTAACTGTGAGGTATGGCTTCATTTACACAAATCCAACTCTTGCACATTTGGGGTTGCACATTTGTATATTGTTGAGCTAAACCACACAAACTTAAAGATAATTTTCAAAGTTGAGGGTGGAACTTACTCCAAACTAAAGAGGAACTGAGGAAACTGTCCATCTGCAATGTTGGTTCTTTTATTATTTTTTGGATGGTCCTTAAAGCTGAATTGTACCCCTGGACAATGGATGGACTTCACTCCTCCCTTTCCATGCCAAATAATGGGACCAGACATAGCAGCTTTCACATAATACCAAGTGTTCTTTTTCAGAGACACTGGCTTATCAAACAGAACATCAAAGGCATAAAAACTACCTTCTTCTTCCTCTAATTCCATGGGTATGGAAGAATATTTTCCTATCTTAGTGGCCTTAAACAAACCATTAGATGCTTTTCTAACTGTTACTGTAGCCTGGTATTTGCGATTTTCACTTCCAAACAAACAAATTCCATACAAGACAATGTCCCTGTTTACTGAAAAATAAAGATAGTCACTGTGGTAAGAACCGTAGATTAACCCAGTTTCAAGAACAACAGATTTAAATCGACAACATCTCTGGCGTAGGCCAGTTCTTGGAGCTTTTGAGAAATAGTTTGGTGGGCTAAAAATTGGGGTGTTGAAGTAATCCTCCATGATGATGGCCTCATGTGAAGTTAATATGTTGCAATCAAGAACAGAATTACTGAATTCATTCCGTTTCATGACTGGAAAACGTATTGCGTTCACAACCTTGTCCCCGAGAACCAACCTTTTGGATGCACCATTGGCTGCCATATCAAGACGTTTACATTCTTCTACTGCCCAAGTATCGACTGCTCTGAATAAGTCTACCTCTTTGATGTTTAGAGAATCTCTCTTGACAAGGTCTTCCAACAGGGATCTATCTATCGTTTCAAATCCTTCTGTTTTCACGGCTTCTTCAGCCTCCTTGTCGATAACTTTCCAGCAGTGACTCACAAGCTTTTTCTCTCCGTAATTTAGGGCGTGAGACAAGACGCAAAATACATTAGAAACATTCAGGACTTCGAGCAGATATTCAGTACATCTCTCAACAAGTGAGGGCAAGATGTACTTCTTAGCCAAATACAGCACTTGCATGACGTTGTCAGGAGTAAGCCTCGCTTCATCGCAATACACAAAGCGAAACAGTTCTAACAGACTCTCGTACTCACAATCAGGAAGCCTGATAGAATCTGACTTCTCGGCAAGGTCACCATAGAACATGGCAAAAAACACAGGGCTGCTTATCGCGAGGACGAACTTGTGTGCTGAAATAGCCTTCCAGCATTTCTTGCTGCTAATTTCATCGAGTTGCACCGGAACGACGAAACTAACATCGCTGAGGAGCTCGTTGTTAAACATAAATTTGCTTCTTGATCTAATAGTCGGTCGTTCTGTTTGCCAGGCTTCTTTATGAGCGGACATAGTTGCAATGAAATAGTTCGAGCTTACGTACTGTTTTACCAAAACGGCGCGAATCGATCGAGAGTGAGCTGCTGATTACCACCAGGCGTTTTGAAATATCAGAGGGAGACTAAAAACAAGTACTTCACTACTTAGTGCTCAGTCTTCCCCTACCACTTTCTTTCTCCGTGCCAACTCATTCAATATGGCGGGCGGCAAGAAACTCACAAAAGAAGACGAAATTTTGCTGCAAAATTTCAGCAGAACCGTTTCAACTAAATCTTCAGCATTATTCTATGCCAATGCATTCTTCGTCTCAGCCATTCCTCTCTGTAAGCCCTACCAATTCAACATGTACTTCGCTCTTAAATATTATCGCATGCGCTCTTTGTTTGAATCGGAATGTCTCTTAATACGAAAATGTATTTTTAAAGTGATTTTAATCTTATGTTAGGGTTGTTTTGGAGGATTCACCAAATGGATCCTTATTCATCTGGCATCATGTTCGTCGTTATGACTCTCGCCAGTACGTGGCTAGTGGCTTTTGCCTACAAGAACGTGAAGTTTCAATTGAAACATAAGTAAGTCCGCTGTAATACTATACGATTTGTGTGTATACGTTTCAAATTGTTATTGGTCAGTGATGAACGAAGGCATGAGTGGGTTGTTGTATTAGTCAAAATATGGATCAAACTCTAGTGATGTTGCGAGTTGCTTTACAAATTTCAAACTAGTTTGGTTTAGATAAATGTTTTATCAAACATGTGTTCATTAATCTAGTAATTTCAAATGAGGTAAGTGCTGCTCAAGAGTAAGGAGAGTATAAGGGGGGGAGGGGGTCCTGCTCATGATTCACATACATCAAAAGTTACAAATGATGTGTTACTAAAACTTGTTTATACAACTTTAAGGTTCATGTATAACGAGAAGCAAAAAATTTACTGTTTTGTATTTTCACTGATCGCGAAAATTAAAAAAGCTTTATCCCATATAACGCATCAACCCCCTCCCCCCCTCATCTCAGAGAAAAGCAAAGTCAATTGTGAGAAGTTTGAGGTAAATCAAATTGTGCACACATTAAGATCATTAAGAAAAGGTTATTCCAATTTCAATAAAGCTACAAGTAAATCCAATAATTGATAGAAGCCCAATGAAGTGCCATAAACTATAGAGATTTTTGTACAGGCCTATCCTTTATTATGCATATAGTATTGGATAAAAGAAGACAACAGCAAAACAATTGATTACCTTAGGGACTCTGGAATTATTTTAGAATAGTATGGGGATATACAAAAATCTTATCAGTTTTGACTGTCACATTCATGTTTTTATTACATTTTGTTTCATTATATTATTACTTTTTAACTAAGATGTCTGCATTTATTTTTTAGGATTGCCCAACGAAGAGATGCCTCAGTTACCAAAGAAGTCAGCGTGGAGCTGGATTCTAATAAGAAGCTGACCCGCCAAGAAAAGGATGAAAGGTTTATATTAAATTGATTTAAATATACTTGTATTTTATTCAGTATAATACAGAGTTCACATCATGGGGTTTGTGATTGGCTAAATAGCTTTTTTCCTCTACTTTGTACTAATTTTCATACTCTAAGTGGGAATTAAAAATTAGTCCAAAAATAAATTATTTCAACTACAACACACATACAGTGAAACTTCTATTAAGCAGACCCCCTAATGAATGAGTTGCCCATAAGTGGATCGTTGCATTTGCACAAAGATTTCTGGGACCACCATATGACAAACATTGCTAGAGGGAAATGTTAATCATGAACAATTATTGCACAATTTTTACAAACCTCTATTAAGGGGATACTCTCTATTAGGCAGACACTTGAGAAGGTTCCGAGGATATCCGCTTAACAGAGGTTTCAGTGTACTTGTTTAAGAATCTGAAGCTACATTAAATATTTTCCTAGAAAAATATTTTTAATTCAACAATATAAAAGTTTTGAATTTTAGGAAACCAGAACAATGAGGATGGTACCATTAATCAACTGTGTTGTGGGCTTTGGGGGCATGGACATGGGGCTTTTTGTTTTTTTATTTTCATATTGTGTCATTTGTTTAGCTAGCAAAATACAACATTTGACCTTGATTTGTTGATTCAGAAGTCAGTTATGCTCAAAGTGTAGTTTTCAAAGGAGTCTGCATCTCATGCCATTATAAATTGGATTTGTTTTTGTCTTTCCAGAATCCTTTGGAAAAAGAACAAGGTTGCTGAAACTGAAGCCATTACTTTCTCCATATTTTACAACAATGCCTTGTACCTGTTTTTGGTCCTGATAGCTTCATTTTATGTTCTGCGGACATTTAATCCTGCTGCGTATCCTTTATAACTCTTCTTGTAGTTTGGAAGTTATAATCTTTGCATTAAGTTCAAATCCTGGTGTTGTTGTTGAAGACACTTTTTTCCCTTTTTTTTTTTGGTTTTGTTTTGCATTACCTAACCCTTAGCTCCCTCATGTTTACCACTCTGGGCCCAATTGTTCAAAGGCCGATCAGCACTAACCCAGGGTTAAATTTTAATTCAGGTTTCTATACTTCTATGTTCAAAAGCCGTTTTAGGGTAATTTTCTCCATTTGTTTTGGGAGCATTCAATCATCAAATTGAAGACAAAAAGAGTTAAGCCAAATTTTCTTTTTAAGCTTTCAGATCTTACATCAAAATTTTCACTAACCCTGGGTTATCTTAACCCAGATTTGACCAACCCGGCCCTGTTTTCTTAACATTGTGTATGGCACTGACAAGGAGAACATGTTTGACCATCAGGAGCTCCATAAAATGATGGTCATTTCCTTTATTCTTATGACCTTTACATTTGAATCAAGGGTGATTGTGTTTAGGAGAAATTAGAGACCAGACACTTTTGAGGGTTGAAGGGTGAACTTGATAAATAAGTAGTGGTAAATGGAGTGTAAAATGTTAGCTGCCTAGTGACAAAAGTTCCAGTGACTTCCATCCAATATTACCCTGGGAAGGTAATCAATTGTTTCCTATGTTCATGTTGCTCATGATTGCAGACTTCAAGAACTTCAAAGTTACCTGAAAGATGGTAGAAATTAAGAAACCTTATTAGACTGAACTATTATTGACAACCCTGAAAAGGATAAACTTGTCAAACCAGTCTTTGAAAAATCTAGGTTTTTCTATCTGGGAGTTAATAGTAAATGTCAGCTGTACTTCACTTTGCAGCTCACTTTTAAGGTAATTCTTTAACAGTCTTTAAGAAACTACCTACTCTCCACATCCATAGCTGGTGGTGTCCTTGCTCTGCTGTCTACTGGATCATCCTCCTAAAAAACAGATGGATTATTGTGGCTCAGCTGATTTCCATTTATTAATTTGAATAAATGTTTAGTTACCACAGTTATTGTGTGCTTTACTACATTTATTTCCTTGTCATGTTCTCCTTTTCATCACTTGTGTGAACCAAGCTTCAATAATTCTTTTTATTGATACATTTCATGTTTTATTTTCAAGTAAGTTCTGTACTTGACAAATGTAAGCCATGTGGAAATTTAAAGCAAATTATGCTTTGGTGTAATATGATGAAAATGTGTCATTTTAGGCACAAAAAAGTGTCAGTGATGTGCTTACCACATTTTTATGTCTTAAGTGATCTGGGGCCCATTTTTAAAGTCCAACTAAACCAATAGCCTGAAGCTATATTTTAGAATAAAAGTTTAAAGAATAGAGAAGCAGGTTCTGGTTCCCTGACTAGTCCATTTTGTTTATTTAGCTGAAAGTTTTATTGTACAATTTTTAAGACTTATAACTCATCTTGAATGAAAACAGAACAGCTTTTTGGGCCCAGTAAGTTACCTGGACATTTGAGAAACTGTCTCCTTTTTCTTACACAAGACAAAACCAAAGAATCTAATTTTCTGTCTACATTAGAAGACAAAGCTTGCCAATTGTGATGCCATCCAGGCACTGATCCTATTTTTCCAAACAGCAAAGTAGTTCAGCATACTTTATGAGGGGAAGATGCATTAAGACTCTAAAGATGCACCACCTGATTGCATAACTTTGGGAAAATTTTCTCTTCTCATTCTATCATGTCTGTGGCACTTACGGTAGAGGGAAACAGGCACCCAAGGTTGTCCTTCATCATTGGGAAATAACATTCTCAGTCATCCATCATCACTGCACCACATTCCTGTGTGTAAATTTCAAGCTATTACTACTTCGAAGAAGAATCCTACAGTATCCTACAGCATTAGATCTCATTTTCCTTGCTCTTTCATTGTGTTGTAATAGATTATATCACAGAACTTGGAGAATTATTTATTTTCAATAATTTGTCATTTTCATGCTTCCATGACCCTTTAATTTTCCACCAGTGGAGAGCATCAAACTCCTTGCAGAGTTCAAGGAATCTGTACAAGGGAATCAGCATTTCTTACAGACAAGACTCATTTCGAAGGATGCAATAAACTGAGTTTATGAGGGAATTTTGCATTTAGTGCTGATGTACTTGAGTGGTGCTTTGCCAAACAAAAAGACATGGCTAATGCTTTGGTCTTACCATGATTATAATGAATGAACCTAATGAATGAACCTCAGGACTTTCCTTGGAAAAATTTAAATTTGAGGAAATGGGGGCGGGAAATTTTGCAAATTTCCACATAATTAATTTTGACATTTGAGTTATAACATACCATAATGCTCTTCGCAAAAAAAAAATTTGGGTTTTTCCAACAGATACTTTAAAAGATTATGCAAAATTAGCTGTATGGACCCTTAACTGTATATTTAACAATGAGAAACTTGTTACTATTATCAATAGCCCCAAGGATCAGTAAGAAGATGATGTTGTTGTTTTATGCCTGCCTAATGGCTGGAACATGTTTCACACTTTCTACAGAAAAAAAATAACCATTCGAAAGTGAGGTTTTGCTGTGACAGTGTGGTTGGTATGATTGCCTTACTTACTGTTCACATGAAAACTGAAAGAAAAGATAAAACTTTAAAAAAATCTTATGAACAGTGATTAAAATTTTCAGCATGTTCAAAAATTCCCCTTTGCTGTGTAATTTTTTTAAAAGTTAATAGTGAAATATACTACTTAACAGTCAAAGTAAGATCTGTGACAAATAAAGTTCGTGAGGCATTACTAATCTTAGTAATTGAATAGTTATGTTGGTTTTTCAGGAACATTTTTCCAGAAAAAAGAGAATTAAAGATGGCACTCTTACACAGGAAAGCATAAGAAGGTTGCTGAATTATTCACATACATGGATGTCAATATGTATAATGATGGAGGGGGAGGGGGAGGGTGCAATATTATTCAAGAACCTTTTTCCTTAAAAATTGGTTAGCAACCAACAGAAAGTGAATAACCTAAATCTGTTGATAAAGGAATTTGGTAATAATCCCATCACATCAAACAAAGCCATGAAAAACAATAACTAATATTTTTTCCTTAATCTTGGTACCCAAGTATGCAACATTATTCATTTTGTAAGGGGGGAAAGCTAAACGGAGGGTAATGTGGCACAGTGTAGGATTCTGTCAATCAATAGATCATTCAGCCAATCACAGAGAGCAAGATTATTATGGGTTAGCTAACATTTGCCCAAGTCGAGGAGGTCCGGCTTAGGAGAATTCGTAACTTGATCATCATTAAAAATAAAGTTAGAAGCTTCTTTACCTTCTTTCTTTATTCAAGGAAGAAGTGTGTTGAATTTTTCTGAAACTACTCTTAAGTTCTCCAATTTTTTAACAACTTATGCGTTCTTTATTGGTTACCATGTGGAAAGGAATGGTGTTCTGTTCCGGGGTACAACAAAATCTCCGTGAATAGGAAACTTTAATGTCACGTGAGTGATTGTAAGGAGAAAACAGCATTTATCATCTGCTGCAAATCAATTTCTCCCCAAGCTGTCCATTTTTTCTCAACAGATTGAGAATTCCGTCAAAATATCTGTACTTTCTGCACATCAATCGTAAAAATTTCATAATTTTTCTGACAGCACGCGAAGTATTTCGGTCTTTTCGCGACTCCTTAGTGATCAATATTTTATTTTCTCCCAAGGAGACCGACTTTTTAGTAAGAGACAAAGCAGCTGCATTTATCGCGCAGTCGCCATCTTTCAGAGTCCGACTTTTCCTCATGTTTTGCCCCTTGACGTAATTTCTTTGGCTTAATATCCTAAATTTTCTTCCTAAATGTGACGACTGAAAATGTCCTCGGCAAACAGCAGAAAGAAAGAGTTACAATCATCAGCCGAAGGCTCCAACGGTAGGTACCGTAAATTTACGTGATTTGCATGTGTTGCGTGAATACCATTTGAAGAGAAATTGTCATTTTTGTTACGTTTCTTTCTTAAGTTAGATTTTTTAAGGCGTTTAAGTGGACAGGAAAGTCTATTTTTTTTTCTACCTTTAACATGAAGTGAAATATATAAGAGAGAATGGCTATGTTTCCAGTGTAATGATGTTTTGTTTTGAGAATTGGCGCGTTCATCTCTAGTTTACTGATGAGAGTACATGACACATGTTTTGTGACGATAAGATTAGTCGCCTTTCGTTCATCTTAGAGCAGTTTTACAAGAGCAACTTCGTACAATACCTATCTTCTCAAAATTGAAGAGTTGTAGCTTTATGTTCGCTGCGAAGTGCTTTTTTCTTTAACTTCGTATCGTAAATTTAAAAGTTCGCGGTATTCGAGATCTGGAGCTCGCCGGGACTTGAAAACCGTGCGGGATTTGGGAAAGAACGGCTATTCCTTACGCTTTAAAAACCTTGAATCGACATAAACCCCTTTGCGTGTTGAAAAAAACTTCAAGTAAATATTGTTTATTTGAAAAAAGGTGATTTTCTACTCCGACAGTCCACGCGTTCACCGCTGTTAAACTGATTTTGTTGATAATCGCCTAATGTTGTTCATTCGGCAAAATTAGAATGTTAGGTTCTATCAAGGCACTCCTTTAAAGGGAGTATTTCTCTTAAATGAGAGGTTTGAGGTTTATTTTTTAGAGGATTTATTTTCCGGATATATAACACCCTTCAATGTGACGATGGTAGCTCTTTTTTTATTATTATTATTATTATTATTTTTTACTGTAAGGGTTGGAGGGATTCTTTTTTTACCTCCTAAATTTATGAAGTTGATTTAAGTTTATGATGAAAACGGGGATCGTTGTAGGACACAACTTTGGAAGTGATTGTGTGGATTATAAGGATATTGCCTAAAAATAATCTGGACAGATGTGCACATCATAAAAAAAATTTGTTTAAGATTCCTCAGGACATTTTGTAACCAAAAGACAGTCAAATCATGAATGTTGTGTCCAATTTTTGCTGCATGTGCAGCATGCATGTGCAGCATGCATGTAGCACAGGCAACAAATACTGCAGCAGTAATCATACCATGCTATTCAGCCATAGTTTAGCACAGAGGTTCTCAGTATAGAACTGGTGTGGAACCCTGGTCTATTTGTAGAACAGCAGCATGTAGCCATTAGTTAAAAAAATGCATTCTTAGCCATCAAAAAAGTAATTAACCCATTTATCTTAAAAGTGATTTTTGTGAACAGTGTCAAGAAGGGATAAAGCAATTACTTTCTTTAGAGAAAACACCCATATAGAGATAGAGACGTCTATTGTTTGTCTAAAACTTTGGTTAAGTCAGAATTTATTTCAGTAACCAATCCATTGTGTGTTTGGTTTGTAGAAGGTTTGAAAAGGCAGTCCTTGACTTGATTTGTGGATAGTAATGTAGATGTACACAATATTTTTTTTTACATCATAATTTTACACCAGGGCTACAGAAAAAGTTTGAAATCCAGCTTGCCTATTTGGGACAATGCCAAACAGTTGGAGTACATCTATTTTCCAGTGATTAATTTAAAAGGCTTGGTGATGTTTTCTACATGCCATTTGTCAAATGCACTGTAATATTGGTCAACTAATTTTCATTTGATAAGTTGTAATGACCAAGATCTCCTGATATCACAGTACATAGAACAGAAGATAGTTTTACATTATTGCAGAAGTTGCTTTCTAGGCCTACTTACTTACTGTAAGAGCCTGATAGAAAGGTGAAATCAGCAAATAAGGCTTTATACTCATTTTACTATTACCTTATTTATTCAACTATAAGCCAAGCAATTTTTTGGATCACATTAATTCATCTGAGTTATGATTAATTGTTTTTCAATTGAATATCTACCTTTTTTGTCCTTTGCATATTAAATCACCATAAATCACCATTGTTAACAATTCAGTCTTAATAATTTTCCCTGAATAATTCAGTCTTGTAATAATGAATAGGTCTTGGCTTATAACGGGGTGTTTTTTATTTATTTTTGGTTCTTGTTATGCCGAGTCTACACATACAAAGTTTGGGGTCTTGGCTTATAGCTGAATAAATATGGTAATATCTTATCTTAATTTCAGTTTCATTAAAGCAACAAGAAGAGTATTGACATGGAAACCAGACTAAGCTCTTTTATTGTGGGCCATGGATGCTAACATTTACTTTGCTTTAACCCTTTAACTCCCAGGAGAGATTAACAAATAACTTCTTCCTTTAATATGCAAAAATTATCATGCAAACAGGTCATGAGAATTTTCAAACTAAATCAGGTCAGAGTTGTTATCTCAATCTGACACCAAATTCTCGTAACTTATTTACAAGGAAATGTGTAGGGGCTAGAGGGGAGAATTAACAATCAGATGCTAGCAGTTAAAGGGTTAAAGTAACCTTTTTGGCCTTTTTTGATATCACCTGAGCATGTGTGTATTTCATGTCTTAATAGATGGGGAAGTTGAGAAACCTCAAGCAAAGAAGAGAAGAACTGAGGACCCTGGATCAGCAAAAGGGACTCAAAATGGAAAGAAGCGTAAGAGAGAGGAAGAAAATGAGGTATGTGAGTGTCTATCATGAATGTTACATCTTGTATCTTGTAAAACACCCAATTTTATCTTGATTACATTTATTCCTCTAATGACATAACAATTTAGTCATATTCTAAATTTGCCCAGGCAAAGTAAGTGGCAGTATTTATCTCACAGGCCTACAAAGCTTTTTTTGAGGTTGACTCTAATGAAAAGGTTAAAATACTCTACAGGATGATGGGAAAGTCTCAGATGAAGAGAAGTCGGTGATAAAGACAAGTGCAGCCCCAGACAAAGAGCCTTTGTCTGGAGACACAAATGCCAATGATCACAATAACAAGGATGTAAGTGAGCTGCCAAAGTGAAGATTGCTATTATGCATGTTCCGGTTTGATATCCTTGCTTTAAATCTATTCAAACTAGTTTTATTGTTATATTAGATTATTGAATGAATAACAGACAAAGAGGAATTAAAAATCAAACTGGTTTGAAGAAATCTGAACCAAGAAAAAATGAAGGGAGATTAGGGAGATTAGTATAACTGTGTTTCTGTGAGATATTTTTAGATTTGAGAGCACCAGGTGTCTGAGAGTCAGTCCTCTTAACATAAAAATTATCATCAGTGTTAAGATTTGAATTAAATCATCAGTTGTGGTATTATCAAAGCATAAGTTTTAAACAAATATTGTGCTCTGCCAATTTACTTCATGGTACTGTTAAGTGAAACAGAGTTTTATTCTTAATTTTAAATATCCACCCTTTGGCCATAAAGGCTATGCCCATCCATACCCAGATAATGACAGGTAACTATTTACAGAAAGTATTAAAGGAAGTTTACTGAGTATACTGTAAATACAACAGAAATATATCTGGTTAAGAGTCACAATTTACATGTTTAAAAGTTGAACTCAGTACTAGTAAGAAACAAATCTAATGGAGTGTTGTAATGGGAGATTTATATCCAGGACTTCCAGATTTCATATGAAGCATCTAAAATTGTAACCACACTGGCTTTCTGCTTCTCCCCTCCACTGGCTCTTTTCAAAACTTTCCTGGCCTCCTCTTGGAGAGTTAGTTAATTCTGCTCCAGGAAAGCTGCTTAAGAGAGTTTGAAGTGTATCCTGATCAGCTCATAATGTTGCTTATCTTTCAGGAGGAACCATCCAAAGCGGAGGCAGTCGCAAAACATTTTTCTCTTAACAATGTTGAAGTGAATCTGTCAGAAGAGGACGAACAAGGAATGACTTATCTGAAGTTCAACAAACTAATAAGACCCTTGATTGTAGAAGCCAATCCTGGAACAGCACACACCAAGGTGAACTCCCTTCTTGGTGCCATTTGGAGTGACTACAAGAGGAAGAAAGGAATGAACCTTCACTCCTCAAGTACTGCAAGTCCTAAAGGTGGAAGCAAAGCTAAAAAGCAGAAAACTACTCGCAAGTCAACAAAGCCAGCTAAACGAGCTGTAAGTATAGAGTACCTGTCTGAATGTACAGCTTTGTCTGTTCTGAGCTTGTTATATTTAAATTTTGAGGGGTTTTATCTTAGTGTGAGGCAAAAGTCAATGGTGGGTACTGTAGATATGCAGTTTGGTTTAAAACAAAAATGTTATAACAAGACTAGTGTTAGACAAGTTGTATAATAAGCCCATGTATCTTACTGATACTTGAATTAAGTAAATTGTACAAAAGGATTTAGCATCAGTCTTGTTTGTGTGGTGCTTTTGTAAATGTTAAGTGCATGTACTGGAGCTGATGCCATCTTGTATTACATCTGACAAATATCAGGTTGCAAAATCATATTTCACTATTGACCCTTCCACTCCAAATATCAAAGTACCAATTTTCTTCATTGTCTACCATACCTTTCATAAAATTAATTTATCTGAGAATTTGATCAGCTTAGTAGAAATTTTGTTTTGTTTGTATTACTCTTTTGCTTAAAAATATGTCAGTCCTGTAAAGAGATGTTCCTCCTTGGTCTGTCTTGAAAGTGAAATGGTCAATAGTCAAAATACCAGCAGGAAGATATCAGTAATTGCCAACTGTCTTCTTAATTCTTAAACTCCCATGAGGTACCAAGACAGAATGTCTTCTTACAACATCAAAACAAAATCAAGTAGACACACATTTATTATTTATTAATTATTAATTGATCCAATACCAAAATTCTTTGAACCAGCTACCTAAATCATATGAATTGTGTGGCAGACAGTAAGGAGAATTATTTATGAGATCTTGGGAGTGAAAGGGGTAATGGTGTATGTTGTAACTAGACTTAGGTTGTTTTGGAAATTAATATGTACTGTTTCTGTTGAGTGAATGAAAGAGATCCAGTCAAAGGATCTGAAAAAGCTGTCAAATCTCCCATGTGTGACTTGAGTATAATTCAGAAACTCACCAACTTACCTGCCAAGCCTGGCTTTTAACGGCGTGTGGAAAGATTAAACTTCAATGGAGATAGTCACTCTCAAGGCTTAACAAAAAGTGTGTAATGTCACTTAAATGAATTTAGATGACTGTGTGGATATATATCTTGATTTGGGTGTCAATATTTTCTGTACAGAAGGAAGTTGTTGACATATCAGACGATGAGGACTCTGGTCCTGTTTCTGCTGCTGAGGAAGAAGATGACGATGATGATGACGATGTAGTCCTCAGTGAAAAAAGTGATCCTTCTAAATCTAGAACCAAGATTAAAATGCTGTTTAAACCAAAATCAAAGGGTAGTAAAGGTTAGTCTGGTGCATTTTAGCTGTCTTTCCTCTTTGCTAGAATATTTTGTTGAAGTAGTTCATTTAAGACTGGTTTTATTAATGAATGTGAAAAGAAACCAGTGTCATTAAATGGTAAGGAAACTATGTGCCAGTAAATAATTTTCTCTTTTTGTTCCATTTTTACAGGAGATAAGAAAATGAAAGTTTTGGATGACGACAGTGATCGTGGCAGTGAAGCCAGCTCTGGTAGCAGATCAAAAAAGGGTAATAGTACAAAGAGTGGCAAAAGTAAGTCAAACAGGAAAAAGCTTGATGATGGAGTTGATGAAGACAGTGATACAAGCCAGGCTAGTGGAAAGAATAACAAGAAAAAAACTAAGAATACACCAAAGATGAAAAGGGAAAAGGTGATAATAAGCAAGAAAAGGAAGGAGAGAAAGAAAAGTGCAGGTGAAATTTCATTTATAATTTGTTCTCCGACATATGATAAAGTGTGGTATTTGTTTGCTTTCAGACCATTTTAACCAGTTGGTTTCTCTCTTACAGGAAATGATGATGACAATGTGATGAGTGTGGTAAGTTGTAGTCTACATTTTGTCTACCTGATCAAGTAAACTCAATCTTTTTTCTTGGGGTGCATTTAGGTATCCAAAAAACTAATTTTTCCCCCTATTGTAGGGGGGGGGGGGAGGAATTAGTTTTACTTACACAGAGTTTAGGGTTAGTGGCCACAAATGTCAGCAATTAGGCACTTTTAACCCCTAAGAGTAATTAGCATACAATTTCTCCTTACAATATCACCACTGAATAACACATTTATGTCATGAGAATAAAGGAAATGATCATCAACTAAAGAAACTTGATTGCTAGACACATTCTCCTCAGCACCTTAATAAATGTACAGAGAACAGTATAGGGAATACGATGTTTAGGTGTGAAGGGTTAAAGCTGGGCATTGTCACCCTTCTTTTCAATCCCTTTTCTTCACATTATTTCTCCTCATCTCTCAAATTTTGCCTATTATCCATGCTACTCCTACTGTAAATTAGGCAAAGAAGACACCTTTTCTGTAGAATTGTTCAGGAAGACTACTGGTAGAAAAATTATGTAATAAAATACTACTTAATTAATGATGTGCATGACAAAATTACAGGCTTCTGATTGGCTGAAAATGAGTACATTTTCATGTAAAATAAGTGCAAAGTTGTAACACAAATGCAAATTACAAATAGCACCCACACGCTTTCAAAAGTTCCTGTCTTGACTTTCAGTGACTTTTTTTTCATGTGCATTATTAATATCGTGCAATTTGGTGTAATAAGCACTTGTAAATTCTTCAAATACTATACTTCAAAGTGCACTTGCTCTATGCAATTTTGTTGTCTTTGTAAAATTTACTTGTGCTTATTAATACCAAATTTCTCTCAAAATCATGTTATTATCTATACTTAGGTGTATAACTACAATGAAAGAATGAGGTTTTTTTTTTTTTTTGAAGGATGAGCATCAAGATTACTGTGAGGAATGTGAAGAGGGTGGAGACCTGTTGTTGTGTGACACCTGTACACTGTCATTTCACTTGCGTTGTCTTGATCCACCCCTGGATGAGCCACCACAGGGACGCTGGAGTTGTCCTGTTTGTGTAAGTTGTCACATTATTGTTCAGTCCTCAGTGGGCTGTTTGTTGTATTTTTGTAATGTGTGGAATTGAGGGGTTTTTGGAACATAGCCCTGCAGTAGATTTTTGACCTTATAGGTCTTTTTTTTTTTTTTTTGTTTTTTTTTTTTTAAGAACCATGAGCAACAGGCTTGAGGCCTTTTTTTATTTTTTTTATAAAACCTCTAACAAAAATGAGGTCAAACAATTTCCTTATTTTAAACTACCTGTAAAAATGAGCCAGCATAGGAAGGGTTCTGTTTGTTTGTTTGGTTGGTTTTTTTTTTTTCAAATATTATAAGTTACATGTGAGGAAACTTTTTGATGTGATCCTAATGATTTTTAGAGTTTTTTCCTCTTAATTTGTACTGGTATATAGGAAGATGAAAATACTAGTGATTCCAGTGAAGACATGCACAGCGATTATTGCAGAGTTTGTAAAGATGGTGGACAATTACTTTGTTGTGACAGCTGCCCATCAGCATATCACTTACATTGTCTGATTCCACCAATGAAGAAAATTCCTGGAGGAGACTGGAGGTGTCCCAGGTGCAAGGTAATGTGTGTGGACTAAATCAATATCACCCATGGATGAACCCATGTTTTGCATTGCTTTTCTTTTCTATAAATCAAACTGACAGAAAAAGTACAGTTGGAAAACTCTCATTTAAGTGATAGAAGTGATTATTCTCCCTGAAGTGTGTACACAACTGAAAGCAGGCAACAAAATTCTAAATTGTCACCTGCTGCTGATTAGCACATTAATATCATTCTTAACCTCTTTTTTGTCAGTTTTGGTTTCCTATATTAAAGTTATTTTTTACTTTCAGAGTGAGCCACTCAAGGGCAAAGTAGAGAGAATTCTCCATTGGCGTTATGTAAACCTACCAATTGAAGGTACAACTCTATAATTACACTATTTACACCTTTCATTCTCAGGGTAGAAGTTAATATTGAATGGTTATACTCCTGTGAAGTCTGCCTAACTCTTCATGACTTTGTCTATTGACTTTCCAGATACATTGCTTGTTCCAGGTGATCCACAAGCATTTACTGAACCTGAGGTATGATATTATAAATATTTAGATTTAATTTACAAACATCAATTATCTTTCACTGCTGGAGTTTCCTCTAAAACTGATTGTTCTAAAACTGTACTCAACTTAACTGATGAATCAAAACTGGTCACTTGCAACTGATGTATACTATATTTGGCCTACAGCCATTTCCATTACTGAAAAACTGATCACTCTTTGTAAATTAAACTTCTGAAAAATTCACTTGCAACTGATGTATACTATATTTGGCCTACAACCATTTCCATTACTGAAAAACTGATCACTCTTTGTAAATTAAACTTCTGACATTTGTACTGAGAATCAACTGAGAATGATTCTGATGATGACAGCCACTTAGCTTGTTTGTCAGTAACTTTTGCCTCTTCAGGACTTCTCTCAATGTTAATATAACACTTCAAATGAATGGTAAGATTAAATTACAACACATATTCAGTTTATCTTGGTGGATATTCATTATCTATTTGTAGACCTATGAAACTAGGGAATTCTTTGTTAAGTGGATTGACATGTCCTATTGGCATTGCTCATGGATCACAGAACTTCAGGTTTGGGTTTTGATGTCCATGTCAGTTTAATCTTTGATAAGAGGTATTCTAGAACTTTGCTGATGATACTATACATTCATATAATACATGGGTATTTCCAAAGGAATTCTGTTCTCTCCCCATCACAAAAGTGTGTATAATACTCCCTTTATCACAAAAATTCAATTCAATCTAAGTATCTTGTTTATATCTACCCTCTTACTTGTAAAGTAACATGATTTGATGATGAGGTTTTTCTGTCATTTAGGCAAGGATTATGGAGCTTCTAACCCCCAAAGAAGAAAAATGTGCTTCCTTGGGTCCTCAAATAGAATATCATTGTCTTTTGTTGAGCTGTGTGTGTCAATCACTAATATCCTGTGATTAATATGTCAAATATCATGGATGATATCCTAAGTGATAATGGAATTAGCTTTGATTAAATGGTCTTGAACATGTGCTTTGATTCTTACAAACTTCAGCTGGAGATCTACCATCCCAGTATGTACCGTGCCTATTTTCGCAAAAATGATATGGAAGAACCTCCACCCATTGATGATGGGGATGAGGACAAGGAAACCCCAGCACATGTGATACAAAACAATAAAGCAGAAGATGAAAGTAACCTTGAAGCAAGGTTTTATAGATATGGAGTGAGACCAGACTGGCTGCAAATTCATCGTATCCTTAGACACAGGTTTGTAAAGTTCAAAGGGAAGGCATGCATTTTGGCTACTTTCTTTTTGTTACATTGCTGAACACTTACTAACAAAATGATGTAATCACTGTCAGCCGTAAAATACTGGTTTGATCATTGTCTAATACATTGTATTGGTAAGAAAACTCAGTATTTTGCTTATTTAAGATGTCTAGAGGATGCACTAGTAAAAGAGTTATGGGAGGATGGGGATGTTGTAAGTTGTAAGAGTTTTTCATTTTGTTGGTTTTTGTGTTTTTCTGAGTGAAGTTTTTCTCATAATAAATTACTGGGGAAACAATTTTGTGTGTTTGCCCAACCCTCACCTCAAAACCTTTGTAATGATCCCTCCCACAAGGCCATTCTGGTTTCACATGTGGTTCTCTTGTTATTTCCTTATTGGATACATAAACCATTTTTTGTCAGTTTTTACCGTAAAATTTGAATTTGAAAAGTTTTAGATGTTGAAAAGTGAACACATGATTAAAGGTTTAGGAAATATCTTGTCAAGCTAATATCTTATTGGAGAAGTCAGCCTATTAGAGGCAATTGAACTGATCATTCCTAAATTAAAAATATGTAATTTAATTCTATAATCCAGAGCTAACAAGCAATCCAAAGAAACATACTTTGTAAAGTGGCGAGATGTTCCATATAACTTGAGCACTTGGGAAGACCCAGATGATCCTATTAACTCACAAATCAGGTTTGTTATTTCTCTTTTAAATGGTTTTAACCCATTGACCCCCTAAAGAGTGACTAGCATCTAATTTCTCCAAACAATATCTCTCCTGAGTCACACATCAAGGTCATGAAGAAAGGAAAATATCATGATCTAAAGAAGCTGTTGGTTGTTAAACAAATCATCCTTGTCAGCACCTTAATAAATTTAAAGAGAGTTGTATGAAGAATATGCATATTCTCCTCAGAAGGGAGTTTCTGTTCATATTCTTATCACTGCCTTGGAAGTAAACTGTAGTTTGGATATAAGCTGAATTAACTACAGTTGGTAAGTCTAACACAGCAACATTGTTTTTTAAAAATGGTTATATTTTCTTTCTTGTCTTTCAATTAATTTTTGTTGTGAAGTGATTTCAAGGACCACATTACCAAGTACAAGGAACTCAGGTGAGATACTTCTTGTTTTTCTGTAAAGTTCTTAAATTTTAGATATTTAATCTATAGCTAGGGAGCTAAATTTTTAATCCATCTACTTAAGAAGCTCTTGATCAATAGACAGATTCTCCTTGTCAGGACCTTAGGAAATGTATTGAGAACAGTATGGAGAATATGTATACTGATGTTTGCCTGCAAGCTGTTTTGCCATGGAAATATCCCTGCATTTTTACATTTCTAAGTGATTTTTTTTACAGAGATGTTTATGAGAAAAAGTTTGGCATTGGCAAGAAGAAGGCCCAGAAACAAAAGAAAGTGAAGAAACCAGCTCCAATTGGTGATGTGAGTTCAGAACTGATTTTAGAATTTAAAAATTTGACTTTGCTTCGTTTTATTTTATTTCTGTTTTTGTATAATTTTGACAGTAAAGATAATATAGATTGAATGATTGTTAAGGAATCGGTTTGCATGCCATAACCAGATAACAGCATTACTCATTCTGGCATGCAGACAGCGATATTTAATTTCAATCAGTGATACTGTTATGAATGGGGACAGTTTCTTAAGAAATTGTGGTGCTGTGTCGGAGGTGGAGTATAACGAAAAAAATTTAGTTTTATCAACTTAATTGATCATGTATTTTGGCCAATATAGAGTTTGTAAAGCTGCTGTTTCAAGTGTCAACCCTTTGTCAGAGCAAAGTTAGTAGCCTAAGTGGCTCTAAAAATTTAAAATGTTAAACTCCATTACTGTACTAATTGTGCAAAATATTAGAGGTAAATTTTTAATAAGTTACAATGAAAAGTATATATTGATCCTAATTACTCTTTAACTCACAAATTTAAGAGTTAATCCTGGTGCACAACAAATTGTTTACAATTACTATTTAAATGTCTAGTAATTTTTTAGATAAGCATTCTAAGAAGGCCATACTGTTTATGTTGACTGATAAAGATACAAAATAAATATTCTACCCTACAGATGTTTATTTTCCATTGGAAAATGATGACATAAGAATTTTTAAGGAAAGCTTCGTCTCTGTGAAATAGTAACTTCCACGATTAAATATTACTTTAAAGTACCTAGTTCATTACTTAATAAGCAGCATTCATCATCACCATCATGAGATTTTTTTCTGCTAATATCACTTGTATTACATGTGTAGGATGAGGAACCTACTTCAGATTCAGATTACTCCAAAGTTGATAATGCTGATAAACCTGACAATGATGTAAGAGGCGTTTGTTTAAAAGGGAACAATTTACCTAATAAGTTGATAATAATATAGAATATAACATGAAATACTGGCAACTGGTGCCAAATTTTTAGAAATGTGGTTTTGGGTAGAAACAAAAAAAAATTAATTCATATATGATCACTTGCTCTCTTCTGTGAGGAAAAAAAAAAATTTGTTAGAGGAAGTTTAAAAGTTAATAAACCTGCATAACACTTAAATTCCAGCTAGTAAATATAATCTTTCCTTTGAAATGTTGTTCTCTTTGAGAACTCCAACAAACTGAGTTTAGTGTACAAATCCAGCTTCTTAAGACAAGCACAAAGTTAGTTGCAGTAACATATTTTTGGTCTAAATTTTTTCTAAATGTTGACAGACGTTAAAAGAAAAAACAATTTGTGGCCTGGCCTGCCTTAAATCTTGCTACAATTTAAAAAGTTTCAAACTAACAATATAATGACATTGTGAGCACACTTCAAAGTGACTGCTAGACAATTTTAACATGCTTTTGTCAACAACCATTTTTGTTGCTTAACTAAACAGCCTCGTGACAAGTATGAAGAGCAGCCAGGCTTCATTGCAGCAAATGCTGGTAAGCTGCATGATTACCAACTGGAGGGATTAAACTGGTTACGGTTTTCCTGGGCACAGGGCACTAACACTATCCTGGCAGATGAGATGGGTCTTGGCAAAACTATTCAGACTATTGCATTCCTGTACTCCATCTGGAAAGAGGTAAGTTCATTACAATCATACTTTTTGTACTTAATGATTGTAATCAGTGGTTTCCTTGCTTCTAACTACTTCAAGTCTGTACAGTCAAGATTACTGGAGACAGGCTGCCCTGATAGCCAAGGCACTAGATAGCAGCTTGAAAAGCGTAGGGTTTGAGCCTTACTGTGGGTGTGCACAGTGGTCCTGGAGGATTCACTCATATAGCCCAGCACATAGCCAGGGTTTTAACCTAGACCTTTTGACCCTAAGTTCAGCAGACTTAGCATATAACCACTGAATTTTCCAACCCATCTTATGTACAGATTTGCCAGATTTAAGGTTTGAATCCTGTCATGAATATACTTAAACTAGCCATAGCCTTTCATGATACTGGCAGACTTATATTCCTAACTAACTAAATTAATTTATCTGTTATTACATCTCTCTTTGATCCCTTTTAGGGTCACTCACCAGGTCCATTTTTGATTAGTGCTCCCTTGTCTACAATTATCAACTGGGAAAGAGAGTTTGAATTTTGGGCTCCTGACATGTATTGTGTAACCTATGCTGGTGATAAAGTCTGCAGAGCAACAATCAGGTTGGTGCCAATTTATCAATGAAATGACAAAATGTCATCTTTTTTACAAGCCTTCACTAAGGTAGAAAAATGAGTCCTGGAATGGTAGAATCTGTTTAGTAGAGGTAACAGATGGGGAGGTTTGAAAAATATTTTTCTAATTAGGACAAACATTTATTTCCTTTAAGAGAGATTTTCTATAACTGGGGTCCTGATGTAGGAACATCCTGTCTTCATCACACCTGTCATGAAAAAAAATCCGCTTTAAGCTTTCTGTAACAAGTGTATTTGAGAGTAAAATTAGATTTTATGTAATGTTTCATTCATCAACTGAGCAAGGTCCTTAGTTTCCTGAATATTGCTTATTGAGGTGTTGAATTTTTTTTTTTTTACAGGAATCATGATTTTTCATTTGATGAAGATTCTGTTAAAACAGGACTGAAACCACATAAATTGAAGGTTAGTGTTAGGCCCCTGTGGTTATCACAGCTGCTTTTTCCACTTCTTGCAGCCAATTATGAGAAGAGTTCTCAAAACCCCTGATTTGGACTTTCTCTTAAGAGATTAACTCATAAGTTCCTTTAATGTGGAGGAAATCTAAGATGATATGTTGTGTTTTGTAGAAAGATCATCCAGTGAAGTTTCAAGTGCTGTTGACATCATATGAACTGGTGTCCATTGATATGACTACACTGCAGTCCATTGACTGGGCTGTGTTAGTGGTGGACGAGGCACACAGACTGAAGAACAAGCAATCTAAGGTGAGACCACAAATGATATGCAGAACTTTGTTTTGTCATTAGATAACTACAGTTTGCTATGAGATTTGATGGGTAGCAGGGAACTTAATAAAAATCATAAAAATTGTCCAGCTGTAATTATACCTTCATTAATGTTTTGTGAATGACAGGACTCCTTACATAAGCTAGTTCTACAACATGAGGCACTTCTCAGTAAGGTGCACAGCTCTGTGTAAGCTAAATATGGGTAGTGGCTGCCCCTCAATGCGGGTGTCTTTTCCTCTCATCATCATGAACAAGAAATGTTCAAATACATAAAGCATTGCCATTTGTAATTTCCATGTGTGTTTTACTTTCATGTACCACAATAGGTTTGATTTCCATAACTCTCTTTTGTTTAGTCTCCATTCAAAGGCTTCTATTTCTAAAACCAGCCATTAGCTGTTGTGCTTATAATTAATGAATGATGTGTTTCTCTTTTTTTTTCCAGTTTTTCAAGATTCTGAGTGAGTACTCTATTGATTACAAGCTGCTTCTAACAGGAACACCTCTGCAGAACAACTTAGAAGAGTTATGGAACCTTCTTAACTTTTTGGATCCTAAAGAATTTAGGTATGTACCATTTTAAACTCTGCCTCACATATAACTAAATCCCTGATCATATTACTCATGTTGTTAAAAAGTGTTTACATTTTTATTCTATTATCAATGTCAAGTAGTGTAATAAATCTATGATTGTTCTGAATTTTTACTGTCTTTTGTTTTGTTGTAAGAATTTTTGTTGTTGTTTGTCTTCTCTAGGAACCAGAACACTTTCCTTACTGAATTTGAGGATGTAGCTAAAGAAGACCAGATCAAGAAGCTCCATGATATTCTTGGTCCTCACATGTTGCGACGTCTGAAGGGAGATGTCTTGAAGGGTATTCCCTCCAAGAGTGAGCTCATTGTCAGAGTGGAACTGAGCCCTGTGCAAAAGTAAGTTTAAGTGAGATGTGATTTTACATTGTGGCAATCACAGCATTACCTTTTGATTTCAAATCAAGCATTTATTTGTTAGAGAGTGAAAGTTCTTCCTCATTTTTCTTAGTTCAGTTATTTGGTTTTCATGAAATGGTTTCCGTGTTCCATAGAACTGTGTTTCTGTTTTTTCTTTCATTCAGTCATAGTTTTTAATTCCTTTTTGTTCCTCTGTTATTTAGGCAAATAGTGATTTTCAATACATGTCTACATGTACTCTGTTTTTTAACAGGAAATACTACAAGTATATTTTAACAAGAAACTTTGAAGCTCTCAACACTAAGGGCTCTCACCAAGTGTCTCTGTTGAATGTAATGATGGAGTTAAAGAAATGCTGCAATCATCCATACTTGTTTTCTTCTGCTGCATTGGTATGTTCCTTCACCATGTATAGAGAAAAACTGAAACTTTTATAAATGTAGATAAAAATGAAAAACAGCTGCTAAGATACTTATTAGATGTTACACTTGTCAGAGCTGTCAACAAGAGCCATTACTTATAACAACTGTTATGGCTGAGCTCACTCAAAGTTGCAGATGAAGATGTTGTGCTGTTATGTTACACTTGGCTGCTACAAGTGATATCACCAATGTACCAGCATCTTTGAAACTTAGTGACAGCCCTGCTTGGGAAAAGGTTTCAATAAGGCTTACCATCAGTGAAGATCTAAAATAGGGAAACTGCATATAGGCTTTCAGCAGGCTGCCAGTAGCTGGTTGATAATCTGTTGCTTATGCATCTACTGAGTGTTGACTGATAGAGGAAGGGTATTGTTTTTAACAATGATTTATCACCCCTCAAACTACCATGAATGACCAAGACAGAATTTTTCCATAGAATATCAATACAACATCAAGTAGCCACATGATGAAAATAAAGGAAAATATTGGACTAGGGGATTATTAGTTGTTGCAATACCAAACTGTCCAAAATTAAATCATAAGAATTGCATGGCAGACAGTACATATAATTTCTAATGAGATCTTGGGAGTGACAGGGTTAAAAGGATTGTTGGTTTTCTTGTTCACCAGGAAGCCCCTCGTGGAGCCAGTGGTAACTTTGATGCAGCAGCTCTGACACGTGCCTCTGGCAAACTGGTGCTGTTGGAAAAGATGTTGAAGAAATTACAAGAAGAAGGACACAGGGTTCTTATCTTTTCTCAGGTGGGAAAAAGAGATGGTCGTCTGTGACAATTTCTCAAATGTAGAGAATTGCTGGATCAAAACGGACATGAAATTCTATTGATAGTATGTAGTACCCCTTTAATCTTGCAGCTCAGAAATACTAATTGTATAATGCAAAATGTATTTTTACTGTCAGTGTCGGTTTTCTTGAGAGAGTGATTTCAAGTTAGTTTCTAAAATAATCTGACCTGGATTGCATTGGTTCTGCATCTCTTCACTCTGGATTAGATTTTCCAGATTGACCTGCTCAACTGAAAATTAATACTTAACAGAAATTTTTTTCTCGTACACAGATGACGAGAATGCTTGATCTCTTGGAAGATTTCCTCGAAGGACATGGCTACAAATATGAGAGAATTGATGGAACAGTCAATGGATCAGCGAGACAGGAGTGTATTGACAGGTTTAACGGTGAGCTTTACAGACTTTTAGCCTACCTCTTATTATAAGTGTGAAATGATTTATCTTTCTCCTTAAAGAGAGAGAGAGAGAGAGTGGTTGACAACTAAAAGTGCGCAATCTACGATACGAAAACAGCGCTTCATTGCACAACTACAATATTAGAATCCTCCAAGTGGTTTTCATGGCATTCAACCAGACAGTAACCCCCCTTCTTCCTCACGCTTTCCTCCGCACACAAAAAAGCGCAAAGTATGATTCCTGTTGTGCAGCTTGGCATGAGAGAAGTGCTGAAGCCAGCAGCTTGTCACTATCCTATATTTCTTTTACGTTTGTTTAATTTTGTTTAGCTCCTGGTGCTCAGACATTCTGTTTCCTGCTGTCTACTCGGGCGGGAGGCCTGGGTATTAATCTGGCTACAGCTGACACAGTGTTCATTTATGACTCCGACTGGAATCCTCACAATGATATTCAGGTTTGTGCTCAGACGAAATATATGACCCCTCTTTCATCGATCTCTTTGTGTGTGAAAAGCAAAGACGGGCATGTGGCTTCTCATTTTGTTGTTGGTTAGCTGACTGTTTTGTTTGTTCCATTTTTTATCAGGCATTCAGTAGAGCTCATAGAATTGGTCAGAACAATAAGGTACATTTTAACCTCAGTTATATGTATAAATGTTTACCAGTCTGTTACTTGAGAGAAAGCTTTCTTCAAAATGATACTAAAACTTAAAATGACATAGTCTTAATGAAATGTTTTTCAAATATTTGTTTGGGGCACGCACGTGACATCTCAGCAAAGCAATTCTTTTGATCACTGTGTAGAATTCACATAACTGCAAACGTTTTTTGATTTTTTGAGGAGTCATCAGTCTGAAAATTTATTTAGTTATCTTTGTTGATTAGAATCAGAACTACTCAATGGTCGTCGAAAAATATGATTACCATTGATAACCAAAGAGTAAATACCTCTTGCCTTGCTTATAAACAAAGCACTTAAAGATGTATATATATATTTTTTTTTTCCTTTTCCTTTTTTGCTTGCGTTTTATCGAGTGTTTTCTCCCTCTTCCCATAGGTTATGATTTATCGTTTTGTCACGAGAGCCAGTGTTGAGGAACGTATCACTCAGGTAACTTTTTTATGGGGACAAACTAAGGAAATTTGTCAAAATATATGGGGACTGAGTATTGTGGCTGAGTGTGTATTGGACTTACAACGTTATATGTTTTTAAGCCTCTGTCAAACAGGAAAAAACTTTTCCTTTTTACGGTGGTTGTTCAACATTTCATAGAGAAGCCCTGATGCTACATGAGACAGCTAGTAAACCAAAATGAAACAAGTGAACAAAAAAGAAAACACGTGTTTGGAAACATTGTGTCCACCTTTTTCCTACTGCAGTGTTGATAGGTGTACCATTTCTCTTGGCCCGAACAACTAAATCTTGATGTATGACATATTTGCTAGGTTGCTAAGAAGAAAATGATGTTGACGCATCTGGTTGTGAGACCTGGCCTAGGATCAAACAAAGCAGCGGTGATGTCCAAGACCGAACTTAACGACATTCTCAAATTTGGCACCCAAGAGCTATTTAAAGATGATAATGCTAAGGATGGAGGTAAGACTTGTGTGTTTGACTCACTCGAAATTTATTGTTAAAATACCTTTGAGGGAGTAGGGTGAAATTCATTGTTAGCAAAATTGTTGGAAATAAAGTTAGAGAACAATTTCCTTCCGTCTTGTTTGGTAACGTTGAGCTGTTATGACTGATTTTTGTAGGCTCCCTTGAAACACTTAACGATATCGGACACAAGGATTACCTTTCACCTCCGAAATGTAACTTGTTTGCGTATATGCTCTTAGAGAGATTTCGTATTTCTTGTTGGGAGAACTGCTTTTGGTTTTTGAATTATTGTCATCTATGTACTCGACATTACCTCGAAACTGCAAAGGGAAGATGCAGTTTTGTTACTTCTGAGTGCGAATGAGTTTACTTTGAAATAGCTGAGTTACGTTATAATGGCTATTTTTTGAACCGGTTTTCAAACGTTTTGATTTAGACTCCGGTGACTCTGGACGTATCGATTACGATGAGAAAGCTGTTCTTTCACTGCTGGATCGAACCGGCAATCATGGATCAGAGGCACCTCCTGATGAAGACAAAGATATGGCTAATGAATACCTTGCTTCATTCAAGGTAAGAGAGGAAGTCGGGGTCTTCAAAAAAATATGTTACTCTCAATTAGTTGATTAACAATTTTAACAGCCAATCATTTTGACGGCTGAAGTGTGATAAACTGTAAGAGTGTTATTGTTATTGCGTCGAAGGTTTGAAGTATAGAAGAGTGTGAATCCAAGCAGTGCTATTGACATTTAATGAAACTAACCGTCTTTTTCAATTTACCAACCTACCTTACAACTCTTACAAATCTAACAATACTATTATAACTAGTTCATAAATTCTCTCGACACTCGGCTTATTTGTGACTTAAGTTTGACATACTCGCGGCCATCGTTGTTTTATAATAACTTACACGCAGCACGTAGTATAACTGTTACGCATGTCAAATGAGAAGTAACAAGACAATGGCAATTTCTATGGCTGTTTTCTTGTGAGGACTTTTCTAGCCTCAAGTGTTTGTATCCATATCTCCATGATTACAAACTCACCGCTTTGACATGCGACATAAAAAGGAAGTTATCAGGGCCTGTAGCCTTAGCATTAGACTTTCAGGGTAGTATATCACTTCCACAGTACTGTAGAATAAATATTCTACAAGTAATCTGCATGGTTCTATTATTTTTGGTGTCTTTTCAAGTTAAACAGATACTTCGTTGAGACATGCAAACAAAAACAGTAGAAGTGAACCGGCATGGCCTGCAGCCTTACTGTTAGACTGTGTGGTAGTATATGTTCACATAGTTACTGATCAGCAGCCACCTACTCATCTTCCAATTGTCAGTAATGATAAAAATTCCCACCTTGACTCTTGAAGGGCTTTTCGATTGAGTGTCGTCAAAGCAAAACCGTAGTAATCACAATGGCCAATCAGATGAAAGGAAATACCTTTAAGAGCCAATGAGAACCAAAGTGAAAACAACCAAACCGCCTAAAGCGCGGGAAAACGCGGGTAACCCAGTCACGACTTGCAAGTCTTTTGGACCAATCACAGAGCGAAGTAAAGCAAAACCAAAACACTCCCGGATTACTTTCGATACTCAATCGAAAAATGCTTTAATACAGATACATCAAAAGTCAACAACCAGAGATAAGAGCATCAGAAGCAACGAGTCGTTTCAGTCTAGGATCAGCATTACTCTATTACTAACATTTAAGAGCTGTTAACCAGTTTTATTCATCTAAAGATTTTGGTAGATTTAGTATAAATGTTTACTTAGTTTTTTAAAATTTTCCTCTTCTGCAAACCTTGACAAGAGTCTTAATTTTTTCCCCTCAAGGTGGCAAGTTATGTCGTGAAGCAAAAGGACGAAGATGTCGAAGTTCTTAAGGTATGACGTTATGCCTTGAGAGTTTGTAAAGGACAACTCGTTAAAATGTTCTTTTCTTGCTATCCATCAAATACGTTGTTTCAGAATCGAGTGTTAATCGTTATAAAAAGAGTGTTGTGTAGCAACACTAATCCGAATGGAAAATGTGTTTAGTTTCTTTCAATGTAGTTTCAGTGACATTTTTCTTGTGATGACAGATAGGGTAGCCGTCTCGTTGTTAAACCAGGGGAAATATCCGTGACATCCATAACCGCTGTTTTTGTTTGTTTGTTTGTTTTTGGCTACTTTAAAGTATGATTTTGGAAGGTAACACTCAGGTTTGTAATCGTGTATGTTGACTGTTTGTTAACAGCAAGATGCAGAGGCTGCCGACCCTGATTACTGGGAAAAACTCCTGCGCCACCACTATGAACAGTTCCAAGAAGATGAGGCAAGGCATCTTGGGAAGGGAAAGAGGATAAGAAAACAGGTAGAGTTATATAGAATGTAGCACTGGCAGGGTTATTACGCAGTGCTCCTCGTCTTGTGGCTTATGTGAAGATCGACTTGCGGCTTTTTTTCTCTTTACATGCGGTTTCAATGCCGAACCAAATATTAAGGTCGTAAGAATAAAATATACGATCGCCATGCAACGGAGCTTTTGACTGTAAACAAATTTTTCTTGTCAGTACCAAAGGAAACTTATAGAGGACATTATGGAGAGTGTGCACTGTAACAGCGAAAGCGTTATCTTTTCAACTCCGAATTTTCATTACACAGCTAATACACAGCAGCACCAGGTTGAAACTAAAAACATAGATAAAAATTAAGTTGATTAAGATAAACAAATTAGAAACAAAAATGAACATGAACGAAGCCTAATCTCTAGCTGCTGCAATAACGAATAAGTTTTAAGTTGAAGAAGACTTCTAGATAGAAAACTACGCCAAGCAAGACTTGAGGTAACTGACTTGAAAATTGATTATGCGTAAAAGAAACCGGCTTTAAATACCAGAGAACTGCGAAATTACGCGCATTATGAGAACCGTGTATAAAAGGTGTAGCTCACGTAAAAAACGTTAACATACTTAACAAAAAACACGCTAACGAGGAGGTTTGAAAAACTGAAGGACGAATAAATAAATAAAAATTAACAAGCGCTCTAAATCCTACATGCACACGGACGAAAGGGTGCAAAGAAAAATCTCTTTGACTCAAAAATCTTTCTTTCATAGGTCAGTTATGTGGATGGAGGCATGGAAGATCAAGAGGAATCAGGTATACTTTTTGTGTTTTTTTTCCTGGCTCCTGTTCATTTTTATGTCGAAATAAAATGTGCATCTTGAAGTACTCAGTTATCATGATAATTCAGAGGCAGATTTAAATCTGGCATTTTTTGGTGGCTTTTCATCCATCTAACTCTTTGCCTTTTTAGCTTGGACCAACAATCTGTCAGACTACGACGACGGGGAATACAGTGACGTCGAGGAGGAAGAATCAGATGAGGAATTCAACCAAAAATCTGAAGGTAACGAGCACTCTCAAATACATATTTTTGTCTCTCTCTTTTTTTTTTCTTTTTTGCCGTTTGTAGTTTGAACGTGTCTTGTCCACTATAGGCCGTCAGCGAAGAGCCGCCCGCGGTGCCTCAGATAAAGATGTTACTCCACCTCTCTTGGCCAAAGTTCAAGGAAACTTAGAGGTACAAGAGAAGTTGAATCAGTTGGGGTTTGGATTTCTGTCCATCCACTTAATATTTTTTGGAGAATAAGCTTTCTTAACAAATATTCTTACTGCATTTTAGAGGTGGAGTTCATGGTGATTTTTTACGTAGTGCCTAGCCATCTTCAATTGGTAGCTTGACTCTTTTTTAAATCGTGAATGTCAAACGATTGAACGATTTTTTTAATTATCAAAACAACGATGAACAAAGATATCTTTTGCACACAATTAAATTGTTTTCGAGGCTCCAATTTCGTTTGTGAAGTGTGTTTTACAGCTAAGCGTTTGCCAATTTCTCAAATTGTGGGCACCTGTGAAATTTCCTTAGAAAAGAGACTGTAAACTGCTGAATGAAGCCAAAGTCCCCCGCCATATGTTGTAAATGCATCAGAGCATATTAACATGGGGAATGCGCTCGACAAATGCATCATCAACATCATTTGGTTGTCATCGTTTGGTTTTAGGTGTATGGTTTCAATTTACGACAGCGAAAGGCGTTCCTGAATGCCATCATGAGATATGGTTTGCCTTCACCTAAAGGTTCTCCTAGGTCCCAATGGTGAGACTACCTTATTCTTGTAGTATTAAACCTTGTTTACGCGTCTATTATTACCAGTTCTTCCTTATCAACCCTGAACACGCTAACATCAGTTAGCAAGTTCCACTTTTCTCTATAAATTTCCTATAGTACTTTAAGGAGAATTTGTCTGACAATCAAGATCTTCGTGAGTCTGCGATCACTTCTTTCATTCTCATAACGTTAATGTTTGATTCAGGGTTGATACTGTGGGAAAAAATAGTTTTTTATCTCTCTTAAAAGTTTAAGGATTAAGGTTAATCTCTTTGGCTCTTTTTAAGGTTTGCAAGGGATCTACGCGGTAAATCAGATAAAGCTTTTCAGTGAGTAAAATCGTTTTATTTGTTCTCTTTTCAACAAGTTCGTTTCTATGGATTTATATATAACGACCTATCTCGTCTTACGACGTTCATCCTCACGACTTAGTATGACTGTGTATGACTACCGATCTCTACGAAAGAGCCTTGGCATTAGTTTACGTAGTAGATGCCAAACATTTTCTGCGATTTCTCGACCCGCAGGGCGTACGTGTCAATGTTTCTGCGCCACTTGTGTGAGCCGGGCACAGACAATAGAGAGACGTTTAACGATGGAGTGCCCCGTGAAGGACTACAAAGAACACAAGTGCTGACCAGGATAGGCATCATGAGCTTGATAAGAAAGAAGGTAGGTACTGACTCAGTGTCAGGGACAACAGCTGCCTTGCTCGGCTTTAATAAACGTTCGTTATGCAGTAAAATTTCCCGACCTGGATAGAGAAGTTTTTGTATATCTGACTTTGTGTGGTCGATGAGAATTGTTCACTTTTCGGTCTTAACCATCTTTCGCAAAATTATATTATTAATAATCATTTGCATCATACCCTTATGTCATCAGGTGGAAGAGTTTGCTCATATTAATGGTTGGGAAGCTTACCCGGATGAAGAAAACACAACCGATAAGTCGTCAAGTAAGACCTCATCAAGGGTCTCCACACCTATAGGGGAAGTCGACAGCAAGAAGACTGAGGCGGAAGTTAAAACGGAGGCGAAAGAGGCAAAGACAGAAAAGAAAGAAGATGAGGCTGCTGAAAGCAAGCCTGCAGCCATGGAGGTTGATAAAGATGAACCGGGTATGAAATCTAACTTTGTCTTAAAAACTACTTCAAGCCACCTCTTCTCACCGATTACCAGACTTTCCTGCTCAATTTTACTGCAACTTTCACTCCTCTTCGTTTCGCTTTTCATTATTTTTAGAAGAGTTACCATTGGTTAATATTCACGTATTGCGCGCTTGTGAAATATCAGATGTCAATTACTATTGGAAGAGCAGTAGTTGCATCCGGATACGTCGCTGAGCATGCAAAACTATGAGGAACGATTCCGCAGCTCCCTGCAGTCATAAATTGACAGTTTGCACAACGTGTTCTGAACTCAATCCCGTAACTTTTTCATTGTGAAGACTCACTCTTAGTTTGCGGCGTTATTTTAATTCCGACAGAACAGAGAACGTTTTCGATTTGAGATTTGTGGCAGGTGAAGAATTTCTGGAAAATTAGGTAGAGCCGGTTTCTTTTTCTCACTTGAAACATTTAACCGCTATCTTTTCAGTTAAAACAACTGAAGACGAAAAGAAAGATGGGGTGAAACAGGAAAGTGAGGATTCATCCAGCCCCACCGAAGACGAAGGTAAAGACAGCAAAAATGAAGGAGACAAACAGAACAAAGCGGATGAAGGTTAGTTTTAAATTTATCAAGATTGAAAAGCATTACAGTGAGTTTTACTTACATCTTTAAAGCTCTAATTTTGAGCTGAATTCTAACATAGTTGTACCTCCCCATGATGCTTCTTTCCTGATGGCATGTAACATTGAACATCGTATATTTTTCGGGTTGAACCCCGCCCATATGCAGCAGCCATACAAAAGAAGCTATTTTTTTCTTCTTTAAATCTGTAACAGTCAGAGGTGGTAATGAACTGCTTGGAGTACTTGACTTAAGATGGAGATGTCTGGTTTCTCCATTTAGGCCCTTAAAAAAATATGCCAAAGTATGCGAGAGAAAGTCGCCGTTAACCATGTAACCACAAAGTAAGGTTTCCATAGGAAATGCTGTATGGTACCTTGCGATGGATCAGTGTCTTGTGCAAGAAGATAAGCAATGATCTTAGTTGCTTGCAGCGACCGAAGCGTGGATGAAATACATTGCCACGGGTTACTTGGCTTGTGCGCCATTTTCTTGTTTGCTAACTTTTGCAATGTTACGTGACAGGCGAATCTAACACGAAGGAGGAATCAAAGATGGAGGTGGACGCACCTAGCCCGAAGGTGGCTTCTGGGAAAGATCAGGTCAAGGAAGATTCGTCAGACAAAACAGAGCCTATGGAGATTGAACAACAAAAAGACGAGAAGTCTTTGGAAGAAAAGGACATGAGCGGGGATAATGACGAAAAAGACGATAACACTGTTGATTCGGATAAAGCTATGGCAGAAGAAAATTCTAACTGTGAACAAAATGACGACAAAAATGTTGATTCTGATCACAAGAATGGTGAAAATAACGGAAATGTCGATGAGCCCAAAACAGAATTGGAAGAGTCTAAAGCTGAAGGTGAGAAGGATTCGTCAGATAAAGTGGACGATGACAAACCGTCAGAATCACCCCAAGACACGGAAAAGCCAGCTGAGGAAAAGGAGCCCGACGACGGAACAAAGAAGCCATCAGAGGCAGCTGAAGAGGGCGAGAAGAAATCAGAAAAACCTCATTTGGACGACAATGGCGACAAACCTTCAGATGAAGCTGACTCGGCTAAAGAGGAAATGAAAGCTAACGGTGCTGCTGAACCAGACCAGAAAACAACAGAAAAAGTCTCGGAAAAGTCTGAAGCTGCTGTGAAAACAGAAGAAACTGCAGTGAAACCAGAGGCAGCAGCAGCGACAGTGAAGCAGGAGAAGTCCACTGAAAAATCTGCCGTGTCTGGCAAGGCAGGAGGCGCGCTTGGTGATCAGCGTCGCTTTATGTTCAATATTGCAGATGGAGGATTTACTGAGCTGCACACTCTGTGGGAAGTAGAGGAGAAGAGGAAATGTGATGATATCTGGTGGAGATGCCATGATTACTGGCTACTGGCTGGCGTTGTTACGTATCCTAATTATTTCTCACATAGTTTATCTTTAACTTTGAAAAACAAATATTTCTATTCACCCTTTCTCGCTGTCTTCTCATTTGAACGCTCTATAGTCGAAAACTTTCATACATTTTTTATTACATGAAAGAGTTGTTTATTTTTTTCTGTGTAGTGAGATGAGCTGATTATAATATGTGGAGACGCTCTCTCCTCGCCATTGAAATTCAAGGAAGTTTTCATGCAATTACACCTACGTTTTAAACGTTTAGATCCGCTGTCATTTGTATCTTGTTTTTAATAACGACTCGCTTCAGGACTTCTGGTATACGGTTTCCTTGACTGAATTGCTACCTCTAGACACGGATATGGTCGATGGCAGGACATTGCGAATGATCGCAAGTTTTCTGTGATAAACGAGCCTTTTAAGAACGGTAAGCTTCCTAAAAGCCTGCATCTGCTTGCCTTAGCATAGCAATTTACATAGTCCCAAGGCCGAAAAGGGAAACATGTAGAAGCATTTTAAGAAATGCTTGTTGTTTTAGTTTCACAAGCGCTGTTAAGATGTTGGAGATTCCATTGCAACTACTTGGTCTTGTGACACAGGGCACGAAACTTCTCTGCATTGTCCGACCAAAACCAACAGAATTCTGTTGTTCATGTTACTGATATATTTTGTTCTACTAACATTTGGTATTGTTTGTGTTTCAGTCACTCTGGAATATAAGAACCGGTTTATCGCCCGCCGCTTTAAGGTAACGTTGAGGAAATGTGTATTCTTGTTGTCCCTAACATCGTTAAGTATTATTATTTTGCCGTTAAGTCCGCTAGTGATACACCTCATGTTCACTCGTAGTACCTTATTAGTTAATGTAACAGCGAAGTTGCGACGTGGTTCCAGTGTGAAACGGAAGTTCACTTCGGCATAAAATTGATTGAATTGATTTGTTTTTCGCCTATTATACCTTAAAGCTATTGCTGGTGCTAGAGATTTCTCAAAGCACAGAAAATCGCCTAACCTTCGGCTTCTATTTGATTTTTAGTTATTAGAGCAGGCTCTGGTGATTGAAGAACAGTTGAGGAGAGCAGAATCCATGAAGCTCAGACAAGACGCCAACCACCCAGCCATGGCTCTCAATGCACGGTAAGCAATATGGCAAAAATCTATCTGATGCATTGATTTCTGAGGTTAGAGCGAGAAGTAACGAGCGCGAAGTTTAGCAAGTCTGACCCACACGCGTGTGTTACCCGCGTTCCCGCCGAGCGTCCACTACATAGAATATTACTGACCATTTTGTCAAGGGATCAAGAAAGGAGAGGGTGAAGTCAAGAAGTCCGGTACCAGTCTGCGTTCAAATTTAAAGTGAACTGGAATAAGTGGAGTAAATAGATCCTTGCTTTTTTTCTTGTAGTCAGAGTTTGTTCTCTGTGCACTTTACAAGAATTCAGCTTTTTCCATCCTCGCGGACATTTGTCTTATCTTTTTTTATTATTATTGTATATGCTGCTTCCTTTTCTCTTCACCTCTCTTCATGCAGTTGCAATTATGCTGCATTGATTCTTTAGAAATAACGCAGTAATGACTAGTGTTTGGATCCTTGTACAGGTTTGCGGAGTTGGAATGTCTGGCAGAGAGTCATCAACATCTGTCTAAAGAGTCTTTAGCAGGAAACAAGCCGGCTAATGCTGTACTACATAAAGGTTAGTGTACCTGTTACAAAGAGTTTGCGCCATTGTTTATGTGTGGTGCAGAATGGAGATTATTCTCAATACATTTTCACAACTCAAACATTACTCCAGTAAATACTTCTTGAAGTGATAGATAGTCGACTTAGAGGCGCGTCCTAAGGGGCTTGAAGTTGAAGGTAATTTCGGCGCTAGCAAACTTATCATCCGAATCAAAAAAACTAACACAATTTGAAGTAAAGTTTCCTGGAATACAAAAAGGTACAACTCTTGCAAGAATAGACTCGGAGTTAATCATGAACGCCAAGAGGTTGGAAGAAGAAGTGGATGGGAACTAGTGAGAATTGGCGTCAAAATATTAGAAAGATATGGAGGATATCTTTCAAATGAATTGCATTCAGTTCTCGATATATCTCCCAAAATGCCATTCCTTCATTGCTTTCAATAAATTAACCTTAGAGGTACAGCAAATTGCATAGAGGTTTGTAACTTCGTTTGACGGTAATTCAAAAATTGGTGAAAACGTTTCAAGGGATGGGTTCGAGTACAAAGTAGACCTTGTACTGTTTAGCTTTATTATTTACCAAAGTTATACTCACTTTACAGTGCTTAACCAGCTGGAGGAGTTGCTGTCCGATATGAAGTCGGATGTCAATCGGCTACCTTCGGCTCTAGTTCGAATGCCACCGGTCACAGCTCGACTCAACATGTCCGAGAGAGGAATCCTTAGCCGCTTAACGAAACGTGAAGGGCCACCACCCAATGTCACGGTATCTGGAAATCCAATGCAGCCTACCCCCATCCCTACCTCAGCGGCTTCAATTCCTATCCAACCCAAGGTGCAGCCGCTGGTACTTGCCGGAGGAACTGTCATACCTCCTGCTCCAGGTGTTAAGGGAAGACCTCCTTTCCGGTTCAATGTACCACCATTGTATTACCCATCTGCAATGTCAAGTGGCAGTGCCACCCTAACAGTTCGTCCCCCTCCCCCTACCACCCTGCTGCTTCCTGCCCCCACAACAACGGTGAAGTCCGGATTGGTGCAGTCAGTGCCGAAACCCAGTTCTCCTCTGATAAGTCATCACGTGAACTCTCCTACACCAACGCAGTATGTCACTACCCTCATCACTAAACCGGCGGGTAGTGCAGCGGTGTCAACGGTGCCTCAGCCAATATCAGGTGCTGTGAGTTCAACTCCTCCTCTGACTCCCGTCATTAATAGTGTCTACAGTCTAAGCACAGGGAAAACTGGAACGGAAGCACAACGCAGCTCTACTCCTCCCTCGTCTGCCATCGGGGCTGGTATAGGAAAAATGCTTAGTAAGAAAGCAACTACACTCGTAGAAAATCAAATTACTTCTATTATACGTAGAGAGGCATCTGCTATGGGTCTGATATCTTCGTCTAATCCCAGCTCTCCCTCGGCAACGGAAACTCGCGCTTCTCCCGGACCGAAGCAAACCGCTCCCCAGGCTGCAGAGGAATCCGACCAGAAGCAAACGACGAAGGCTGGAGACAAAAGCGACAAAGATCCAGACGTGATTTGTTTGGATTGATGTGGAGATCATCGCTTCAGTCGCTATTCTTACAGTTCTTATCAATAACGTCAGGTGGCAGCAGCGGGCGTGCGTTTCCCCATATGATTTATGACTATTTTTAATGTTATTTTGACTTAACCGTTGTACCTGTAAGTCAAATCTCGTGTGCCTTGTAGAAATGAAATGGAAAACTGGCTTTGATCCAATAAAGGGTAACATCAATGCTGCTGCTGGAAATAAAGTCTGCTTTTTATCCCCTTATATGAAGTGTAATATGAACTGTAATATGAACTGTTTTTGTTCTTGCTCTGGTCAAAGGTTTCTGACTATAGTGTTTCCTTTGCGTCCTTTTCAGTTCCTTTCCATTTATCTACTGTTTCTACGTTTCCTTTTCACTCTATTAAAGGTTCTCTTGTACGTTCTGTTCATTAACCGTTTGCATTCTCAGTGTATAGCCTCATGCAAAAGATGTGAATTTTTAAATACATTGGAGAATTCGGCTATCGATCACGATTACTTCCTTATGCGAAGCGGGCGCTCTATCCTCTCACGCACATGGATTACTTAGTTAAAATTCTTCGTGCGATGATGGAGCCGAAGACTGGGATAGGCTTGAGCAATCAGCTTACCAACAAAGGTTAACTTAGTAAAGGGCTGCGGAACAAGCGAATTCAATTTTTTGCGTTTTTTTCACTCGAGCTAAGGCAAGTGCGAAATCAGTTTTTCCCTTGAACGCTCTTCTTAAATGATACGACTCTCACTCCGGCAGCGTTTGCATACCCTTAAGTACGTTGAGGAAAAATAATGAAGCTTCGTTTAGCTGGCCACCCTTGGATCCTGTAAAATAATGCCTCTTCTTGCATTCGAGTGATGCAAAAAATTGCATAGGTATTGAAAGAAAGATATGCGCAATGCGTATGAAAAAAGGAAAAAAGAACTGGCACAAACAAAAATGAAAATCATATGAACCAGAGGACTTCAGAATAAAATTTGAAAAGATAGTTAAAAGCTAGTTTTAAAACTGGAAGTGTTAACTTGTGTAACTTTCAGGGTTCTTTCGAAGTTGTTAAAGAAAGAGGCCAGTGATATTAGAGTACACCATTGGATGGGTTAGAGACTACCTCCTTAAAACAGAACGGTATCCTGAGGGAAACCTGCAAAGACCTTAAAAAGTTCTTGGTGAGATTAAAACAAGAATCTAAAATAGATCATCTATTTCATTGGAGAATCCGGGTATCGATCCCGGTACCTCCCGCATGCTAAGCGGGCGCTCTACCATTTGAGCTAATTCCCCTTTCTTACTCAATTCCGTGATTCTTTAATGTCTTAGCAACCAGTCAAAACAGGGAAAACAACCTAGTTTACAAGTTTATCGCCAAGAATTTCTTGGCGATAAATGCTAAATTTCTCGGGTCATCCAGTAGCACAAGCACTTCAGAGGAGAAGTAAGCGTTTTTCAGCAAGTAACTCGAAGATTCCACCAGGGTTTTCCTGGTAATCCGTAATGTTTATTATTCTTATAATTATTATTGCTACGTTTCACATGGTCATGAGATGCAGGTGCCTTTGGCCACCTGAAGCAATGATTCTTTGGTTTGGCCATTCATTTAACCGGTTTATCTTTTTTTTTTAGGAATCTCCAAATTTTTTATCTTCACTATCTTCAAGTGAAAAAGCTGATCAAAAACTAAAAAATGCGAAGGCTCCGATCTATGGCTGCTGTTTGCGACCTCCTTCTATGAACGACGCTAACATAGATACATCATTTTATCTTTAAAATCGCCCTGCAAGCATAGAAAAATAGAGCCTTCATACTCTCGGAAAAAATGTTTCGAATATGGAAATCATTTCATTGTTTCTAACCTCCAATTTTAATGGTTCTGGAAATCAATAACAATACTAGACGATTGGAAACGTAATTTCCTGATCAAGATTTTAATTTCAGTGGCAGAAAACAAAGCAATCAATTTTTGCTGCTATCATGTAGACGTACACGAAATGCAACACAGTGACGGGTTATTACAAGGAAGGCAACTCAAACTAGTACACTTGTAAAATTGGTTTACTTTGTGACGAGATCTTTTAGAGCCATTTTGAAAAACAATTGATCGTTGAGAAAACCATGAGTTTTTAAAAAGTTTACCCTTTCACTACCAAGATGTCGTTGTTAATTCTCCTCTCTAGCAGCTACATATTTCCTTGCAACTTATTTACAAGAATTTGGTGTTAGATCAAGGAAACAACTTCTACCTGATAAGTTTGAGTATTCTCATTACCTGTTTGCTGAACAATGTATAGATATTATTGGGAGAAGTTACATGTTAATTAGATATACCGTCATTCTTCACACGGTTTGATGTGATTTTTTCCGCCAGAACTAGCTCATTAGAAAAATGTGCTTCATAGAAAAACAATCGTAACATTAACTGTTATTTAACTTATTTCAACTCACTATGTGCAGCTCTCTATGGACCATCGATACTTAAGTTGAAAATAAATTTAATACAAAGCATACCGCTTCGTTTTATAATTGAACGGATCAGACCGAAGAACTCCTGAGCCCGCCTTTTGAGGCTTTATTCACAACCCTCCTAGCTTTATGTTCGTCGCACGTCAACAATTATTAACCACAAGCATATGGTTGTAGTCTGCCTGTGATTGAACGACGGTGAACGAAGAGCTCTCCGATACTTGTCGGTAGGCCTTTAACAGTTCGTAAACTCATTTGAATAACAAATAATTTTTAAAAGTTAATATTCATATTTGCGATCAACCTTGCACGTGGAAAGAGCGAAAGAAGTTCAAGAAATTTCAGCGTCGTTTGCAGCTTTTCTGGGGCCACAAAACACATCACTTCCACTTTATAACCTTAGATACAGTATGGTCCGTCCTTTTAAGTCCAGCATGTGCTTCTCTCTTCGTTCGAAGTTGCTAAGTAGGGTGGCTCAAATTCGACGTCGAGGATTGATGAGTGTCATTCTGTCTTAATTTTCTTGAGGTACATAACTAAAGTGTAAGTTTTTATTTAATACAAGAACAGTGACTCACGGTTTTCCTTGCAAACAATTTCAAATTGTAGAGCATTATTCACAGTAAAATGAAGTACATGTACTTACTTAAAGAAAGGTATACAAGTATTCGAAATCGATTCAAAGTACATATCTTCGAACTATTTTGGTTCTCTCTTCAGCATAACGTCGAGCACAGAATGATAACATCTTAAAATAACAACCTCGAGGAAGGAAAGAGAAACTGGGAGACGTTTAACATGGTCAGTAAATCAATTTTTTATCAGGAATTGAGTAACTGCACTTGTGCGTCTGGTCTGCTTTGAGCACTTAATCCCCCCTTGTTGATATATATCTTTTACTTCTCATCACTTGTCCGCTTGATATTGTATCAATATTGTACGAAGAAATTCTCTCTTGGTCACTGATAGCCTATTAAATATTCCCCCAATTTTGATATGTTTTGAGAGAACACTGATCTTGAAAAAGGTATAAGCATATTTGACGAAGATGAAGTTTACTTTTGAAGTAATCAATCCATGTATTTATTTTATTTTCAGAGTCGAATGGAAGAAATAAAAACTGTGCTGGATAAGAATGATTGCCAGGTTACAATAATGGAATAAAATAAAATCAGAGTAATGTAAGAGAACTAAGCATTTTACTGTTTTGCTTGTAATATGAAGCAATCCTTGAAATAGGAAATTTATAGAACGTCGCCCAAATACTCAACTGAGGTTGCCATTATTTTGGACTATTCAGAATCATTTGGTCGATATAACGTCTTTTGAGGAACGTTTGCTATACGTTCTTGTTTGTTGTTGTTATACACCTATCTGCATTTAACCCTTTAACTCCCAGAGGTTACTTCTGTTTATCATATCCTCACATTATCCAGCAAACAGGTAATGATAATACTCAAACTTATCAGGTAGAAGTTGTTATTTTGATCTAACACCAAATTCGTATAACTAACTTAAAAGGAAATGTCTAGCAACTAGAGGGGAGAATTAACATCAAGATCTTGGGAGTTAAAGGGTTAATGGCGTGCGATATGTTACTTATAAACCTCATGTTCGATTTGCAGAGTTAGAGAAGGGAATGAAAGTTGAATGAAAAATCTGGAATGGGAAGCGAACAGAGAGATGACGGAGAAATCAGCCAAAGGTTAGTTGTTCACTTAGTTTTTTTGCTTGTCGTAATTCACGACAAGGAATAAACTAAAAGAGGTAGAGCGAGGGAGGAGGAGGTGGTGGGTCAAACTCGTTGAGAGTGTCAGGTCTGGAGACAGATTCGACAAACTCATTTCAGTACAATGATAGATTACAGACACAGTAGTACAATCCGTTACAATACTGCTTTACCAACACGACTGCTCCATTACTAACAGTGCTATATCCTTAACAGATAGTTACAATTTACGTTAGATATAAAACTGCCATATTCATGAAATTATTACGAAAACATTTTTTCGTTAGGCTTCCTAGAAACATAAAAAAAGGCAAAAACATACAAATATGTCGTAGTTGTATCGGTTCATCGTGACAGAAGTATTTTGTGCCATTTCTATTCAGATATTTTCTGTGTGTGTTTTATGTTATTTATCAAGTTGTTTCGATGGAATTGTAGAGTCGAAAGAAGAGGATGAAAAGAGGGATTCAAAGAGCACTGGATAAATGGACTGGCAGACGAACAGAAACATGACGGAGAACCCGGCTAAGCGTGAGTTGTTTGAATTTTTGTTTTCCTAATAATTCAAAGCAATCTATGTTAATGAGAATTTAAAATGTCGCCAAGATACTCAATATTCCGATAATACCATCGTTTTTTTCTTTTCTTGTTTTTTTGTGTTGGGATATGATTTCTCAATTTGAAGACAACAAATTGCACTCGCCCTACGGGCTCGCAGGGCTCGCTGACCTTTCAAAAATCTACTTTTCCTGATTTATCACAAATTACACGAGTAAGAATCATGTGTCTACCTATACAAGTGAAGCCTTTTCAAGTGAC